TTGTTTACTTTTGGCTCCATTTTGGCGTTGGTTTGGCTAGCAAAGCTGGTCTCACTATGTCAGAGCTGCCTTCATCCAACCTAGAGGTGCATTCAGCTAAAAGGAAAAGTTTTAGATACACAACCGTCCATTTACGCACTCTGAATCAGCAAAACCTCCTTTCCAGTCATTCTCAATGATTGTATTATGCCATCTTTCCTGTAGTCATACTCTCTGCATCTCAAAACTTAAATCACATACTGTAAACTGGTTTGTTTTCTCAACACAGACGATGAGCAAAAGATTTTTCTTTAGAGAGTGAAACTGAGGGGTGAAAGATTGTACCTTGGTAGTCAAATGTACACATAGAGTCACTTTATGATGAGAGATGTGTGTGCGTGTTAGAGTATAAATCTGAGCCGGACGCTAAAATTTACCAGGCGACACCAAGATGAGAACTAAATTACATGACAAATGCAAATTTGATTTATGGTAATTATGCTGCAACAAGGCGGCTGTGTGCACACGGACTGCAACTGTTTCACCTGACACCAAACTCATACATACAAATGAAGCCATCTTAAACACAGAGTACAGGAAGATAGATTTATGCAACATGCTGACAGATAAAGCAATATTACAAGCCGGGGTGCTTCAGATCAATTAATGTGTGCAACACCCGTGAACATACGCACATACTGTGTGTAAAAATATACAGTATATATAACCTCATTTATGAGGTAAACTTTCAGTGAGTGAGTGACCCTCATTCTCTGAGGGCAATAAATGTAGAAACTGTCAAATTGATCAGGCTTTTTGAATGACACATGCTTGTGTGATTTATCAACACTAATGTGTGATTAGAAAGATTCATGCGCCAACTGTAAGAATGTGTCAAAGAATATGAGTGTGATTGAATGTCACCTTTAAGTCGGGCAAAATGACAGTGACCACTGAAATAGAAACTGACGCCGGAAGGCATGCAAATAGCTTGAACAAATGCACACACTTTAACTCACACCCACAAGATAAGTATTCTGCACCAGGAGGCCTGTATAGCAGTGCACTTTAATCACAGAGTTCATCTCATTTCCTCTCCGCTCTCCTTTATCACTGGCTCCATTCTTATTCATCTTCATAAGAAAGCAGAGGAAGAGGAGCCAGTTCCTAATAGCTCACTGATTTACATGATGAGTGTCTAGGCCCATAGACTAACTCCTGGGAAAAGGGGACAGAAGAGTACACACAGATACCTTCACACACTCTCTCAAACAGACGAAGGAATGTAATTTGTTTTCTTATTACTAAGACGAAGAATTAGGAGCAGATAAACACACGCATACATCTACACACACACACAAATCTATACCCAAATACACACAACAAGTGAACAAACAAGGCAGGCCCTGTAATAAACAGTTGAGTTAGCGCTTGCACACGGCTTTGCTTGTTTAGCGTGTAACTCAATTTGAAATGCTAACACTGCCATAGGCTCAGGGGCATGCAGCAGCAGCAGTGGGCTAGCATCATCAGCATGCTTCCTTGCAATTTAACTCCACTCTTTCAACACAGAACATTTGTGCAGTGGCCTCATATTTTACACATGCTGAATAAAATTAATTGGGCATTTTTGGTCGCACATCATTTGCACACTGGACCTACTTTGAATTGCAGATGAAGGAAACAGGGCGGTGGGGGTGATTGGGGGGTTTGTGGCATACCACATAAGCATATTTAAGGGCGAGCCTGTGTTTGTGTGTGTGTGTGTGTGATTGAGCATGTGCTGTAGAGCTTACATTAATGGTAATGAACTTTATCTCTGCTATTAGAATCCATCATCAGATGGTTTGACTCTGGAGGGATGGTCTCTAATGACAAGGGAGAGGACAGTGATGATTAAATCGATCACTTATGCAAAGACACTTCATCAGGCTCGTTTTTTAGCTTTGGAAAAACATAGTTTCATGAACATGAATATTCTTGCAGGAGGGTACATGAGGTGGTCAAGACAAACTGAAGAATTTTTTTTACAGTGCTAAATGCTTCATACGGTATATAGAGGCTATGCTCCTTGATGGTTTTAAACTCTAACCTCAATCATTCATGTGCAGCATCCCCCACTCTGCTTTCCCTGTATCTCCTCTTTTCAGCTTACCTGTTAATGAAGACATAAATGGCCAAAAATCCTAATAGAAAATTTTGACAGGGCAATTTACCAAAAGATATGTTTGTACAAAAAAGGATTAGGGCCACAAGAAAATGTAAAAAATAATTAAAGGAGGAAGATTTTTTTTAATGTCCATATCAAGATTAAAGTCAAAATTTTAAAAAGTTGAAATTTCGACTTTATTCATATCAGTTTTAATCTCGAAATTTCAACTTTAATCTCAAAATTTTGATTTTTTGATCTCAAAATGTCAACATCATTCATGACATTTCGACTATTTGTAATCACGAAATTTTGACTTTAACTTGAAATTTCAATTTTTAATCTTGAAGTTTTGATTTTATTGACATAATTTTGATTTTTTTTGATCTTGAAATTCCGACTTTAATCTTCTTCCTGACATTGCTTTTTTTTTTCTCTTCATGCAATCCTAATCCTATTTCGTATATTTGTGCGTGTTGGTGAACTTCAGTTTGCCATTTTCCCAAATACTTCTCACTTCTTCCCTCTTTTAAAATGGAGGGCTCACCATATTTGTTTTGGTTTTTATTCCACCCTTGCATCTGTCCACACTGGTCTTTATTCACTTTCCGCAGCTAACAGCTATCAACACTTTCACATGGACCTTGAATAAAAATAAAGACAGGAAGCCTCGATGGGCCTTATGAAGAGAAGTAGAATTTCAGAGAAGAGGAAAATAAAGCCCACTGAAATGCAGAATTGAATAAAAACATCAGGTTAAATCTTGGTGGAAATATGATTTGATGTTGAGTTTGACAAAGACAGCGTGTTTGTAACTTTTTTAAAATCATATTGTTGAATCTTATTTAGTAATGTAAAGAGTCACGCTGTGCTACAACTGTTCAACCAATCAATTTAAAGAAAATCAAGGAGGAAGTGGTGATTAAGGCCACGGGAATTTAAGATTTCACAGAATGAGAGTTTTGTGAGGCTGGAAACTCCCCATTTATGTTTGTTGGCTGTCAAAGATAACAGGTGGGGCTCTCAGCAAGGGCTCCAATTAAAATCAAAATCAACCTGCTGGCTTGTAATTGCTTTTCCGCCTTGATGTTGTGTGTTCAGTGTGTCTGTGTGTGTGTGTGTGAAGTTGAGCTAAATTTAACAACGTCTAGATTTTCATAGACTAGTTTGGTCATTAGACTTGTTTCAATATTCATTCTTTTAATCTGGTTTGTTACAGATCCAGGGTTTTTGTGGCTGCATAAAACTGCTCAGACTACATCTTGTGATTCTCTGCGAGTGTGTGTGTGTCACAGGGTAGTGTGTCTTATTTCTCCTGTGGATACCCGAGTACTTTGTGTTGCTGCAGAGATTAGACTGGGCGCCCAGACCCATCAATATCCATGGCTCCTGTTTTGCTCTCTCTCTCTCACACACACACGCACACACACACATGCACGGATGGAGTGAGTGGAACAGACCTGACGCTCTCACTCACCGTTAAATGGCTGCGCTGATGGACTGAGGCTATTTAGACACTCTCTCACATACACACAAGCACAAACAAACACCCATACAAGCTCACACTCACACACACACACACACTCCACTGGTGATGGAGTGAGGCCGTTCCCTCTCCTCACCTCATGCCCAGTCATTGGCTGGCAGCCCAGTGTAGACTTGCCAATTGGCCCTTCCTCCAAATCAACCACACAAACTTTTCTGATGAGCTCAGTACAGTTCTCACACACAAACGCGCACACACATACAGATTAACAGAGTCCGTATTGATTCTCTTTGTAGAGTCTTCCTGAGCACTTTCTCCTCAATTCACACTTTTCACACATTTCACAAGTCAGTTATTCTTATAAAATGTGGAGTCCTTTGTCACTCGACTTGCCCTTGAGCTTCCTCACACAATTAGGAGTCAATTTTTTTCTCATTCATCCATTTCTATTATCTCTCCGAAACTATTATGCTGTAGATTAATATTACATTATTCTTTCGATTGCCTAGAATATCATGTTCATGTGACAATTTCTTGAGGACTTGGGTCATAATTGTAAAAATTAAACAATGAGATGAATAAAACAACTTTAACTTTACATTTCATTACAGCTAAAGATTACGTTTTGGCACATTACAGTCTCAGCCAGACAAGCAGGTTTGATTTACCTTTAAAATCATTAACTGTCTCTCAGAGACACATTCACCATGAATTAATCAATGAACCAACAGTAACCATGACTCTCTGTGACTTTCCCGCCAAATGCGCACATTGCTACTGCTCAGCGCTGGTTTCAGGAAATGAAGAAAAATCACGGAAATACAGAGAGCTTCTTGGCTTCAAATCCATATACAGGCGGTAGGCGGAACAAAGTTGTCCATAGTAAAGATTACACGATGGCACATGATAGTCTCAGCCAAACAAGCAGGTTTGATTTACCTTTAAAATCATTAACTGTCTCTCAGAGACACATTGACCATGAATTAATCAATGAACCAACAGTAACCATGACTCTTACAAAGCTGCTTGTGGTGTTGACATGTAGTTACAGTAAAACTGGTTTGTGCTCAAGTCTTTTAGTCAAAGTCTAGTCTAAGTCTAAGTTATTAGGGGGTTCATGTTTTCTTTGATTGACACCTGATACAGCCTATGCGCGTTCAGGGATTGCGTAGCTCACCCGGGGGAAAAGCTGTTTGAGCAGAATGTCATCACAGCGACTCCCCCGCCAAATGCGCACATTGCTACTGCTCAGCGCTGGTTTCAGGAAATGAACAAAAATCACGGAAATACTGAGAGCTTTTAGGCCTTTAAAATCATTAACTGTCTCTCAGAGAGACATTCACCAAGAATTAATCAATGAACCAACAGTAACCATGACACTTACAAAGCTATAAGAGCTGCCAGAAGACCCACCAGTACCAATGAGTTGTGATGAAACCGCCTTTCTTTTTGCCGCAAAGACTAAATCTTTACTTTAACTTCAAAACATATCTTAAAACATCAGTTTCTAGTCTACAGTAAAACTTTTTTGACATGATTATTGAGTTTAAATAGTTTTATAGCTCCACTTGTCAGTATTTACGGTATGTGTAAGGGTGCACTCAGAAGGCCAAGCTGCCCTCTACGATGCCAACACATGATTGTCCCGCCTTCCCATTTCGCCCTGCACTCACATCCCTCCAGGTCCATTAACTCATAAAACTGTTGTACATATGTAAATGTGTCATAAAACAACACACTAATAGCTTTACATTAACACTCAGTATCCTCAGAGTCAGCACAATGGACACTAACACAGAGAACCATCATAATCTTATTGAGTTGTAAAGCTAAACTTTCGCTATTTTTGAAAATGACTGTCAATATACCCTTGTGCAAGTACATGAGCAACCATACAATGCTGAAGCCCACCGTTTCCAATCATGCCAGCGCCTTGTAAGTGTGCCGGGGGTAACTACTAGCGCCCAGCTCAAGTGTGCCTTACCAGTGAGTGCAAGTCCAGATGCCTTCTTGTCTGGTTTTTAAAAGAGTAGCTACTGTACTGATGAGGAATTTAATTTTGTTTTACATTTATGGTTAAAGTCATCTAAGTCTTATTTGATATCAAAATTGTTTAATTTGTGCTTAAGAGCAAATGCTAGCATGCTAACACACTGAGCTTTCTTCTTACATGCCAAATAAATATGGCTAAGATATTGAAATTCTGAATGATTGGCTTCTTTTTTTTTTTTCAAACATTTACAAATCTTTCCAAATTTCTTCTTTGTGCATATTTTATGTAGAGGCTGTGCTTTTAGCATGATAGCAGAGTAAAGCAGCCTTTAAGATGACCCCGCCTGTTGTGAGTTATGTTGCTGCCAGTGGGTCATCATGTATTGGAAACGCCCGGACCCAGCACTCCCAATCCATAAAAGCAAGCTCCCTCTTTTTTCCGTCCCTTTTTTGCTGCTCCCCATTTGCCACGGTCCTTGTTTTGTTTTGCAACCATCACCTCGCATCTCATATCCACATTTATGCACACCTGCCTTCACTACTGATTTACTGATTTCCACACCGCATGCCTTTTTGTTATTTGATTTTGCCTTGTTATAAATAATCATTAGCCCTGTCTGCTTTGTAGTGTAATTCCTGTCTGGTAAACTGCTAATTCTGGGTGAGTGATTGAAATAAACTGAACAGTCCACTCAAAGCTCCTAAAGACACGGTTTAATGGTTTTGAATTTTACAAGTTCACATGTAAATTCATATAAAGATGAATATTTGTTAATGATATCCATTAGGATTTTTTAAAAATAAAATAATACCAGAAAAATCTGAACCTCTCCCATTAAGCAAAAGACGGCTATTGGACGGCAAGTTTTTTTTTTTTTTAGACCTAATTTAAACCATCTAGATTGTGCATATTTTTAAATGGAATTTAGACGTTTCATTTTAGCCCATTATTCGATAACTGTTTATTTCAAAAAGCAACTGTGAGTTGCATAACTGATCTCCAAGTACTTAACCAAAATAATTATGATAGCCATTGAGCAATATGTAGTGTAGTATAGATATAGCCCAGATTTAGATTTAGCCTAAACTTGGTCGAAATTTAGACATTTAAAAACCGTTCTTTTTTAGACCTGTGGTAGCCTGATTTTAGACCAGTCATCTAGGCTACATTTAGACCTCTACTAGACCTCTTTTAGACCAAAAAATGCTCAGTGGGTCGAATTTGTGGTGCCAGCTCTTTGAAACAGCCTGAATCTGCTCTATCAGACCCACTTGGAGAACTTTGGTTGCTACAAACCAACTTCTAATGTCAAATGAACAACGGCTTTTACACTGTACAAATGCTTCTCCCCTAAAAAATGAAGTTAAACCTTATCTTTTTCTGTTCTGTCAAACATTCCTGAGGCATACAAATAAAATGTTAGAGCGGTTTTTCTAACGAGACAGACAACAGCCTTGTTCTCTTTTTGAAATATTCAATAAACTTTGCCAAACACTTTGACAACAAAAGATTAGATTTTGTTATTTTTTCTCAGAAATCCTCCTCAAAATAAGCAAATTTCAAATTCCAAAGGCAATTGAAAAACACAGTGCGTGCTTTCCTCCGAACAAACTGGCTTCTATCATGCAATCCTTTCCCACATCTCCTCTCCACCCCCTGCAGAGGTGCTACATGATGGGTCTACGGGAGTGTCACTGGAGGCTGGAAGTGACCTCTTTTCCCCCTGTCCAGTGTCACCTACATTTTTGGGGTCTCTCCTGTCTCTCTTTGGTGCATGCTGTGGGCGCAAAGGTTGAGCGGGGTTCAAGCACCAGGGCTCCTCCTACAGATGAGCAGTAAAGCAAGAGTGTTTAGGATCAGGGTGAGTATGTAATATTACAGATCAGCCGCAAGATTTGGATCAAAGGGATCTTGTGGGTTATAAGGACACAAAACAAGCAGTCTGAGGTATCATCATGAAACTGTGCATGAGGGAAGCTGAATATCTGCAGCCATCTCTGTGTTTTCTCTTTGCACAAAAATATATCCATAATTAAGTGTTTACTTTGATATGCTAATACGCTGAATATAGATGTCATCTTTTATCTGCATAATTCACCTCTAACAAACATTCAACAGACAATGTATGAATCAAACAGTATCTAATGAAATAGAAATGTGGCATAATTGCTCTTAAATCATTTATGATAACAAGTGAGATTCAAACAGACAGCTCTCTTTTTCTTTGGCACAGATGTGTGTCTGTGTTGTAACACATGATAACTTGCAATGACATTAAAGAATAACGGCATTTCCTACATTCCATATAGTGTATGTGCACATGCATGTTTAACTTTGCGGTTGTGTATAAGTGTCGCTCTTCTTGTGTGTCTGTGTGCCTCAGGCAAATTTGAAATGAGGCAGCTCTCACTAAACAACACCCCAGGCTAACTTAATATGGACCTATTTTGACACAAATAAAAACACACAAATGCACCCCAAACTGTGGCTTGATGCTGGGTTTCACATTGATTTTGCCAACAGAATACTACCACCCACCAACACACTGTAGAGCAGGAGGTTCGGCTCTATCAGAGCCTGTCTGAACTTCTTTACATTTGAACCACAGTGATCTGAAGGCGGTTATACTAACAGCATGGTCCTGAACAATAGTTTTTATCATTTCAAACCTGCAGGTTGTATTTTGTAATGTCTACTTAAAAGACTTTAATGTGTCAATGTACCTGTCCAAACAGACCAATAGCGTCTCCTTGCAGGTTGCTTAAAGCCACACTGCAGCAGGATGATGATGAGAGAAGGAGGAGTTTGTCTCCATGGATACAGAGTTCAAGGTGAGTCACGCGGTCATGGTGTAGCTGGACATTACTCAATAGTTTTGGAGGTTCTTTGGTTGTCGTGTCATCTGGTACACGACAATAACTCTGAAGAATAGAAGAGAAGATAATAGATTATTTAGCTGTTTGGGCTAAAATGTACTATAAGCCTTTCACGCTATAGACACAATTCACAGTTTTGGGTAACAAATGAAAGTAACAACATTGTCTCTCCCCATAAATAAAGTGTCCACAGAAAACCACACCCACTGAGAAACAGGAACAGATTTGTGCTTTTTCATTAGTATTTTTATTTGTCCTGCAGGAAAGACTTTAACGGCTTTAACTTAAACAAAAGTTTAACCGGGATTGTTGTAATATAAACTTCAACTGTTCCAAGGACGAACTGCCAATGTTTAAGTCTAACTTGGGACCGCAGTGGGGAAATGTTCTTCTTAATGGTCATTCCAGTCCTGAACAATGGCATTGTCCAACAGAAATTGATGCAGTACAAAGAACTTAAGTGTTGTCATTGGGTTTGAGAAGAACACTAGTCTGGGTCGGAATTTAGGGCAACAGTTTCTGTCCATTCATTGCTCAGAGTTGCTCTAAGTTTATGTCTATATCACTGTTTCATGGTTGATTCTTCTAGTTTTTCCATGGTTTTGTTATTTAGTTGTATTTTCTGTGTATTTGTTTCTTCGTGTTTCTGCTCCCTAATGTTCCTATTCCCCTGTGTCAATCATTATGTTCCTGTTCATGTTTTTTAAAGTTTGACTTCTTCAGTTTTCAGAGTTTCCTGTTGTATTTTGTAGAAGTCAATCCTTGTGTTTTCAGACTACGTTTACACGTGCCCGGCTATTTTCATAAACGGACATTTAACCCTCTCTGTTTACAAAAAAAAAAACACAAAAAAAAAAACTGCATGCACACCACTACGTTTTAAGAAAAGTTTTTGCTAACACTAACCCGTGTATATATGTCGTCAAGAGCATATGAAACATGTGGGTAGCAGTGTAGCGAGAAGCCCAAGTCCATGTTAAACCAATCAGATTCCCAGTTTGCATCTAAATGAAGGGTGCAAATGATGGTTCATGTCTTCCTTTTTAAAAATAACCAGGTACGTATAAACAGGGTCCTAGTCTGGTTTAACTTCCCCGGATTTTCCTCCTCTGTAAAACACCCATGAGTCTCACCTGTATCTTGTCTGTCTCACCTGTTGCTCATTTCCCAGAGTGTATACAGTCCCCCTCTTTCCCTCTTTCTTTGTTAGTTCACTGTATGTCTCTGTCAGTCAAAGTCAATGTGTGTGTTTGAGCTCCTCACAGTTTTTCCCTTGAGCCTTTTGCTTCTTTGGATTCAACTAGAGATGTTCCGATACCAAATTTTCTATCCCGATACTGATTCCGATACTTGTGCCGTGGGTATCAGCTGATACTAATGCTGCGTTCTAGTTACCTTGGAAGTCAAAAATCCAAGCTGGGAATGACGTCACACCCGAGTTACCAGCGTTTCAGTTACCAAGTCGGAAGAAAGCAAAATCGGAGGCGGAAACAAGATGTCTACATCTATGAATGTTATTTTAGCGCTTGCCTTGTCCGAATATAAGCAAGGCAACATGGAAAGTGCTAAAATAACTTTCCTAGATGAAGCCATCTTGTTTCTGCCTCTGATTTTGCTTTTCCTGACTTTTTCTCAGTTGGACATTTTCTATTGAAGTAAGTTTTTGTTGTTTCTTATTTAGCCCTTTATTTGATAAATCATTTTTTAGTTCTGCACTTGCTCTTTTTTTGTTCCTCAACGTGACAATAACTCCTTGCCAGAGGCTTTTTCAGCTAAGCTAGGAGCTTGTGAAGATTCTAAGCACGTCTGTGGCTACAAGAAAATCACAATAATAGGCTTCAGAGACAGAAACCAGTGTATTGAAAAAGTATTGAAAAACTCCTGCGTCATGCTAGGGACTGACCTGATGCTGAACTGTGGACTGGAAATTCCTGGGTCTGTGAGCACAACAATATTTACTGCACAATCATGTTAGCCATCCAAACTGGTTTCAAAGTGTGTTTGAAAACTCGCTGCAGGTTAGGATTTCCACTCGAGCACTGAGCTTGTCTAACTTCTTCAACTCTGCTACATATATACATAAATCTCCATAAATTAAACTGGAAGCCAAATGAGATGCATTTATTTAAATTCATCCTCTCATATAAACTGTGACAGAGAGTTGAGCTGTAAATACTGTGGCAATAATACCCAAGAGGGTGTTCTTTTACTGCAATTATAAGCATGACAGTGATGCAGCTACGCTTTACACTGATGTGGCGATCTAAGTCTTTATGATCAGAGTCAGAAAGTCAAAAGGCTTCTGTAAGGAGCCAGAAACTCTTTAGCTTGCAAACATGTTTTGTATGTAGGAGTGAGGTGACTCTGTAATCAGCTAATTTGGCAGAAAATTCTACTTGGGTCTTTCATCATTTTCATCCTCTCCAACTGCCAAAAACATGTCACTTTGAATCACAGTCACAGTGCTTTTGCATGCATTTTTCCGGGTGCGTTTCTCTTAAACGAGGATGCAAATTGCAGTTGATGCTTGATCCGTTCATTTGAGGAGCCTGTTAAATTTAAAATAAAATTAAAAAGAATGGGAGCACTACCTCCTGCTGCTTGTACCAGCCAGGATTTTTCTTAATAAGGGGCTGGTCTGGTTGTACTCTAGCGAGCTACCGGGGCTTCAGAATGACAGACAGAGCTGTCATTTTCAGAGTGAACATCATGCTTCATCTAACGGAGATATCAAGGTTCATTCTCTCTTCAATATCTGTGACAGCCTGTGTCTTGATCTCTGTCCCTCCCTCTGTCTCTTTGTCTTGTTCTTTCAACAGAAAAAGCAAATGTCATCGAGACATGTGGTTTCACTGTAAATCGGCACAGCTACAACTAATGTTTCATCGTTTACATTAGTGCAATAACGACCTACCTCTATGTCCCAAGTCTTGAGTGTCCCCTCTGAGTCAGCGGTGACTAAAAACTTTCCACAGGGACTAATAGTCATTCTTATAGACCCTAGCTCTTTGTTGTGAGCTGTGAACTGTCCCGCCAGACGGCTGTGGGAAGTACTCCAGAATCTGACCCGACCTGAACCTCCACAAGATACCAAGTCTGCAGCACCTACTGGAAATGAGAAGCAAATAATCACAGCAACAACAAATGTAGCATTTAAAGCACCATTTAAAACATTATTAAAGGGATATTCCGGCATAAAATTAAGTAACACCAAGTTAGACACCCCCTCGAGAGTTGAATGTTGCCGACTGCTTGCTTCTCTAGTTATGCCAACTTCAGTAAATTGCAGATATCACAGTATAACAGGGGGAATAAATACATAGCATAAAAGGGGGGAAAAAATCACAGTGTTGTTAAAATTTAGACAAAAAGGTAGAAAGTAGGGTGACCATATTTTGAATCCCCAAAAAGAGGATACTACTACGAGGGGCGGAGTCGGGTGCAAAATTTTGAGGGTTTTTAGGGTTGGATTGAGTGTTTTTTACACGCTTCTAACTCAGTTGGTCCACGCTACACAAACTCAAAACTTTCATACAAAACCCTGGACATTTGAAGGATTAAAAAAAAAAAAAAAAGAGGACGTCTGGTCACCTTAAAGAGAGAAGTTTCAAAGTATAAAGATAGTTAAGTATTGAAAACTCGAACTTAACTTATGACATCAAACAATCACAAATGTATACCGGACAGTAATCTACCCGAAGCTTCAAAGAAACAAAACACACACAGAAAAATGCAGAAGAGTGCATTTGTCTATTTTCAACTTTGTATGTCAAGATTAAAACCAGAGCTGTACTTGCAGAGTATTTAATATTCAAGAAGGCTTTCAACTCTTCGGGCCACCTCAAGTGCACTCTGTTTGCATCAGCTGTAACTATTCAAATCACACACTCTCATGTAAGAATTACAGGATGTAAACAGGCAGAGGGGGAGAGTTTTTATCGCTTGAAAAAAAAAAAGGGCAATAACTTTCTGCGGTGTGATGATGTCAGAGAGTTCATTCTGCATTAAAATATTGCTTTATAATAATAAAACATTGTGGTGATGCTGCCAAGAATTTCTCAACCTGACTATGTGTGTTATAACTTACAAAAGTTATTTTGACATATTATTTCCAACCAAAGTTTGGCTAAGATTATAAAGCAGCTTAGTTTCAATGTCACCTGTAGCTGCTGCAGACGTGCGCCCTGGTATAAAGATCAGTTGAGTGACGGCAATAGAGTCATCAGGGTCTTCTTTGCTTCTCGCACTAAGATGAGAATCTGTGTGATGAGAAAGTATCAGTATCAAAGACATAGGAAAACTGAATGAAACAAGTTCAGACAGGAACATATTATTCAAAGTCTCATCAATGAAGTACTGTACATTAAAATTTTCTCTTCTTCTCCATATTTATGTGTGAAATAGAGAGCTTTAACTACGTCTTGCCTTCCTTGTGTGGATGTAGTTTCCCCAAGACCATTTCAGTGCTGCTGTTCCACATTATGACTTCTCCATCATAACTTCCTGCACATATCAGAAGTGTAAGCACTTATGAATTTGCAAAACTATACATTGCTTTTTGACAAGAACACCATAAAACAAACAGGACTTCATATAAACGAAGTCCTGACGAACAGAAAGCAAATGTCATATTTAAAGAACAAACTCGTACTTTCTGTCAAAAAAGCCAATTTACTTTCCTTGTACTGCTGAATCATGCAAGGCAGCCACTAAAACCACTCTAAAAGTGATTAAAGTCAACATCTGTCCCCAGCTGCCATCTGTTCCGCACTTAAACCTCAACACTGACCTCGAGTGAAAGTGCTTTCCCAATGATCTTCATTATATATATGACTGTGAATGTGCATGTTTGTGTGAGTCGGATTTTTTATCCTATAAGGCAAAAATCTCATCAGGTGGTGGGACAGCTGAACGGCAGGAGTTAATGAGAAATGTGAGGAGTGTGTTTGCCATGGGGGGCGTGTATGTCTGAGCAATAGGAGGTATAAAGTTTATGGGAGTGCAGGTTACTTGCATTATTCATGCAGCCCAGGGCCAGCTTTTGTGATTCAGGCAACTTTTATCATGCTGCATGTGTGTGAGTGTAAGAGAAGGGAGACACAGTTGGGTAAAAGTGGAGGTATATGTTTTCTATATACAATGCTGAGATTTTGAACAAAGCTGGATCAAAATCTCTTTTATTAACCTTTTTTCTCTTCCACACTGAAGGCTCATTTATGCTCAATGTTACACATGGATCCAGGCTAGACGAAGTCCTGTGGAGATGCTACATTCAAATTCATGCTAGTTTGCCGTGATTACCAACCCAACCTTTAAGAGACATCTTACTTACCACTGAGCCACAGCTGCTCTAAGCACAATATGACCTGAAAACTACCACCTACCAACTGTTGTCGTCAAAGTTCAGGTGCACCATGTTACACAATGTAAAATCAGGGGAAGTCCTTTTCTTTTACTTATAGCCACATTCGTTCAAGCACTTTTACTCATTGGCTTTTAGTACATTGTAGTGTTAATTTGTTTTTTATCATCTTAGCACTTGCTGTAAGCCTCCTTATTTATACGCTTTATTCTTTTGCATTAATGTATTTCTGCTCGCTTTATCTTGTTCTTTGATTGTTTTATTTGTTTTTATGTGTCATTGTACAGCACTTTGGCTACCCTTGTGGTTCTTTTAAATGTGCTATAGAAATAAAGTTGATTGATTGATTGATTGATTGATTGATTGATTGATTGATTCATCAGTGACTCAAGTGACATCATGCTAGGACTTTATAAAGTGCCTTTGGAGCCACAAAAACAAACACATTTCTGGTGTAAATTACAGGTTTTATCAAGATGAGACATTGTATCAAATCTTCTGAAATTATTACAGTATTTTTCTGCAAGAATACGATTTGAGTCTAAGACTTATTTAATAAAAATCACTAACATGGGATCAAAATATGTATAACATACCGAACAGCACACTGTACTGGCCAATGTTACAGTTGGTGTGTCTTAATGGTAAAGCACTAATGCTCTCTAATGCTCTAATGATCTTCATAAATCATTGACTGAAATGTGTGATCGATATCACAGTCCACTAAACCAGGGATGTATTTCTGTACATGGGGAGTGCAATTTAAACACCAATCTATACCGGCGGGGCCCTAAAGTTTTCCTTTTTTCAACTAACATACTTGTTGACAAAGAATCTGAAATTTACAGCCCGTACAAATCACAGCATCTTCAGCTTGGAGAAAAAAAATGTCATAGCTTTGCTTCATATTCTGATTTCCGCGCTTGCATTTGCATTTCTAAGACGTTTTGGCCATCCATCAAAGTTCAGATGAGTTGGTCCTTTCTCACTTGGAAGGTGTTCAGCCGTGGAGGATTAAGGGATCCAAGGCAAGAGGGAGGTACACAGGCCCCCCTGTGTACATGTACCCTGCTGCGTATGTGTGCGCGCGTTTGCGAGTTTGACAGCGTCTGTGCGCGAGAAGCGAAGCAGAACCCGAGGAAACATTCTGAATATGGATGAGGAGGCTTCACAGTCACATCAGCCAAATGTTCCTGCTTCAACTTGATTTGACTTGAGACACAAACTAACAGGTGCAAGCACACACAAACAAAAACACACACACTAATAGTTCTGGGCATGTCTGCATCCAACTGAACTTTTAAATTGACTTTTGTCACTGGTGGCCGTGATGCCACCGCAGCTCTCTCTTGGCAGCACTTGAATATAACTTGGCAACATGCTTGCTTTGATGTGAATAAGCATTACTCAGTGGGACCATGAAGAAATTTACTGGCGACTGAATCGAATGTGTCACTGCTTTCAGACGCCACGTTTGTGCTCAGCGGATTTGAGGAGGAAATAATAAGTTAAAATATTCCCCAAAATAACAAGTTAATAGTTTAAATCTACCTTTTGCATCAGTATGTGAGAGAAGTGTGCAAGCGCAGAAATGTGATTCATCTGTTTTTCACTTTTGCCCGAAGGGAAGACAGAAGGAACAAGCACAGGATATTAAAGCGTAGGAGGAATTTATGAATGAATAACATCATTTTATGGAGTCATTTTTGCATATACCTGTGCCTTTATGAAATAAAACCACATTGAGAATTGGAGAGGTCACAGCTAGTATCCAAAAGAAGAGAACATTCTTCCTTAGGAAACCATTTGGCAGAGTGACACATTTACGCTCACCACAAAACGCACTATCGAATGTAAATCACTGGCATCTGGCATCAGTATTGTAAATGATCATGTTGAGTGACATATGGGGAAGGGGAAAAAAAACACTTGGCAAGCTGGAGAAGATTCAGTCAGAGCTCTTATTTTGTCAGTTTCTTGCATCATCAATAAAAGGGATTCAGTGAGAGAGTTTGGCCTAAAAATACAATCATTCTGCCACGTTTAAAGACACGCACATAAACACAGCATTATACATTATTTTCTTCCCTCTTTTTGAATAAACCCCCCCCACCACCACCACTGCAGTCTTATTACACACACTCACAGGCAGAGAGAGAGAGAGACACCCACACACACAGTTAAAAGACAGAAAGCCCTACGTCTCATTTCCTCTGACTCCCACTGAGAGAGGTCTAATAAACATAATTTAAATTGGGCATTAGGATTAAATTGGAGGTGGAGGGAGCAGCGTGGTGCTCTCTCTGTGTGTGTATGTGTGTGTGTGCCTGTATTGCAGAGGAAGAAATGCAGCAGGCTTACTTGGAGAATGAGGGGGGAAAAAACAGAAGTAAACAGGGAGTGTCAGTTAGAGTCTGGAAAAAAAAAAGAAAAAGGAAGCAGGCAGAGAGGAGAAGAACACACTGACAAAGAAATTGAGGAGCCAAACTTTGAAGAAGTTTCCAAGTTCACAGAGTAGCTCCTGAATCGTGCTTTTGTTCCAGGTCCAGCTATTCATTTTCTTCCAAACCGCAGCTTCAAGAACACCCACACTTGTCTACCTTTCCACCTCAATCCCTCACTTTATCGCTCTCTATACTTATCTGTAGACTCGATACCTCAGAAGGCAAGAGAGGGTGAGTTTGTGCCTGCACTCTGCCCGCACTAACTGGAAAAACTGCAGCTGGACTTTCAATACATGAACAAAACAGAACTTCTCCAAGTGAGGCTCATGCTGCATGGGGAAGATTGGGTGCACAGTGTTTGTAGTTTGATGGTTAACGAAGTGGACCAGTGTCTGGAAGATTGCTCATTCAATCCCCTAGGCAGAAAAATCCAAGAATGTGATGAGTACTGAGGCGTCCTGCTGGTTTTTAAAGTATGCCGTCTTCACAAACTATGAACCTGAACCAACCAGGTCATACTGCATCGTTTGAGTTTGCTTTTATATGACAGACTAGTTTATTGCTTCTTTGGTTATTTTTCATTCAGCGGGATCAAGTGCTACAGGTTTAATTCAACAAGATTATAAAACAATAAAAACGTCAAAATAAGGCATACGTGTTCGAGAGGGGTTCAGAAGTTCACACAAATTCACAAGGTGTGAAATCTAAAGTACAGCGATTGGGGAGAGAACTCACCTCCTCCTCCTGAGAGTATTACTGCATCTGAACAGCTTGGTAACACTTTATTTGACACCTCTCTCTATAACGTATTATAAATATATTTATAATGTGTTAAAATCACGTTATAGCACTGTATAAGTATAGTTATAAACACTCATAAATGATCATAATGCTTTAAAGCAAAAATCATAACACATTATAAAACATTTTATCATGACTTACAAGGTCAGGTATTTTAATGTGTTATCACTGTTAGCAACAGTTGCACTGCATTATCCATGTGGGCATTGTCAGTGAGTTCTTTACAGTTATAACACATTGTAATACCTGACCTTGTAAGTCATGATAAAATGCTTTAAAATGTGTTATAAATGATCATAATGCTTCATAGTGATAATCATGAGTGTTTATAACTACAGTTATACAGTGCTGTAACGTGATTATGATGAATTATATATATATTTATAATGCGTTATAGAGATAGGCTTCAAGTAAAGTGTTACCATGAATTGAATTAGCATGTAAATTGCCATTTAATGGGCGTAAACCTAGAGGTATCATCCTATGGTGAAAGCCCAGAAAGGGGAGTAGGAAAGCTGTTTTTTACATGAAGAATGAAACAGGATGTTGCTGAAACCATGTTAGGTACTGTACTTACCCCAAGCATGAGCAACAGACCTTGCTATAATGCACCACAAGTGTCTATTGGATCCTTTTCAATTCCCTTATACCTCTTTATACTTAGATTATTGTCAATCTACTCTCTATTTATGATGAATTGATACTATTATATAAACAGACAAATGTTAAAAAATAAAAATAAAAAAAACGTATCCAGATCCAGCAGAGAAAGATCCAAGGAGCTTGAGTCTATTTATAACAGCAACACTTATTTTAATGAGCAGGTTCCTGCTTCCAGATGTTTTGAAGTTTCTAGCCTTTTTCTTTTTTTCTCTCTCCGTTTTCTCCCATTCTTAATTTAAGAGTGAAAAGTGTTATCCATGTAAAAATACAGAGGAATAAAAACAGCATATGCACCACTATGAATGGTTTAACATCTGTAAGAAGAGTTTTTTTTTTCATTTGATAAACTGTATTACTGAATATGGTGCAGAAACAGTCACTGCTTTAAATAATGTCTGAAAACTCATTTTTATAGACTTGCTTTTATGTGATTTTGTCTTCTTTAAAACCTTTTACTCTTCTTATTCATGTTTTATAATAGTTCCCTTTGGTCTCAGGTTTTTGGGGTTGGGTTCCTGTGTCGGCCGGGTATCACAAGTTCTTATGTCTTTTTTTTAATGTCTTGGTTTTAATGACGTCTCAACTCATGTGACACTCATCAAAGCTTTTATGTTTTTAACTGATTATTATTGTATTTTATTTATTTATTGCCAATAATGTCACATTAGGACATGTATTCAGAATTTTAGTCTTGTCAAGGCTCTTTCCCCCCCCCAAGTGTTCTCTTGTTGTTGATCTGTTGTTTTTATCTTCTTTGTTTTCCTGCATGTAAACTCTTTGATTTTAAGAGTGCTATATAAATAAAGTTATAATTATTATTACCTACTGCCTCCTCTTCATTTTTCTCCCAAAAACCAGCCTCTTGTTCATGTCACACACATATTACAAACACACATATCACACACCACACTCACCTGTGACCAGAGTGTGAGGAGGCTGGAATGCAGCACAGATAACACTACTGCGATGCTGAACACCGCCTTTCCACTCTGACGGTTCAACAAAAGACTGCGAGAAGGAATGCAGACGGAAGACTGTTAACATCCTGCAGAGACAGAGAGAAAACACAGACACAGAAAATGTGGTGAGGAAGGATGGGAGTGTAAAGGTTTGTTACATACAAACTCCAGGGACCATCTGCCTTAAATCATACAAATTCTGCCACATCCACAGTTATAAGAAGCAGTTGTGATTGTGTTGCAGTAGTGGTAATGACAATAGGAGTCACAGTTAGTGTGATGTCCAAACTAACAATTGCATTGTAAGCACACACCTGAATTGTTGCAGCCATAAAAATAACTGCTGTAGAAAAAACAGTTGAAATAATCAAAGTTGTTAGGTTAGCACTTGCACATTGTTGAAGTAGTGGTAGTAGAAGCATCACGATTATTGTTATAGGAGTGGTTTTACCAGAATTGAAAAGATTATAGTAACATTGTGGTGGCATTATGGCATCAGGAATTGAATCAGCGATCGTTTCGAGTTTCAAGCCAACAGAATATGACTCGAATTAAGGTTTGTAACGGCATGTGTTGAGCTTTAAAAAGTAACTCTAGCTTAAAGCTGATGGCTAAATAAGATTATTTTCGTACATGCGTCATTATTATATTATTTATTGATTGATAGTTGGAAGTTGCAGCCCCTAAGGTGGGGTAGGCAGGACCTGAGGAAAAAATAAGAGCACCAAAATAGCTCAATAAAAGATGATCCTGTCATTAAAACCAGAAGCGATGGATGCTAAAACACTTCAACAAAGTTAATGATATAAAATTTAGTTAAAAGCAAGACTAAAAAGGGTTTTTTTGAGTTTGCTTTTAAAATAATTAAGATAAGGTGCAGTCCTCAGAAGTTGTTGCAGTGCTATAAATATTAGTAGTAGTGGTATAATGAGTAAGGTTAAAAAAGTTGCTGCAGTTTAAATCTGGAAAAATGGTGTTAGTTATAAACATTGACACGACGACAGGCTGAATTTTTATACTGTGTTTAATGACATAGACCCTTATCTTTCACATGGAAGGGCCACAACAGACATCATGTATATTCGTCGTCTCCCAGGGGTTTTAATCCCACCTGCAGTGACTTCTATTTCCTTGCTTTCATTGTTGCACAGGTATTGTACATGAAATGGGTACATGACGCACTGTGGTTTCAAGCTGAGGAATAGTCTTTCAGTGGGATGTTGATATCGGTAACTGCGTGAGTCTTTATGAGCCGCAGTGGCGAAAGGACTTAGAGTTGGATCCCTTGTGAGAGCAAAATATAGATGAAGCTGTGGTCTAGGTGGATGTGAAGAAACGGCAAATAATGTGAGCAACGGAAGCAATAATGGCGGTATTTTCTTTTACCGCTCCTGATCTGTTGTCTATGTTCTCTTCACCACTGTGGCACCCCAGAGAGCAAGAAAAAGTGAAATAACCTGTGTGTGTGAGAAAGAGGGAGACAGACAGGCAGCGATAAAGAGAGAGAGAGAGAGAGAGAGACTCATATAAGTTGATGATGCACACTGCTGAGTTCAGCTCACTGGGTGTGAAATGATGATGATGAAGATGAAGAGCAGATGTGATGTGGAAATACAAAGGATCACGCACGCACGCACATACACACATGCACATATATGCCCACACACGCGCTCGTGATACTCGTTAGAGTCCAGATGTCTGGTTGGCCCTGAATTGTTGGCTGGCAGAAGGAGCATGAGAGGGCAGATAGAGCGCGCGCGCGCGCACACACACACACACACACACACACACACACACACTCTCACAATCAAACCCTCAAGCTCAGTTTTTCTCACATACTCACTCTGACTCTTAAACAGGTGCAGTTTTCATACACAATGTGCAAAATACACCAACTTTTAAGGATAGACCTGAGTTACAACGCCTGATGGTCGTGTAGGTCTTTAGTTTTAAAGGGATATTACAGTGTTAAATTTAAGTTTTTTAACAAGACTGGATTTTGGCCTCCATATCTTATAACAGCATTCCCAGATAGGTATAACGTAGCTCACTGAAAGGGATATTACAGCGTAAAACTAATTAAGGGTCAAACACACCGTAACACCAAGTTAGACAGCCCCTCGAGAGATGAATGTTGCCGACCGCTTGCTTCTCTGGTTATATCAACTTCAGTAACAACCACATGATAGCAATACACAGCGGTCTGAGCAGCCATAAACAAACCTCAAAAAAAACGCCACTCCTTAGTACAAATAATGCTCAGAACAGCACCTAACTTCATCAACAGTACATATAGGGTCCTAGCCATAGCACTAGCCACCAAACATCTTTTTAACTCTACCTAATTTCTTTAGCAAAGAGACTAAACACAACTCACCTACTCTCTTCCAGCAGTCGCTTGTCTGTAGCAAGACGGGGGTGACGCAACTCAAGGAAGAACATTTATGATCTTTACTTTATCATTTCCTTGAAGTAATAATCACCACATTAATCATTTTGCACTGATTGGTCTGATTGCATTTCCATGAAGAAATGATCATAAATGTTCTTCCTTCAGCTGTGTCACCTTGCTGCAGTGGACTGGTCGAGGTCTCACTACAGACAAGTGGCTGCTAGAGGAGAGTAGGCGAGTTGTGTTTAGTCTCTTTGCTAAAGAAACCAGGCAAAGTTAAAAAGATGTTTGGTGGCTAGTGTTATGGCTGGGACCCTATATGTACTGTTGATGAAGTTATGTGCTGTTCTGAGCATTATTTGTGGCTATAGAGTGGCGTTTTGGTTGAGGTTTGTTTATGGCTCCTCAAACTGCTGTGTATTGCTATCGTGCAGTCGTTAGTATAACTAGAGAAGCAAGCAGTCGGCAACATTCATCTCAAGGGGGTGTCTAACTCAGTGTTGGTGTTTGTTTGACCCTAACTTAGTTTTATGCCGGAATATCCCTTTAAGGAACAATCATTTGGCTTTTTTTCTTAATCAAATTTGAAAAAGCAACAACAGGTGTTGTAAGCAGCAAAAAATAAAACTATCTCGTTTAAGATAACATGAAATCTTCTGTACCTTTCCCAGCCCATCACCAATATACTTCTTTGAAGCAGCAGAATCTGAGAGATCCTAACAGCCCGTCCCAGGCCCGCATTCATTCTGTGGAGGCATCGACCTTTAAAGTCCCACACCTGCACAAGGACACAAAAATGACAATTTAAGCACCATTACAGCACCAAATGTGCTTTATTCAATAAGAAGCAGTAAACACATCATTTTTAGATTGTTCAGGAATTTAGGAGACCATAATCCTGCGAGACAAAACCAAATAAGAGGATCCCCTTTGCTCAGCTGCTGCATTAATTTCTCTCATCCTGACAGTTATTCGAACAGATTTTTTTATTTTTTGCCTTTTAATGAAATTATGGTGCTTAACGAACCAAAAGAAAAATAATGTCAAGATGAAAACAAAAATATTTTTGGTCAACCGCTTGAGGCTACAAACTAGCTTTCTATTATACTTTGTTAAATCTCAAACATGACAGCTCAGGTTGTAATGCTCCCTCTCTGTCCCATTTAGAATAATGACGCACTTTGGATCTGTGTGTTCTGGCATTTAACAAAGAAACCCTGATTGGCCCAATGGGAATGCTGTAATTAAAAGGTCAGAATTTCACATTCTGAATGGCCCTAACTGCTGCACCACGGGTTCAGTGTTGATGAAAATTGGAGAGATGATGCATCTTGTTACTAATTGGCCCGAGGGGTGTCTTCTCCTTCTGCTGAGTATGACATGTGTTGTTGTTTCAAATGGCACTGCGAGTGCTTACCTGGCACTGCTTACACATTCGCAGGATGCACATGGATGCACACTCTGGCAGGGGCTCATGGGGTCAGAGAGCTGATGTGGTTGATTATATTGATTATAATACGCATACTTTTTAATCCAGTTGGGTGCGAGTCATTATATACCCCAAGGGAAAGACATTTAAAAATACCTACTGGAGCTGTGCAGAGAAATGTGCACAGACCTTTTACACAATGTACACACACATTGATGAAGAAGCATAGAGATAAACAAAACACTAAAACAGGTTTTTACAGAGAATTTAAATGTTAAATTTATTCTAAATATAGCATACACTTACACTGACATTGGTGTCGGAGTTGAATTGTCCCATAATTAGCTAAGTAATGTGAGAAAAACGACCCCATTACAGAAGTTAATAGTCCAGCCAGCCTCTGTATTGGTTTATCAGCCAGTTTCTGAAAACAGGGTCTGAGCTGACTGCCACCCCCTGAGGGTAAAATACACTTTACTTTTAACAAGATTAGCAAACAATTTAATTATCCCTATCAGAAAAGCAGTCGTCAAAAAATTACATTGTTTATTTGTTTCCTGTCAGGTAGTTCCTGCTACATGTTTTTTTCTCTTTTTGCCACTGAAAAGTTGATAGGTGGATTCACTGGAATGAAGGGCTGCCAAGTTACAGAAAATGACAAGAGTTAGACTTTAGCGTTATGATGTGTTTGAAATTTTTTTTTTTAACCTTTTTTAACGTCAGTTTATACCTTAAGACTGATGTCCTCACCCCCATGCCAGCTGCTTTCCCTGCACTGTGGCCTCCTAATGCTAGTGTCAAATAACCAGAAATTAGAAAGTGGGTTTTAAATGTCGGCGCTGTTGTGCGCCTTACGTTGCTTCTGATTGGTTTATATTGCATGGTGAAGATTAGATTTAGGCACAAAGGACTGATGGATTGGTTATCTCAGTCAGTTAATCAAAGTTAGCAAAGCTACGACAGGCCAAGTTTCTTATCATGAAAAATATAATTACAGAGTGTTGAACGGGAAAATATTAGCGTGAGAAATGTCAAGTGTGGAGTGTGGTGTGAGACTGAGGCCACTTTTAGACGGAAACGGTCGCCATAGAAAACGGAAAAATTTAGTTTCGTTTAGGGGGGTCTGTTTAGACGGCAACTGCGTTTTCAGGAGATGAAAACGTAACAAAGTGAAAACCCCCTCCAGAGTGGAAATGTTGTAAACGCTCTGCTAGTCCCGCTTTCATCTAAAGTACAAAAACACTGAAAACGGTAAACCTGTGATGCAATGGCTCACGTTTATGACATCATAGCCATGCACAGCTTCCTTGAAAATAACAACAGCCAAGCTAGACATTCGAGTCGCGCTGTCGTTATTATTGAATGGGCAAGAGCTCAATTTTGACCTGTACAGATTCCTCACGGATCATACTGCTCAGCAGAGGAGGCGTCTGAATTATTTACACTAAATAATTAATGTAGAATGGAAGTTGCTCTACGTATATCTATATGGGAGCGTGGTCACACCGACACGCGCCACCTAGCGACCTGGCATGCACATTACAGCGTTTTCAACCACATTGCGTTTTTGTGTAAACACAGCATAAAAACTGAAAACGAAACGGCCCTTTTCCGCTTTCTATGGAGACCGTTTCCATCTAAAAGTGGCCTGAGTCAAATTGCGTGACTGTCACATTCGGGGCGTGATGCTTGGCAGCTCTGGGAATGTATTTAAGAGATGTCAATGTAGCCCATGCCCAAAGTGCCATAGCTAAAGCCATAAATGACATTTAAATGATGCATACCTCAAAAATATTTCAGATTGTGTTTTCACAAGTTTCCATTGACACCGAAAAAAGCTATGAAGATAAAAATCATTTCCTTTTTTGTATCTCAAACCACAAAAAATAGTCTAAACTATCCCTCTGCTTACTGTGATCACTGCTCTTCAACAAATTATTTTCCCATTCAGTGAGTGAACAAGTCAAAGTTTTTGCTACAGTGAAATATTTGCCATAGCCTTGGACCTTATGACAGTCCATTCCAGCAAGATGACTGATGAAAATCGAAAATAAATAAATAAATGAATGAAAATACAGGGAGAAGAAATGTAAAAAAAAGCCTATTCACATGAAACGTCCCAATTTTTGTTCAAGTGTTACCCATACCAAGTGATCTAGGGTAGCTGTGGTTTTGATTTTTGATTTGATAATTTTATTTAAGTGTCATACACCAAAATTGGTGCCCAGCCCCATGGGCTTATTAGACACTGTTCAACAAACTCAAAACACAATGTATCCAAGACAGCCACGCAACATAATATACAACAACAATAACATCAAAAATCCATTAAGAATTATAACACAAACAGTGAGGATAATGAAAGAGAAACAAAAAAAAGTTCATCCTACAGGGTACAAAATACTTTGCCGCATATGCCAAGCCTTTTTAACAAATTTTGCCAAAACAAAAACATCTTTTTCAAACAACCAACCCAAAATCTCACCTTCACTCTTCCAAAATAAATCAGGATTTTTAAACTGAATTGATTCAAAAATGACAGTCCTTAAGTCAACATATAGGGGACAATTGAAAAGAAAATGAAATTCATCCTCAACCACCTGTAAATCACAGAATTCACACAAACGTGCTTCTTCCGGTAAGCCTTTAAATCGTCCCACTTCTACTGCCAGAGGTAAGGTACCTGTTCTCAACTGAGCACAGAGAGATCTCTGTCTTCTCTTTAAATTAAGGAAAATATAAGGTTCTGTAAAATAATTCTTCTTGAACTGAACATAATTTCTGAGCTTTGGTTTCTTCCATATATCCTGTTTCCATTGGTCTTCGTGCTTCTCAAACATATTTTGTTTAACAGAATTTATATTACATTGCAGATTATTTCTAAACATTACGTGCATGTCAGAGGCAAACAGGATCATTGAAATCTCACTAGACCAGGGGTGATGATTTGCTCTGTCCCAGTTAAAAATTTTTCTAGTTAGCCTTTCCTCTGGCAGACTGACCAGACGATTCCACAGTCGCACCATTTCACAATGTTGATTTACAATACAAGGGTCCCATCCTACATCCCCTTCAATTGCTGCCTTTGCTGCATATTTATGGACACCAAGAAAACATCTCAAAGCACGATTCTGAACAGAATTACAATCAGCGACCTCCTCAAAACCCCAAATCCCTGCAGCATATAACAAAACCGGGTCAACCAAAGATTTATAAAGCTGTGTAAATGTAGAAAAACCAAGGTCCGTACAAGATTTCATTTTACTTAACACTGAGCCTAACGCTCTTCCTGCGGACTCTGCCAGTATTTTCCTTCCCTCCGAAAACTTCATATTTTCATCAAAAACAAAACCAAGATATTTATAATGGCAAGTATACTCTAAAGATGCCGAGCCAAACTGAAATTTAAAATTACTCTGCAATAAACTTTTCTTCCTAAAATGAACTACTTGTGTTTTTTCACTATTAATAGCAAGGCGCCATTTATTGCACCAAGAACTCATAATATTAAGCATAATTTGCAGATTATTTTCATTTTCTGCAATCAAAACAATGTCATCTGCATAGAGCAGAATACTTAAATTAATATCCTCTATAGGAACACCAGCATTAACCCGCTTAATGTCTTGAACTAGGTCATTTATATAAAGAGCGAATAGAGACGGGGAGAGTAAGTCTCCCTGCTTCACCCCAAAAGGTGTTGGGAACCAGTCTGTTCTTAGATTATTTATTTGTACACAAGCAATAGGGTCTCTATAGAGAGCTTTTATAGCATGATAAAATTTTCCATTAATTCCTGAAGAAAGTAGTTTAAACAATAGGAGATCTCGGTTAACACAATCAAATGCCTTTTTGAAATCAACAAAGCAGGCAAAAGTACTTTTACCCTCCTTCAAACGAGCTCTCACCACAGAAGATAATACATAAATATGATCAATGCAGGCTCTATTTTTCCTGAAGCCATTCTGTTCATCTACCAACCCTCCATGAGACTCCAGAAAAACATTCAGTCTGTTATTAAGAACTCCTGAGTATATTTTGTAGACTGTACTAATCAAACTAATGCCTCTATAATTTAAAGGGACTCTAGGGTCATCTTTCTTAGATTTTGGGATGGGTTTGATAATTGATCTATTCCATATTGATGTGATAATACCATTGTGAAAACATATGTAACACAGGCAATGTAGTACATTAGATAAGTTAGGACTTTTAAGGACCTCGTTAGGGAGCTCTTCAATGCCAATGGCTTTATTTTCTTTAGCTTTATTAAGCGATTTAAGTACCTCATCTACTGTGATTTCACTGTTCAGCATATCATTTTGATGATAAATAGTATTCATCCCACTTTCCAACTCAAACTTTATTTTACAGATTTCCCCTAAAAAATCATCATCAAATGAAGAGGAGCTACTATGATTGAACAAGTTACTGAAGTCTTTTTCCCATTTTTTCAATATTTGCTCCGACTCGAAAGAAGATTCACTATTTTCCAATAAAACCTCCCAGGGTATTAATGATTTCTTTTTTGGACCTAACTTATCATTTCTCTCCAAAATTGCTGTGGGTTACCGGTTTGTAGCTGTTCGAACTTAAGAGCTTGACCTCTTCTAAACTTCCTCTTAACAAACCTGAGTTTTCTGTCAAAATTAACTTGGCATTGCTTGAATTCACTATGCAGGACCCTCCTCTTCCCGGGATCCCTGTTACTACATTTAAGGAATGTTCTCTCTGCAGAACGTAACTTTAACCACTCCTCGTTTAATTCGTTATTCCAATATGGTTGTTTAGCTCTGTAATATTTCTTTGTAGAACCCATTTTTTGTACAGGACAGTATTTCTCCATTTCAGCATGTAAAAAGTTACAGAGATTGGTGTAACACTGATCCACCCTTTCTTGATTTTCCTGTGCTATCTGTAGTTGGTCTACTACCTCTAGTATAGCCCTGCGACATATTTCCGAGGAGAGGAAATTATCAGGATAATTATTGCTTCTCCTTTTTACATACTGTAAACGATCTGCATTATTCTGGTAATTAAATACCTCTCCCACTTGAAAACGAAGACAAAGAACCGAGTGATCCGGGAGTCTACTATGGTCACCAATCAAATTTAAACTTTCTGGACCGACTTTATCAATGAGATCAGAGGGGGTGTAAACATTAAATTCAATACATGTTTTCATATCAGCATGAGGCGTCACTATATAATCTACAACAGCTTTGCCCCTTACAGAAATTGACGTGAAGTTGTTATTTTCAGGATTTAACCTGCCGTTAAGTATACAACAATTAGAGTCCTTTAAGAATTCAATAAAGCTATGACCATGTTTATTTACACCTGTGTCCAGACTCATACGAGGCAAAATATCATTTCCTTCTGCATAGTCCTTAAGCTCCCCAATCCGACAATTCAAATCACCACAGATATAGATTAAATCCACCTTATCTGTAATAGTATATAGCACCGCCAGTAAATGGCTGAAATAAAGATCAGCATTACGGCCCCAATTAGATGATTCTGGAGACAGGTAACATGAAATCAAAACAAAAGAATACTGTGACTCCCGGTGCTCAAATCGTAAACAAAAAATCCCATCAAATGTTTTATCAACAGTACTAACTGAATATCGATCCAAGACTGCATTTTTAACCAGGAACCCAACTCCACCGGAGGATTTAACAGCTCTTTTGTGAGCAATACGATTATGTCCAAACCAGGTAAATTCATCGACGTCTAGTGAATGTGAATCACTGCTTAAATGAGTTTCGTTTAAAGAAATGAAATCGGGGCGTAAGGATTTCAGTAGTAGTATTCTAAGTTCAGAGTTTGATAGCGTCCATCCATTAACATTCCAGTGGGCTAACAAAAACTGTTCAGTCACACACCTGTCGGGCTGGGCGAGCCACTCTCAGTCACCGCCAAGGCCAGCTTCTCTAGCCACACTCCGGGATGACTGCGTCCGCTTCAACAAACGTCCATTCCCCGTTAGATAGAAGTCCTTCCCGACTGCGGTTTCACGGATCAAAGATCTAAAGTTGAGTTCCAACAGTCGTTCAGCATGGGATTTCGCAGATGACATATAGACTTTATTGAAACGCTCGTTGTCTTTCAGCTTTGATTTTCGGCGCAACACGGCAATTTTTACCTGCACCGAGCTCAACTCCACCTTTACAAGGCCCGGTCGGTTTCCTCGTGCACTCATCCGCTCCACAGCAACGGGGCAGACCACAATATCACATCCAAGGCCGTCATGCAATAAATCCCTCACTTTTGACATTAAATCCTCTCCTTCAGACTCGGGGAGCCCCACCACAATCACGGAGGTCTCTGGATCAAAACTCTTCTTCCTAGCCTCTGTGTCGAATATTTTCTTCTCCATTCTTTCCATTCTTGCACACAGAATTCCCACCTCAGTGTCCAGATTTGCCCGCATGTCTTTTGTGGCTTTTTCAATCTCTTTCAGCACAGCGTCCTTATTCTCAGCCATCAGTTTCTCCATCGAACCACACAATTTATCCACTCTGGAGTTAACTTGCTTTTCCATGCTATCAATTCTAGAATTGACCTGATTTTCCAAGTCGATCTGCATGCGGTCCAGTCTCGCGTTCAGCGCCTTCAGCTCTTTCATTACCGCAGCACCGCCGCTACAGCATTCGCTCTCATTCTTGTTGCTTCGGCTTCGCAGTTGCTTCTCTTGATCCGCCATAGTTTTGCCCAAAATAAGTCACTTCACGCCACAAAGCAAAGGTGTAAGCTTCACAGAGCTAATGAAACAACTTTGGGTCCGTTTCGATCAATAAATCACTGGTTTTGTGCAAGTTTGTTAACAAACTTTTGAAGACGTTCACACGCCAATGCACTCACGCGGCCATCTTGTGGTAGTCTTGTGGTATACATCAATGCTTAATGTTATCATTTACCCCTGCATCAAATATAAATCTAGCCCCACTGTGTTTGAAGGCAGGAATCTAATAGACCGGCCTATCTCTAGAGAAGACTCAACTGTACTACTTTACTATCCTCTTGGCATTTTTACATTATCCCGTTTTATTTAGTGCATTTCAGAGTTTATGTCTCGACGGGGATAAGTCTAACCGGTCATGGTTTACAGCTGAACAAGTGTGTGAGTGTGTGTGCACCTACTTTGACTTCCCCATCAGTACCCGCAGTAAACAGTCGGGTCTGTGTGCCATCCTGGGCCATGGTTGAGATCTCAGAGTTGCCATGGCAACGGTGGAACTGTTTCACCTTTCGGCCCGTGTCAGCCAGCCAGCATATCACAGAGGAGGCAGAGTCACTGCTGACTACCTGCGGAGAGGAGAAGTCAATCATCAAAAGGATGCTGATCATTTTTAAGCTGCATGAAAAGCGGCTCCGGCTGATGTTTTCTTTAATAACGGCACATAACCAAACCATTCTCCATGCTTGGTTACACTTTATTTTACTGACAAGCTGCCACTGAAGGGAGTATTCAACTAATGCTGGTGTCAAGTGGAAATGAAAGAAAGAGCCAAAAAATACTGAGTGTGTGTTCACCTTTTAAAGTGAGAGGTGTTCATGTTTGATTAAGTGACTATTTACTAGTTATTTGTGAATAGAACTCTGAATTTGAGGATACATATCTAGTTAAAACAGGCTATACAAACCCAAAGTGTTTTAACAAGACTGGACTTTGGCCTCCATATCTTATAGCAGCATTCCCAGATAGATAAAACCTAGCTCACTGAAAGGGATATACCGGCGTAAAACTAATTAAGGATCAAACACACCATAAATCCGAGATAGACACCCCCTCCAGAGATGAATGTTGCCGACCGCTTGCTTAAACCAACTTCAGTAACAACCGCACGATAGCAATACACAGCGGTCTGAGTAGCCATAAAGAAACCTCAACCAAAACGCCACTCTGTAGCCACAAATAATGCTCAGAACAGCACCTAACTTCATCAGCAGTATATATAGGGTCCCAGCCATAACACTAGCCACCAAACATCTTTTTAGCTTTGCCTAATTTCTTTAGCTAAGAGACTAAACACAACTCACTGTCTCTCTTCCGGCAGTCGTTTGTTTGTACGTAAACCTCCGGGCGAGTCCCTCGACTGCAGCGGGGTGACGCAGCTCAAGGAAGAACATTTATGAACATTACTTTATCATTTCCTTGAAGTTATAATCATCATATTAATCACTTTGCACTGCAGACGCGGTAGTTCTTCTGCCTTAGCGTGTCAGTGTGATTGCATTTACCCGGAGGAATGATCATAAATATTCTTCCTTCAGCTGCGTCACCCCGCTGCAGTCGGAGATGGACTCGTCCGAGGTCTCCCTACAAACAAGCAGCTGCTGGAAGAGAGCTGGTGAGTTGTGTTTAGTCTCTTTGCTAAAGAAATCAGGCAAAGTTAAAAAGATGTTTGGTGGCTAGTTCTGTGGCTAGGACCCTATATGTACTGTTGATGAAGTTAGGTGCTGTTCTGAGCATTATTTGTGGCTATAGAGTGGCGTTTTGGTTAAGCGAGTGGCTCACCGTATTGCTATCGTGTGGTTGTTTCTAAAGTTGGTATAACTAGAGAAGCAAGCGGTCGGTAACATTCATCTCTCGAACGGGGTGTCTAACTCGGTGTGAATCTCTTCATTGACATGACAACTAAGCAAACTTCAGTCAAGAAATTACTTAAAACATTCATATAAATTGTATGAACTGTTTATTTTTAATGATACTCTTACCACCAGAAGCCTATGTTGCATATTGAAATCAAAGTGAGCCTTTCGCCCTACATACCTGTCTGAACAGACTATTATAGAGCACACAGGTAACAGGGTGTTCATGGCTGCTGGTCTTCCTGTCCTCCTTCACTGTCTCCAGCAGGAGAAGCTGACTGTTAAAGGATAGCAGAAGGAGTTGTCTCTCTTCATGGAGAAACAGCGTGGTGCGCGTGTCCTCCTGAGTCTTTGGAAAAACACCGACCAGACGGTGAACACACAGCTGACTCGAAACATCCCATAGACACAGGACCTGGAGAAGGTGAGAGCAGATGTAAACAGGGGTGGGAGCAACACAAAGATAATAAATACCACAATACTTAATGACTGTGATGGAGCTATGGGTGCAAACCTGATGACTGTTGAGTTTGCAGGGGGAATTAGGGTAAAGCTTTCAGAGCTGCAATGGCAGATGGTGTTTGAGCAGAAGGCAGATAGAACATAAATCACATCTTAAAATATTCATCATCTTCAGAAAAGCAAAAGAGAGGGCAAACATGCAAAGAGCTGCAAAAGGGTGAGGAGGAGGAGCAGCAGGAGAAACAACATCAAGAGGGACATGCAAGGGATTGCAGATGGTCATAAATGGGGAAAAACTACAATGGTCTTTTTGTCACTGATCTTTACACACGGTCTCTTACACTCCTACCTTATCCTTGGAGTAGCTGAGCAGTTGTTGCTTTGTCTGCATAAAGCAGACTGCAGTGACAGAACTTGCGTGCCCACTGAGTGCACAAACTGGCTCAGAGGCCACAAAAGGGTTCCACAGCAAGACCATATGATCCACTCCTGCAGTGGCTACAATCATTCAAGTCCTGTGTTAGTAGAGATGCCAACCAATAGTAGTAACAAGAAACTGTTTCACCTTACAACCAATTCTGTTTTAATAAAGGGAAGTTGATCGTTTTGAAGATTTTTGTCATGAATAGAAAAAGATATTTTGCTGTTTGATTCAGTTGAAATTATGCTCTGAAAATCCATTCACACTTTAAAAAAAGAAAAAAACTGAATGAGGGTGAGAACAAACACTCTCATATCCCCAGTCAGTGTGATAAATCTGGGAAAATATTAAATCTCACCTATAAGATTGAGTCCTCTGTGGTGGTCCATGTCCCACACACCCCTCTTTGTAGAGAAAGAAGTAACTCGGAGACTGCTGCTTTCCTTTTCCCTCCAGCCAATCACCATGCTAGTCTGTGGTCTTGTGCTGCATGACACAAAAGCTTCCAGGGAGCCCAGGTAACAAACTGCAAGGAAAACCAAAGTAAAAACAAGTTAAGGGTAAGAGATACTGCAGTTAGTTTCATTGCAAAAGTGTAGACAGGAGTGTGTGACAGTGGAAAGGAGCCAGTCTGCTTGTGATAAAGTTGATGAAATTCTTGATGAGAATTTGCAGAATAAGAAATGAGAAACTTTATCTTTTTTAATTGAAATGGTCTAACAAATATTTTCTAGAGGCTGCTAAATTTGATTTTTTTGTGATTTTGAGTTTGTATATTTTGACCATTTTAGGCTACCATAGCTCAGTGGGAAGTATGTGAAGTAACAGAGAAGCAGCAGTTTTGGATCATAGACTGTATATAGGATCGACGCTGTCCTCCTCCTAGCTGGGTGAAGCCACTGCGAGAACAGCACCCTCTGGTGACAGGCTGCAGTATAGGTCATTAATCCCGCCTCCTCCAGCAATCCCTATGGAAAATTATATTCTGTGTAATAAATTTCTAAACTTTGTCCACAGCTCCATAAAGATTGTTGGAGGAAGCGGGATTTATCTCAACTCAACTCAACTCAACTTTATTTGTAGAGCACTTTAAAACAACCACAGCTGTACAAAGTGCTGTACATAACAGGACAAAAACAACAAGATAAAAAACAATCAAGAAACAATTAAAACAATGGATAAAATAAAACACAGTGTGATTTATGACCTATACTGCAGCCCGTCACCAGAGGGTGCTGTTCTCGTGGTGGCTTCACACAGCAAGAAGGCAGACTGCGTCCATTCTGTATACAGTCTATGGCAGAGATGAATGGGCTTGAATCATTTTATTGCTTTTACATACAGACTCATCCTAGTGTCGATTAATGGAAACCCCCCCTATGGTGTGGTGCAGGGAAAGTAACACAAAAAGGAGAATAAACAGTGTGAATGAAGTACATCAAATTCAACAAATTCAAACCAAGAAAATGTTGCAACACATTTTCATGATGAAACACTTATAATTTTATTTCTTTAGATAAAATATATCTCCCTAGTGAAGCCAAATCTATCATTACCAGAACTCTGAAGGACATCCACTCTCAGTTTGTAATGTGCACTGACCGAAATCCTTCTTTAAAGTAATCCAAAGAACCCACAGGCGCTCAACACAGCATAGAATAAAAGCTGGTTTGATTTGCTCATTGGTATTACAGAAAATGTAATAGATGTTGCATCAGTATCTATCTCAATTATCACATTGATTGGTAACAGCCAAATTGAATGTCAAAAGTCTCTATTAGGGGCTGCTTAGCTTTCACACACTGCACAAATAAGAGCGGGATGTGAGATGGCATGTGACAGTCATAGGTCAAAGATCGGCCGCAAAGCAGGGGCAAATAATTACGCCTGATTGCGTTTTACACACCGCATCTTTGCTCAGTCTTGTGAATTAAAAGATCGGTGGATTTTTTTAGACAGCATTGCATGACTCATCATTGGTTAATGAGGCCTGCTCCCTTTCACTGACACATACAAATCACAAATCAAACTATTTGTGATGCACACTCAGACACACAACATCTGCTTTAGGCTTACAGTTGTGTGTTCAGAATACAAAGACTGTAAATCTAACATCAAAGCTAATATCTTTTGTTTCGCAAACATTTTCGTAGACTTTACCTCCACCCTGACGTTTATCCTTAATGTCTGTTTGCATTTCTTTCATCAAAACATTACGTGGATGTGTTTATGCGTTTCTTTCTAGCTGGCACACTTCCTCTCTCTCCCTGTCTGTGACTAACAAGTGTGTGTCCATCCCAATTTCCTCCTAATTTCCTCTCAATCTCCCTCCCCATTGCAACCCATCTCCTGTCTCTCTCTTTCCTAACCCTCCCCTCCCTCCCTCTCCTGTGGTCTGTGAGCCTTTAGGTTTAGGAGGTCTGGATAACCAGCCATGTCTAATGATACACAGCCCACTCATACTGCAGGGTGGGCAACTTCAAAAGAACAGCACCAGCACCCCAGAGGTATGCCAACACACGTATGCGGGGAGACACTCGCTGCTTTCCCTTCTCACACACAGACACAGTGCATCATGTTGTGTAGTTCAGTGTGCACGTGCAAATACAGCCTGTAAAATTCAATTAAACAGCTCTTTTTAATGTTTCAGTATTGTCTCCTCTGTTTCCTCTTCTTTTTTTTATTCCCTTTGTTTCCCCCATTCGCTGTGCTTATTTAGGAGTACTTTATTCTTGTTTTCCTCCTTTATCAGGATCTCCCCTCTCAGTCTCAGAGCACTGCCTCCACTGAATCATTATCAAACAGCTCAATGAGTCTTCAGAGAAGCTCTGTGCCAATGATGCAATCGAGATACAACTAAGCAACCTCTTTGTTACCCAGATTGAGCTCAAGTAGGGAGTCTCAGGAGGCCAAACCGTCAGCCTGTGACTTTATGCCAATAGTCCAAAGTCTGGCTGTGCAAGACTATAAAGTGGATGACTCAGGACTATATATATAGGTGTGTGTATGTGTCTGTGTGTGTGTGTGGGAGTGAGAGAGTGTACATGCATCAGCGACACAGACACACCCAAGCATTTCCATGGTGTTGCATAAGCCGTTATTAAAGTGAAAAAGAGAGCGAGCGAGCGAGCGAGCAGGCACAGACAGTGCCTCTCATCCTGGCTGTCAAGGTGAAAGTGTGCATCAGGTATCCCTGACACCTACAGAGTTCTTGGTTCTCTTTTTGTCATCCGTTGAGCTACCGGCTCTGTACCCTTGCTTTTGTTCTGTCCGGTATTTGGATCCCATCGGCCATTGTGAGATTTCCTTAATTTCAAACAACAGCCATCACATCTTGTTAAGCTTGTTTTGCTGACCTCTTCATTTATGCAGGATATGAAAAAGTCATTTTGAAGAAAGAGAAGAGACGAATTCACGAAAGAGAGGCTATAACTAAGGTCTCAGTCTGGGTGTGAAAAAGGCACAGAAAATACAGCTTTTGTTTGTTTTCTACCTTTCCTAACCCAGGCAGGCATGTGTGCTTGGTGTGTCAGAGTGTAACAGGTGTGATGTTTTCCTCTGACCAGCTCTTCCCACAGGATGATGTCAGCAGAATCAGAGTCTTTCCTCAGACCAAGAGTCTCGAACAGAGAGATCTGAGCTGAAGTAAAGTAGAGACCACTGACCTGGGACAAAACACACACACACATACACACACACACACACACACACACACACACACACACACACACACACACACACACACACACACACACACACACACATACACAAGGGAGAAAAGGACTGATGAACACACTGAAATTTTTCTGCCTACCTTCCACTTCTCTTCACTATTCTTTTGCTTTTCTCTACCCTTGTTTTTTACCTGCCCACCGATGTCACCTATGGTGAGGACAGCCTGGTCAGGCTGAGAGGGATCCATCCAGAAGTCTAGACACCAGGGAGTGAACTTCAAACCCTTGAGAGGATTAAAAAAATGAAGTCAACAGTGGTATATTTCATGTCTGTCAAAACTTTTACAGGTACTGTATATAAACTTTTAATTGACTAGATGGAGTTGTAGATCCTTTTAAGGGTGTTGCAGCTGCTCTTAATTTTATCCAAGCACCCTTGAAAGAGAACTAACAGAAAAGTGTCCAACTAGATCTTCTATCATGATATATTAAGGATATTTTTATTTTATACTAAAGCTATCATTCTAAATAATAAAGTGTGGTGAATACATAGTAGAAGAATTCATCTACTAATGCCTTATATAATGCCTGAGAAAAGGTACTCACTTAGTCCCCCCTCTCGCCAGTTGCTTCATACAAAAGTCACAATCAGACAGACAGGTGTATAAATAGTAAGGTTCTGTATCTGTGGTTTTGTCACAGATTTGGGCCACTTTATAAGTGTTTACAGGTTCTGTTATATAACATTTTTATCATTATCATTGTTCAAGAAATCACGTCAGGCACTGCACTGCCACGTTCTGTTTTTCTTTTGTAATTCCTGACCATGTCTTCACGCTTTCTTCCCTTTCTTCCCACTCTTATTTTCTGTAAAAACAAAGTCAAAATTTCATTATGACAGCTGCTGATAAGCAGACTCTCTGTATCAATTTTAATCCCTTTTAAACATGTGACAAGTAATCCCAAAATGACTGACACATGTTGCCTCAAACTACCATGTTTGCTAATTCTAGCTCTAGCTTAAAGTTATCTTAAAACAGAACAATGACTGAGGTATGACAGGATGCCTTAATCTCTCCTCTAACAAGTCCACATGTATCACTGCTAGGATTTTTATCTGGAAGAAGCTTATTTTAAAATATATAAAGTTAATTTAGTTTTTACTTTGAGTTGTGCAAAATGGTTAGTTGGCGCTCTTCTCTTCTCAGACAGGACACGACCCCTGACCATGTAAAGGAAGAAAACTAGTATTCCACTTTTTAGTCGCGCCCTCTGGTGGCAGAGATAATTGCAATGTGACAACTTACCCATGTGACAACAAGCCCTGGTCTCCCCTACTTGTGAGTCTATAAATTGTTCTTATTAAAGTTAATTTCAGTATTTCTCAACCGACTAAAAACTCATCATATGGTATTTTAGCAGACAATAATAATTACCTGGAGTTTATACTTGCAGCTGAAGTTCTGTTCAGACAGAATGTCATAAAAACACACCTCCTTACTTGTAAAAGACACAGCTATCTGAGAAGACGACAGAAAGAGAGACATTATTAGAAATAGAGACACACACTGTACGGACAGCAAACAGCCCTGACTGTTTAATTACATTTTTATCAACTCAGATTTTTTTTTTGAATGATTAATTTCTCAACTAATGGTTTTATTTGACTCGTAAGTTATCTCATCAGTAACAGTCGAATGTCTGTAATGCCGATGAGCAAATTAGAGATCAATGTTTAATTTAATAGACAAAAGGCCGTTCTTCACGATACTGAAGCTTCTTATCACATCTATCAGTTTTAGCATTATACAAGGTTCATGACAAGAGGACCAATCAATTTATCTGTCAGCACCATTCACCTTGTTTAGGTTGTGAAGTAAGACCACATCAGTGACCCAGAGATCCTTGGGTGTGACTGTGCAGTTTTGCAGTCGATATGTCTGCAAAAGGGACATGTCGTCTACGCCCCACTGCCCCACAGTTCCTCCTTTACTCACGGTCAGATACTGACCTGAACTTTGTGAGTGTAACACCTGCAGAGATCAGAGGACATTAAAAACTGACATTAAACCCAGACAAATGTAAGCCCTGTGCAAAGTAGCAAACTCGTTGGTCTGCAGAGTTCACACTTTGTTAAACTGACAGCTTTACAGCTTTTGGCGATGCAGTTTTAACATTTTAATGTGGAGTTAATTAGTAAAATGGAGGCTACAATTTAAAATATCTCAGAATAAAGTACTTCCTCTGCTTTCTTGCTGATCTTTAGTCATAAAATTACACTTGCTTAGCTAAATTAAGCTTGACCTCCACCTTAAATCTTCTTCTTGTCGAATCAAAATAAGTGTGTGGTAGATTCCTTTTTGCACAAGCCAATAAAACATAAAGAATTAATGGATGATGCCATTTTATTGGCTAAACTACAAAATGGGTGTGTATGTAAGTCCTGAAACTTAAACCAGTCAGCTGACTTGAGGCTTCTCTCTTGGTGGCTACCTTCAGCTCTGCCAAGGAGCGCAGCACTCTGTGTCCAAGTGAAAAACAGCCTATTGCACAGCTCCCCATGCAGCTCTCTGTGTGCCCAAATACCTGGCATGATAACTCCTTTGTATGAACAGGTACTGCTGAACAGAGGCAACTTCAAGCACATCTGCAGAGAATTAAGTTACTTCTTCAAAAATAACCATTAATAATAATACATTTTGTTTATAAGCACCTTTGTGGACACTCAAGGACACTTTACAGAATAAAAACAACAGGATAAAATCAATAGAGAAAAAAACAAAACAAAATAGGGGAAAAAAGTAGATATATGTATGTATAAATAAAACAAACAAGAACATGACGAGGTAAATTATAAGGAGTGTGCTAATCTGAACAGGTGGGTTTTGAGTCTGGATTTGAAGACTTAAATAATGATGACCATAAAGTAGACTGGACTGAAGCAACCTGATTTAAATAGATCCAACAGCAGGCTGGTGTAAGGATGAGCAGTAGGTACATTTACACGGGCACAAATAATCGGAATAAAAATGCGTCATGTAAACATGTCAATCGAAAGATTCTGATCCAATTCGGCTCAATCGGAAATAAACTGTATTCCGATCAAAAGTGGTGGTTTATGCCGATCGTTATTCTGTAAGACATCCATGTAAATACTTATAATGATCGTTATTCTCTTACCTGACTCGATCTTCACTCTTTAGTCTTTGGTTTATTTATCAAGGTCAGTACAGGAGGTTTCATTATTAACACTCTGGCATAAAACACAATTGTAGGTGCCGTGTCTGCTCCTCTGATAACATAACAAGGCGTACATACAGCGTAGTGATGTCACATCTTCATGCACAGTGCAACCTTTGACAGAACAGTAAAATAAGTAAGCAAGGGCGCCATCTAGTGACAACATTTAACACGGGGAAAACTCTTGAATTGGATGGAGTGAGCCACTACCATGTTTTTTGGTTTGTTGACAGCACAAGCGTAAATACAACTCTTCTTATGCGGTTGTTTTAGCAAAATTAGACAACTCTGCACATGTTCATATGCTTCAAATCTGAATAAAGCTTTGTGCATGTATACGCATGTCATGATTGGATTATTTGATTTTGAAACCCATATAAACAGTGGATTCAGAATATCCGATCCCTCACATTTTTAATCGGATCAAGAAACTTTGCCCATGTAAACGTGGTTACTGACACCCAGGGCTTCTTTGATGTCTGCTATGAGAAACAGAGGTGGCTATAATTATGTTTACCATATACCTGTTTTACAGTAAATGTCAGTCAGAATCTAATGTTAAATAGGTGAAATGTGTTTTCTATACATCGAAAGGGTCCCTCACATCAGACAAGGTTCATTTTGAACCGTATGAAGCGGGTTTTCTTCTCAGTCCTTCTCACGGTGAATGATCATTTTGATGAAAACCCGACTATATGGGAGTCCAGTGTAAACCATAGACAGATTTCTCTCAAAATCTTGCCACCTGTTGCAAGAGAAGTAGCCCTTGCAGGTTGTTGTCAGTGGTGAGTTTGATTTTCTTGAGCGTTCTCTTTTTCTCAACTAAACTGAATGAAAAACTGAAGTATCAGGACTTGAGATATGAAAATGTTGTGTTTATGCCCAGGCATGTGATTTTACTCATATTCTTATTTGTTCATCTGCTTCAACTGCTCCACACTTCACTGACAGCGTAAGTGTCAGAAATTAGTCTTCTTAACAATATTGCACTTTTTGCCTCCTCAGTACGGTTAAGATGATCCTTTATTGATCTCTGGAGGGGAAATTCAAATTTTCCATTAGCTAAATAGGTCAAGACTCTTTGGCCGTTTGGAAAACAACTTACACAACATTCTGACATTTTGACATTCTCAGGATTGAAAGACTGAAGTGGTGAGCCATCACTTTATCCACGGCGGCGGGCACTTTGCAGGGCCCGCTTCATTTACATTTTAATTGATAGATGTTAAACTTAAAGGAGTTCAGAGCCATTTATCTCGAAAAGAGGTGGGCCATTTTGATGAGCAAGACCCTAATACTTTCAGACTTTTCCTCACATAGTGTTTAATAATGTGAAATTCCAGCAAGTCAGCAGAGTCCTGGATTCTCCAGACAGTCAGTCAATGTCAAAATGATTTTCGGTTAATTTTCTACAATAGATCATGGGTTTTAAATAGGGAAGATGTTTGAACCTCGGTTACTGACTCTTCTTTTATTTACTGTCTAAGAGTGCAGTGACACTTTTACCTTCTGAATGGGATCTCGATGAGGACAAGTCAGTGTACGCGGTGGCATCCAGCAGGGCACACTGCTGGTTCTACTGTTCTTCATTTTATCAGAAAGCTCCAGGAGCAGGAAACTGCACAGTCCTGCCCAGTCGATGCATCCCTCTTCCTTCAATGTGTCAATATCCAGAAGGAGGCCACAATGCTCCTGAGTGATGACCACACTGTCAAACAGGAGGCCATATTCCTCCTTGGAGCCACAGCCGACTGATGACCAAGCCTGATTGATGAATTCAGCTCTGGACAGGGAGCGAGGTGCACCCGAGGGATCCTGTGCGGAGATCAATGGGAAAAACTGACTGCAGATTTCTCATCAGTCCTAGAGATACTATATTTACCTTTCCTGATAAACATGTATAACTCAGTTCCAAGTGTTTCTGATGAAAAGTAAATATGCAAATGCATCGCTATACTGTGGAAAAGTGAAAACCCACCGACTGCCTCAATGTGGCTTAAGGAAGTTGCATCTTACATGACTTCTGAAAAAATTAAATTCATTATGAAAAAGAAACCCCATCTTTCTGACAAATGCTGGAATGACTTTAAAATGTATCTGGATAACTTCTCACAGATAACTAGATAAATACTGTCAATGGTGTGGTGATGGTTGTTAATTGTGGCACATCTGCAGGAGTAGCTGTGCTTTTCCATTGTCAATGTCTTGAACTTTGCTGCATGATTTTGCTTTAATTTTTTAAAATGTTTTTAATTTTTAAACTAACTTGTTTATTTATTTATTTATTATTATTAAATTATTATTATTATTTCATTTTATTTATTTTCATTTATATTTTCTGGTATAAAATGATGATATTATTTATTTTATCATTTTATTTACATTTATACTTTATTTTATATTATTATTATTATGATTATTATAATTAATAATGATAACATTTTTGTATTATTATAATTATGTTTATAATCATTATTTCATTTTATCCTTTTATTTATTTGCATTATTGTTTTTATTGTTATCATTATGACAATAATAATAATTCTAATTATTATCATCATTACTATTTCATTTTATCATTTTATTTATTCACATTATCATTATTATCATTATTATCATTATTATTATTACTTTTAGTTTTAAGGATGTAGGTAAGAGTTGACCTATTGAGTTTGTTCAGGGAGGGGGCCGGGTTTCGATGAAATTTGTTGTTCTACTGTTGCTCATTAAGTTGTATACTGTTTATGAGAAAATGTTAATAAATAAATGGTTAAAAGAAGAAAAGTAAATGTGCTGAGATTTAAAACTTCAGCGAAACCAACACTCACATGGAAGAGGCCCTGTAGTTTTCTGTAGTCCTCAGAGCTCATTCTGCTCTCAAGCTGTGCCACCTCCATCCTCGTTCCCATGGTTACAGATCAGACCTGTCAATCAATCACAAAAATACCAGGCAAGGTCAAAGTGGTAAAGTATATTCCTGTGACTCTGGGCAGAAGCCAGTAATACATTTCCTGCATTCATAGGGTGTTACACAACAAAACAAGATGTTCCTGGCTTCAGTAATCCCTCAGTAACCTTGAATATCAGGTTCACCGCAGGTTGTCATGTCACCATAATCATAAGGCAGAGTCACAGCAGCAGTGGGCTTCTTTTGTCGGCTCTTTTAACTCTGTCCAAACGTGTCTGTGTTGAATAGCGTGCAAAGGTCTTTTCATTTTCAACAGATATTTTCCCCAAACTCTGCGGCTTCCAAAGCTGGGTGAATAGGTCCCTAAATTATGGCTTTAGTAATGATGCCAGAGGGCGGCAGGTTGCCAAAGCATGCCAAGTGTCTGAGTATCAGGTAATATTGAATTAAATGCTAAAGTCAGGTAGATAGGCAGCAGGAATAAAAGTGTGAATGTCATAAAGACACTTTAAAACATGACAAAGAGCAGAATCAACTCTAAATTTCACTTCATGCCCAACATGAAGGTCTGTGAGGCAAAAATTCGATGCAAGTGTTGTTATACAGCTCTGAGATTTAGAAGACAGAATGTATAATGAATGCATAAAATCTATCTTTTGCTGAAGCTTTTATCTCTTTTATAATGATGACTAACTGCGTATGATCTTGATGGTTGATTATGGTTATCCACCTCTTTATTTAGATCTCTGTCAACAAAAAAAAGACGACAGCAACAAGGAGGTTCATGTTACAGCATGAAATCAAAAGAATGGGGTTGCCTTGGGGACATTTCAATCATGTTTTTGTTTATGAGCATGATGACTTTTAATCAACTGCATCCTGACGTGTTGTGTGGCAGGCAGCCGGCATCAATCTTTATGAGATTACACAGACACAGCCTCTTAGAATTAACTCAAAGAGAAGCCCATATTTGAGGCAGATGCACTATACATACTGCTTTTGTAAAACGTTTGAATATATCAGTGCTTGTATCTTTTAGGAAACTGCTTTCAGTATGTACATTTTGCAATGTCACTCAAGGAATAAATGGAAAAAAAAAGATATGCTATGGTGGTGTAACAACTCAAAAAAGGCCACTTACCTGGCTGTCCTTTTTCACTTCTGCGTAGCCCCTTCAGGTCAAGTCAACTGTCTTGAAACTTTCACTTCTGAGTTTCTATCTGCAGTTTGTTAAAGTTGCGCAGAGTATCATCCACTGCAGTCAAACTGTCCAAAAAGCCATCTCAGCACCAGACTGAAACTACATAATGATAGGCTTTTGGCCGCAGTAACATCACTCTCAAGTTAGATGAACCTTTCCAGTGTTGCCAGTGTGTGCACACACTTTTCAGTCTGTAAGGTTTTGAATATGAAGGCTGAATACACGTTTTCTCAGTTAATAACAAATTCAAACTTACCAAGGCGACCGATTTCATCCTCTCAGTCCACAATGGCTGTTCTGGGTAAACTGTCGCAGACTCCCCGTGCTCTGAAGTGTTGAAACATCATTTTCTAAAATCTATGACATTTCAAACAAATCTTCAGCCAATGGCATGGTCGTTCTTGGGCCTGTCCAGGAGGAAATTCAGCTGATTCCAGGAGCCAGAGCTGAGTGTCCAGAGGTTTGTCTGAAGCAGCGTCTAAGAAGTAATCAACGCAAACAGCCCTGGCTCAGCACGCACACCCATAGAGAGCTAACTAACTGCCCCCAGTAGCCCAGACTATGGCAGAGGGCACACACACACTCACACACACCATTCTTTTCTTTTATTATCCCTCACTCTCAAAGACTCTGACTAAGTTTCCTGGCAACCAAGTAGTCAAAAAGAGTTGTTTGCGACTGGTCCAGGCCTGTTTTGTCTGTGTGTAACACTATGCATATGTAAGTGTGTGTGTTTGTGCGAGTGTGTTATTTCTATTCAAAGATAAGGCACTGGAGAGAAAACAATATATGTGAGTTACAATTGCCACCTAGTAAAATCCACAGCTACTGTATCTATAGCAACAAAATTCACAGGAACAGAGTTGTGTCATTCATAAAAGAGCATTTAAGCAACACTGAACAAAAACACACTAGCTCTCCACTACAACTCTACTGAGCTACTTAAATAACTTTCAGGGGTCACACACATGCAGACTTACACTGACATAACAAAAAAAAACAAAACAAAACTCTCCTTTGGTTTTGTAAATTAGACAAATACACATATTGTTTCTATGATTTTTAACAATAGCTGCATGTACACAACTGATATGATCACATCCCTCCATCCCTAGCAACAATCCCTGTGTGCGATTTAATGGCCCAGAAGAGGTTGGATTAGCTGATTACAGTGGTCGTCAACGGTGACAGGATCAGAAAATTAGGTCTCAGCAATTTCAATAATAAAGCTTTAAAAATTAACACTATCACAATTGGATTACAGTGGTGCATGCAGGAGCCAGTGCAGAGCCCAAAAATAGCCCACCACAAATCCACCGTGGAAAATCCACTATTATACAGGAAGAAGAATGAAGTTGCTGGATTGAGAGGGAAAAAAAACAGTATGGATCTTTGGGACTATGAGAAAAGATGTGCCGGCTGAGAAAAAGAGGATGCAAGGGCGAGCGCGCTGACATAGAACACTTTTATACTACAATTCAAATCTGAAGAAACCCACTTCTAGAAATCTTTCTCAATTACAGAACTCTTTTTGATCTGAAATCAAAAGAAAAGTGTTTTTCTTTTTTTCTTAAAACCCTCACAAGGCTCTTGTTCTAAATTTCAAGAGCTGTGATTATTTTTTAACTTATTCAAGAAAAAATACGTTTCAAATTGTAATTAAAATCCTAGTTGGACTAAAAAATATTCAGTGTGTGAGGTTGGCTCATTACTATTACGCTTAACAAATGGTCCTTGAGAAGGGTTAGGGGCACACTTCCTGCACAGATGTTTGAGCCAAAGGACTTTCTCCAGTGTTTTACATATGAAATTAAAATAGATGGTTAAAATTGATGTTAGATAATCTCTCACTGAAAACAGTGATATTTTTGATAGAATTATCTAACTACCTATGAATATATGCATGACATAACTATTAGAAGAGTAACAAAACTTTAGTGGGCCAAAAAAGTTCCATCAGAAATGTAAGATTCATTCATTCTTACTTCCTAGATTTCATTTTTAAATATATCTCTTATGAGAGGGTTACAGGCCTAGAAAATGTCATTCGATAAAAAGTACAAAGAGAACCACAAAAAATATTTTTGCATTTCTTATTAAACAGCAAACTCACCTAATAGTCAAAGTTTTATACCAAAAATAAGTCTGACATGCACTGTTGAATCAAGATTAATTCCCGAATTTCAATAGCCATCCTGATCAATGACATTTATCATCACATGTTAACTTCCATGAGTTTCAAGTTCTTATTTTATTTACAAAATTTATAAATTCCTTCCAACGTCTTGCTTTTGTTTGATCTACTGGTCTGTAGATGATATGCACATTTCATTGCTTGCTTCAATGACATGCTAGTGCCATTCAACACAAAATGTATATTACTTTTGATTTGTCACCTGAGCCCACCAGGAGTTATTTGAAGTGAAACATGCCATAGTACTGCTGTGTGATTGAATAAGTTATACGTTCATTTTAGACCGTTACCTCATCAGAATTAATATCTTGACACTGATAGCTCGAGTAATCATTTCGAAGGAGTCATAAAAAGAAAAAGTTGAACTCCACTGACACAAAGCAGAAGGATCAGAGAAAACGCACTCAGGTCAAATCGTTTTTGCAACGCTACATCAAGATTTTGCACATCTGATCGTCTTTTTAAACACACACTTTAAGGTAGGGTTGATCATCGCAGCTCCTCCAAAACAACACCCCCGCTTACACGAACGAGCGCTGCAGTCTGCTGACTCAAAGCCACAAACTCAAAACTTTGGGAAGTCTTTGCACAGCAGGGACAAAGAAGATAACGTTAGCATCGGGATGACCACATACATGGCTAAATATTTTATCAAGATTAAAAATCTCCCTGATACAAACCCTCAACGTACCTTCCCAACAGAAAATGAGCGACCATGGCTCTGAAAAGCTCTCCGGACGTTGACTTCCGTTTTCGCCCTCGCTTTCTCCAAACTCTGTCTTGCTTCGGCCTTCTCTGTCTGCGTCTTTTTTTTCTTGCTCTCTTTTTGCAGAAGGAGCGGTCTTCGCTAGTCTGGGTATAGGTAGCTTCTCTGTCATTCTCCGGCTTAGCTGCGCCCCTCTCAGTTCGGCTACTGCGCATTGAATCAGGGCCAGTGCACACCGGAAACATGTACGCGCAGAAGGCGAGTACGGGATTTGATTGGTTTAAAAATGTGGGACCCACAGTATGTGATTGGTCGGTGTTTTCCCAGTTTTACTCCTGCTGTAGATGGCGGCTATATTTTGCTCTTTTTTAAGAACACATCACATTTTTTGCCTTTGTAAGTTCTTTTCTTGAGACCATATCAAAGTACAGTTGAGAAAAATGTAATCCAGACTGGATGTGGAGACAACGTTGGCCATCAAAAAGATTTTAAAATACATTGGACTATAATTAACTAATGTCAATGTGGCCATATCAGTGTGTGTCACTATAGTACAAAGAAAGACAGCATAACTGTTGAGTTACTCCTCACCTGGAGGGGTTGTTTTTATGATACACTGGGTAATGCAGACAGGACAAAGAAAGCAGATAGTGAAGACAACCTCCATTTCAAATCCATGAACATCCTTGCAGACCTTGATTTCCAGACTGGATTAGGACATATCTGATTTAAGTTAAATATGATGTATGCTGATTTTGGGAGGATATATGATCCAGGTATGCGATACCACTGTATAGATTAAGATTGTATTTTACAAAGGGAATATGACACTAAAAAGGCAGAATGTTTGGAGACTTAATACAACTTCTTTTCATAGCACTTTTCCAAGGTTTGTACTATCACCAAACTTTTAAGGACATGGGAAATAATCACATTTTGCCAACTTTTTCTGAGCTTCACAGTGCTGAGCAGAGAGGGAAATATATAAAGGAAGGGAGAAATATCGACTTAAGAATCTGATAAAAGAACAACATAAAAGAGAGGTAAAAATCCCTAGCAATTACTGTCAACCTGATTTGCTTTGAACCTCAGACTACCTGATCTCCCCTCAAAGCCACAGAATTATAAATTATACAGCCAAAATAATAAAATGTCTTTAAAAATTACAAAGCCTCACATCACCTATTCTCTAATCAAAGTGTCCTTTCAGGCTGCCACGCCACCGTCTTGAAGGCCTGCAGGATCATGTTGGTTTGGTGAGTGAGCCGGTTGGCGCTGACAAACACGTTTATGGCTCTGGAAACGAGCGTGACAGAGACACAAGGACACACATGTCAATCATATAGCAAAGAAACCATGGCAACAATATTAGGATTGATCCAGGAAACACTTTGATCTGGCTGGAACGGAGAATGTCAGGCTTCAGAGAATACAAGCCAGCATGAATCCACAGGAAATGGGTCAAGGGAATTATTCAGCACTGGTGGATTTGATAGAAGTGGGCCTGTGATCAAACGACAACCATTTACATGCTGGTGACAGTGTGTGTGGGTGGATGTGGGTGTGTATGGCATGAACGTGTAAAACTATTAAAAACGTCGCATTCAGAGTGTGTTTAAAATGAAAAACGCTAAACAAGTGAGTAAGAAGACAGAAAAGGAAGCGGAGGAGACAGAAAAAAAGTGCAAAACAGAGAATAAACAAGAAACAGTGTCATACTTTCCATCTTTGAAGTATGTTTTGAGTGTGTCACTGAAGCTCTTGGAGTATTTCACAAACTCTTTCTTCTGTCTTTCCAGTGCCTAAGCAATAAACACAGACATTTTACAGCTCCACTCAATTTGCAGAGACTGCATTTGAATGTGTGTGATTCTTCCTCTTCACTTATCTACTAACCCGCCTATTCCGATACTGGTATTTCCTGAAGACGGTGTTCACTGTGTCAAGCAGCTCCTTGATGGCACTTGCAATGTCTCTGAAGATGGCACACACACAAATAGGTTCATGTTAAGTAAAACAATACAACTACTGATGTTTTTATCAGACAGTGACATACTTCAGCTACTTTTGTTCTTTGATCCTGCTCGTCATCTACCTTTCTTCCCCAAACGTATCTCGTCATACCGTACCTTCAACTTCTCTCCACTTGTAAACACTGGAAATCTGCTGTTGCACATCATTTTTTAAGCATTCCCTTTGAATTGATTTTATTTCTAAGCCCTCCACTGGGTACGTAACTTAAGTAGTGACTCACTGAGAGTATTGAGTTCAATCAAAATAACGGCAAAAAGGGCCTCTCACCTTCTCTCTTGAATGTGTGGGTTTAGTACAGCGGTCAAGGATATATTCACTGGCATGCAGGAACCATACCGCTAAATCATCACTAAACTATTACATATTATTTGTTGTATTTTGATTAGTGAAAGGGATATCCCAGCGTAAAATCAAATTAGGGTCAAGTACACCATAACACCGAGTTAGACACCCCCTCAAGAGATGAATGTTGCCGACCGCTTGCTTCTCTAGTTATACCAACTTTATCAATGACCACACAATAGCAATACTCAGCAGTCTAAGGAGCTGAACACAAACGTCAAAAAGCCACTCTATAGCCACAAATAATACTCAGAACAGCACCTAACTTCATCAACAGTACATATAGGGTTCCACAAAACATCTTTTTAACTTTGCCTGATTTCTTTAGCAAAGAGACTAAACACAACTTACCTACTCTCTTCCAGCAGCCGCTTGTTTGTAGCTAGACCTTGGGCCAGTCCATTATGGACTACAGCGGGGTGACGCAGCTCAAGGAAGAACATTTGTGATCGTTACTTTATTATTTCCTTTAGGTAATAATCACCATAGTTATCATTCTGCACTGCAGACGCGGTAGTTCTTCTGCTTTAGCGTCATGGTCTGATTGCATTTCCATGAAGAAATGATCGTAAATGTTCTTCCTTGAGCTATGCCACCAGGCTGCAGTCGATGATGGACAGGTCCTGAGGTCTCGCTACAAACAAGCGACGGCAGGAGGAATTTGAATTTGAATTTGCAGTTTGTTTTACTTTTTCCAAAATTTTTCAAACAGTTTTTTGTTGCGGTTTTGCAAGTATATTTATATTTAAGAACCAAACATTTCACATAAAAGAAAATCATTTTATCCAAAAAGGAACTGACTGGCTGCTAAATTAACCCAGCATAAAGAACAAGCCTAGTCTAGACTGTATCCTCCTCTGCAGGTGAAGAGATATTTTGTGTTAGCTCTGATAATATGTCCATCTGTGTCTCACACAAACACAAACACACACACAAACACACACACACACACACACACACACACACACACACACACACACACACACACACACACACACACACACACACACGCAGACACACACAAGGCCTTACTTGATGGTCTGTAGGAAGCCTACTCTGTCATTGATCTCATCTGGTATGGTGCTGAGGATGTTTTTCAGAGCTCGGGCCCTCTCGTTGAGCTCCTGGAACTCAGGCTCTCGCCTGTCAATCATGAAGTCTAAAAATCACAGAGAGGAAAAGAAAAATAGAGACCTCAAACTACTCGGCGACAGGCATGTCAACACACATTCAAAGAACTTACTGAGGAGGTTGAAATGGAGCAATTAATATGTACATGTAAAAAAAGAGCTGCCCAAGTGAACACAGGATCAAGTCTAAAGGTGTTTCTGTGTGCGCACGGAGTTCAAAGGGACTGTCTAGTTTGTTAGGTTACGGCAGGATTAAGGTAGAACTCGCGCTGTGCAGGAGGTAAATTTAAAATTCATCCAAAGTGTGTGTGTGTGTGTGCATGTGTGAATTCATTACTATCATCAATCACTGTACATGACATAAGGAATTCAATTACAGACAGAAACTGAGGAGCATTTGAGAACAGGAGAGCAGCTGATTTTTGGAGAAACAGCTCCTCCCAGTGGACAACTGCACAAATGTTTTGTTGGCTGTGCCGTCCCAGAATACTGAGCAAAGCTCCGGTGGTATTGTACATCAAAATCAGTATATGAAATGTCCATGCAATCACATGTTCCACCCTCCTCCTCTTACCGTATGCAACATACAATAAGCAACCCACCTTCCAAATCCTCTCCGGCCATGCGAAGTAGACATTCATTGTAGTTGATTCTTAACTTTTTCTTCTCCAGTATTTTCAGAACAATGTCTTGAGTAAGACCTGGATTTTCCTTCTCTGCCTTGAAACACACAAACATACATCTGCACTTTAAGTATTTTTAGGTAGCTTTGGCCTTGTATGGATGAAAAAAAAAGTCCTGAAATCAACAGAAAGTCGATGGTCTAAAATGGCTTGAAAAAGGAAGTTTTTTTTTATTGAATTTTGTGCAATGAAACAGAGAAATAACAAAAGAAAACTTTTTTTTTACCTTGATAAAAGCCGCTCTCAAGGTCTGTGCAGCTGATGAGTTGATACCCTCCAACTGAAAGTTATTATACACACGCACAAACACAAGTCAGTCGCACAAAACATAACACACCGGCTTTGCTCTTATCGCAGCTTTTCCTCTGTCCTGAAATGTAATTCTGCAGAAAGTACATACAAGTAAGGCTTCCTGCAATATCTGAGGAGGACACGGTGTTATTGTATTGTGAAAAGCTGTGTTCAGTCTGTCCATCTGTATTCTTCATCAGAACTTCAGGGGAATTGAAGTCTTTTCTATCTCTCTGAGCTGATATTGTGTTACAAACCTTGCTACTCTTTGAAACTGTGAACACTCTCTGTCTGCCTACCTGCTCCAAATATACTCATGTGTTCACCATATAGTCTTTTTATGATTTCTGATCTATAAAAACTCCACGAAAAAATGTGTAACTCAGAAAGAACAGAAATGAAAAGGCTGCTTGGAAATGATGAGATGATGAAGGTTGTTATTATCTTGATGAAAACAGACTGGATTAATAGTAGAGGCATTAAAGTCATGTGACCTAATCGTGATTGCACTTACACTTAAAAATATATAAAACTCACAGTCATGTAAGATACCTTGTATAAACATTAAACATTGGTTTGTCTAAGAGAGTATTGTCTGCAATAATCTAAATCCTAAATGAAACGTTCCAATAGCTACAATCATCGTTCCAATATTTAAAACCCCTATCTGAAGAAAAGTCTCCCTGCAGACCACAGAGCAGCACCTACTGTTCATATTTTTAACAGTAAACTCAAGACCTACCTTTTAAGTCTGGCTTTAAAAATATTTCTTAATCAGTATTGCATGATTTTACCCTGTTTTGGTCCTAGAGTTACAATTTTGTGTTTTATAATTTAGTTTCTTTTATTGTTTTTTCAGCCTGTTTTATTTTATTTAACTTTTAATTCTTTATTACCTTTATCATATCTATCATGGTTTTATCGCTTTAGTCTTAGATCCAATGTTTGCCTATTTTTGACTTAAAGTAGTATTTCCTCAGTCATCTGTGGCAAGTTGAATAGTCCTCACCTGTTTTTTTTTGTGTGTGGGTTTGTGCGTGTGAGTGTTGTTTGTGTTGAATGTGGGTTGGGTGGGTTGTTGAGTTTCTGTATTTGTATTTTTATCCTGCTTGAATGGACAAGACTCTGTGCTAATTTCTTTGTATGAAAAGTGCTTTATAAATATAAATACTGTAGGAGCCAAAATATATTTGTTGAAAGTTTTATTTCTGAAGGTACATCACTTCCAGGATATTCACTGTGGGGTGTGGTTTTGGGATGTTTAGCAGGTTATTTAAATCTCACAAGTGTAGTCAGAAAATGGGTTTAGTAAGCGCTGATAGTTTTCTGTTGACTGTTTCTCATCGTTTTTCACCGCTTCATTCATTCATCCTGTTTTAACCTCATTTCATTATATCACCTTTTCAGCTGACGGCAAAAGTTTTGGACCCGGATCAGCGTGTTTTCTTTCCTTTTTTGAACAATAAATCATTTTTTAACACTCAAACCGGACTGATCATTCAAGCGAGTCACAGATAAAAGCTAACCTAAACCCCGGCGGCCTTTTTTGTTGAAGCAAAGCAGTCACTACAAATACAGTTTGTTTGATTGATTGATTGATGAAATTGTCTTTTTTAGTGAGAGAAGCAGAGAGAATCACTGATTTTCAGGTTTACAAAGTAAAATATGTTCTGTATCTCTAATTTATCCTTTGGTTATAGCAAGAAAAAAAGGTATGTTTAATAAAACCAAAACTCTCATCCTCATGGTGGCACTTCGGAATTAATTATAGAATTACACACTGTAAATACTTTGATTTAAAGCAGGGGTGGTTAATTAATTTTTACATGGGGCCACATGAGAAACCTGAGCTGTGTTCGAGGGCCGAACCAACAATAACATCAACTTCAAATGTGGGGGTGTTCACACATACAGAAAAGCAAGCCCAAATAAGAAACTACGAGTTAAAAAAGTCATTTACTAAACAGATTTGGCAACTATAAAGCGTCTACTTATATTTTGCTGATGTTAAAACTTGTCTCTGTTTACGAATGCAGATCTAGGATGTACGCACGTGCGTCCAAATTGAAGTAAAACAACAGCTGGATTTTTCAAAATATAAGCAACACACTTGTATGGCACATTGATGATTTGATTGACAGACCTTATGAAGGGCCGGGCAGGGACATCCAAAGGGCCGGATGTGGCCCTCAAGCTGTAAAATGCCCAGGTCTGATTTAAAGGCTTTTCACTGAACAAGGTGACTTGTGGGTAGGTTTGTGGGAGAAAGTCTCTTTGTATTAATTTCCCTTTCTTTTTATGTACAACATCTTGTGTTGCATTATTGTTGTATGAAAAGAGCTTCATCTGATTGATTGATTGATTGGTTTAATGCTTGTACTCTCATCCATCTAATGCAACAAGCCCCTGCCTTGTTTTAGCCCCTTTTTTTCAACTTGGCCTAAAACCCTGCCCTCTTTACCTGGTCAAAGACAGGATACATGACACTGTAGAGAGCCATCGAGACTGTGGAGATAGTATCGGCTTCATTCTTCATGTTTTCCATGGTCATCCTTGACCGATCGATGGCCCTTTGTTTGTGGGCTTGTCCGCTGATGCCAGTTTCAGCACGTTCAATCACTCATGGAGGCTGACAGAATGGGAACAAGAGAAGGACCTGTGGAGGGAGAAAGCACGTGTAAATAAAACAGAGAGAGATGGAAATGAGATTGAGGATTTCTAAAAAAAAAAAACAGTCAAAAAGGTTAAACCAGTTAAATCAAAACCAATTCAATCACGTTAACTCAGTACTTTATAATATTATGATGATTCTTACAAATAGCAGCTTTTATTGCTTCTCGTTGAATGTCATAAAACCCTTGTGTGCCACTTGCTAAAAAACCATTCAGTCACAGACATGATCATCACATAAGAGCCACATTGTGAGAGGGTGTGTACTTTACTGCTCCACCGGGTGCAATGGTGACAAAACCGGCATGAGTCATACCTTAATAAGGAACACACTCTCCAGTTTTACAGCTGCAATAAAAATATCAGGGACAAATTTAGCACCTGGCACTCACAATCTTCTTTTTCCATTTTTTTCTACAAGTCTGCCATGAGAACGGAGCTAAACCTGGTTGGTCATATGAGAAAAATTGTCTCACACATACATAATTACAGACACACATATATACCTGTAATTGACTGTTCCAGGACAAGCTCTTCTTCAGCCATTGTTTGTTTTGTGAGTGTGTGACACCTTTAAAAGATCTACAATGACGTAGTTCTTCATTCCACTTATTGTGACATGCAAAATGTTTGTTGAAGGGCAGGGACACACTCACATACCAAATTTGTCTTCTTGTGCATGCCTTTACTTTTCATCAACACTATGTTGAATCACTTCTTCTAATAATCAGATTGTGTATTTACTCTTTAGATGCAACTGAGACGCCTTTAGGGTTTGTTCGATACTCACTTTGCCATCTGATCCCCTCTGCTACACACGTATAAGGATTATAAACAGGTTAAATGTGACTGGGTTTATGACATGGTATCTGAACAAAGGTTTCAAAACGCAGATACCACTAGGAGATAAGAAGAGATATAGTCACAGACAGCCCCTCTGCAGGCGTTAAAGAGCAGATGGAGCAGTGATTGCTGCCCTCTCTGGCTGAAAGCTCAAACCTGCTTATATTACACCACATTCATTCTCACTGCTGAGTGTAGTATGAGTGGCCAGACCAAGCCCTAGGAGGTATGGAAAACCACTATCCATTATCATAACCGCTATCATTACCACTATCATTTTATTTCCATTGATCCAGATACAGTAAGATTATTCTATCAAATTTGAAAACAACAGTCAAAACATTAAATAATACTATTTTTAAAATTAAAACTACATTGTGTTTCTACAGATCTCCTTAGGATCACATAGATTTTAACTATTCCTTGTCTGTGTTTACTTAAAACAAAATGGCCCCATAATCAAAACCAGCAAAAAGCCTTTCATGAAAAAGGACCTGAGTTTCATCCATGCCTTTTAAAATTCTAGCGAGAAGCAACCAGTTAAACTGCCTCTTCTGTAAATCTACACTTTCACCATTGATTTTGTCTTCTCAGTTTCACTCTCTTGTCTCCCCTTTACAAAAGACACCCACTTTCCTCTCAAGCACCTGAAAACATGAACATGAATGAAGTGGAAAGCGGGGGTGTGAACCAGCAACTATCTCATGTAAAAAACTGAAGATGAATGGCTGATCAGTTCACTTCCAGTGAAAAGGTTGATTGGTGTTAAAGAGGTGCATTTGATAATGATACCCTGTCAAGAGCCCTGGTGAGTACAGGAGTGTACATTATTGTTCACAGACCTGAAAATACACAGATGTCCCTAACAGAGTGTGAGGATAAATCTGGAGGTCAGCAAGACATATATTTCATGAGCATTTCAACAACTCTAGAAAAGGTTTTTTTTATTTGGGAGTTTTTGATGAAACTACTAAAATCAAGCTATTTTCCTATGATTTTACTTTCATATGCTCCAAAGCGGGTCACATCCTTTCTTTAACAAACACTAGTGTGATAAAAATAATGGATGCCGGGTGATTTGTCAACAAAATTCAATTGATCCATACATGGAAGGGTTCATATTCAGATTAAAAATGATATTTTTTGTCAGATCTACAGTGGATGTGTATGTGTGAAATCTTTATGTCAAGCAAATATCTAAGAATTACTATTTTTAAAAGATTATTAAAAAGAAAAATCGTCAAATGACATTCAGAAAGAATATATTCTGTGGATTGTTAATTAAAAAAAGTAATAATTGTGAAAAATCAAGGGTGCAATTGTTGTGAACACTCAAAAAACAGAGATTTGATTAGATTCATCTAAAAGGCTGGCTGGTATATCTATGTTTAAGTCCCATGTTTCCTAAACGCCCCATCTGGACATTCACTATTCTAATTTCCTGTACAGTTTAAGAGTCAAAGACTTCATAAATTTAGGTGGGCTCACAAATTATTCTAGTATGATAGTGCATGCTGAATGTGAGGGGATTTCATTGTCCCTAACAGGACAAATGTATGTCTGAAAATGTGTTATTTGTGTAAACCATTATTTATCATCTTTATCCAGAAAGCCTGTAGAGTTTAACCATTAAACATGTGGTAAAGTTGTAGTTTAAACCATGAGTTGGCATGATTTGCTCTTGGTATCAGGAAATTGGCAGTGATATGAGGTGATGCTGTCTAACCTCTGTAGCCTTCCTCAACGACTTTTGCCCTTTAACTAACGACAAGACACTTGACTGTGTGAACGGCACCACAAATAAGAGAAATGTAGGATATCGGTGACAGAAGGTGGGTGATAAAGAAGAGCTCCTGAAACCTACAGGTAGCGTTAACGCGTTAGTAAGAGATTATCAGTTCAGAGCAGGTGATCAACTCCGCCCTTAGCGCTGTGGAGCTTCTTAAAACAGCCTGGCGAGAAAACAGCGAAATTTTACAAAGCCACGGCAACATGACACAGATTATTCAGTTATTTCATCCAAAATGAGTACTCACCCTGTCTTGTTATGCTTTATGTCATTCAGGAAGTTTTTCTGCTTGGCAAACAGTAGCCGAGAGTCAGGGTGGGCGGTGCTGTGCGCTGTCCTGTAGGATCCCAGCTGGTTGTAGTTCTCTCGGTAATTCCCCTTCCCTTGTCTGCGTTATATTAGCAACCAATGAAGACTTCAAATCCCAGAAGGTGCAGGCTGCGGTTGTTTAACCCTTTAGTTGCTTTCATTGGTATAATGGGCAGCCATGCGCTTTTCCTCTTGTAAATGTAATCAATGTAAGCAGGCTGAATCTGTCCAGCATGTGTTGTTAGATTGTGGAGGATATGAGGAGGAAAGAAGGACACTGGCAGCAGCAGCAGAGGAAGCTAGGACTTCATATGGGGACCCAGAAGTTATGCTCAAGCATTTAATGGCATATTTGAAAGATAGAGGGTTAATGGAGAGGACCTAATGTTATTATATATATGAGTCATTATCAAGTTGGAGGACATTTGGGCTTCAGCATTTTTCAAAGTTTACTTTTTGTTTATAATAATCTGTTATTTATTCATCAATGATATATATTAATCTATAAAAAGCTTGATTGGTGCATCTCAGGCATTAAAGGATTTTTATTTATTGCATCTTTTATTTGATGTTTGCTATATCTAGCGCAGTACTGTTACCAACACTCAGGAAGCTGAAAGGGCACATTAATGTAGTTTTTAAATATAATTTCTTTTCCAATCAGGTTAAGGAAGTAAATTTCTCTCTGGGTAACCATTTCACTTCAGATTTGAGTTGATTTAATTTAAGCAACTTTAAAAATGTATCATATCCAACCTTTTTAAAATGGCATGTTTCACTTTACTTATTTCACCATTTATTTTCAAATTTTTCCTATAAAAGTTAGTTCATATCTTTACTTAAACTGCTTAAAGGCCAATATGGCAAACCCCTGTAAGCTGATAAAGTCATTTAAAATTATTTTTGATTGAAATGATATGGTAACAGGGTTAGGGTTATACATATATATATACTTTTTTTTGTTTGTTTTTATTTTGTTTGTCAATCTACTGTCCCACACTCCAGTCCAGTAGGTGGCGGTAATGCACCTTCAAGTTGGTTTGCCAACCGCCAATAAACTCAATTGAAGAAGAAACGAAAGAAGAAGCTTTTCCTCTTGTAGAAATAACAGAATATAAAATGACAGTTTTAAGTTGTATTCATAAGGTTGGCTGCAATTTTACCTAAAATAGCAACTATTACATTAGGTATCAGCACGGGACGCGTCAAAACACAACTGCTCTGTCGGTCAAGAGAGTTATTTACCAATCTAAATCAGTGGGCGTTTAAGTGTAACCAGTTAGACCTTTTCCTCGTGAAGTTGTGACAAAGGTTAGAAACACTCTCTATGTGTTAAGTATGCGAGCATTTGATGTAAGAAAGAACAATGCTGAATCTTCTATCAGACAACCAGCAGGTGCGCTTGACTACAGGTACAATGGCCCAATTCCAAACTCCACCCTAAGCCCTCAAGCCCTGCACCCTCATTAGCTTAGGTTAAGTCAGCTGGTAAGTGCTTGAGTGTGGGAGGGTTTAAGGGCTCCAAAAGGGTATAAAAGCAATGGAACAGCCCTTTGTGACGTGCCACGTTACCTTGACGATAGACGACAACGTTGACAACCAAAGATGCGACTGACACTTGCCTCTCTGGGCTCTTAATTCTGCATTTATTTCGCGGCCAGTGACGTTGCAGAAGAAAGGCCAACATTGTTCCGCTCCTTTTGCACACACTTGCTCTTGAACATAGACAACAGGTAATTGGTAAATAATGATTAGATTGATAAATTATAAAACCAGCATTAATGCTAGGTTAAGTGATATTGAATGGTTAAAAGGTTGAAGCACTAGATTCTGAAAGTAATCACTGCTTTAGAGTGTTAGTTCAGGATAAAATGTATTGATTCAGATAAAAGTTTGAAGTAAAAATCAATTTTCTTTGTTATAAGAATAACGCATGCGTGTGTGTATGTGTGTGTGTGTATATATGTATGTATACACACACACACACACATATATGTGTATATATATATATATATATATATATATATATATATATATAAATATATATATATACATATACAGTACAGGCCAAAAGTTTGAACACACCTTCTCATTCAATGTCTTTTCTTTATTTTTTTATATGACTATTTACATTGTAGATCATTACTGAAGGCATTAAAACTATGAATGAACACATGCAGAATTTTGTACTAATAAAAAAAGTGTGAAATAACCGAAAACATGTTTTATATTCTAGTTTCTTTAAAATAGCCACCCTTTGCTCTTGATGACAGTAGTTCCTTGTCAGGGTTACTTCAGGCACTCCTGTGAAGTAAAAACCATTTCAGGTGACTACCTCATGAAGCTCATTGAGAGAACAGCTTAAGTTTGCAGCGCCATCAAAAAAGTAAAGGGTGGCTACTTTGAGAAATCTAAAATATAAAACATGTTTTCAGTTATTTCACACTTTTTTCTTAAGCACATGATTCCACATGTGTTCATTCATAGTTTTGAGAATCTACAATTTAAATAGTAATGAAAACAAAGAAAATGCATTGAATGAAAAGGTGTGTCCAAACTTTTGGCCTGTACTATATATATATATATATATATATATATATATATATTATATATATATTATATCCATGTTAATGTAGTGCATTCTTGTTCATCTTGGCATTCCGGCGCCCACCATACACGATGCGGAACATCCATGTTAGAGTATTAAGGGTGCACCTAGATCCTAAATGAACTGCTTCTTCTTGAGCTTCTTCGCCATGATCTCCGTCATTTTTGGTGTCTGTCGCGGACGTTGAGACGCTTGTGGCCTCGTTCTTTTTTAAATCCTGGCCCCGGCTGCGTCGCTGTCCTCCAGTAACGCCCACAACGCAATGAATTGTGGGCAATTTCATAGCCAAAGTCCTCAACGGTACGGACTTACGGAAAGGGTGCAGAAAGGGGCGTTCCCGAGCCCTCGCTGACTTACCGATTTCATTTGGAACAATCCTCAAGCCCTTACAGAGCTCACATGAGCGCGCACCTAAGTCAATGAGTCAGTGAGGGGGTGGTTTGGAATTGGGCCAATGAAGACTCAGGATACAAATATCCGGGGTGTTGTGCCGTAGAATGCACCCCCTGCATCCCATTCGCTCATTAGCCTCCTAAAGTGGAAGAAAATGACCTTATATTCAAAAACACGAGTATTGGATCATGACAACACGTCAAATGGAGCAGCAAACTTTCGTTCTGTTCTTATGTGTCACGAAAATGCCCAAATAGAGGTGTACTTGGGTATATAAACTGTAATGTAGGCTGGGCGCATTCTACGACACAACACCGGTGTTCTGTCGTAGAATGCACCCCTAACGGGAGCGCGGTTGAAAGAACACAACAAGGCGGAATAATCCAACTTTTCCCTACCGTTGAATGGATTCAAAAGCGTGTGCCTTTAATGATTTCATTCAGGCTATTCAGATGAGCCTAAAACAATAGCTCTCTGATTCGGAATATTTGCTGTCCTGAAAATATAATGTTCTCTACCATGACAGCTTACTGTAGAGTTTAATACACCCAAGTACACCTCTATATGTGCATTTTTAAGACACATAAAAACAGAACGAAACTTTGCTGCTCCATTTGACATGTTGTCACGACCCAATAGTCTTGTTTTCTTTAAATATGAGCTCATTTTCTTCCACTTTAAGAAGCTAATAAGCGAATGGGATGCAGGAGTGCATTCAACGGTAGGGGTGCATTCTACGACACAACACCTGCCGGACATGTTTGACACTTCTCTAAAAACATCCGTCTCCAAGAGGGTCTGAAACATCCACAAAGTGATAAAAGTTGAGTACCGGTACATTGAACTCGACGGAAACACGGGGGTGAATTGTCTTCACCCAAATCGATACTCTTCGTTCTACTTTCATTGGGCCAATAGGGTGTGGAGGGGGCGGGGTCTGCGGCAAAAACGTACAAGCAGCGAGCTGCATCTCCGGATGAGAGCAGCAGAAAGAGAGACCGCGCACACACACTCCTACCAGTGCATCCATCCAACGATCCTCCGTTTATCGGTAAGATTTTCATGCTATATCATACAACTCACTGACTTAGTATTCTACCTCGTGATTCATACATTTATGTGAATTACACACCCTTGATTTCTGAGGTTTTGCTGAATCTGGAATAATAGCCTCTATATATATCTGAGCTGTTCGACATGCTGTCTTTTCTTAAGGTGTAGGAATGTGTATTTGTAACAGAGAATTTCAGGGATTTAAAAAGGATAATAATATGTTGCGATCAACATGTGTTGGTTGTGGAGGCGGTGGATAGAGACGCACATTTAAGGCTGTTTCTTCAAAGCTGTTGATTATAAAGCCCCTGCCCGTGTGTCCACCACCCACTGCTGTTTAATTATGGTAGGTGGTCGACAATTACGGGGGCTTGATTGTTTTTGTCTTCTCGATTGTTTGTCTTTATGTTTAAATTTTTCACAAGAAATCAGCTCGGGCATTGCAGTGTGTTTCTTGTCCTTGAAAAACAGGCTAAGGCGCAGTGAAATAGTGTGCGTGTGTGTGTGCGTGTGTGTACCTAAATTAACGAGGTATACTGTAGTAGCCTGTCCTACCAGATCCCCACCACACACATACACACACTACTTGTTATTTCTCCTTGCTGGTCCTATATATAAATATAAACTGGGATAGCCTAGTGGACAATCTATCTGTTTGAGTGACTTACACTGCTTCTCCTTTTTATTAAAATGTTATTTTAGTTCATGTCAAAATAATTTTAGACTGATACCATGCCAGGAAAAAAGGCCCAACCATTGAGTCTCCTTCCTCTCATGCCTATTCCTCTCACTTATGTGATCTCTTTACCTCTGTAGCTTTAATGCCCCCTTAATCTTCTTTAATCCCACAGTCATAGTTTTGTACATATTCAGAAAAAAAAAACATTATCCTGCTTAGTCATAATCTCAGTGTAATAATTCTCTATGCATTTGAATCAATTGTTAATCTCTATGCACAGGCTGTTGTTTCCACCCTCTGGTGCCAGTGTATATATATACGTGTTTGTGTGTGTGTGTGTGTGTGTGTGTGTGTGTGTGTGTGTGTGTGTGTGTGTGTGTGTGTGTGTGTGTGCGTGTGTGTGTATCTTGCCTATTCCCATTGAGCCATTAATTGCATTTCAATAATTAAATGTCTTTCAAATCAGCCTAGCGAAACAAAATGAGCACGCAGGGAAGGGAGAAGCGCTCGTGCACGGACTGTGTGACTACAAAGCATAACCTTGTGTTTGTGTTCGTCTGTGTGTGTATGTGTGCGCATGGGAGTTGAAGTTTTGCCGTTATTTACACATTCAGCAGTGGAGAAAAAAATAGAGTTAGTTAGAATACCAGCTATGTGCTGCAGCATGAAACAAGATAAGTCTTATTCAACCCTTCTTTGTCTAGATTTTTACCATGGAAACTAAATCTAAATGTTACAGACGTGCTTTAAAAGAAGATGATCTCCTTGAAAACAATAAAGTAAAAGTCAAACTGCTTATCTGTCTACCAAAGAAGAAATGAAATCATATGAACACAAAGTATGAATACTGGGTGAATATTTAAAACATAAAGAAGGTCTAAGAAGATTGGTACAAGAGTCCTAAGCAGACACACATTCACACATTTATTCATTTCAATAAATTGGTCATTTCATTTGATTTCTTGAAATCTTGATTTAATTATCTTATCTCAAGTTTACTATTCCCCTTATGACAGATATATTTATCTCACTGTCCTGATATAACAAAGCTTTTTTTGTGATAATGAGACCATTTTCAAGTCATCTGACTGATCAGTGACCACAACACACCATTCAACACCATTGTTGCTCACAGTGAGTGAGGCTCATTTCTATTTGTATTTTTTGTGTTTTTGCAACTCTGGAGTACAAATTGTGATCATCAGACATTAATGTGGTTCAAGTGAATCAGAAACTAATTAGTTGAGATCTTGAGAAAGCAACAGTAATCAACTCATTATCATAATGAAGCACTGTAAGTAAAATGCATCTACAGTTGATTTCTTCTGCATTTTACCCACGTTCTTCAGGTTTTAAATACACACAGCATGTGCACACCCAGGCATATGGTTTGTACCTGAACACTGTGTTGTTGCCGAGATATAAGTGATTTGTTTCTACCTGTTAAGATTGGAGGAGTTCTGGAGGCACAACAGAGAGTCACAGAAGGAGATAGTGTAAATGAGTTTCTTCATCCATATTAGGAAAAACAAATGATGAATCCATAAAATCAGAAACAAAACCTATAAAGGGTCACAATTATCTACAAAGACTCATTTTACCCTTCCCTCCTTTTTACATTTTGTTGGTGTACACACGTGCATTTTTGCACATGTGTGTTCCTGGAATTGATCTAATGATTGATTGGTGTAATTGATGCGTGTGCTGAATGTAGAGCTCCTATGAAAGGAGCAAATCTCTGAGGAGGGGAGACAAATGGTTGAAGTGATTTGGTTAACGCCCATTTATTCTTTTTATTGAAACTCTATGGCTGCAGTGAACACCATGAATAACACCCCACTCACTTATGGACACATCCACACACACAGATACAGTCCTGCATGTTTTCCCCTTAGTGGACAGTCCCGTCTTGTTCTCTGGTGTCTCCCTGGTCTTTAGTGAATTTGTAAAAGCCTGAGGTTTTGTTTTGTTTTTCTTTTTTTCTTTTTTCCACTGACCCAAAACTAAAGCTGATCCAGTTACGGCTCTAACCCTCTTACTGTGCTCCCACAGCGCCATCAAGGGTTGTATTTATGCTTTTTTGAGATTAAGACAGAAGCGTTGTCTGTGTCCTGGCAGTGTGTCTGATATTGGTAATCATCTTGCCATACTTTGCAGGAGGTGGTTTTATATTGTTCTGCTCAGACTTGTTGCATGAATCTGTATGGAAACTGCCTCTGCATTGCATTGCTTTGGGGTTTTCTCTCCTTCGCTTTTCCGTGCATATCTTCTTTGTTTTTATGGGTTTCTTCTATCTCTCCTCTCTCTCAGTCTCATAAACTGTCTTTATACTGCTATCTGTGCGTGTTTGTGTGTGTGTGCGCACGCCTCTCCCAACGGGTGTCACTGTTAGCAGGATTAATAAAGGGTTATTAACCTCTGTTTGCCCTCTGTAGAGTTAACAGGGAGCATCCTGAGACTTCAGGCTTGCTCCATGGCACATGAGGATATTTTCTAACAAGAGCCAGACCTAGTCTATAGCTGAGGATGGACTGCGGAGAGGTGATTTTTTCTGCCACTGGAATGATGGAAGTGTTGAGTAGAATGCTCATTGCAGCAATATCAGACTAATGGATTTATTTGCAATATAGCATGAACATGCACGAAAAACAATGGTGCAGTGTGTACTCAAGCACTGTCATGGCTCACTGTGAGTATACAAAATAGTTTCAAGTCACATGACATCACTTACTGGCAACTTATAACCATTGTACCATCATTGTGGATGAATGTAAAACCCACAAAGATAGAAGCTACCATAATGTTAAAACAATGCCTTCACTATCATGATACTTCCTCTCTTTAAAAGTGGCTTTACATCACTGTTCTGACAGGATAACAAAGATAATTCATTGCATGTTTCACACCTATCACGTGTGAAATAATGTCCAAAATTTTGATATGCCAACACATTTTAATACCACGTAAACAAAAGAAAAATATCTGTTATTTTGAAATTTAATTGAAAAAGTACAATAAGTCTTGACCTGCCTGGGCAAATGAAAGTGAAAGAACTTGCAGAGGTGGTAAGTTGACATAGAGACAAGGTTAAGAGAGAGTGTGCCTGTAAAGTAAAACAGAGCAAACTGAAAAATTAAAAGTTAAAATTGTTAAGTTTATTTTTTTTCACAGTAGATAAGCTCTTAAGATTAAATAAATATGTTCACACCCCTGCACAGATGTGCAGGAAGGTGCTGGATTCAGTTTGCTAACAGCTGATATCACACTTCTTCTCGCCTGCTGTGTGTGCCAGTTCTACACCCTCGGTCAAAGCCACCACGGCTACATCGATGTATTTTTAGGTTGGTAATTGTTACATCCTTATAGCGTCCAATCAAAGCACAAGTTTATATCTATGTCAGACAGACAGATAACAGAGGAGTGAGACAACAATGTCACCACGTCCTTTTGTGTTTCCTCCTTGTCCTGACCTTTAAAGTGTTGACAGGGAGCTTCACAGAGCTGCACAGTGATTGGTGTCCAATGAACGACCAAATTAGTAAGGAAATGATTAGAACATATAGATGGTCTGCCTTTACATTGTGTGGATATGCGGTCTCTGTTATCATGTCTTTATGCATGATAATTTACAGGAAGCATTTTATTTTGGTGACATAATTCGTAAGAACCTCTGGCATAGACTGCTGGCCTGACGGTCTACACCTGCGCCCCACATGAAATTTGAGCCTCAGACAGTTGTTTCCAGGCTGTGGCTGCTTTCCTGCTTGTCACTCTCTTTCTCACCCTGTTGATTACCGCTGTCCTGTCATCTCCATGTAAATGCAAAATTCCTGAAAACAAATCCAGGAAAAAGAAAAGAAAAATATTTTCTTAACTTTTATAATTGTTAACAATATGCTAAATGTTGGTTTTTGTTCAGGGACCATTTCTGTACCATTACTGCATGTGGGTTGGAAATCGAAAATAAATGAACATTTTTGGTGCCAAGGGGTGTACAGATATGTAGGGGTGTAAATCACCAGCTTCATCATAATCGTATATGTGCTGATAGAATATTAATTGAATTTGATCAAATTCAGGGGTTTGCAGTCAATTTGAGATAATATTATTTATGAAAATCAGTCATCTAAAGAAGAAAATACAGTTCTTTGATTCTTTTTTTTTTTTTTTGACGATTTCATAGCTCAAAGATTTCTAAAATTTGAATGAAAAATGTTTTCCTTTTAATAAAAATAACACTGCTACACTGTTAAGTGGCACATTTTTATTTGCAAAAGCAAATTTCTTTACACTCAGCATTGAATGCCCCTTAGGTCCTTCAAATCATGAAGATAACTTTGATGGCACGTTACAGTAACACACACTTCTGTAATAAGTGATATCTTTCTATCTGGGGAGAAAGGTACTCCTGTGTTTGCTTAACTTTTCCCTGAGGTGCTGTCTTGATGGGATAGAGTTTTCTAGCTCCAGAGTGTGAAATAGGTTCATTTTCAACAACACTCTGTGGCCCCATGTCAGATAAACTTTGCTTTTCTTGTCCTCTTTATGCTCAAGAAGTGTCATCTAATCCAAAAATCTCCCCCTCCTGATTTAAACAGTCAAATGTATCTTAAATTGTGAAAAGTCAGTGTGTAAAATGTAAAATCAGAACTACCTTCTCCCTTACCAGTTTCAGGCATCAAAAACTATAATTAAAAATGGTCAATTTAATCCCTGAGAGTTATTTACTTTTGTGTGTCATAAAAAATGTAAGAATTTAGATTTCATGAACATCATAAAGTCCTCACCGTGGCTTAAAGGGATTTGTTAAAAACTTCTGTAATTGTTGGTGCCAGAAACAGACAGAGTGTTACCTTCTACATCTTTGCTGATTTTGTCCTGCAAATGTCTTCTGACATAAAAACTCCTCCTGCTTTATTTGAACAGTGAAATGTATCACTCATTGTAAAAAGACATTAAAAAGGTCCATCTCTTCACTCTGCTTTAAATCATCTGATCTGACACCTTCCTCCTCACAAGAGTCACATCACAGGCACTTAAATTTATGATCTAGAAATAGTCAGTCTTGTCAATGACGTTCTTTTATGTAAATACTTTGGCCTCTTCAAAAAAACATATTGAAGTTGAAACCAGGGGTGGGAATCACTAGTGGCCACGCGATACGATATTATCACGATACTTGGGCCACAATTCGTTATTTTTGCGATTTTAAACATTTTGCAATACAATGAGAATTGTGATACCATATATATCAAAAAATAAAAAAAATTTCAACTATTTGGCAAATTTAGCATTTGATTATCATAGACTTGAGTTCTTATCAGCAATAAATTTGAAAAAATCAATACTTGGTGGATGAGACTATACGATATATCACCAGACAAGACAAAATATCGCGATACTATGCTATATGGATTTTTTCTCCCACCCTTAGTTGTACAGACTCACTCACAAACTACAAGGTTATTAGTAGAAGTTATTTTTAACCAAATGAAATGCAAAGAGTTTTCTGCGTAATTGTCAGTCACACTCTTAGTTTTTGAGAATTTACCACCTTAAACATAATATATTGTCTCATCTGTTTCAGGTGGGTTTATCCCCCCTAAATGTTTTGTCATTGCTCCCTTTTGAAAGGCGAACCATATCAGTACATAAATTAATGATAAAGGTCATCAAAGTGTAACTGTTGAGGCACAAACAGCAGCAATAATTGTGTTTTGACCGTCTTTTCTTATTTGTAGGATACTGCTCTGCCCAGGTAGTTGCTATTGCCCGTTTGCAGGAGCAGGTGTTAAGTAAGGGGTGTAAGCAGAACGGTCAACTTGATTGATAAATTGTAACCACTTTATCAGGTGCGGTAATCAAAGCCCCACCCGCCATAACAGTTAAGTACCTTCTCTGTCTGTCCTCAGCTGCAGTTCTGCCCAGCCTGTGTTCGCTTTACTGCTTCCTCCCTGCGAAAGATTTCTGCTCTCACCCCGGTTAGCAGAAGATGAGAAGCAAGATACTTGAATACTAACTGGGAAAGTGAGACGCTTACATAGATGTGGAGATAGCATATTAATGGTGTTGTTTTATCATTTTTTAAAGGTAGAAAGCCCCTGCAATGGCACCTCAAAGGAAAACTTGAAATTAATGAATGATAATCAGACTCCTTTATCTCTGTACTGCAGAGCTTTCGTCGAAGTTAGACATATTCAGATTCCTCAGCCATCTATTTTGTAGAGAATCCATTTCTGAAATCTGGGCTTTTTTAGGGCCAGTGATAATTATAGACATCATTCTCTGTCATTTATTTCCAAAGGCACAAGCCCCGATGAAACGGGATGTTAGCACTTTCACAGAATTCATTAAAGTCTCTATGAGCTTCAGCAGTTTGGAAGTGTACTCAGAGCCTAGAAGTGAAGCGGCGTGCTGTAATTTGAGCTGAAGCAAAGGAGGAGATTTTGATGAGGGACTTTTCTTTTGCAGCTTCGTTGTGAACACTTCAGAGGGAAGGAGAAGAGCGAGAGTCTGCCTTGTGTTTGTAAAAGAAAAAATAGCCGGTGCATTCAGTGCCCTGTATATGTGTCTAAGTGTATGTGTGTTCTAGGACAAGGCAAAGTCAAAGAGTGCCCTGAGTGACAGATCTGGAGCCGGAGTGAAGAGTCCTTGCAGAGACAGAAAATGCTGAGTCCTGCGTAAAAAAAGAAAACGTTTATCTGTCTACATGGAGGGAGGAAGATATCTTTTAAGAGTAAAAAAATCTCACTGTCAGCCTGGCAGAACGAAAAATGTCTATCACTTGCAGTTGCCTTGGTAACTTTGGCTTGGAATAGTCTCTGGAAATGTGTGAGTGTGTGTCTGTGTACAAAAACTGTGAATGAGGATACCCATGTTACAAACACATTTCCCCTTGCCTTGGAAGCATGCCGCCTAAAGGTGTTGCGTTTAAATGGCAGTAAGGATCAACATAAATACAGTAGATGTCAGTGACGTCATGTTCTAATGGTAAAAATGCCAACTGCTGATGAGAATTAGGATTACTGGGACAGATTAGAGGCTGCTTTTAAAGGCCAGTCAATTTAATTGCATGGAATTAATCAGGTTGTCAGGATTAAACCTTTGCTACTTAAACCACAAGAGATTTCCTGACATATCCAGCTCTTTTAGTCACAGGGGAACATTTTATAGATGGATATTGGGTTTCTCAAATCTACCCGTGAGGCGTGCTGGGAACCCCACCTGAGCAGATTGGAGCCAAAGTTGGGCTCAAAATGTAGGATCCCCTTGCAGACAACGTGCCACAACTCAAAAGGTCAGAATGGTGTCACCATTACAAGTAAAAGCCAGCCACCCATGGTGTTATTATCTACTCACAAATGCACACTTACACACAGACACATACAGGAGCACACACAGGGATGTTTCACACTACTTTCCCTGGCTTAGCTGCATGGCTGCGTCTCTCCTTACTGAAAGTAGGGCTGTCTGTCTTTGAAAAGTTCAGCTCCCACAGCTCAGAAGGTCAGGAACATTACCTCCATTTACATCTTTGCCAGACGCCCCCTCCTTTCTCTCTCAGCCATTCTAACTCTCTCCGAATCTGCGGTGCACTCTCTGCAATGTCTGACTCACAGTGTGACATCTGAAAGCAGATGAAGGCACATGAAGGTATATTGACTCTGATGCTTGAGTTTTGTACCTGTGGGCATCATCTGACTTTCTGAATTGACTTAGAGCTGTTGCATCATTCAGGCACGGAATCACAGCTTCTGTGTTGCTAATTTGATTAAGTTGACAAAATTATGTACTAAAATGCATAAATCGATAAGTGTTTTAAAAGTTCTGGACACTATGAATGGACTACATGTAGGGCTGGGTGATAAAACGATAATGATATATATTTAAAAAATTAATTTCCCTCGATATCGATATGAAACATGGTTAATATGCTTTTCGGTAGCAGGCATTCTGCCATGTTTTGGTAGACTATACCAATAGCCAATGAAAAGGGGAGTTGCTCCGGGTCTTCGCCACACCGAACCAGCCATTCAGTCCGCTTTCTCTGGCGCAAATGTCCAAGACGCACAAAGACCTCACAGATGCAGTAGCTTATTGTATTGCGAAAGACATGCTACCAATAAGAACTGTTATATTTCATTTAAGAGTAACAGGGAACATTTAAGATTGACAAGTGATTTTTTTTAATATCATGATATATATCAATATCGACTGATATAAAAATATATATCATGATAAACTTTTTCCCATATCGCCCAGCCCTAACTATATGTTTGTTGTTGTTTACAAATCCATTGAAAAAAGTCAAAACCAATAATATTCGTCTTTCTTGCGGTGCTATACCCACATTTTTCTGCAGCTTATGGGTGCTTTACTTTTGTTAAAGGTTGTTCAAACAGATCTTTCTCAGATAAGGAAAAATACAAATCTATTGTATGCCTAAAAGTGCAGAGTAGCACAATGTGGGATTGACCAAATGCTTCTAGATTGTCTTTACGGATTACAAACTGGTTAGATATTTTTGATAACAGGATAACAGCCCTCCCCTCTAAAAATAGAAGCAAGGTCATGATGTATTTAACATGAACAAAAAGACTTAGAGGGCTGTGTGACTTAATCTGTATTTGTTAATTCATGCTGACGTAAATTCATCAGACAGTTTTATCAGTGCTGCGCCTGTCGAAAGCAGTTTGTCAGAGGACTTTTCAAGGGAGAACAAATAAAATGAGACCTTGACTGTCTGCTTAGGAGGACACTGAGTGGAAGTGACAAGGGCAGTGTGTGTTTTGAACGAGAAAGAGGATTCATACTTAAATCTATGAGCTGGATGCAGTAAATTGTTAAGTGTAGGTAGGGCTGGACAGCTTTTTGTGTTGGATCAGGACACACTGCTCTTGGGCCAAGGCTTGTAATAATCTATGATATAAAAAAAACAATATAAACATTGAAATGATTTTGGCCTGAGCCATAGACTGTATATACCATGGACAACTTGGTTTCGCCTTCTGCCAGATTTGAAGCTGAAAAGCTGTCGGTATTTCCACGTTTTTTCTCCATTTCCTGAAGCCAACATTGCGCAGGACCGTTGTACGCATTCAGCGGGAGAGTCGCTGTGATGACGCTCGGCTCAAGCAGTGTATCCCCTATGTGAGCTTCGCAATCTTCATACGCCCATAGGCTGTATCAGGTGTCAATCATAGAAAACATGAACCACCTAATAACTTTTAAAAACGGAGCTGTACAGAAAAAAGAGGACTTGAGCACAAACCAGTCTTACTGTAACTACATGTTAACATCGCAAGCGGGGGGGGGAGACACATTTATATTCCGTGTAATAAATTTCTAAAGTTTGTGTATAGCTCCATAGGGATTGCTGGAGGAGGCGGGATTTATGACCTATACTGCAGCTCGTCACCAGGGGGTGCTATTCTCGGAGTGGCTTCACCCAGCAAGGAGGCAGACGGCGTCCATTCTATATACAGTCTATGACCTGAGCACATACGTTTATGCAGATGCATATTTCATAATGGCAAAGTTTTGATTAGGGGTGTCCCGATACAATATTGATATCGAATATCGGTCTGATGTCAGCAAAAAGCAATTATCAGATTATATCGGCCTGCATCTAAAATCTCTGATATCAGCACTCCAATACAAGCAGTCCATTCCAGACTCTGCTCCTGCACCTTTATCTGGCAGCACCCTGATCTAGCATTCAGAGCTCACTTAGTCACAACAACAGTGTGTACTAAGGTACTAACAAAGTAGCAAGGAGCAGAAGTGATGTCGGCCATGTGGAAGTATTTTTTGTTCAAGTCCGAAAAAGACGTTGCAGCTGAGTGCAAAACTTGTCATGAACAAGTTTGTGCTCATATTGGTTCAATATCGGTATTGGCCAATATTAAAGGCTACAATACCGGTATCATATAAAAAGTAGAAAGTTGTATCAGGACACCCCTACCTACAACTATTACCCCAAAAAGCTTCAAAAAGCAAAATTTGCGAGAATATTTAATATAATTTGTTAGAGATGTTTGACGAAAGTAATCGGAAGTAAAAAAGTTATACCGGGACACCCCTATTTTTGATTTTAAAAAAAGCTTTTTCTATGATAACACTCTGCATGTTCACTCTGTAAATACAAGAGAGTGTAGGCTTAGTCCAAATAAATTTTAGCCCCCTGTGACAGATTGAAGGTAACGTATGGAAGTTTTAGGGTTCAGATAAAATAAGCATCAGTTTTTTTGTTAAATGTGGTCTCCTTAATGAATTTGTTGACAGTCGAGGTAAAAAACTCGATCACCACCGCATTAATCCTTTAATGGGTTTGACATTAATGGCTCCCTCGGGCTGGACCACTTTATTTTGGAGGGAAAATAGTCTGTCACATGCCAGAGCACAACAGAGGACAGGACTGTACTCAGCAGGATGGGCCACTAATTTTCTGGCTGGTGCCCATTGTTGTTGCTGTTGACACTCAGGTACATTGTGAGCACAGTCACCTGCCATCTCTCTCATACAGTAACAGCCAGCAGATTCCAGCTCTGCATGGTGCTGCTAATAGAATCCTCTATTCACGCTGCATAATGACAAGAGCGCAGCAGACAAACAACAACATAAACATCCATATGTTGTTTCACACTCTGTACCTTTGTCTACTCTCCATTTCTCTTTTTCTCTTTTTATGCTATACGCTTTTCTTTTTTTCTTCTTTTTTTCTTTTCCTTTTTTGGGGGCATGAAGTAAGCAATGTTGCCTGGCAACAACAACACCATAGATGGTGCAGTGTGTCCACGTTTCTTTTCTTTTTTAAAGGTATAAAAGAAGGGTGAAAAAAAAAAGAGGAGAGGTTGGGAAGTAGAGAGATTAGAAGGAGGAGATGGGTGATGATAGATGACGTAGGGATGTGGGGGAGATGGAAAGAAGATGAGACGTGGGGGAAGATGAGAGCAAGGGTGGAGGAGGGAGGTAAAGGCCTCCTCCTGATCAGTCATTCTGTGCAGACCAGACTGACTAAAAGATGTCCGTTTATACACAAAGGCTTAAATGTCGAGAAGGAAGGAGAGAAAGAGAGAGAGGTCAAAGCTGATTTTGAAGACAAGAAGCTGATTTAACTCAAGATAATAAGAGAGGCCATCAAATATGTATGAGTTCATTTAGCAGATGTGCTCTGAACAGCTAAACAGACTGCAGTTGGCGGTACAGCTGTAGTTACAGGCTATTGTTGTTTTCATTATATCTCTCTCACTGCCTCTCCTTCGTGGTCTCTCAACATCTTTTGCGGTCTGTTGTCTAATTTCACGCAACTGGTTAGTCTCAAAGCATCATGTTTTTTTTTTCTACTGTCTTTCCTCACATTGTTTCTATCTCTACTCCGACCATTTGCCCTTTCCTTTTCTTCTATCATTTTTAAGGAACGGTTTAGAGATAAAGTCTAAGTTCACCTCTGCTAACTAGAAATAAAGTGTCTTGTTTTTTTTCTGGACACCCTCCTCTCTCGTGTTCACGGTTAAATTGGCAGAATGATTGACTGACAGATGTTTTCTGTCTCCCTCTTTCATCATCCCACATCCTCGCTCTCTCTCCTCTCATCTCTGTCTCCCTCACTTTTTTTTCAAAATCCTCTTGTCCTTCATCTCTTTACTCCCTTACGCAATAATCTTCTCCACCTTTATCTCTCCCTCCCTCTCCTCTGCAATCCTCTTCTCTCCACCCTCCACTCTCTATCCTCTCTGCAATCCTTCCCTCTTCACTTTTGGCTCTTTCCCTCCTAAAATCTATTTCTCTCTTTCATCTTGTCTGTCCTTCTTCCTCATCCATTTTTCTTCCTTTCATACCTTCTCGGCTTTAAATCCTCTTTCCATTTTTTCCAGCACTTCATTTTCTTTTCCATAATCCATCCATCCTTCCTCATATGATTCCTCTAAACAAACTGTATTTCTCTCCCTTTTTGCTTCATCCCTCCATCATCATATTAAAATGATCTTTTTCTTTCACGCTCCTTTATTCCCTCAGCTCTCTGTGGTCTGTGCTGCGATGTTGATCCTGGACGTATTGTCCCCACTCCTCCTCCTCCCCCTCGTTCTGTCACCGCGCTATCATTGCTGGGCGGCAGACATTCCCGAGGATGCTACATCAGAGTTCTCCGTCAGACTGTACCACCGACTGCAGGCAGCAGGGGATCAGGACAACATCATTTTCTCCCCGCTGAGCGTGGCCGTGGCCCTCGGCATGGTGGAGCTGGGAGCCAAAGGGGAGTCGCTGGAGGAGATCCGACAGGCGGTGGGGTTCAGTCACCTCCTGCCAGGTGAGAGACAACTTCATAACCACAAGTTCAGCAGGATCACTGCAGGTGATGAGGGAACGAAGCGCAGGTGGATCCTAAATTTTTTAGTGCAAAGTTAATTTCAGCCTACATGAAATTCTCCATAATTAATTGAGAGGGCACGCCATTTTTTTAGTCTATTTATCATGAGGAGCCATAGAAGAAGAGTTTTGAGTTTCCTCTGTAGGTCTACTGGCAGCTCTTTAAATGTCTGAAAACTTGGTGATGGTGTCAAACTGTTTTATGTCTCATTAGAGAGGCTGCTTGTTAGAATAGAGGTGTAAAGTTTGAAAGACATTAGAGCCTCATTATCCTAGTGTGTCTTCAATTTAATGATAATAATAATAACTTTATTTGTATAGCACCTTTTTAGAACAGTTGTCACAAACTGCTTCACAGTCATCAAATTAAAAAGGGTGAGACAACAAGACGTAAAAATCAACAAAAAGTACGCTAGCAGCCAAAGTCCTGGTTATACAAAGGCAAGTGTGAACAAATGGGTTAAGTATCCACAGTGTCCACAGTCCTTAGTTCTCGAGGGAGAGAGTTCCAAAGTTTCAGAGCAAAAAACGTAAATCTACAGTCTCCTTTAGATCCATTTGAAAAGTTCTCAAACTTTCACAAGTTTTCCTATTTTTGGAATTGTTCATCACTGAGAAAAAAAAAATCTTGAAAACATTCAGGGGTACTCTTACTCACATTTGAGAGCTGATATGCCAGGGTCAAAGTATTGGATATTGTGAATTCTTTGCTTTACTACCTCTTTTTAAAAGCATTTAGGGACATGTGTTTTATATAAGATAAACTCTGCTTTAAATCAGGCAATGTTATGTCTAAAATACAGAATTTTAAAGCTAGTGTTAGGAGTTTTTTGACATTTATGAAACATCATATTGATGAATTTGTATGATATTCACAAGCAAACAAGACCATTAGGAACAAGACTGACCAAAAATGTTCAGTCTTATTCCTGAAAAAAGTAAAACCTCCTGAATAGTCATTTTTAATACCTCGTACTGTTGTAAAGGGGTAGATAAGTGTCAGCCAAGTAGCTTGAGAAACAGCTCTGTTTTCACAGTTTACACAAAATATATCACCATAAATAAAACATTTGACAGTGAAAAGTCAGAAAGGATTAGAGTTTTTCCTCAAAAGTCACTACTTAAGATACGTAAAGACTGCTTTATCCACAGGAGCATTAAATACACATTTAAAAGTAAGAACTAATGTAAAAATGTATCATGTATTGCCTAAGGTGTGCGCATAAAAGGAATGGTACAGGTAGCTTTGCTTTTTAATGCAGGCCTACAGGCATCAAACACTAAATATTAGACAAATATGAACTGTGTTGTTTTGATTTTATTGAAAAATCTAAATGTAATTCTATTTCAGAAAGTTTCAGCTGTTTCAGAGCTGAAGTCTCTCCTCCTTAAATGGCCATTGGATTGGGAATTGAATAATTTTTTTGTGTAGAGAAAAAAATAATCCCACTAAACTTGATCAAAAGTCATCTCAACTTTAAATGAGAGTGAAATCCCTGGTGTTTGAGTTAGAGTGGATTAATTTATGATGTTTTAAAAGCACCTGATCTACAAAAATGAATATTGGTTCTTCATGCAGCCTGTTTTATCAGTTCAGATGAATAGCGGAATTGGAGGGGACCTCAACATTTCAGGCCAAGAGTTTAACAAGAATCTGAGTTCAGAATGGAGATCATATGAGTGATACACCCAACAGTGAAAGGGGGAGCTTTTGGACTTTTCTATTCAGGAAAAACTGAACTCCGATTTATAAAGACATCAGGGTATTAATCATTTCAGAAACACTGGTGCAAATATTCTGCATTATCTGCCTCAGACTAGAAACCTTCATGAGAACAAATGAAAGTAAAATTTTAAGCCGCTGGTAGATAAAGTCCACTAGTATTAAAGTAACATTTTAGTTCAAGGTGTAACCCAATGACTTATGGGAATGTAGTATCAATCTTGTGGTTTTTTGAGGCTGTAAACTAGAAATGCCTTGGTGTGCATCAGCTTTCGTCTTGTTTTAATATTTGTCATTTGAATCATGAAACTCTCAGCACGGGGAATATAGAATCACTAGGGCATTTCTTATTCTCCTAAAATGTTATTAACTGTGACAGATATGGTGCTACTTTAAATTATTTATACACAAGATTTGAGAAGGAAAGGAAAATGTTTATCAAATGTTGAAGAATATGTTTAATATCTTAAAATTTTAAGAATGAATTGACCCGTCAACTCTGATTAAAGTTCAGTATGTATGAAATGACTGGATAACCAAACAGTTGTGTTCATAATTGGTATAAACGCTCACTGAAAATCAACTTTGTCCACTTCTGTTCTCCAGGCACAGAGTTTTCTTTGCTCCAGAATCTGACCACAGCTCTGTCAGATGATGACGCCCACTACGTGATCCGATTTGCAAACAGCCTCTTCTTGCAGGAGGGGGTCACTTTCAACCCGGAGTTTCTGCACCTTATGAAGAAGTACTTCAGAGCTGATGTGGAAACAGTCGACTTCAATGAATCAGCAGCTGTGGCCGAACACATCAACAGTTGGGTGGAGAATCACACTGAGAGTGAGTGAACACAAAGACGCACACATTGTCAGCCCCCAGTTGCAAAAATCATGATTCTATCATCAGCTGCGTCACAGCAGGACTTTCCTCAGGCTAATGAATGCAGATCCGAACTTGCCATTTATCACCCCCTCCAGGTAAGATCCGAGAGCTGCTGTCAGCCGAGGACTTCAGCAGCGTGACCCGCCTGACCCTGGTGAATGCTGTCTACTTCAGAGGCTCCTGGAAAAACCAGTTCAGGCCAGAGAACACCAGAACCTTTTCCTTCAGCAAGGATGATGGCTCTGAGGTCCAGACTCTCATGATGTACCAGCAGGGAGACTTCTACTATGGTAAGCTTCAGCCCTGTGTGTGTGTTCCTGTGGATGTCATTTTAGGTTTTTACTTGTAGCACTTTTGTTGTGCTTCAAATTTGGGCTCATTTTTCCCGAGGTTGTTTAAAATGTTAATTCTGGATCTGAAATATTTAGAGTTAGAGTGTTATTCCCAAGAAAGGCTCTCTTTTTCTATTCAGTGAGCTCATTTGCTCCTAAATCCTACTAACAGAAACTCCTCTGTTATCTGGAATATAGGACTATTGGATGATATCACACATTTTCTTGTATGGGTTTCACTTTAAATGACAAAAAACTTTGACGATTAATCATCTTGATTACATTCGGCTTTACAAATGCAGTTAGGGTTAGTGTTCTAGATTGGATTTATCTTTTTTTTTTGCGCACCATTGAAGTTTAAGATATGTGTTCATGGTTTTTTGGTAGATTGTATTTTATAATGTAATATTTTTTGTCCCATATTTTGCAATAATTTAGGAACTGTTAAATCATTATATATTTAGCAATACTTTTCTCTTTTTTTGTAAGATCCCAAATGTCATGAATGTCGCTGTATTTCAGAATTTTTGGTCAATAGTAGAAAAAATATTGCATAGTTTTTTCCAGATAAAGCAGTAAACTATTTTTGGATAATGAATGTATTGCTTTTTACTGAACAAGAAGTATTAAAGACATACTGAAAACAACATTTTTTTAAGCATAGAAAGACTAAATTAGGTTTAAAAATAAATAAATAAAAGCAGAACATCCACCCGGATTCAAAGTAATTTTTTGAACTGCTTTAAGCACTTTAATCAATAATATACGGTGGCTGTTATCTTGATACATGTCAAATCTGTTAATTCGGTGCTCTAAATCAACATGAGGGTCTTGATTGTGCAAGCAGAGTCCTAAAGGTGTTTTTGATGCTCTTACATGTGAACTGCTTTCAGTCTTTTTTTTTTTTTTTTTTTTCAGTTAGTCATTTTTTATTTAAGACTCAAAAACATATTCTTACTGCGCTGCTGCTAAAAGTGACACTTTTGGGTTAGTTTGGTGCAATCTGTGTGTGCAGTGAGATGGCACAGTTTCATACACCTACGTTCACATACTGCACACAGAATCATTCTCACACATTCAGAACAAGGAAATGCGTGTGTGTGCGTGTGTGCGTGTGTGTGTGTGTGTGTGTGTGTGTGTGTGTGTGTGTGTGCGTGCTCGCGTGCTTGAGAACTGCAGAACAGGGACAAGTCCTTGGAGAGAAAGCTGTGTCTGCATTCTTATTGTAAAGCAAAATCATGTTGGTTAAAGGGATATTCCGGCGTTAAATTAAATTAGGGTCAAACACACCGTAACACCGAGTTAGACACTCCGTCATGAGATTAATTTTGCTGACCGCTTGCTTCTCTAGTTATACCATCTTAAGTAACAACCGCACCATAGCAATACACAGCAGTCTGAGGAGCCATAAACAAACCTCAACCAAAAAGCCACTTTATAGCCACAAATCATGCTCAGAACAGCACCTAACTTCATCAACAGTACATATAGGGTCCTAGACATAGTACTAGCCATTAAACATCTTTTTAACTTTGCCTAATTTCTTTAGCAAAGAGACTAAACACAACTCACCTACTCTCTTCCAGCAGTTGCTTGTTTGTAGCAAGACCTCGGGCCAGTCCATTACGGACTACAGTGGGGTGACACAGCTCAAGGAAGAACATTTATGATTATTACTTCAAGGAAATGATAAAGTAATGGTCATAAATGCTCTACCTTGAGCTGTTATACCTAGAGAAGCAAGCGGTCGGCAACGTTCACCTCTCAAAGGGGGTGTCTAACTCGGTGTTACGGTGTGTTTGACCCTAGATTAATTTTATGCCGGAATATCCTTTTAAAGTAAAAGTCCTCTGAAGCCCCGCCCCCTCTTTCTGCTGCTATATCTGCGTTGTATATCAGCCGCTGCAACACAGAGTAACACATGATAAATGAAGACTAATGAGTCACTTTCTTTTATTTATTCTTTTATGGAGGGAAAGATCATGAAATGCAAATAATGGGATAAAGTCGGCATTATTAATTGCCCCGTGATCTGCATCTCACAGAAGAACAAGTCAGTCAGATGGTCTAACATGTAGATTGAAAATCATGTGAGGCTTTTGTGTGTAAAATGATTGATCTTGTCCTCAATAAGTATTTCTGTACAAGTACACCCATGTCGGCGTATCGTGTGAGAAACATATTTAGCTGTACACATCTGTGTATGTACTCTTCACAAACCCATGATCAAAGGCACCAATGCACATCTGAGGCTGTCATTGTACTTTTAATACACATATTTGTTTTCAGGCGAGTTCAGCGATGGAACACAGGAAGCGGGGGGCGTTTACCAAGTGTTGGAGATGCCCTATGAGGGTGAAGACATGTCTATGATGATCGTTCTGCCCCGGCAGGAGGTGCCACTGGCATCACTGGAGCCCATCATTAAAGCACCACTTCTGGAGGAGTGGGCTAACAACGTCAAACGGCAGAAGGTGGAGGTCTACCTACCCAGGTAAGAGACAACACACGGAAACACTTACAAGTAAACAAATCCAAATCCAACCAGCTTCAAAAGCGCAGAGAGGTTTACATTTCCAAGAATCAAAACACCCATAGAGAACGTCACATGTAACTGATGATTTCAATTAAGAGGCTGAAAAGCGCCTTAATGATGGTAATGCATTTTACGTTCATCAAAATGCGGCCCCCATTATCGGAAGCCTGTGAATGATTTGTTTATTCAAATAAATGACAAAATGACTGTTCTTGAAATAGATATTTTCTTTCTAAAGGGCAAAAAAAATGCACCTCTGATGTGAAGACAGGAATAATGAATAATTACGTTCAAATTTGGCCAATTATTGTGTAAGAATATCAAAATGTAAATGACTGTAACACACTAATGGATGCTGAAATACTTGAAGTCTGATTTTTCTTTTAAAAACACAAGTACATTTCTACCTTCTTTTTGACTAGCTACTGCAAAAGCTTGGAAAATTATAAAGGTTGTACAGATAATACTTGTTGCCACCTTTTGATCTCAAACTAGAATGTAAAAGTTGATCTACAAAGACATGACTTTTCCATTTTCACTTCTTTATTCAGGTTTAAAGTTGAGCAGAAAATCGACCTGAGGAGCACTCTACAGGAGCTGGGAATAAAGAACATCTTCACCAACAATGCGGATCTCTCCGCCATGACAGGTAACACTCAGCTGAAAAAGACCCAAACGTAACATAAATGAAATCCTACTCCAAATTTAGCAAGAACTGTTGATTCAGTATCTCTGTTCTTGGCTGCATGAAGTAGCCTCAGTAACCTAGATGAGCAGCACATAGTTGGCAGGTCAGAGCCGTCACATCATCTGGACAAAAAAAAGAAAAGATTTAGAGAGTGAAAGACATACCAAAGAGGCAGAAAAAATTGAGAAGTAATTCAATATGGATAACAGATTTCATCATTCTTATATTGCTAGTGCTTTATATACAATCTATTCCAATGTACAAATGAATCAGAAGTAGTTATTTTTTCTAGGGTGACACAAATGCTCAGACGGCTGAACCAAAAGACAAACATTTCAGTACACAGTGAAAACATCATTATACATTATCATCCGACTGGTTAGCTGAGGAATTGTTCTTCTCCAGCAAGAAGATAAGAGATGTTATTTTCAATGCTTTTATTTTAATCATGAAAAATGTGACCCTATGCTCTGGTATGTCATGTTGATTTTGTTTCCTGGTCTTGAAAAGTCTGCTTCTGCACAGACTGAGAGTGTGGCTCTAATGTTAGACTCAATATCACACCTTTTTACTGACTGACTGATCATTTTGTTAAGACGAGGTGACAATTCATGTGCCTTTATGTCTGTGTGTGTGAAATAGATGGTAAGGACCTGTATATTGGGAAGGCAGTGCAGAAGGCTTACCTTGAGGTGACTGAGGAGGGGGCAGAGGGAGCCGCTGGGTCAGGTAGACATTTTTCTTTATTCTTCTGTATAATCCTAATCCGCAATAACATTTCTGCAGACATAATGTTCTCTTTGTGTAAACTAGTCTGAAAGTTAAAGTGGAGTCTGCTCACGCCTCCTCTCTCTCTGTCTCAGGAATGATTGCCTTGACCAGGACCCTGGTGCTGTACCCACAGGTCATGGCCGACCACCCCTTCTTCTTTGTCATTAGGAACCGGAGGACTGGTATGTGTGTCTCAGTGCATGCTTATACAAAATGTATGTGTGTGTGTGTGGTTTTAAACCTAACTTTCCATCTGGTCCCTCTTCCTCCAGGGTCCATCCTCTTCATGGGCAGGGTCATAACCCCTGAAGTCATCGATCCCAACGACCATGACTTTGACTCCATGTAATGCGATCTTGGCGTGAGGTCACTCAGTCTCAGCCAATCAGATCCCGACGTCATAAACGCTACCTATACTACTATTGCCATCTTCAGCTGTGTTTTATACTCTTGAAAAAATATATTATGAATATTATACAATATATTATATATTGAAATAAGACTTGCAACATATAATGTGACTGTGTTTTGATACCGGAAGCTTTAATCTCTTGGGTACAGTCATGCAGAAAGGGGAAGTTGTAGATATTCTCGAGTAAAAGATGGTTTGTATATGAGCAAAAAGAACACAAGATGTAATTCACGCACAACCCCTTTAAGTTCAGCAGCTTTGTACCCACTTGCGCCCACTCACACACATACACACACACGTGCACAAACCAGTTTTCTCTCTACTTCGAAAGAATTTTCTCTTTCTTACTACAAAGGCAGTACGCACACACTGTAATTTTCCCACCTTAAATATATTCCTGTACATTTGACATTGTGTTCTATATATTCTTATATATGCTCAATATTTATTGCAGAATACATGTGCAAACATTTTGTCCTAATAAAATGAATCTTAGTAACATATCTTATATATCTTCAGACAGTATTCTAGTCCTTTTTTACACTGTAGGCACATGGCTAATCTGCTGATGAACTAATATGCCTTATCACATCCGATTGGTTGATTTAGCCCCAGCTGGGCATCACACAGGTGAGATGAGAGTGGATTGTGTAACTATGGTAGGTTGCTATAGAAACAGAAAGGAAAAAAGAAGTGCTGTACTGTTTTGGATGTACATACAGGGAAAAACAGTAACACCAGCTGTATTCAGTCTTTACAAAATAAAACCATGAATGTGTTCCCATTATGAAGCTGTGTCCTTTTCAATTAATAGAAGCAATGTTTGCATAAGACTGTACATGCTGTCATGATATGTTCTGGTATTTTGTTTTCCCCTGTTATTTGTCGGTTCATTCTGTCATGACTGTCACAGTCTGGAGTAAAAGAAAAAGGGAAGGACCCAAAATGCAGATCAAAAAGAGGATTTATTTAAAAGGAACTAAAAGAAAAGCAACAAAAACTTACTTTGAAAATGTCCAACTTTAAAAAACACAAGGAGACTCTAGGCTACACACAGAGGCATTGACATACATGCCACACAATGAACCGACAAAGAAATAGGGGATTACAAGGACTATATATACACACACAGGGAAACGAGCAACGAGAGGCAGGTGAGACATTAAGACACAGGTGCAGATAATCACAGAGGAGGGAAAACTGAGGAAGTAAAACAAGACTAGACACACGGGGAATAAGCTACTACAAAATAAAACAGGAAACACTGAAAACTGATAGAGAATAAACTGAGAACAGGAGGGAAACCGGGTCAGACACAAACTGAAAACTCACAAGACGGGACTACAAGGGAACAGAGAAAATACACTCAGATAACCAAAACCAGGGGAAAACTAAATACCAGAACATATCATGACACGTGCAACAGAGCTTAGGACATACAGTATATACACATATAAACAAACACTATACATACTGTGGCCTAGAACCAAAGAGGCCTGCTTTTTGAGTTTGGTAAATATCACTTTATAGGAGACGCTGTATAGAAATAATCCTCATGTTCTGAGTTAATCCTGCTATAAAATGACTAATAAAAAAAAAGTAATGGCTGAACTATAAATTTTACTTTTTTTCTGTAAAAAAAACAAAACAAAAAAAAAAACAGCAACTGATAAACATCAATCTCACCCAATAACAACCAACACTAATACTGTCTGACACTGAAAAGGTTAAAATAGAACATTAGGTAATAAACATTTTGAAATGGCAATTCCATGTTATAAGAGTTGGTGCGATGTGATAACACAAAACATGAACAGATTTTCTGATAGGATCCATACCTTTCTTAACTTCAGGGACCCCAATTATCTCTGACATGACAGCAGATAGTAGACAATAAAAGAAAAGTCATGTGATATTATTTTAAGTCAAATAAAGAGCAAAAGTATAACGAATAACCTAGTATTCAAATAACTGGTAGAGGTAATAAATGTGCTAAAATAAGTATGTGCACTTGTGTTTGAGTGAATCGTTGCCACAGTATCCTGCGTTGCCAAGGGTTTTCATTTACCTCTATGAAATATCTAATAGCTTCTTCATCTCTTCAGTGTGCTTCAGTGCTGCAATATCTATAACACAACAAGCTGCACTGTTGAGGAATGACAGCCCATGGGTGTAAGAAGTTATAATCTAAATTACTTTCACCAGCTGGCGTGATAGCTGCGCCTTCTGTCACCATTGTGTGCTGCAGGAAATCTAAATCAACCCTATCCTGCCTCCTCCCAGTGACAATATCCAGAAAGACAGAGAACAACAACGACAAAGAGGCTGTCTGTCAACCTGTCCTCATGACAGCTTCTGCCCGAGCGTACAATTTACTGTCCATGTGGGAAAGCAAGTAAACACATGAGTTCATATAAGGGTAAAAGCATTAAAACATGGGAAAATCTGGCTCTTGAGGCTTAGTTAGTGGGGATACTGTTTGAACATAAATTCTGTTGATGAGTTAGTTATCAAAAGTTTACTCTGGAAGAGACATTTCTCACATTTGACACTTCCCTTAAGGCGGCTTTCAGCTAAATAACATTTCAGCCTAGGAAGTTTTACTGCTGTTCAGTGAGCCATCCTTTGATTTCCAGACACCTCATTCTTTAAAAGTTTTCGACCATAGACTGTATATAGAATGGACAGCATCTGCCTCCTTGCTGGGTGAAGCCACCGTGAGAACAGCACCCTCTGGTGACGGGCTGCAGTATAGGTCATAAATCCCGCCTCCTTCAGCAATCCTTGCGGAGTTGTGGACAAATTTAAGAAATTAATTCATGTTTTCTGTGATTGACGCTTGATACATCCTGTGGGTGTACAAAGATTGCGTAGCTGACCTGGGAGCGATTTTTTTTTTTTTTTTTTTGTAGGATGGTAGGAGAAGTTCCCGCCCTCCTTCGCTTCTGATTGGCTAGAATTGCTGGGCTCCGATTGGTTATTCCTAATGGCTATGAAACGTCAGCGTCTGTCGGGTAAGGGTTAGGGTCCTAACCCTGGACCCTATGAAGGTTAGGGTTAGGGTTAGGAGATTCAGAAGTGCTTACAGTGCTACTGCACAAGTGGTGGAGTGCGTACAACGCTACTGCGAAATGTTGGTTTCAGGAAGTGGAGAAAAAACGCAGAATTACCGAGAGCTTTTCGGCTTCAAATCCATATACTGGTGGAAGGCGGAACCAAGTTGTCCATGGTATATACAGTCTATGTTTTAGACCCTGTCATGGCCCCTGGATGCTGAAGTTTCCTGCTCAGTTATAGTTTACAGTGAATGTTTTTACTAAAGCAAAATTAGATCTTTTTTGTTTTTCCCCTTTTCTAAGACAGGAACCTTATATATGCAAAACAAATGAAATATCATATTTGTGTATTACTGTGTCAGATTTATTGAAAAGATAACCCAACATCTTTATAATCATACATTTTGTAATTCTGTTGTAATTTCTTTAAAAAGAAAAAAAAAAATCTCCAGGGCCTAATGGTTCTGTGCGTTCCTCTGTTTATTACCCTGTGCTCAGCACAAAACTCATATATACTGGCAAAACAAATATGAACATTCATTCTCAACCAGCCTGCAGGGCATTATTGTTCTTACCTCTGTCACACACCTGAACACTGTTGCCCGGCAACCAGCAGTTTAGCGCGCGGCCGGGCGGTCTCTGTCCTTCAGTCTCTCAGACTGCAGCAGTGGGCCAAAGCCGGTGGCTGTGAAGCCAACTGCACAACACGGTGGTAAACTTTCTCTTCACATTTTTTTGAGCAGACCTAGCGGGCTTCATGGGTAACAGCAACAGTTTCTCAGGGCTTGACCAAGCCGTTTACAAGGTGTTCAAGAAGGCCAGGAGAATTCATCACAACAAGACAACTGGGACATGTCAGAAAGGTAAGACAAAACCAGCAGGCATATCGTGTGCTGTTGCCGTGTGTCTTGCAAATTATCTAAAGGCTTAACAGCTTTAGTTACACCCTCCAAAAGCTAATGGCCAAACTAGCAAACTTTTAGGTAAAGCTCCATCAAACTTTGAATCCCAAAATATTTTGAATTATAGCTCTATTTATATAACATAGCTGTATTTGCTCAAGTGGTATACAATGGTGTAACTGTGTGAACAGAGTCAGTTATATTAGTTCCAGCACCTGGTAGCCTATGCCCCTGCAGACTGCAACCATTTGAAGGCACATGCTCAGGTGTCCAGTGCTGCCATGGCAACAGGTGCTCATCTGCATTGTCAGGCCTAGTTAACCGTAACTCAAACCACCCGGCTGGTGGTCAGAGTTTTAGCACTTACACTCAGGGCCGAAATTACGAAACAGACTGCTCAGATCAGGAATGACACATCATGTTGAATTTCCTTCCTTTTTTTTTCTTACACTGCTCCACCCTTATTTTTTCTTTCTCAGCTCATCGGGTGTGAACACTCTAAGTGGCAGTTTTCCCAAATCCCACTCCTCCCATTGCTCTGACCCCAGGGTTACACGCTCACCACTCTCTGTGGACCAGAGTTCTGATTCTGGGCTCGTATCTACACCTGTGAGTAGAGCACACACTCAATAAAACAGAAATTGTTAATTGCCGCTGTTTCCATCCTCTACAAAACAGAGCTTCAGCTTCAGATCCCCCTATTCCACCCTTTTTTCCTCTCTTCTGTATCACTTTTAGAGCTGAACAACATCTCCAGTCTCTTCTCTTCACTCTCTTTTTACCATTCGGCCACTGGTTACTGACCTAGTGCTGTGCTGAGCGATTTTACACCCACGTACTTATTTGAATCAAGAAAGAAAGAGGAATCCTTTCCAACAATTTCCTTCCTGTGCTTTATGCAGAGGTTTTCATAAAACATATAACTCACTCATGAATCTGTGTGTTGCAAAAATAGCAACTGTGAAGAGCGAAGTAGAAATATCCCCGGCTTCATTTTTAGTAGTTATAACTGCCTGTGTACTAGACTTGACCCAACGCATCTTGTTAAATAAATCATTTCTAAAAGGACTGGGGCTGTTTTGTGAGTGTCCAGTCAGTGAGGAACAGTGGTCAGGTTGAGCAGGGTCACTCCCACTGTGTGTCTAGAGTAACAGAGAGGGTATTAGATTACACAGGCAAAGTTAGGGTGAATGAGATGAGAGTGAGGGGGTTGAAAAGGTCAAGCAGGGAGAGGCATTTAGTTGGGCATTACAAACCTCTACGACGAGAAAGACAGCAAACAGAGAAGCGAACAGACAGCTGTAATGTTTCATTGCGTGCTACATTAGCAGTCTTGTTAATAAACTATGAAGTCTCTGAAATATCCATCTGCTGGAGGGATTTGCTGAGACAGAAGTAGCACAGACAAAAATGGAAAAATAAAATGTTTGGATGTGAAACATGACAAGCTGACGGTACTTTCTCTTTGTCAAACTTGTGTTTTTTACATGTGCCACAGCGTGACTGAAACACTTACAGTATGTTGTTGTTAGTTGAAGTTGTTATATTGGCAGAAAAGATCGATAGTAGTTGACATAGTGCGTATGAAGAGGTGGAATGAAGCTGTTCATGAGACATTAATAGTTCTTGTCCAGCATTAGCTGATCTGGGGAGGTTAGATTAAAAACACGCCACTTTCACTCTGTTAACATATGTAGCTGTGTTGGTTAATGGGCCTAGAAATTGGCCATTGGTTGTTAGCTTCATACTTACTTCACAGTGCAGTGAGGAGGGAATAGAGTTTATATTGCACTAATGTAAAGCTATGGTAGATTACGTTTTAGCTGAGCCTCTCTTTTGGTTCATCATAATGAAGCAGGATTTGTCTGTGGTGAGTTTCATAGCTCAGTGACTAAGATAATCAGTAAGATAATTTAGTAATAAAAAGCTAAGTTTTAGTAGTTGTCAAATTTAATTCCATGTGTGATTTTTGTTCATTGACTATATTAACATCTGATGTCAATCTTATGTCCTATTAACTGTCATTTTTAACATTTCTTCATAATATGCACAATTGTATTTTTAAGACTTGAGTTCTTGATTTTCACATTCATCACAATTATTTTCAAAAGAGGTAAAAACATTATACAGTGGAATATAATGGGACTAAATAGGAGTTCCCCAAAAGGTGAGGTTAGGTGGTTTATTAGCTGAAGTGCTACCTCGAAAAACGTTAAAGGGGGGATATCATGCTTTTTTTTCCAGACTCAATATTTCCTCTCTGATACCTCTTTAATAGCTTTACATGATTTTCAGATAAAAAAGCTTCAAATTTCTCACAGTGGTGTATTGAAATATCATTATTTCAGCCTCTGTGTGAAACGCTTCATTTAGCTGCTGTCTCTTTAAGGCCTCCCCCTTCTACAAGCCTACTTTCTTCTGATTGGCCGCCTCTCCAAAGACTTTCCGGAAGGCAGAGCTTGATGTTTTGGCCCCTCTGCAATATTTTTTTGTAGGATGGTAGGGGAAAGTCTCGCCTCCTTCACCTCTGATTGGCTAGAAAAGCTTGAAACGTCGTCACACGCTCAAGCCAAACGCGGGCCGTCGGCTCTGTACATCGAACAGAACATGACAGGACATTATCATACTTCTAAATCTCCTAACCCTAACCCTAATCCTAACTCTAATCCTAACCCTAAACCTTAGCCTAACCCTAACTCTAACCTGACAGACAATGACGCCTCACAGCCATAAGGAGTAACCAACCAATACAAGTCCAGCACTTCTAGCCAATCAGAGGCGAAGGAGGGCGGGACCGTCCCCTACCATCGTACAAAGAAAAAATTCTCGATTGTGGTCTATTAGCTGAGCAGCAGAGCACTGTTACTCCCATATGGCTTCATGATATATGTATATTATTATGTCTATGGCTACCCCACTCCACTGTAGGTGTCACTTAAAACGCTGGTGAATTCAGGCCGTTCTGTATTGCCGGAAGCACATGAACCAATAAGGAGAGTCTATAATTCTTACGTCACCCAGTAAGAAATACTCGCACTTGAATACAGTCTCACATTCTCACGCGTTTGTCCGAGATTTGAGCAGTTTACATCTACTTTTCAGATTATGACAAAAATTTACCTTTTGATGTGAAACTTTGCATAAATGTAGTATGGACACCAAACTTTGTAATTTTGCGGTTTCTCTCTAAATTTGGAGAAGCATAATAACCCCCCTTAAAAAAAAAAAAAAAAAGATAGCCTACAGCACCTGCCTTTCACTTACATTTTGATAATGCATCATTATTAACCTCCATGTACATAGAACATGCACCAAGGTGGTCAGTAGTGATCAATGGTGTCAGTTTTGCAACCAATTGGCCCAACCAAGTGTCGCACTAACCATCCTGTTCTTCCTGTCAGCTTCCTTCTTGTCGTTTCCGGTTCGTGTCTTGGCATTGCCTGGAGCAGTGTGATGTTACAGGTGACCAGCTGACCTGCCCCCGGGTCAGAGAAGGTCTGTATCACGCTATAATTAAATCAAAACTGCAACCTTTTGGATTTTGTAAAACGGGAATGTAAGCACAGTAAAGTCCTGCGTTCTCTGTTACTTTACTTCACTGACACAGAGATGTGATAAATGCACTTGCTGTGGTATATTATACAATATGATGAGATTATTTTGCTTAAATTCCATGTGAGTGCTTTCATAAATGTTTTGGTTTTGACAATTTCTTAAAAAAGGGCCAACAGAAGAGGAGCTGTTTGAAAGAGAGGGGGATAATATCTGTTTGGAGCAGGGTAGAAAAAGAAAAGAGGAAGGAAGACAGAGATGGGAGGAGAGGCTTCAAGAGAATTGGGAAAACTGTCTGGTAAGTTTGCAAGATTTGTGCTTGGGTAACTTAAACATGTAGATGTAAAAAGGAGATGGATAACTGCAGCTTAAGAGCAAAAGTAAAAATGAGAAATAGGGAAAGAGAGAGATGGAGATCCTAACCTGTCTCGCACCTGTCTTCTTCCAGGAGTTGAATCTATCCTATCAAAACTTAGGTGACCCCTTTCAGCAGGAGAATTTCCTCCGGATCCTCCGTCGATTAATTCGTGTGGAGAAACTACAACTGGTTGACAACTCTCTCACCAACCTGAGTTCTGTACGTCTGCCAAGGTACAAACCTCATTTCCCAGACTGCATCACAGCTGCCTAAGCTGTCGGAAAACAACAATTAAATCTTCTCTGCAGATTGATCTGTATTCTTTGTTCTTCTCTTGTTTTCCTGTTCCTTAATCGTGCTTTTAAAGAAACCATAACCACAAGAGAAAGCTTCACCGTATTTCTGCTTCCACTGGGCAGGTGTCGAATGCTAAACCTTCAGCGTAACCGCCTGGTTTGTCTGCGTCAGCTGCCAAAGCTCCCAGCCATTGAGCACCTCTGTCTGTCTGAAAATGCCATCAGGTCCTTGGGGGGACTAGCTTCTCTGGCACACGGTCCTCTCCGCTCCCTTAACCTCATTCACAACCCAGTGACCTTCACTCAGGACTACCGTGCACAGTGAGTACAGGAAGAAGGTCAATCCGAGCAAAAAAAGGAAAATGGTAAATTAAAAAAGTAAAGGCTGATATAAGGTCAGTTTCACTAAAAGTCTTGTTTTTTTCCTTCTGTGGCCTTTTCTGTGCAGAGTTTTCCTCTGTTTGCCAAAGCTGGAGGTCCTGGATGGAATCCCCAAACTGCCAGAAGACTGTCTACCTACTAGGCCACAATTATCAGACACAACCAGGATATGCAACATTTTGTGACCACTGCCCCGGAGATATCTGTCGAAACTGACTTGTTACCCCAAATCTCTCCCTACACTTGAAGATTTGTGCAAAATTTTACTGAACTGTACAAAGGTCCAGAGGGCTGTTCAGAGGAAAACTGACAACCGTCACAGCTGTTTTTAGGCCCCAAAGACAGTGATGTTACAGGAAATTCAACAGTCAGTAAGTTTACATGACACCCGAGAAAACCAAATCATTGCCTTACTCCAATTAAGACCAGACAACTGAAGAGCAAGTAAACACCTTAGTCCGAACTCAGATTGGAGTCAGAGAACTTCGATTAACACACCCAGATAATGCGATTGGAATTCGATTTTCTCTATAATGTATGATTTTGGAGTATGATTGGACAATCCATGTGCGTGTGCACCACGCCCCTGTAACCCCAGAACAAAAACACCAGAGAAAAGGAGTAGAGTGCACCTCATCTGCAGAAAAAGTAGCATGTACATCATGTACGACAAAAACAACTCTGTACGATGCTCTATCTTCATGCTCGAAAATGCTCATCAGAAGTTGAAGCCACTTCTGACGCCTGGTACCGACCTGCTGTTGTTGTCGACAGTTGTATGGGATCAACCAGAAACAGCGCCGCTGAAAAGACCCATATCGCCCCCTAGTTTTGGGGAGGAGGACACGTTTACATCAACAATTTGAATTTCTCAGCTGCATGTATTCGCAGACAAGGGGAGAAAAAAATGGAATTATGAGTTTAGTCTGATTAAGCTGCGCATGTAAACACACTGAGTGTCTTTCAAGGCCATGTAAAATGCTGTAATCATATTGGACCAGTCATGTTTATTATCATGATTTATGTCTTTTTACTTTAATTTTTTTTTCTTTTTTTTAGATATAAACGTACTTTATAATAAAAGTAGGATACCACATGAAGTGCAACTGTTTTTTACTTAATGGAGGAAAAGAAAAAGAGGGCTAATCTAGGGTGACCATATCCTGAATCCCCCAAAAGAGGACACAACTACGCAGGGGTGGAGTCACAAAGTCGCACTTAGTTAATTTTAAGAGTTTTTCAGGTCAGGTTGAGTGTTTTTTACGCTCTTCTAACTCAGTTTGTCCACAAACTCAAAACTTTCATACAAAACCCTAGATGTTTGAAGGATTTTATAAACTCCCTCAGACAAGGCCGGACATGCCGGACAGCCACCAGAAAAGAGGACATGTCCGGGTAAAAGAGGATGTAGGTCACCCTAGCTAATCAGTTTTTGACATGTTTTATCTTTTGGGCATCACATCTCAGGATTTTGTTGAACTAACAACCACACACTTCTTTATTTCCAACAAACTGCCCCTAACATTCACACAGTTTGAGAATTTTAAGTTACATCTTTCTTTCTGTGCAAAGATCATATTTCCTTTTACAAAAAATGTAAATTTTGTACATTTCTGAGACCTAATTCAATAGTCGTGGTAGTAGTGTGCATCTGTTTCATCTCAGACAAGAAACAGGACTTCCACTTTGAGGCTTATCAAACATTTAGCGTCCAGACTCCCAGGGGATAAAGGCCTCTTGTGTCCTCCTGACTGACTGGTTAATGACCCATGAGCAGCAGGTCACATACATGCACAAAAAAAAAACCCCACACAGAACATGTACACAAAGAGAAACTCCTACAATATTACAGCCTCTAAAAACTACATATACCACTGCTTCAGTAAAGATGGTGTGAATGAAAAGAGTACAGCACACCCTGCTGTCATACATTAAATAATGCTGCAGGGGTTACGCACATTGCCCTCGTCCTGTCTAAGCTGAAGGTGATTTATTCACACACTGCAACAGCATAGTCTTTAATAAGGGTTTCGTTTTTCAGCCTTGCACCTGAAACATAAACACACTTTGTTATCTGATACTGCCGAAACACAAGTATGAATACTAAACACGTCTCAAATATGAACTGGCGCACATACAGAACAGCTCTCGCCTTCTTTTCGCTCACAGTAACATGGAGAAACACAATTTATGCGGTTGATATCTCTCTAACAAGCATACAGCCAGGCACGAACTACCAGTTACATGCCTCATTGGGGTTCATTTAAGTGTGGTGGATTGTTTGTGCAGTTGTGTGTTTGTGCGGAGGCAGAGAAAGAACCGCCGCTGATGAATGAGAGATTCTGCGGAGAGACGGTATAATGAGCTGCTGGTTCATTCTCATGTGCTGCAAACCAGATCCAGGTCAAGACGAGAAGGGAGTGATGCTTTCAAGATGCTGTCAGTTATCTTCGCAGCTCATTTTAATGCTGAAACTTCTTCCAGTATGCCAGTAGTCAAAATAGGAGAGGAATTTGAGTGGATCTTCCAAAAAACGTGGGTGGAAAAGAGATGTATTTCATAACTCGGAGCCTCTGCTTTTAAGTAAATCCTGCTCTGGTGTTAAGTGGAAGATTTGGCGGCAGTGGCATGCAACTCAAGATAGACTCCAGCTCCAGGCGTTACATGTTAGAATTATCCATGCCTTGTAATTCATCCGTGAAATGATGATGGAGTGAGAGCAAGAATTTATGGAATGAAGAGGAGGTTTCATCCCTTCAAATGCTTGTCACTGTAAGAACATGTGTGCTTCCCTGTGTGCTTCCCCGTGGCCTTATTAGAACAGTAATGAGACAACTGTTGCTCATGTACTCCTCCAGCATCCCACAAGCCCTCTGGGGAGATCAACAATCTCACAGCAGCAGAGAGGGATGCCGACAGGAAGGCCCAGAAAGAGGCAGAGAGAGAGGAAGTGATGACAGGAAGTGGGAAAAAGAGCAGAAATAGAGAGGAGGAGGAGGAGGGGGGATGATTTGATTGGGACTGTGTGCTTGGGACAAATGTTGTTCATTAGAGGTAATTGCTTTTCTCAGTCAACCTCCTCTGGTTTGATTTTCTTTTCATTCTGATTTGTTGGTTCATTTCCCATGTGAGCAGCCTCGCACAATCTTCTCACCTCTCTAATCACAACCAGTGAGGAACAGAGCTGGCAGGAGTTTTTGTGTTAAGTGTTTGTGGCCCACAGAGCACATGTGATAAACTGACGTGAAGTGATTAAGATTTATTCACTTAATGAAAAAAAATTCTGTGATTTTCCCCTTTTTCATAAAACCTTTAATGGTCATCTTGCCACTGTTAAAAACAAACCTGATTGAGTCAAACTGTTTGAATGGAGCTTATTCCATCTAAATTAAGCACAAAAAGTGAGGAAATTCGTGTTTGGCACATTATTTCTTTGTTGGAAATAAATCTTATACTGGTGGAGCCGATCTATTTCCCTTTTTAACGGTGCCACATTTGTAAGGAACACGAGGATGAGGTGCCAGGCTGTTATGGGAGTGTATGGTTCTACTACACGCTCCTGACGCTCCTGTTTGTTTTTTCTTTTTTTTTCATTACTTAAGGTGTTTTCAGCGGTCTTTAAATTGTGATTATGAAGTTTTTAGCCAAAATCGTGTTACCTGTGTCATTTTCAAGGACTTTTCTTCTACAGAGCCCCAGTAGATCATTAGCAATGTGTCTCTGAGTCGTGGGCGGAGACAGCGCTGCTCTGCACACTCCTCTTCATGCTAGCTTGTAGCCTAGCCTTGCTCGTTCAGCAGAAGTGGCAGGTAACATAGGTAACATGCCTTGTTTCTTCAGACTTCAGTCATCCAATCCACTAATCAAGAGTCAATGGCTGAATAAGCTGTTTGGCAGTGGCTGAGAAGAGAAGAGAAGAAATTTTTCACAACCTCTGTACCCTGCTGCTTACCCCACAAATCCATGTTCTTTACAACAGTGGTAAGAAAAACTGTTTAAGATTTATGACAAGATGCATTGTTACAATTAAGAAATAACCTACCGAACACAAATTCCCTACTTTTTGCACGAAGTTTATTTTATCAGTTATATGAGTCTACAGGACAGAAGCAAAAGTTGAGTATCCCAACAACTTACATGAGATCTCCAGGTGCTGTCAGGCAAAGTGAAGTGATCCTGTCAGAGTCCCTCCAGCGTACTTAGTAGAGGTGTCCCAATACAACTTTGTGCTAATATTGGATGTTAACTTCCAGCTAAGCACAAAGTTTTGCACTCAACTGCAATGTCTTTTCGGACTTCAATGAAAAATTCTGCCATAAGGCCGACACCACTCCTACTGCTTAGCTTAGTCCCTTGGTTCAGTGTTGTCATGATTACATGGGCCCTGCATGCTGGATCTGGATGCTGCTAGATAGAGGTACAGGAGCGGAGTCTGGAATGGACTGCCTGTATCGGAGTGCTGATTTCGGAGATATTAGATGCAAGTGGATATAATTTGATATTCGAACTTTTGCTGATATTGGACTGATATCCGGTATCAATATCGAATCGGGACACCCCTAGTGCTTAGCTTTACATTTGTAACAAGTATTTATGTAAGAGCATTCCTACGCCAAGAATGGTCGCTTAAAATGCTGGTAATACATAATTGTAAAACATCAAGAATGTTTTTTAGGGTAAGATTGTTGGAAACAAGTCAGGCTCGATTTATTTGAACTTTTCTATCATCAAAAATACCAACCATCTATCAATTCTTTAGTTTCTCGTTCATTTTCAGTTTTTTTTCTTTTTTTATTTACACATTTGTTATTCATAATTGATGTACCAAACATGTTTTCACTTTATCTTATCCATTAAAATTAAGACACTTGAAAAGATTAAGTCCAGAACATACAGCATGCTGATATTTTTACTGCTGAATATTCCATTTGAGTTTTTTTTTTCAAATCTTAAACTTTTATGACGGGCTAGATCAACGGCTACATGGCAGACAACATCCAAAAATATTTCTGTTATGGCATCAGTCTTATGAAATAGTGGCTCTGGAAATCTTTACTTCATAAAAAAAGCCCACTCCAGAGAGTACTGCCGTGTTAGTCCATTTTACAGAATGGTTCACAATTTGACAACACAATCACTGAAAACCTTTTTATTTTGCACACACACCATTCAGGTGACAGACATGGTTCATTACCATTAAAAACCCACTTTTGTATCAAATATAACCTCTTGAAAATGTACAAATTGTCATCATTTATTAAACTACACATTTTCCGACAGTTTCCTAAAATTTTTGCTGAAAATTGCATAAAGTTTGTGAATTTCATTCACCCAACAGTCGTCATGATACAGTCCTCTATGTAGCCTGCGCCGAAGCTGATGCTAGAAGTTAAATAATAACAGTCAGGCTCTATCGCTCCTGTCCTGTTGAAATGCTCGTCAAGGTGAAGAATGACTACAACCCTAGATGAGGCTCATAAGAATGCAAAGGCACATGTCAGTGTGACACTTTCAGTAGAGAACGGTCTCACCAGAAATGTCTCTTTGAGCAGCACCTGTGGAAATATACAACTGAAACTCTGTAGGATCAGCATGAAGCAGTAAAAAAGCAACTATGGCACAAACCGGATCAGTAAAAGACAATAAAGGGAACTTTTGCACTTTTTTATGATTGTCAGAGATATTACAATCAACAATAAATAACAGAGAAAAGAAGAACAACGTGGCTGATTGGAATGAAAAAATGAAAATTGTAACACTACAAAAATCCAACTCTCTGTATAAAATGTTCATATAAAGACACCAGAGTTACATAATTTATCTTTCTTTATACAAACTTAAAAGACTGAACAATAGAAGTACATTCTCTGCCTGTCTGCAGCTGAAAAACAGGATCAAGCTGGTGATCAGGCAAGTTTATGAAAAGACAGATGAACAAATTCATCTTAAAAATTACAGTATTTATCATACTTCAACCCCGCATCTTCTGTCCATTCCCACAGTGTAAGCTGCTTCGCTCCATCCCTACAGTTTCTAAACAGCAGCCTATCCCCCAGACACGAGATATTCACTCTTTTCTTTACTTAGTTTCTGAACGGATGGCTGGGTTTATTCCTTTGGGAAACAAGTGAAACATAGATTTGCTCCAGCTGAAAAGGCACTGCAACAAGTTCGACTCTGTATACGCCTTACATCTCTGCCCTCCGATTGGTGCCCTTGTTCTGACCGTCTGGGTCCTCTTCTGCTTCCTCCTCTTCATCTTCATAGTTCTCTTCCTCATTCTCTGCCCCTTTAGCATGAGGCCCCTCTTTTCTTGATCCCCCTTGGTTTTTAACTTCATCCTGGAGCAAATATCACACACAACAGGCAAGACTGTTAATTGCCATGATAAACAAATTCGTGAGTGTCCAATTTCTCCCCTAAAATTGATAATTTCAGGCACTTAAACTAATTCATTATACAGATCAATGCAGCATATTATCGCATTGTTTTGTCTGGTGATATATCGTATTGTCTCATGGACCTAGTATTGATTTTTCAAATTAATTGCTCATGTGAAGTCAAATCTATGATAATGGAAAAATAAAATCAACTGTTTGTCCAGTGAGGTTGGCAGAGGTGACACCATAGAGCAGGAAAAAGTTAGTACAACAAATATATATAAGGTTTGCAAGAGAATAAAATACAGCGTAAAGAAGACAAACATAAAGGAAAGCCAGATGCTAAATTAGCTAAACAGTTGAGAAATTGCATGAATCACAATATGTTGTATCGGAATACTCACTGCATTGCAAAATATTAAAAATAGCAGTAATATCGAAAGTACTGTGATACTATCATATCGTGATAATATTGTATTGTGGCCAAAGTACTGTGATAATATTGTATTGTGGCCAAAGTACTGTGATAATATTGTATTGTGGCCAAAGTATCGTGATAATATCATATTGTGGCCAAAGTATTGTGATAATAGTGTACCTTGGCCAAATTATCGTGATAATATTGTACCGTGGCCAAAGTATCATGATAATATCGTATTTTGGCCAAAGTATCATAATAATATCGTACTGCGGCCAAAGTATCGTAATAATATCGTATTGTGGCCAAAGTATCGTGATAATATCATATCGTGATGATATTGTATTGTGGCCAAAGTATCGTGATAATATCGTATTGTGATCAAAGTATCGTGATAATAGCGTATCGTGGCCAAAGTATCGTGATAATATTGTATTGTGGCCAAAGTATCGTGATAATATTGTATTGTGGCCTGAGTATCGTGATAATATCGTATTGTGGCCAAAGTATCGTGATAATATCGTATTGTGACCAAAGAATCGTGATAATAGCGTATCGTGGCCAAAGTACTGTGATAATATCGTATTGTGGCCAAAGTATCGTGATAATATCGTATCGTGATAATATCGTATCGTGATAATATCATATTGTGATAATACTGTATTTTGGCCAAAGTATCGTGATAATATTGTATTGTGGCCTAAGAATCGTGATAATATCTTAGTGATAATATTGTATTGTGGCCAAAGTACTGTGATAATATCATATTGTGGCCAAAGTATCATAATAATATCGTACTGTGGCCAAAGAATCGTGATTATATCATATCATGGGGCCACTGGTGATTCCCATCCCTATAACTTTGTCTCGTTTGTAAATTATTTCATTTTTATACAAATTTAAGATGTAGAAAAATCTTCATCTACAAGTTCATCCAAACTAAATTTGAGGATTGAACAAGGCACATCTATTTATACTGAAAAATGTATCTTCCATGTTCAAGTTTGACTAAACACTGATTGCGTAGTAGTGGACTGCCTAACCTGAATGAAGTAAAAATTCCTCTAAGTTCAAATCACAAGAGAAACACAAGAACATTTACTCAATGACATAACTACAACAATAATATAAGACAATATTCACTTAATCTTCTCATCTGCAGGGAAAGTTTACATTTTTACTACATCAGTTTACACACTGACTCTGAATGGCACATATCTTGTTCATCTCGAAAAAAAAAAAAAAAAAAAACAGGTTATGAATGAGTGAATATCACAGTTCGCTTGGGTCAAGAGTCAGTTTCAGTTACACAACAGAAAGTAGTAGGGGCTCAAATATCTTGCTCAAGGACACATAAGCAGGTTGGGCTGCTGGTTATCATTACTCAACTCTACAGATCATATCACTTCCTGAAAACACTCCAGAATATTTACTCAGTCTAACCCATTTTGTAATATGGTATGTAATCAAGAGCAGGGAACACACACCATTAGATAGTTGTGTGTGTTAATAGTTTGAAAATGTGCACAAGTCTCTCAATTAAACTGATTTCCTCTCAGGGCAAATTAAATAAAACAAGTGAGGTTGCAACCAGACACTCAACATCTGATCTCCCTCATTTATCAGAACAGACACAAGAAAGGCTAAAGTTACAGGGACAAAACACGGACATGGACACACACGGTAACACGACTTTATCCCTGCGTACATCCAGTACATCTGATACCTTGGTAATGAAGGTGTTATTTTTCAGTTCATTTTAACAGCTGGAAATGTGAACTGATATCAGCTGATACGTTATTTTTGGGCAAAAATGCAGCGTTCAATCTAATCCAAGGAAACCATCAATGGAGAGGTGACTGAAAATCCATTGATACCAGTGTGATGAAATCATAGTCAAGTTAAACTGAGAAAACTTTTTGTTTTGAGTCAAGCAGCTGCACACACACATTTTAACAGATAAAATTCAGTAATGACACAGTAGGCCGTCTACAGAAGAGGGTTAGGGAAAAAAAGATCAAGTTAAAAAACAAAATTCTGAGAAGAGTCAGAAAAGTCAAAATTCTGACTTTAATCTCATAAATTAGAATCTGAAGTCAGAGATCTTAATAGTTGGATGTTAAAGTCATAATTCTGACCCTTTTCTCAGAATTCTGACTTGAATCTGGCTAAAACAGGAGTGTGACTAATATGTATTAGAACTTTGAACTCACCTGTTCTATGTTTTCCTCATTGTATGGATCTTCTCCTTCCTCCTCCACCTCCTCCCCTCTCTTCTGACCACCAGCTATATCCTCCTGGGCCTTCAGGACAAAGGAGTTTGGACGTCAGACATGTTTCTTTTTTTTTTTTTTGTGATATCTGAAGCAATTTTGGTAAAAATGAGTGTAACAAACCTCGTCTTCTACTTCCTCCTGATACTGGTCATCCAGTGTGTCTTCTTGTTGATCTGGGTTTCCGGCCATCTAAACACAAACAAATGAGATGAGTTACCACCACTTTAAAATATTTCATTTAATAGATCCTGAAGTTTTCTCCCCTCTTTTTTTGCAATCAGCATGGTTGCCCCTCTCTTCTATTCTGTCGATTCCAGCCCATATCCTCAGTTGTTCGCTGTCTGCTGCAATCTCTGCCGTTGTTTGAGCTGATGTTGAATGAACTTCCCCCTTTCTCCCATTTCTCTTACTAACCACTAGTTCTTCCTCCACAGCAGGTTGTTCGGGCCTCTTATGAGTGTCTACGTGCTGGGCTGGGGCGGCAGGCTCCTCTTCCTCATCTCCCACCTCCTCTTCCTCCACTGTGACCCTGTGTTGTGGTTGCTCATCCTCAGCCTCCTCAAACTCATCTTCTCCCTGGTTGTTGGGGTCATCCTCAGGGTCCAGCTCCCCATCTACACCACCCTGCAAAGGACAGGAGAGCAAGAATACAAGAGAATGATTAGCAGGACACATTAATAGTGGCTCTTGTAGCTGAATAACAGCTTCAACTAGGGCTGCCACGATTATTCGATTAATCAATTAAAGTTCGACAATCGAAATGGTCGACAACTATTGTAGTAATCAAGTTTTTTTTTTCGCTTTGTTTTTCACTCGAAAGTGCCGCAGTACGTTCTGCTCATAGCCTCCTGTGTGTGCCTTGTCCTGGACGCGATATATATATTGTTTGTAGGAGAGTAGGGGAAAGTCCCGCCTCCTTTGCCTCTGATTGGCTAGAAAAACTGGAAACATCATCACATGTTCAAGCCAAACACGCTGTCGGCTCTGTACATTGAATACAACATTACAGAACATTATTGCACTTCTGAATTTCCCAACCCTAACCCTAACCCTCATCCTAATCCTAACCCGACACATGGTGACGTTTCACAGCCATTAGGAATAACCAATCGGAGCCCAGCATTTCTAGCCAATCAGAGGCGAAGGAGGGTAGGACCTTCCCCTACCATCCTACAAAAAAAAAAAAAAAAAAAAATTGCATCCTGGACACACATGCACAGTAGAGCTCATAGGAGTTGGCATCTGATGTCACTACAACTCAGTAACAATGGCAAGCAGGACGCATAGCTCGAGTGTTTGGGAGCATTTTACCAAAAATATAGAGGGGAAGACTGTGAAATGCAAGATCTGCAAGGCAGATATTTTTGATACCATTTTCTATTTTGTATTTTAATACTATTTTATAAAGCAAACTTTTATAAAAGGTTGAAATGAACTACTATCTTAATTGTCTTCTTTTTTAGTAAGCACATACTCTTGAACATTTCCAGACCCGGTTGGTCCCATTGAGATTAAAAATGCTAATGCAAAAAATTTTTAAAATACACGATCCGATTAATAGAATAATCGCAAAAATAATTGAAGTCTAGCGATTATCAGATTAATCGTTTGTGGCAGCCCTACTTAAAACGGAAATATATGCAACATAAACATCAGAATAAGAGTAAGAGATGTGGTAAAATTAACAATGAAGCTGCTGCATGGCAGATCATTAATACAAAGAGACTGTAGCAGTAAGTCTGCTCAAATATTCCATTGATTGCATTGCTGCTGTTCAGGAGATTTAATAGATCACTGAGTTGATGATTGTGGACAGAGAGGATGAAATAACCAATGTGTGGATGGATGGATGACACATGATACACTGGTCTGAATGCTAAGTGACTGTATGTGTAGAAAGAGTGGACAGCTGATGAGGATGCATGTGTTAACAGACAGAGCAGACAGGATGGATACACAGTCACCTGCTGATGTGGATGCCCTCTGTGATCGGCCTCTTGTCTCTCCTCCTCCTCATCATGTAACATATGAACGTCTCTCTCTGTCGACAAAACGTAAACAAAACAATGATTTGGTATCATGTTACTTCAATGATGCAATAATCTGATAAACTAATCTGCTGTTGTGATCTTTCTAGCTCACCTTCTTCATCATCAGCGTGCTGGACTTCTTCTCCCTGAACGATGTCATTGTCCATATTCTCATACTCATTTCTCTTCCTAGAACATTACAGAAAAACACAAGATACTCAAATCCATCCTTTTGTTGTTATAATACAGTCTCTATGTCCAGGTTTGTGAGGAAAACATCTTGTTAAAAGGTAATTTTTTTCTGATTTAATCAAAAGTTTTTGTGCTCTTTTATTAAGTTCCATCTAATAGGATTTCTGACCTTTGGTGCTCCTCTCTCAACAGCTGCTCCCTTCTGTCAGCCTCTTTGTTATGCTGCTGCTCCCTCTCCTTTTCCTCCTTCAGCCTCTGTTCCCTCTCCTTCTGCACCTTTTCTCTTTGGGCCTGCAGAGCCTCCTGATGCAGCTGGATCTGTCTGCGCTGCTCAGCCCTCTGAGCCTCCAGACGCTGCTGCTCCTGCTGCTGCTCATAAGCTGACTTGATTCGTTTGACCTTGGCATGGGCCGCGTGTTCAGGCTGGGGCCCCTTTAGAGAAGAAGGGCAAATGAGAAGGGAGTAGAATGAGTGGGAAAAAACCACACAGAGTTTGCTGAGAGATGAACTTAACTTGACCCTGGGAAAAGTTGACCACATGGCTATGATGACAATTATTATTTCAGTGAACTCTTCAGAAAAAAAAAGGGAAAAAGTTTGAATTTTAATCCTTCTGGGATGAAGCACAGATAATAAGCACTTCAGTCTGAACAGGAGCTGTGTTCAATATGTTACGAAAACAATCACTCATCATTTTGAGGTTTCCGAGGTTGTCTCTGAAAGCTACTTGCAAGCTTTTTTCATAACACTTCATAAAAACAAGTTCAAACATGCAATTATCTACTTGATTAAAAAGACGATGTGGTCTGAACTAGTTCTAACCGGTTGTGGCTGGTGTCTTTGTTGATCTAGGGCATTCTCATCCGGCTGTTCCTGTTCTGGCTCTTCCTCTTCCCCCTGCTGCTCATCCTGAGGCTGATCTGGGTCCTCTTCAAGCTTCTGAGGCTGTCCAGCTTGAGCCATCTCCTCCTCTGCCAGCTCCCTCTTCCTCTCTGCTTCTCCCTCTCTGTCTTCCTCTTTTTCTGACAATGCGTTCTGGGACTGAACGTGTACATTTTCATCTTGATGGTGTAACTGTGACAAACCGAAGAAAATAAAAAAACGTGTGTTCATGAATTCATTTTATAACTTTTGACTTGACTTAAAAAGGGATCTGAAAGACTCGGCGTTACCCTGGACTCAGTGTCCTGGTGATCTTCATGGTGGGCCGGTTCATCTTTATGTGCCTGATCCAGTATGTTTACCTGCTGGGCTTCATGAACATGGGGCTGGGGTGCTATGGCAGCTGCTTGTGACTGCAGGGGTGCAGGGTTTCTCCCTGGCTCTCTTGCATTATGTTCTCTATTCAGAGTTTCTCTCAGTTGCTTGTATTCATCCACCTGCACCTAAATAACACGACATACAAACCATTAAGAGGGTTGAGAGAGAGAGAAAGTCTATGTTATCATAAATACAAGATACTATACTGTACAGTTAAATACTAGAATAAACCGTTCTTTATTATACAATACCCTGCTGTACTATATTACACTAGACACTAGTGCTGGGCGATTGGACGGTATATATCGTTGGCACGATAGAAAATGTCTATCGTGCCATTTTTATTCTTATCGTTTCGGGCGATAGGTTGTATTTAATCCATAGAGCTTGTGCCATCAGATGATTCATAGTAACAACAACAATAATTGCACATTCAGTAAGTGTATTTGGTGTCGAACGGGAAAGAAAACAATATTTTCTTACAAAGAAAAGGATGCGTTGACATGTAGGCTTGCATTTCTCTTTCGATTTTGCGACATGACGCCGCTTTACGTGCCCTCTTTATGTCCAGCGCCTCCCGCCGTTGAGGGTTACCTGGGTTACACACGTGAGGGGATCATTGTAAGCAGTGCTTAATTTGTGCCGGAGCAAGTCGGAGCGCGATCCGGGACCTCTTTTGATCGGATCTGGGACCTATTTCAGCCGCTCCGGCACCTGTTTCATCTGCTCCGGGACCTTCCCTGTGGAGGATGACTTTTTTCGGGAATTCCCGTGGGTCACGTGATTCCCGCGGGATGGGAGTTTTTTTTATTAATCTCTTGATCGGGACGGGACGGGGGAAAAAGCAACGGGAGTGGGCAGGAGCGGGAACAACATGAAAAGATGATCTTTTTCAGCCGTGTTTAACAACCAGATGAACAGGTGCGTCCATTTTTGTAGTCATCTCTCAGTGAGAGTAAACACTCTTGACCGCGCTAGCAACACAAAAGAACTACAACAGCGGTTTGACTTCCTGTCAGCTGGGAGCGCGGCTGCGCATTTGTACCCTTCAAGCCAGCAGCGAGGAAACGTAATTTTGTGACATTCTGTAGTTTTTCAATCATTTCTGGAGTCGTGGCGAATCAAATCACCTTACCTGTCTGCCCCTGATAGGCGAATAAAGCGCTCGGATTCATGCTCGGGTCTTGCTACGTGCTTCAAGAGAAAAGTAAACAATGATGGAGGCAGAGAGCAGCTTTGGAGGAGAAACATCTAGCAGTGTGAACAACCTCTTCAAAAGAGCCCTAAAGACCTACCTTTTTAATAAAGCCTTTGGTTAGTTTTCCTCTATGCTTTATGCTTTTACTACCTTGCCTCTTACATTGCAACTCTATATATTTTATTTTTTTTAAATTCTTTTTTATGCTAATCTGTGACTGTCATTCTATTGCTTTTTTTTTATTGTTGCTGCTCTTTTTTTACTGTGTACTGTAGCACTTTGAGATTTTTTTGTAAATGTAAAGTGCATTACAAATTAAATTTATTATTATTATTATTATTATTATGGAGTGCTTCGGCTCACACTATCAGCATTTTCTGTAAGTGTTACATAACTTTGGGTGAGCACAGACATGAACGCACTTCAGCCACGTATTTGTTTATTCATTTTTCTAGTTTTAAGTGCTGGTCTTGTACTGGTACTGTACTAGTGCAGCTGTATACACTTAAATTTTTCATAGAACTGAAAGCATACCATAGCTATATCGTGATATATATCGTTATCGTGATATAAAATGATCCATATCGTGATATACATTTTTTTCCATATCGCCCAGCACTACTAGACACTGTACTATACTATAACAACCAAACCTAACTTTACATCACTATTCTACTTTATTCTACACTCTATAGAACTATAGTACTATTTTCGTACTAAAGTAAGCAACGCTTCATTGAACTACGATAAACAACAAAGTTGAGTACTTGACTACACTAAGCTTTACCTAACCAAACTTTACTTTGCCGTAGTAAACAATAACATGTTAGACTACACCACACCGTACTTTACTTAACTAACACACACTTTGCTAATCTATATGATGCTTTACTTCAGAACACTTCACTTGACCATAACATACAGTACCACACTAGACTACACTACACCACATTATACTACAATATACCCTTTCTAAAACTTGCTGCATACTATACTTTATTTAATCTTAGTTTATAAAGTACAATACAATGGTAGTCTAGGCTCTTCTATATTAGCTGTAACCATTCCTATCTACTCTTTTCTATACTATATTACATTGAACTATACCTGATTAAACTGTACTATATCATACTATACTATACAAGATCTAAGCTTTTTTTATTGTGAATACAAAACTATATTAAATTATGCTATACCATTATACTATCCTATACTACACTACACTATACTATATTATACTTTACTAAACTGTAATATACTATACTACACAAGATTCAAGATTTATGCTTTTTTATGGTGAATACTATACTACACTATACTATACTATACAAGAGTCAAGATTTATGCTTTTTATTGTCAATACTGTAATATACTATACTATACTATACTATAATATACTTTACTGAACTGTACTATACTATACAAGAGTCAAGATTTATGCTTTTTTATTGTCAATGCTGTAATATACTATACTAAACTATTCTATACTATACGAGAGTTATGCTTTTTTATTGTCAATACCATACCATACCATACCATACTACACAAGATTCAGGATTTATGCTTTTTTATTGTCAATACTCTACTCTACTGTACTCTACTGTACTATACTATACTATACTAAAACTATACCATACTATAATATACTGTACTAAATAGATTTGGAATCATTCACTCAAATACAGATTTGGATCGACCACCTGTTTTCTGTGGCTGGAATAAACATCTCTGTACCTGTGCTGCAGCCAGCGCACTCTTGTGGTCCTCCAGTGTCAGTGCAAGGTGATCATGGGCTGCTTTCAGATCCTGATGTCGAACCTGACAACAGAAGTGCAAGCCAAAAGCATGAATTTTACTTCTTTTTTATGGAGGAGGGCCTCAGTTTACATGCCCTGATTCTTTTTGACATGAATTTAGTCTCACCTGAGCATCCTGTAGCTGTGTGTGGATGTCATGGTGGGCTTTTCTCAGCTGTTTATTTTCCTCTCTTAGGTTATAAACACTATCTGCAGTACAAAAAAAAGGAAAAAAAGAAAGAGAAACAGGAAACCTTTGAAATGGTGGCACTGAAACTAATTTGCAAAATATAAATTGAAATATTTTTTAGTTTTCTATTCTTTTTCTTTTCCTTAGGCACAAGATCCAAATACTGGTTCCACTTTGTTTCAAGTATTTTCCACATTTAATGCTGAACAAACATCTTTGAGCAATGCAGTAAATATTAAATTGTGTAAAATAATATCAACATTATTAGCACACACTGTTTTTCTAACAAAAGACTAAGAGTCTGACCACGGAGCAGCAGGCATGTAGTATTTTATTAAGTCAGAAGATGGAGACAAAGTTACAATGCTGAATGAAAATGCTTGGACTGTCACCACTCATGCCTGTATCTAACTATACCTGAGAGGTACATACAACAACATACAGAATATCTTCATTTGTGACCACCAGTACCTTTGAGTTGAGAGACTTCTAGCTCTTTGGTTTGCTGCAGTTTGTCGAAGCGCTGTCTGTGTTCATCCAGCAGCCGGCTGTGGTCCTCACCTTGGACTTGGTGCTGGTCTTGAAGCTCATAATACTGCTTCTTTAGGTCTTCATGCTGATTCTGACAATGAGGAAAGGCTGCGGTCAACATGTGATCTATAATTTGTGTTCTTTCTTATCATCAAGAAGGCCTTATTCATCAGAGGAGAGGTGTTGCTTTTCATCAAGCTTTAATTTTACAAACAGGACGTGTGTAAAGAGTATATGTGTTTATGAAAACTAGGAGGGAGGACAGATAAGCGTCAGCACTGACTAAAAGAATAAACTATCTGAGTCAACATAAATCTATGAGTGAGTTGTTGTACCTTCAGCATCTGATGCTGTACTTGAAGAGAATTGAACCTGCCGTTGGCATCTTGCTGTTCAGACAGAAAAAAAAGTTGCACAACAAAATTGTAAAAATCCAATCCAATCCGCTTTATTTATATAGCACATTTAAAAAAAAACATTCAAGTTTACTAAAGTGCTGCACAGTAAAATTAAAAGGACAAAAACTGCAGAAAACATAAAGAGGACATAAATAGAAACTGGTAAAAAATAAATGAAATAAAAACACAAAAGCATAAAAGAAATAGAAGTGATAAAAGGATCATAAAAGACATAAAAGGACAGCGATCACACAACTCTCATGCTGAGCTAAAAGCCAAAGAATAAAAAATGAGTTTTAATACAGGATTTAAAAGTAGAAAGAGTGGGGGGTGTTTTATTCTCGAAAAAGAAATTTTGACTTTGTTGTAGGTTTAATTTTACAATTTTGTTCCTGACAGAACAGACACAGGCACTTAATAGTATCTTACGATGACAACTGTTGTAGCACTACTTTTGGATTCACAATTTGATAAAATAATTCAAACAGAAAAAAATGAAGAGGTAAATGAATGGAAACCAAAATACTGTATTTCTAAACTGTATTTCTAAATGCTCAGAGACGACAGAGATAGTGACCAATTGGGAACTTACCTTCTCCTTATTGAGAGATTGTTGTGCTTCTAGTTTGTAAACCAGATAATCTGGAAAACAAAAATAGTATGTCATTTCATTTTAATACATGAAATTTGCTGTATGTAAAAAAAAAATAAAAAAATATCTGGTTGACATGGAGCTTAGCCAGACGTGAACCCTTTAAAAACTTGAATCAAAGTGGCACTGAATAATTTCTACAAATAGTCACAGAGTCATAAAATCAAAAAAAAACTAAACAGACAGATTCTTTAACTCTGAACATGCATTTAAATAAATGTTAAAGTGAGGGGAAAAAAAAAAGTTACATTCCTCTAAAAACTACCACAGTTTATAAGGGCCACATTAAAAAAAAAAAACATTAAGACTTCGAGATTAAACTTGACTTACAGGAATAAAGTCATTACTAACGAGAATAAAGTCGTAATAAATTCATTACTTATAAGAATAAAGTCGGAATAAAATCATTATTTACGAGAATTAAGTAAGAATAATATTATTACTTACGAGAATAAAGTCGGAATAAAATCATTACTTAAGAGAATAAAGTCTGAATAAAATCATTACTTACGAGAATAAAGCTGTAATAAAATCATCATGACAGGCTATTTATAATAAAGTGATACTGATTTGTGAAAAGATTAAATATCTCCTTGTTTGAGAAACCTATACTGAAGTACATTTTCTTGAAATGCTCCATGGCTCTCATTTCAACAACTGTCATCTTCAACAGCAGGTTAGAATATAAGGACTATATTCTCGTAAGTAATTACTTTATTACGACTTTATAACTGTTAGTAAAGACTTTATTTTCATAAGTTAACGACCTTAATCTTGAAGTCTTACTTATTCTTAATGTGGCCCTAGTACTCCAGCGTTATAAAAAAACAGCTGAACATCAGCATTGATTTAATTATATATATTTGAAGACTGAACAAACAAAAGTAAAAGTATAATAATGTCTATAATGATTTTAAGTCTTGTGGTTCAGTAATTGTTTTGCCTCATTTTCAGCTGTCTCATAATGAGGATAGTAATCCCTGAACACCTCAACCTAGGAGCCAGAATAAGGTGTCGTTTAACTCACCTTCTTTGGCCTTTTTGTGCTCCAGCCTCTCCTTCTGAAGGGACTTCTCTAACCTGGAGCGATGCTCATACACCACTAAACAAATGAAACAGATAGAGACCACAGAGATTTAACAGGATTTCCTCCAAACAAGAAGAAACAATGACAAAACTACACTCAATATGTGGACTAAACAAACCCACATGGAGTCTTTTGGAACCAAAATATGAGCCAGAATGTTTATTTTATGGTTAATAGAAGAGCTGGAGTGGGAATGTGATATTTGCTGTGATTTTGTACATGACAGCTTCTCTACAGGCAGTGAGTTGTGATATTCATGACATTGGTGGAAGATAGAAGCAGTGTTATTGTCTGCTACAAGCAACAGGAAGTGATTGCAGGAGAGATTTTGAAGATAGACTAAGCTTGTTTTGATGATAATCTGGTAATTTTGCCACAGTCAGTGTATGGTAAATCATTTTCTAATCATTCACAGAAGAAAATCATCCCTGAAGCTCCTTTGTAACCTGAAAACTAATAAAATAAGATCCTGGTCTAGCCTTTACATTCACCTCTAACGTCCCTCTCAACTCCATTAATAAACTGTTTCTTACTCCCTCCTCTTTTGAACTATATCAGATTTAAGATTAAATCCACAGAAACCAAAACAACCCTTGTGAGGGAATTAGGGACAGGTTGGAGATAAGATCAGCATATTACTGTAGTCTGAAGAGGATAGCCACACGCATAGGCACACCCAGACAGACACAGACAGTGCAACCAATGCATCAGTAAAGGCAGATTTGCATGGTGCAGTTCTTTTCTTGTTGACTTGTTTCCAACACTTTTACTTGAAGCCTTTGTAATTAAGAAATCTTCTAAATGTAGTTTTCAACAAAACTCTTCAGTACACCTGGACAAAAACAGTCTCTGCAGGCTCTGGTCTCTTGTGTGTGCCTGTTTATATGAATTCTGCTAGAAAGGAAATTGGAGCAAGTAACAACCAACAAATGAAACAGAGCAGGAAGGCAGCGTAGCGGATATGAAAAGAGGACATAAAAAATTCCAATGAGATTGCATTCGATCTGCCAAAGTACAAATTTATTCAACTTTAAGCATGAAAACAAAAACTGCATATAGTATTCCATCAAAATAAACCTTTTCTTTTTTCAAACATGAATATTTTTCTTCATAAGTAAATCCATAAACTACATTTCTTGTCATTAAAAGTCACCCTTGTCAGTCTTTGAGGTGACTGTTCCTCCGTTTGTAAATGAGCTCTATTTTGTTATGGAACTCTGCATTTCTGTGCTCTTCTTCTGCACTGAAGTATCAATGATGTTGTTTATATTTGACCTGCAAACTCATGTCATAACTCTAAGCCTTCTTTTGTTGGACACGTGCATGAAAAGCAGAAACAACACTTTGTCTATTCAGGTAATGGCTTCACTTTGAGCATTCACCATAGTCACACCCTATAAAGCTAACATGATTTAACATTTTCACTCATATAATAATTCTTTATTCTAATCGGATATAATTGTGTTAAAGGATATAGTTTTTTTTCGTCTTACAACTAGGGCTGTCCTGATAGGATATTTATATGGATATCGGTCCGATATCAGCCAAACAACAAATATCCAATTATATCGGCCTGCATCTAAAATCTCCGATATCAGCACTCCGATAAAAGGCAGTACATTCCAGACTCCACTCCAGCACCTCTAGCTAGCAGTGCCTGGGTCCAGCATTCAGAGCCTACGTAATCACAACAACAGTGTGTACTTAGGTTCTAACAAAGTAGCAAGGAGTAGGAGTGATGTCGGCCGTATGGCAGTATTTTTGTTAAAGTCAGAAAAAGACATTACAGCTGAGTGCAAAACTTGTCATGCACAAGTTTGTGCCAATATCAGATCATATCGATATCAGCCGATACTGAAGGCTACAATATTGATATCATATCGGAAGTAAAAAAGTTGTATCAGGACACCCCTACCTACAAATATAACCTCAAAAAGCTTCAAAAACCATACAAAAGCTGACTAAAATGCAGTGCAGATATCTCTATTTGGCGAGAATATTTAATATAATGTGTTAGAGATGTTGGACATAATTTTTTTTGTGTGTGTAGTAACACTTCTTTAATGAATCCCCTGTGCCCCTCATCCTAAGTATAGTATCTAAACACTTTAATTTGTTGATAGGGATCAGGTCTAGAGTCACATGTATTCTGGCACTAACTTCTCACTGTGGTCTTGGGAAAGCCTCTGACTCTGACTCAGCTATTTTTAACAACAATACCAAACAACTCGAACTGTGAGTACTACGTCATCTTTTCTCCCACTTTCCTCCATGTCCTCCATGTCCTCTCTGACTCTCTCCTGCTTTGGGCTGGGGGGCAGGGTGAACCAACTGATGATGTGGCTCTTCCTCCTCCTCAGTGCCAACTCAACAGATCCCAGAATACACTGCTAGAAAGACCATCAATTATCTGGTAACTGCATGAGGGGAAACAAAACTAAGAAATAAAAGGTAAAAGAGTGTATTTGAAAGACTGAGGTTGGCAAAAAAAAGGGGGAGAGAAACAGGAAAGTTTAAAACAGATGAGACAAGCAAAAAAGAAAGAGTGCAGACAGATAAACAAACCAGTGACTAAGGGGAAAAAGAAAGTCAGGGAAACAAACGGTCTACTGACAGAGAGAGAATGAGGGTTATACTTAGTTTAAAAGGTCTCATAAGGTAACAGACAACCTGAGCTATAAAAGACCAACATTAAAGTCAAACAAGTACACTGAATTGCTTTATGGGTATCTAACCAAAGAGTTAAAGTCACTGATAATGTTAAAAACATTTCTTCCATTTGGGGAATAAAAATCGTCCCCTCTGACAGTTTGAGGTTTTCTTAAACAAGCAGCAATTACGGAAGATTTAATCGGACACAGTGGACCTTCTGAGATTTATTCGACATCATATTTTTCCATTTAATTGTTTTTTTTTTATGACTGAGCCTGGTGATGGTTGTTGTGTAACTGAACTTTGCCCTCAAATGATTCCGTTTAGTCGTTGGATTGAATGTTGTCATGGATATTATTTTTTCTACGATGATGAAGAAACTACATATACTGAGAGGATGCAATAATTTATGTCATAATTGTTGGGCTCTTGAGTTCAGATCACTTTGGCACAATAGCCAACAATTTCTGGGCTACAAATACAAATCATAAACAATACACTTTTGTTTACTGAATACAGCTGTTACATGTCCTTCTTTGCCATGAACTCTTCACTGTAACCCAAGTCAAACTATTTACTTGTAAATCTGGAGTTACTGTTCAAAAGGCTGTTACCCTATTGAAGCTTATTACTCCTGGACAGTCTTGCACAGGTTTTGATTACTGCTTAAAAGCACAGTTCCAAAGATTTTAAAACAATCTTAAAAGGATTTCAATGAATGTTAAGTGTTCTCTATGAATCTCAATGGTGTTTTTAGCTACCTTAGCTTAAATAGCTTAAAAGATACTTTGCCTTTCTTATTTATCTGGACTTAAAGAGGGCCTGGGTTTAAAAGAAACAGATTTTCATCAGTTATATGATATAAAATCCAAGGATTTAGCTTTAAAAATATCTATTTTTCCATGGGTGCCCTCTCATTTTGCATAACTAGATCTGTCCACATGAGAGGTGGGTACCCCAAAACAAAAACACAACTCCACTGAAGGCTGTAAAATACCTTAAAGACAGAGATGGACCAAAGTGAGGCTGAATGAAAAACGTGTATCATGAATGTTTAAAATACACTATTGAAATACTACAAAGCTCTGAAACCATTAAGCAGGACATAACCTAGATATACTATCTGCAAAAACATACAAACCCTCTTGTAATATCATAGACAATTTAATTACTGGACGTAGCGTCAGTGGTAGCTGTCCTATTGGAAATGCTAACTTCGTCTAACTTTTGGTCAGCCTACCTGAGGCAGGACTCTGATTTGCTGATCTTATAACTTTGAAACGAACACCTGACAAAAAATGTACTTCCAATACAGTGGGTGCTGGGGATCCCCAACCTACTCAGACCAAAACCATGTTAAGAACCAGACTGAAGGTACATCGCTTCGTGGGCTTCTACAGCATGCTGGCGTATCTAGTCATCTCTGTGGTTTTAGGTGCCGTAATTATTGAGCAGCCACCATCCGATTTTGGTTTTCAAAAGTCTCTGAGTTTGCAATCCTCAACCTCACATCATAAGACTGGAAACATGTGACCCTCAGATTTAATGCCTATAAAAAAGTCTGAAAACGACTGCTCTTCAAATCTTTTATATCTACTTTCTTCACAAACTTGTACTGGCATCATAAATTTCTTCTTCGAGAGATGAGATGGAGTTAAAAGAAGTCTTCTCCTGTTTGTTGAAGGCTGTATGTGCTCAGCTGTGAGAACAGTGAGGAGTGGAAGAGATGAAGCCATGTTACTTTAGGCTGAGCTCAGTCACTTCACACACACCCTCTCTCTGGGGGGAATCTTTGACAGGCAGGGCAGCAGTCACAAAATGGTTACATCATAAAAATCTAACCATTTTAATGTGTTTTTGAATCATTGAACCTACTAATAATAAAACAAGACGAAGTCGTTTTTATATGGATATGGTATCTTTTAGTCATAATTAAATAAGCTTTACATGCCAACTATTTACACCAGAATAAGATGAAGAGAAATGTATCAAACATTGTTCCAAGTCATTAAATACTTTATTTTTTGTTTGTGATTCAATAGCCAGTGGCAAAAAGGACAGTGCAAACATAACACTTTAAGAGCGTAAACAAACACATACACACCCACACCCATTACTGTTAAACTGACCTTTATCACATCTAGACCTTAATAAACAAAGGAAGCCTGTGAATGTTCACTGTTTAGGGTTTCCCCTCAGACTGATCAAACATTTCCTTCACTGTGTGGTTGAAGTTCATAGACAGAGCAAGAACAGAGAGCTCTCTATCCTTTTGAACTTAACTGGATACTGTTGGAGATGTCGACTCGATAAGTTAGAGCTGTCCGGCGGTGGGTGAGGAGTGCGAATACTGTCAATCCCGCAGGGAAATGAGTTCAAGACTTGGGAGTGTTTGCAGTGCTGCGCTTGTGTAAACACACTCACAAAGAAACGGTTCCAGCTCAGAATTAAACTCAAAGTACATGTCATTCAACAAAGACTAGTTATTTCAATTAAGTTTGAAATAATTGGTTCATTTAAGTTGAACTTTATTTTTTAATTTTCTACAAACAGTTCGGAGTGGAGCATCTAAGCTGTGTCACTCAACTTTTTAAAAAAGTAATGACTTATGCCAGTCATCTCTCTTCACCCACTTATACTCAAACACACGCTGTTCTTTTTACCCTGAAGAACAACTACAAACAGCAACATCATCACAGCTATCACAGCTCTACTGCTCAAGTATTTATTGCATACACATTAATAGCTCCTGATGTTCTTTTTTTTTTTTGTAAGTGCACAATATAATTTTTTTGATTTTATTTTCCAAATAAAACTTGCAAAAAATAACTCAGTCACAAAATCAGTCATTGTAGGTGTTTTGCAAAGCTCTGAAATGAGCAGCACATAGTGTCATTTTGAAATTTCCTTCTCTTATTTCCTCCTGTTGCATCTTTTTTAATACAATCTCAAGAAACCACGACCCAAAAATAAACCCGCACTTACACATCAAACTAGAGAGCAGTTGGCTGTTTCAGTCGTTCGCCCTTCACAGTAAACTCAACAGGCAGATGTGACTTTCCACAGCTCAGTTGTCCGAATTAATGAAATGTAACTCAGTTTCTCTGAGGAACTTAAGACAGGTGGGAACCAACCGTGATAAACGCTGCCTCACTGACCAAATTGTGGATACACATCAGAGTAGAGAGATTAGGACATTTAAGACTGAACAATCTTAAATCCTAGAATAAAAGGTAGGTTTGCTATCTTTAGTGCCTTCATAAGAGCTGCTTGTTCGTATTCCATTTGAAGACAGCAGCCTTGTGTTGTGTGCTTAATCTGAAATGTGTAAATTTGAAAGTTATTCTCTCTGAATAAGACAGCAGAGAAATTCCTTTTTTGTGGACAAAAACTAATGAATCCCTCCATTAAGACAAACAGCAGTGTTATATAAAAACACTAACTCTCACTCAGGCTGGCTGTAATTACTCTACTTGATTTATGTTTTCAAAAGACACGTAAACCATGATAAACAGAGGGGTGTTAAATCACATCAACACATTTATCAGAGTGCGTGCATTATTACCACAAGTGCCTCTTGATCCTTTTTAATGACAGACAACCGCCAGCTTGTGGTTATAGTGGGCGGCAGTGAATCAATACGGTTGGTTTACCCTTGGGCTATGACCCACCTCTAAATATAGAACACAAAAAAGCAGTAATCAACACTCAGGCTTGGGTATCAAGTGGCCAGGGCCTTGTGATTGGCTAAATGATCCATATATTCACAATAAAAGGAAGGGTGTGTTGCTTTAGTCAAGCAACGCAAGCGAAAATAAAGCAACACCCACTTCTTCGTGTCATATTATACTGCCACGCTGAAAAAAATGAAACAGGAGTCGTGTACATAAAAGGGACCTGTAACTGAAATGTTTTAGTCTTGAGGAAGCAGATAGTGCTTTCTGAAGCTGCAAGTGGAATAAACGTTTGACCTTGCAGAAATCAGCACAAAGAAGTATGGCGTAGAGTCATCGAGCTAAACTAGATGTTAACTGAGTAATTTGTCCCTAAGTTCTTCCAGTGACACAAACAGTCACTAAGCTGTTTTTGCATTTGCTTCCACAAATTTGATAGGTAGCTACTCAATGGCAACTAACAGGCACTGAATGGGTACATATAAGGCAACATTAGCTGCGTTTACATGGGCACAAATAATCAGAATAAAGGCCTGATCGGAATACAAATGCGTCATGTAAACATGTCGATCATAAGATTCTGATCCTATTCGGCACGATCAGAAAGAAGTTGTATTCCGATCGAGAAGGGGGGTTGATGCCGATCGTTATTCCGAAACATGTCCATGTAAACACTTATTCCGATCATGACTCTCTGTTGGGGCAAAACTAACCTGACTGCACATGTGTGCCCTACGTCAACATGACGAACTTTTCTGCTGGATTCAGTCTCCTCATGTTACGCAGGATCAGTATGTGCTACCTGGCCCACTTGATGATCATGTATGCTAGGAGCAATTCAGCTTCTCTCAGTACCTGGCTCAGGTCTATTCTGAGTGGAGGGAAAAATTCTACACCAGATGAAGTGAGCCACTACTGTGTTGTTTGGTTTGTTGACAGCACAGATGTAAATACATCTCTTCTTCTGCGTTTTTCTTGTGACATTACGCAACTCTGAGCATGTCCATGTCTGACTCCCGAATTTGTGTGTGTTGGGGGCGGTGGTGCATATGTGGAAAGCTGTAGTTGGTTGTGTAGGCGAAGGCTCTGCACCAGACTGTCAATTTTATACTAGAGCATAAAAAGCGTGATTAAAAACCTCACATTCAGTCCACACAGCAGCCTGTGTTCGAGTGTTTATATGGAGGGACAACATCACTGAGGTCACCATAGGTCGGGGCTGTTTTATCTTCCCCAGAAGTGGAACAAGCAAGATTTTAATTGGCTGAGCAGCAGGGACACAAACTGTACTTAAGGTCAACAAATGTGCATTGATATTTTCAAGACAACCTTTTTTCTTGAAGTTACAACTTTTCATGACTGTGACTGAGTAGCTGGTGACTTTTTGACCATCTATCTTTTACAAAACAACTGTCTTTTCAAAGAACTAGGAGCATCTCTGATCCAACTGTAGTTCAACTGGTCTGTTATAAAAAAAAGACAACAAGAGCTGAGCAATTATGAATTTATTGACAGGAAACTGATAGTAAACTTGTCTTTCACTAATTATATCTACTTTTATTATTATTTTACTATAGGTACACTATTATTACTACTATTATTGACCTATGTTAACCTAAGTCGATCATTTTGTTCTGAGCTGTTTTTTATCTGGTTATTAATTAAATAAACAAAAAATTGTATGTAGAATTGATTCAAAGGTGGTTTTATTGAATAAAAATTGTTTAAATCATACCAAAAAAAATGTTACTTTTGTTTGTTTTTTTGTTTTGTTTTGGTTTTTTTTACAATTTGAAGACAAGTTATTTCTTTTTTATATTTTATTCAATTTTGGTGTGAAAGTGCTGCCATGGCAATGTGTTCTTGTCAGATTATTTATAGGTTAAATTGAACATAAATTCATTATGGTCATATTGCAACATTGTCCTGCTTTACTGTTACAAATCACAAGGAAACTAACATTTTCCTTCACAGTAAGGACCAAACATCTGCATTCTTTTCATTGCATTAGAATAACATGAGCAGCTGAATAGGATCTTCTTCCTGGTAACATTAGATACCTGTTGGCATTTTCTTTTCAACCAACCAGTTCCTCTAACACCACCTAAGCCTACACCCTCTTGCTGTTTCTGGTCACTCTGTATTTTTTTGTTTGTTTGTTTTGTATTTGGTAGATGTCTGCTTAAGTGCCACACTGTCAGTCTTCAGCTTGACATGTTTTTCTTCTAAAGTGAAAGTGATCACAGTTACTGTCTAGATGTGCCAAAAATCAAATTTGTGTACATAAGTAATGCCCTGCAATACTCACAAACACTCAAGCTCCCTGTACTTTGATACTGCGCTGAATCCATTTGACAAAAAGTCTGTGGAGCTTATGAGGAAAGGCCTACACAACTGACTGGGAAATAAAAAGACTAAAACTAGGCCACATCCTACAAAGTCATTACATTACAGACGAAAGTAGTTGCATGACAACGATGTCATGACAATGTCATGTCATGACTGCAACATCCACCAGGATAACTGTTTAAGCAAACAAGTCAACTCTGTGGAACCAGAGCCCTATTTTTAACTCATGTTCCCCCAGCTGTGGCAGATGGGAGCAGATGTTAGAGTTGACCTCATGACTTTTAAGTATACAGATGTGTACTGCTGAGGTGAGCCTGGGGGACACAGTGACCACAACCAGGTGTGTGTTGATGTGTGGATGATAGCCTTGAGTCAGCAGTGAGGGGTCACATTACAGCTACACAGTGGGCCAATGGAAAAGGGAGATCTGTCTAACCTGATAATCACTCTGTTGATCTTTTAAGCCAAATCTGTCCAGACCATAGCCTTCTTTATCACAAGATTATCAGGACAAGTAGGGTCAGTGGTCAAGGGCAATTTCAACTTGGCTATTCAGTGTAGTTCAGTAAGGACAGACAAAACATGAAAAGACTTTCATCAGTCTTTGTGGTAGGACTGGGCGATTATACGTTCATGATTCATTCCAGTTCGATCACGATAATCAGCTGTGAGCATAGACTCAATCAAACATAACGGAAATGCGTGTGGCAATAGCCAATCAGAGTCGAGCTTGTCCTGCTCACTTCTGTAAGTTACCGGAGAAGTAAGCAGGTAAATGACCAAATGTGGAGCTAAAACGCAGAGCTGAGGGCAGCAAAATAGATGTCAACCACGACTATGAGTCATTCTCGTCGGTTGTGTGGCGATGGTTCGGGTATCCCTAAAGGTGACATTGTGCAATTAAGCCGATGTGCAAGGTATGTCGGCGGTCGGTGCCCTCAAAAACGGGCAACACAACAAATCTGTTTAATCTTTTGAAGTAGTACTTTTCGAGTGATAATGCGGAAAGCATGAAAATGCGAACAGAGTCTGCACAGCCTGCCACTGCTGACGACTACGCTCGCATTAGCAGTTTAGCTACAACTAGCGGTGAAGCCACCACACCAAAGCAATCATCTATGTTTACATAATCTAACGTTATACATATTAAGGCGTCTTCATTATCCCTGAGGGCGCGGTTTGTTTATTTTGGGTCTTACATACCTGCAAAAACACTCAGGACTGTAAACTAGTTCACTGTATTATTTAGTATTCATCTATATTTGTTGTACTGTTGAGTTTAAATGTTTTTATATTTTTCTAAGTTTATCTTATTCAAATTTGCTTTGTTATATACTTTGTATGTTAATGAAATATCAAACGAATTTCTAGTTTGTGTTTTTTTTCATTCAGATGCTTTAAAACTGATAGTTAGAAAAAAAACGGGATAATAATCAAGATCGAACAATATGACAAAATTTATCAGAATCATTTTTTTCCAAATCACCCAGACCTAGTAGGACTGGGCAATTATACGATTGTGATTAATGATCGTGAAAAATTTCAGTTGGATCAAGATGATCAGCTGTGATCATATTTACTTGATCAAAAATAATGGAAATGTGCGTGGCAACAGCCAATCAGAGTCAAGCTTGTCCTGATCACTTCTGTAAGTTACCAGAGTAGTAAACGGGAGCTATCTCAGTAAAATTTTGAACTTCTCTCTATTTTCTTTAGTTATCCTAGTTCAGATGCTTTGACACTAAAGATTTTTAAAAAATCGTGATAATAATCGAGATCGGACGATATGACAAAAGTATATCGGGATCTTTTTTTTGCCAAATCGCCCAGTCCTACAAATTATCAAGTTTGTTAAATAGTGTTAATGCTTTTAAATGTAGTTATGTTATTGGAATTTGCTGTGACAGTCTCCACATGCAAACGATTAGCCTACACTCAATTCTGTCACGATGTGCTCACAGTTAGTCTCATCATCCTACAATGTGTGTGAGTGTGTGTGTCTGTGTGAGTGTGTGTGTACCTTGGAGCTGCGCAGAGAGTGACTCTTGGTGTTGTTGGTACTTTTGGGCCATCGCCTCCGTCCTCTTGAGCTGTTTGTGCATCTCATACGATATCATACCCCCGTACATCATCCCGCAGACCACAGTGAGCAACAGGAGAAACTGGAAGATCCTGCGCTGCCTGCGGGAGCACACCCCGTTCCCCATGTTGGACCCGCACCCCTCCCCGCTGTCTGCACGAGAAAGCCCCGTCTCTGCTGTTGGAAACTTCCGACACAAGTTTTTAACGTCCTGGAGTAAACTAAAGTGTACCCCCCTCCCCACACTCCCGGAGCATTTCTAAGCCGAAGATACAGTTTCAGTGCGAATACTTCCCAGTGAGGACATTACTTTAACATCGCCAAATCCACTCACGACCCTCCCCTGTGACTTCAAAGTAGCCGCTCAGATTTTCGCTTGACTTCACGTCAAACTCCAACTCGGCGCTGTTCACATGCAAAACAAACCGAGAGTGGCAACCAAATCGCTAATCCTCTTTTTCCACCTTGCACTATATTAATTCCCAACGAAATCCGAAAACGCTAGTGGAAGAAGTAAATCCTCAAGTCCCCTACGAGGCCTCCATAGCACCTTTAACTTTAGTTACGTGTCAGCCCCGCAGCTGCCTGCCATTCAAGTGCTGCCCTGAAGGAAGTCCCGCCCCCAAAGAAACATAAATTTCCCTATTCCCGCCCTCAGAGGAGTACAGTTCATCAATTGGTCGCCTGAGAGCTCGATCAAAACAAGTAGTAATGTATGAAGAGCAAAGGCATAGGTGTGCACAGTCACTGCTTTGAAATCACGTCTTAAAACTGATTTTTTTAGACTAGACTTTATAGACTTGATTTTAGGTGAATTTTCTCCGCAAGCCTTTTACTCTTCTTATCCATGTTTTATACTAGTCCCCTTGGGCTCAGGTTTTTGTGATTGGGTTCCTGTGTTGGCTGGGTATCATGGACTCTTATTATGTCTTTGTTTTATTGCATTCATTTTAATGACCTCTCAGCTCATGTGACATTCATCAGAGCTCTTGTGTCTCCCACCGAGTTTTATTTTTTAAATTTTTTTTATTATTTATTGCCAGTCATGTGTCAATTCCCTCGTGTTCTCATGTTGTTTTTATCTTTTTTGTTTTTCTGCATGTTAAAGCACTTTGTAAGCTCTTGTTTTTAAGAGTGCTGTATAAATAAATATTATAATGAATAAATAAAGTAATAATAATAATAATAATAATATTGTTGTTATTACTGTTTTTGTTGTTGTTATTATTATTATTGTTGTTGTTTTTGTTGTTGTTAATATTATTATTTTTTTGTTATTATTATTATTGTTATTATTATTATTATTATCATTAATACATGAAGTCCGTCTTTAACTCAGATTGCACTCCAACATACAGAAGGCACTGTAGTCATCAGTTACCAGTACAGATTTCAACACTCAAATGTTTAATAAACACATTTAAGAAACCAAACATCGTTAATTCCTGTATAACTCCATTTTGTATATGACATGCATTTCAATTCAAGTATCAGAGCCGCTTTATTGAAATAAAGGCATACTAGTGTCCATGTTGTGTGAGCTGTTATCAAATTGAATGTGCAACTTCTATCAAGTCATGAAAAACGCAACTGATATTTATTTTACAAATGATTTATTATTATCAAAATAATGATATAATTTTTCTCCTTAATGTCCATCAATAAGAAGTAATTCCAAATTTTGAATCCTTGTTAAAAAAAAGCAAAATATCCAAGAATTGTTTAATTTTATTCAAACTTTCATCAATAAGTTTACAGTCATAATCCAAAAATGTCAGTATTACATACAGTTGATATCAGAAGACATAGTTGGTGAGCCTAATTGGAAAAGTGCTGAAAATGACAAAAATAACTGACAATATTTCTCAATGCAACAAATTAAGTGCCTTTAAAGAATACAGTACCACTGTTGATGAGCCAAAACCTATATATACCATGTGTCTTATGATAAACATTCACAGTTTTTAATATATACAATAAATTTGCTTAGTAGTGCTATGCTTACAAGTTCAAAAGTCTTATTTAAAAATGACTGAGAAAATATTAAAGGGAATTAATCCTTACATTAAAAAAATAATTAGCAAAGACTATACCCAGCTTTAAAAAAGTTTTACTATATTGCATGTATTTGCAATTTGTTTTTTCTCAGGAAAACCAAAATCAAAAATACCCACCCACACAGAAATCAAGTATCTACATTAATCTATAATACTGCTTTACATAAAGGGCCAAGAATCAAACAAATGTGTGCACGCCAAAACATAAATAATACATGGACTCATTTGATTTACACAGACTGCTTTCACACAAGGCATTAGACTCATATTTCAAGCCAGCTCTATAAACATACAAGGAGAAATATCAATCACATCCAATTAACTCTGAGGTAGAGAGCGCTGCGCATCAGTACGAAAGACAAGCTGATGATCTGTCTGAACAGTGGCAGCACCACAAACACGCTGCATATCCACACTTGCCACAAAATTGAAGTGCGAGAACTATTTGTTCTGTTTCTTTTCTGTACTCTTACTGCCTAAATGAGGCGAAAAAGATTGTTTTAAAATGAGATTAACTTGACTCTAGTGTCTTCTGCTTTTAACCTGACCACATAACAGAACCTAATCTTGAAACTCTTAACATAATTTAACATGTCTCTTATCCAATTATCTTACAAATGTTCATGATTTTAGATCTATTGTGAATCAAACAAAAAACCAAGTAGTCATGGTTGTCTCTTACAAATATTTTTGAATGTCACAAAGGTGTTACAAAACAAAGAAAAATGGAAAATGCACTTGCTATTCAAGGAAACAGATAAAACAAAACTGAAATAAACTTCTCAAAAATTTATAAATCTACTTTCAATTAAATGCGAATTGAATTTAGCTCAGAAAGTTCATTTACTGTAGGTTGACTGTTTAATCCTAAAATTTGAATACTCATCATAAATGTAATTAATATAGCACCTTTCATTAACAGTTGTCTCAAAGTGCTTCGCAAAAACCAATTAAAGGGATAAAACAAAAGGCACAAACTCTGTGCTTTGTTCATTTATTTCTAGAGGAGCAGTGAGCCCAGACCAAGAACGAAAGAGGAAGGCACACATCCCCTTTGAAATACAAATGAAGGGACATCATGCCTGAAGTCAAATAATTTTTTCAGGTGGAATAGAAGGACGACTCCCAGTAAACTCTGATGTTTCTGTCATACAAATAGCAAATTAGGTTAATAAAAAAGCATCCCATAAAAATGCTTTCTTGTATGGTACTACAGCTGTCTTTGGCAGCATTTACCCTGTCAGAAATTTAAAATAATAATAATACAGGCACTTTATACTCTTTTGACACTCAGGTTTTTGAAAAACAAACAAACAAGTAAAAAAAAAAAAAAAAAAGTGGCATTAATCTGTTTTTTTCTTTTCTGGGTGTGATGGCAAATAAAACATGGTTGATTTATTCCAAAAATTCAAGGAATTCATGGGTCAATATTTCTGTTAAATGACAAACAGCATAGAAAACCATTAAGCTTTTGGCAATGTTAACTCTCTTTGAAGATCAAGGTTTGATTTAAAAGGAAAAAAAAAAAAAACACACAAACTGACCAGACCAGTCTTGGCCAGGTGGTCTGTTATTGTGCCCTATAACACTGCCAGTTCCACCTCCTCGCAGAGTAGAGGCTCCACCTCAGGAATGCTGAGCAATTTGCTGCTTTTGGCAGACTGGTTTCTTCGGTACATGACGAACTGGACAGTCACCTGACCAGGTTAAGGCTCAAAAAAAACACAGATTTTATCAACATTTTCTCCTCTTTAGGCAACCGCTGATTGACTGTATCAGATACAATTTTAAAAGGTCTTAAAATGTATTAACATTTTTTTATTTGAAAACAAATGCATAAACTTCAGTCACGCGTACTGATTTTGTACCTTTTTGCCAGTATGGATGTAAAATGGGTCCTTAACTGTCTTCATTGTGGTCTTTTAGAAGTCTTAAAAAGTTGAAGATTTGACTAGTTGAAACCTGCAGAGACCCTGTTTAAGCCTGGCTTCGCCTGTAGACTGGAAGCAGAGGTAGCAAAGCCACAAAGTCTACCAATGGGCCCTGAAAGCTCTGTAGTTAAAACCAATTATGTAAGTGTGTCCCATCTCTCCTTTTCTTGCTAGACTACACTATTTAGATGCTAGATTTTTTTACATATGAATATTTCTGGTCATATATATTTTTAGACATTTTTAAAAGAAACTACATGAGCATTTACAGACACTTAAAGCTAAGGATATGCACATTTATACATCTAATTAAAGTGTGAAAAGGATACAAGGAAGTCGAGTATGAGGACTCCCAAGCTGCCGATAAGCCAGGCCAAGTGTTTGATGATGAAGGACTGCTTTGAGCCCCTTAGTGCAGGAAGGACCACGACAACACTTAACCCATATGTCCCATTACCCATCATAGCCAGGGCAAACAGCAGGTAAGAGGTGCCCTCCGTGGACTGTCGCTGGTACTAAATTGGATACAATAAGAAACATTTCATGAAAAAAAGCAGTATCTGCTCTGGACTTGTGCACACTGTTTGTCTTGTGACTGAGTGTAATGTTTTCCTGCTAACTATATACAGTATGTGAAAACCTCAGTAAGGGTAAACCACGTTTACCATAGACTGGGTTTCAGTTCCTTTTATGACAACCAGTGTATGACAGTGATATTATGCTCCAGACAGATACAGACAACCACGACAACACCAAAACAGAACTTGCTTATTTGTAGCCTTTGATGCTATCGACAGCTCCTCCGGGGTGATGAAGATCTATAAATTCATTCTACTGAGAAAGACTGTATTGTCTCTATTATCGCACCAGACACTGATGAAGAAAGCCAACACTGTCTTTTTGTCAAAGTCAGTATCTGACAACATCTTAATACAGAACATAGACTGTATATAGAATGGACAACACGACACTGCCTCCAGTCATTGTACAAATTTGAAGCCAAAATACTCCCCATATTTACAGAATTTTCTCAATTTCCTGAAACCAGCATTTGTGCTGTAGCATTTGGCGGGAGAATCGCTGTGATGACGCTCTGCTCAGAACTGTGTACTCCCCAGAAGATCCGCGTAACCTTCTTATGCTCATAGACTGAATGCTTACACCAAAAACTTCTGAGGCTTTTGAAAGGACTGAGTAAGTTCCACTTCTCGTCTTATTATGTTTAATTTGTCAATGAACTCGATTTTTAAATGAGAAGATCAAAATTTTACCATAAGTACTGAAAATAAAGATATGATCTATTACTTGGTGGGCTGGTTAATCATTATCTTCAGGGAAATAAATGGAATCTCTACGTAGTCTCGATATTCACAAAAGAACTATGCAGGAACTGCAAGTGTCATTCACAGAAAATCTGACGTCATATACCGTTTTTATAACCCCTAATAACTTAAAAAAAATGGATCTGCACAGAAAAAGAGGACCTAAACAAAGATCAGTCTTACAATAACTACATGTCAACATCACAACCAGGGGGAGAAAAATTGATATGACTTACAGTTAATTTTCAAAGTTTGTCCACAGCTCCCTTTATTTTGTTGGAGGAGGCGGGGTTTATGACCTACACTGTAACCAGTCACCAGGGGGTGCTGTTCTTGCAGAGGCTTCCCCCAGCAAGGAGGCAAAGGACGTCCATTCTATATACAGTCTATGATACAGAATAGTATTTTTCACTCTCCGCGTATTTTATTAACATAGGCTAGCAGAGTTCAGTACTTGTACTTCAGTACTTTCAATTGCACGTTACCAGGGATTAGAGCATCATCTGGACTTGCAATACAGTTTAACCTTGACTGGATAATGGAGTTTTTTATTTTATTATAGCCACGGAAATCAATTTGTCCCCAAAATATTAAAATGTTGCTTGGAAACACCATATACTATCATTTCGATTACTAGATGGACCGGACCCAAACAAAACTAGAGAAAGAGCAAGTGTTAGTCATACTGGGGCTGATCATGAATAACAGGGAAAGAGGCTGAATGAGAAACTTTGATATGGGAGATGGTGGAATAAGGTTTTTCTTAAGGTTTTTCACCACAAGGAAAGCTTGTTTAATATATAAGAATTTGATAGTTGAAATATGACTGAAACATTTTACAATTCGTAAAGAAGCGAGTGTCTATGTGAGTGCCCAGGAGTTTCTCTGGCATGTTCTGCACAGAAAGATGATCTCTTCTGGTGATTAATAGCTGCAGTCAAGGATGTTTCTCCAGCACAACAGCACTATTGTCTTTAACATCTGCTTTTCATTTATAAACAAGTACTGTGGGCACAAACAAACACATACATTTCTCATCTTTCCACAAATCAAAAAACACAGTTCCTGTTTTTAAACTAATGGACTTGTATTAGGTAAAGTTTTCCATGGACCTCCTTACATCAGACCCTGAGGACAGTGTCCCCTACTGGAATTAAATTTTTCACATGTGCAACCAGATTTCAGAAAGAGAAAGACACAGACTTCACATCTGACTTACATTTTTATAAAGCTGGGGGAAACGGGAGGAGAGGTAGAAAACAGATGCCAGGTATCCACAGATATAGCCAGTGATTTCCACTGATCGGGAGGTAGAAAGATTCTGGCAGAGGAGAGAGAGATAGGGACTATGGTCAAAATGTTGTCACAGCACAGCAGAATGAACAAAGTTACACTCATAAAAAAAAATTATAAACATGTTTTATGTAAACTTCAAGGTATTAGCACACATAGAAAAAAATATATATATATACACGAGGATATGTCTATATGTAGATGTTACATTGAAGACACAGTCTACCTACCGTTGTGTCTGCAGTTGTACTGTTGTCTACGATGAGTTTGGGTAAAGCCAGGAGAACTAAGGAAGCAGCACCACACCACACCAAGCACAGCCACTTCAGCATAGGGCTCTCTAGACACACACACATATCGAAACACAACACAAAAACATACAGTGTAGATATGAAAATAATCCAATAAATTAAATCAAACTGTTGTCATGAACTGACATTCAGTCCAGTCTCAAACATTGTGGTTATTTAGCACAAACAATGTTCAACAGATGCAATTTGTTGTGTCCAGTTAAGATGAAATACGCTTTCAAGGGAAAATTTCACAGAACTGTGTGCAGTCTTGGAAAAGTCTCAGTTTATGATTTTGTCTAATCAGGAAGTTTGTTGTCAACCATTTGTATTTTGTCAATATAGTCAGTTTTGAAGGTTTATTCTTAAATTTAAAAAAAAAAAATGTTTGAACATAAAAATCGATTTAAAAACTGTAAAACAAAAAATCGCGATACTTATGTGAATCTATTTTTTCTCCCATTCCGAATGATCATCCAACTAAGATGCTCATTATCACAGTGTTATTGGTGTTATATTGGCACATTCTCTGCTTGCTTTTCAGATGATGAATAAAAATGTAAGGGGTGTTTCATAGAGCAGACAGCAACAGCAAACTTTTGTTTCTTACTGTCATGCAACTTAAATTTAACATTCTTCCTCACAACTGTGTTTTTTATGAAGCTGGAGATCTTTGAATGACTGACTCGCACAGTACATGGGCACTTTAATGTCAGTTTCTCCTGGATTCAACAGCTGAGACGATGAGATCAGGGCCTACCTCTGCTGGAGCTATTCTTGATCTTATAGTAGAGAAACTGGGAGATGAGTATCAGGTCTGTAAAGATGTAGAACACCACTGTGACTACCTAAAAGAAGGGCATGGAGAGGAAGATTTCACAATTATTTAAATCACTGGATTTTGCTATGACATGAGTTATTATGGCAGGATGCCAAAGCATGCAACCAAAAAGAGACATGTACAAAATGTGTCCTGATAGCCAAAACTCACTATTTTTTGAGACAAGACAGGGAAATTACATTGCCAAAATTAAAAATACTACAATTAAGACCTGTGAGGTATCAAGTTCACATTCCTGGCTCAAAGCTGTAGAGGGGATCTGTTATTTTCCTTATTAAGTTTGGGCGTGTGTGTTTACCTGGATGGGAAGCTGGCTGGTGAGGTAGCAACCTGCAAAGCTGGTCAGGTCTCCACCGAAGAGAAAAATAAGAAAGCCAAAAGACATGGCCTCTTCCACTTTACCATTCCTATAGGCCTCATAAACTTGCCTAGAAAGCACACAGACTTAGATAAGAAATTATTTTCAAAGACTTTAAAGTGATATTCCGGCGTTCTTCATGGCAATGCAATCAGACTGAGACGCTAAGGCAGAAGAACTACCTGTCTGCAGTGCAAAAGGATTAATAATATGGTGATTATTACTTAAAGGAAATGATAAAGAAATGATCACAAATGTTCTTCCTTGGGCTGCGTCGCCCCGCAGGAGCCGTCATGGCCTGGCCTGAGGTCTCGCTACAAACAAGCGAGTAAAGTTGGTATAATTAGAGAAGCAAGCAGTAATTTTACACCGGAATATCCCTTTAAGTAATCTCCATAAACGTATTACTTTACATGAGGATCTAGGCCTACCTAAAATTTCTGACACTAGATTAATCTGAATGAAATCACAGCTGCTTCACAACTTACGGCAAAGTGGACAGCAGGAAACAGAACATGGATATCAGCCCTATCACCACGCTGCAGTACTCCCACATGTTATCCACGCACTCTTCCAACAGGTAGAGGATCCACGGTGTCCCGTTAACACACACCGGACGGCTCACGGTCGGAAGAGTCAAATTGATGAGAGTCGTGTCCACACCCTTCCCTGGGAAACGTGCTGTGGCCATGGCGAGGGACTCGGCTGTTTGGCTCTCAGCTGATGGAGCTGCTGCCACCAAAGTGGACCTGCAAATACTGAGATTAACCTGGAAACAAGAAGCAAACCTGGTGAGAGATCTGACACACCTTCTTAAGATGTATGTGCGAGGACTGGTTCTGCCATTTAAACATGTGCAAGACACAATATATCAAATTAACAAACACTGATACTGTCACAAAATGACACAAGATAGCCTGCTGTGCAATAGCCGAGTAAATAACGCTGGTCCACAGCAGATTCGTTACAGCACCTTCATTTTAATTATCTTTTTTTCTTCTCTAGTTTGAATCAAATCACTCCTCTGACTCAATCTCTGTCTGAAATAGCTTTTCCCAGTAATCCACACCATTGTTTGGGCAAATTTGCACCAGACATGGGGATGAGATGCTAACAGAGATGACTGAAATTCGCCTCCAGTAACACTCACCGTATAAATTCACCCTGGACGGATTACAGAGCCTATGTAACAGTGCGTGGACATTTTCCACATCCATACATATTTCCCTGCACGTATTTCCACTGAATGAGTAATAGTAAACTAGCCCCTATTATTGTCGTCCATAGTTCGTGGTCCCTGTTGTGAAGACAACGATAATGGCATTACAACTTCCGGTGAAAATTTTCAGAGTAATATTCATGTTGCAACAATTTCTTTATAAAACAAAAATCTAGCCTCATTATTATCAAATAGCTACCACAAACAATCAGCTATTTATGGCTCCGTCGCATAGATTAGAATCTCAGTGGTTCTCAACTCGTGGACACGTTCTGGATGGGTCACGAACAGCTGGTCAAAAAAGTATTGATATTTTTTGTACAAGCAACTTCAGTACCTAGTTGCCGTCCTCATGCTGTGCCCTTAATGTGCTCTGAAATGCACTTTACTCAATAAAACGAGTGGATTTAGGTTAAAGATTAGAGTATTTAAAGGTTTTTTTTAAAAAAAATAAAAATAAATATGCTTGGTTTGAATCTTTTAAAAGTGTGTCTCGACTTAAGGACCATGGGAAAATGTGGGTCCAAGAGTGAGACCAGTTGAGAACCACTGGACTAGATATAAACAACTTCTATAACTTCCTTCAGCATTGTCTTCCTGGTATATTGTGTCTGTGCAGTTAGATGAATCAACATAGACCTTTTCCTTTTTCATTAGACAAAACCCGAGGTCAACTTCGTAATATGCTCTTTTATCTATATTCTACACTATCTTTATTATTTCATATTCACCAATAAATTCACTTGGGTATTTTGTTTAGCAAATTAAAAACCACAATAGATGCAAATGCCTTTATTTTGAAAAACTAAGGTCTACGGAAACTTCACATATTGGCGCCAACTTATAATTGACTGAGAAACGACACCACCTACTGCCAACACAGAGCAATTATCAGTCTTTTTCAAGAGATGTCAATAAATAAACTTCTTAAAACTTGAGATCACAACCAATGGTGAACACAATATTTCCTTTTGGTTAGAGCCTTGATAAACTGTAAGCCACACAAAGCTGCAACTACTTTTATCACCACTGCCGCTAATACTTGAAATAATCGTAGTTATGGTTATAATACAGGTATTTTAATGGACTTAAGACACAGCTGTCATTTAAAAAACAGCTAAGATAAGATAAGATAAACCTTTATCCCATAGTGGGAAGATTTGCAGTGTTAACATCAGGAAAGGTTCAGCACAGCAAACATAGAAGAAAAAGAAGTCATCAAGCACACAGTGCACAGATATTTATATAAAAAAGTTAACTTTGACCTAAACAAAAATGTTGGATACACAAAAAAAGGAATTTTTTTTAGCAACATTTACAACAAAACTAAAACAAAAAAGAAAGAATTGGACCTATTATTGCACATAATTTTGAGTTATTATACCTGAGAAAAATGCAGGTATATGCAATTGCATCAGACTCAGGATCAACTTTATTAGCCAAGTGTGTGTAGACATATAAGAAATTTGACTCTGGTAAACTTTGCCCTTTATGTACACACATTTAACATAAAATGTTAAAAAAAAAAGATAAATATCTAGCCTGTCAATATTGCACATTGAGGTATCATTGAGTTATTGTGTTAGTTGTGCTGAAAAAAAAAACCTCAATTATGGGAGTAGGCCTGGCTAATCAGTCTGACTGCAGCAGGAAGGAAGGACTTGCAGTATCTCTCTAGACTAAGAAACCCATCACAAAAGGAGCTGCTCAGTGCTGTTACAGTTCTCTGTAGGAGGTAGGGAATATTGTCCATGAGAGGCACTAGCTTTGCAATCATCCTTCTGTCCCCCACCACCTCTACAGGGTCCACAGGGCAGCCCAGGACAAAACTAGCCTTCCTCATCAGTTTGCTCAGTCTGTTCCTGTCTGCAGTTGTGATGCTGCTGCTGCTCCTGCAGACCACTCCGTAGGAGATTAGTCATAACTTGGTTTGGAATGCAGCCATGAAGTCATTAGTCCTCATCAACCCCCATTTTCTCTCTCAATCCGCCTGTGGTACCACGCTTTGTAAACTCCCAGAGTAACAGGATCGTGTTTTGAAATGAAAACTTTTCTCCATATCAAAAGATTTTAGTCATATTGAAGGCCAATCGACACACAGCTTTAGCCAAGGAAAGTATAAAAGTGTGAAGTATGGTTAATAGAAATGCCAAGGTGCCATTTTCTGTTGTAATTTTACTTACAGTCAGGCTAACAGTAGGCCTCCAATTACCTTACGACTAAAAGTGCATCACAGTGTGACACCAACTTTGAGCTGCTGCAGTGGGTCAGTCACGAGGGTCATGAATTAGGTAGGCTGCTGTATCCTAGAGAGCAGTGGTTCTCAACTGGTCTCACTCTGGGACCCACATTTTCCCATGGTCCTTAAGTCGCAAATTACTTTTATAGAATTCAAACCAAGCAAATTTATTTATTATATATAAAAAAACATTTAAAGACTCTAATCTTTAAAATAAATCCACTTGTTTTATTGAGTACAGTGCATTTAAGAGCACATGAAGGGGACAACATGAGGACAACAACTACTGAAGTTGCAAGTACAGAAAATATCAAATATCCAATAAATATCGCATTAAATATTTTTGTTCGTGACCCATCCAGAACATATCTGCGACCCACTTTCATGTCGGGACCCACCAGTTGAGAACCACTGCTAGAGAGGGTTTGGAACAGGGGTGTCAAACTCAGCCACAGCAAGGGCCATAATCTGGATTTAGGTCTAACCTGAGGGGCCAAACAGGGTCAACATTTCACCCAAACTGTCAGCCTCCCTCTCAAAAAGTATGTAACAAAAACAGTAGTGATTATAAATTATTCAGAAATTCAAAAAAGATAAAAAGATACGTTTAAAGGCAATCTGAGACAGAAATTTTTAAACTTTTCATTCTATTTTTATTTATTAGTTCAAAAGATCAGAGCACGATATTGAAAATAGAAAAAAAATAATGCTTTTAAAGACCAAATACATGAGGAAACCGTTGAAATCAGGTTTAAAAGGTCAAAATATGACTTAAAATTTAAAACTGGAATCTAAACTATAAAAATGGCACAAGTCTAAATAGAGTTGAACAAAATCAAAGCATGAAATATAAAATCCAATCATGTTTGACTTGTAATATTGAAATGCAAAATTAAAAACATGAAATAAAACCACAAATATTTTTCCCCCACATTCTTGACTATTTATCAAATCTTTCTTACTTTTTAATTTCCCAGATTTTCGTGGTTTATTAAGAACATTTTTAATAAAAGTGCTAAAGTTTACATTATTATACTGGAGGAAATCTGCAGACTTCATACTGGTGGGCTAATAATAATACAAACATGATATGATCTTGTGGGCCAGATATAATTGTTCCACGGGCCAGATTTGAGTTTGACACCTGTGCTTTCGAAGAATCAGTCTCACCCGTGCCTCCCTCCTTCTATGCACCTGTTGCGCGGCGCCCTCAAAGTGGCCGCACGATGGCGTGCTTTCCAATGGTGGCAGTGGATCAATAAAAGGCTTGCTCGGTTAGGGGGGAACTTGAAGCTGAACAGGGGTAAATTGTGTCTGTATATGCCGCCTCTTGGCCGGTTTGAGGGCTCTGAACGAAGCTCCATGTTTTCGGTGTCCGTGCGACCCTTCGTCCTGCACAATACAGAGCAGGTAAGCAGTCCGACGCTGTAGGTGCAGTTGGAAAATGAATTCTATTTCTTTTTTTCTTGTTGCATGGCAGTCTAATATTACAGACAGGGACGCATTACCGGGATCAGTGCATGCATGCCACCCACATTCCATGATGTCGGGAAAGTTGACTGGTTGAGATGAGAGCTTTGGTCAGATCAGCGATATGCTTCAGCGTTGACTAACCTCGCAGCAGAGACATACTCCTCAGGAAATGTAAACAAAGATACACAGGAGAGGGCGACGTGCAGGTGCATTGGAGGGTTTTCGTGAGCTTTGTGGTTAACTTGGTAGGATATCGTTGTAGAAATGAAGTGAATGTGCAGAATGTGTTGCTTTTTTTGTAAGGAAAGAAAGAAATTAGTTGGATGGTAGAGTTAGGATCAAAATGAAAGACTATCACACCTAACTCGTTTTGGAGGAGTCTTGTCAAGTTTGCTTGGAAACATGTTGGTATCTGAATACTTACTCTTGCTTCAGAGCTCTACTTCAATAACCCCCTCCCTTCCTCCCTGTTGGTGTTTCGGTGTAAATACAGCGGAATGTGCTCTCGGAGCTTGAAAGGCAAGTTCAGTGGCATTACTCACATTTAGTGTGCGCATTTCTTCACTTAATCCTGTGACCAAGTCGAAATCTACTGTTGCGTCTCTTTTCTTGTGTGTGTGAATACAGAGAGAGGGAGGGGCCTGGGGTGGGGAGCTGAGGGTGGGGTGACACTCCTCAAGGTCACAGACAGACAGATGCTGATGTCCCAGGAATGATATTGTCTGGGTTGCTCATGAACTTGAACAGTTATTTAAAAAAAGGGTATTGATACATGGTCAGAGGGGAATTTTGTTCACCATATAGATTCATCCAATCTATTAAAATATATATTTTTTTAAATTTGATCTCCTCGATCACTGTCCTTGCTTGGCAGGGGACATATAGATAAAAAATCTAGATATTATTTTACGTTCTTATTTCCAGATTTATTGACTATTCTTGATTGCAAGCCTTTAATTTGGTTTACCATGTGGCATGTGACCTTATGAAAAACTAGGGCTTAATTTCATGAAAGGTTCGCTCAGCTTGGTTTTTGAGGAATTACTTTTTTCTTTTCTTTTCCTTCTTTCTTTTCTTTTTTTTCTCTTGCATCTTGGTATTTGCTAGGATTGTTGAAGGGCAACCAAGAAAATTCAGTTTGGTGCGTTCCCTTTGAAATCCTTAATAAAGGGGACAGATTTTTTTATTAGTTAGATAGAAAGGGAAAACAGTACGTCATCTTAGTCTTTGTTGTAGGGCCGCACGATATATCGTTTGAGCATCGTCATCGGGATGTACGTGTGCGAGATAGTCGCGTTGCAGAGGCTGCGTTGCAGAGGCTGCGTTGCAGAGGCTGCGATGTAGGAGGCGTACAAACTCATCTAATTTCAATGAATAATTGATTGACTAATTGACTAATTCCATCAATCCAAATCAGAGCGGAGGAAACCATGTTCCTGCGCATGGAGTGAGTCGCTAACGCGGCTGGTATTGTTCTGATAGATGCATACCTGCAGAGAATTACTTTGGGAACATTACTCATCACTGTTTATCCCCACAAATAAAAATTTTATGGGTTTTAAATTGTACATTTCCGTGGACCACTCTACTATAAACGGTGCGGATTTGCGCAAGGTGCGAGTAATTCTCGGTGGACATGCATTTCTTGGCACAACACCGGAAACAACAACAACGATTGCAAAATGAGATACAAATTAGAGAAAACCACCGAAAATGAAGACTTGTTGGCAAAAAAAAAAAAAGAAGTAACTTATCTGGAATTATTTTGGTTACAAGAAGGATGATGACACCAAACACCTGTTCTGTGTTGGCAGTGCCTTTTATCTGTTGCCACAAGGAGAAATAACAAGTCCCAGCACAATAAAAGCAAGCTAAAAATATCTCTAAGACAGACAGAAGCCATTCTACTAACATTCACAAAAAGAGGTAAGATCAGTGCAGGATAACTGTCCTCAAGATTTCAGCAGTGCAGCATGAGATAAAGTGCTATTCAGGTCATCTGCTGAAAAGTCCTGTATTTTTTAATATCGCAATATATATCACAGGGTTGAAAAAAATGGCAATGTTAGTTTTTTCCAATATTGTGCAGCCCTACTTTGTTGCATATTTAGTCCCTTTACACACAGACAGTCTTTACAATGAGACAGGTGCAACTTGTGAGAATATAACTGGACCTAGACACTTTTCAAACACTACTGATGGGGTTGAACCACAATATACTTTCATTTAGCAGCTTTCAGGGAAAGGGTCTGAGTTTATGCTGCAGCAGGCAGCAAGAACTGATGAATTATGAATGGTTTAGAAAATGCGCGTGAATGTTAGTTGGCAGAGTGTAGCTGTAATGCACTCCTCCAACCAGCTCTTCTCTCTTGTGGAAATTCTCTCAGCAGGCAGGAGTCTTGCAGCCCAGAAAAGCCAAACTTCTTTACTCTGGGTCAGATTCACTGCCATTTGACACAGTTATGTCTGCACAGACACACACACACACTTGTGTCCACTCATGTGAACACAAACTCACAAGAAATGGGCCCCATAGAAACCCTCAGCTTGAAGAGGATTTTCTTTTTTGCCTGTCTGGAAGTGGAGTTAGTTTTACCTACCAATTCAACATGCTGGGTCCCAGGGAATATTTAGGTGTGACCGGTTCGGATTAAAGCTGAAAGTCTGAATAGTATATAGAAGCAGTCTTGCTGAAGAAAAATCAAAAGGATGGAGGTAGAATATATCACAGTAAATCCCATAACTTTTATTTCTATGAATCCAGGTTTATACCCACTGAAATTCAGTTATAGCATCATTTACCCTGTCTCCTGGATAACAGACCACACATGCAGTCAGCCCATGTGTCTGGTCTCTAACTGATCTCTTTGCAATTCAGAATGTCTGTTGGTTCTGCATGAGGCAAGTGGTATCCATAAATGTCACATCAAGGGCTCCTCTGGTTTGGTTCTGGATCCTCTTGTCAGGTCTACATACACTCTTATAGAGACAGATATCTGTAAATCTCATTTTGAGCATTTATATCTTCTCTTTGTCTCTACTCATTCCCCCTTATGTCATTGCTTTCTGTCTTTGGCTTTGGTTTCTATTACATTAGCTGTTTTCTCTGGCTCCTGTCTTACTGTAATTCCCAATCTGTGCTACATAACTGCATTACTACAGGGTATAAAGAATGGAAGACTTTCCCTCTCCACATACACAAACATATAAAAGTGTTCACTCCTACAGTGTGTTGATGAGCCAAATCTTGGGGGTCTATCTCTCAAGTCTCTTAAATGAGTTCTCTGCAGCAGTGTGGACCTATTTCTACAGTCTGCAGGGAATCTCTTCTTTGTGACTTTCGTCTTATTTATTCATGCAATTCATGGTATCAGTTACATAACCGAGTGGCCCAGTTATAGAAAATATTATTAATGTTACCAGCTATTTATCAAAGAATTGGTAAAGACAATAGATCGCTGCTCTGGATAAAACAGAAAGTTTTCTAAGGGCCCAAACAGCGGGGGGTTTAGAGTGTGGCATATTTTTACAGTTTGATTTGAAGAGGTCTTTTGGCAGAGAAGGTGAATACCTCTGTTCCTCCAGCTTTGTGAAGGAGTCCGGGAATGATTCCTATGCTCAAGGGTATCTAATTATGCCACCAGGCAGTTGATCAGAGTAAACCTGAAAGGACTTGCCAGTTACTCCATACACAAAGAAAATCTGTGACTGTGTTCATGACTGGCTTTCATTGTTTAATTCAATTGCCAAGCAAAAACTACAGTTTTCATTTTCCTCCCACTGTCTCCATTTTAAGAATTTGCTAGTTTTATAATATTTTGATTTTTGCCGAAACCAGTGTGCTTAGTTGACTGAACTATTAATTATTGTAACCCTAGCAAGTTGGCATCAGAATCATTAGTTGGTTTGTTGAGTTTATCAGTATCTAAGACTAGGGCTGGGCGATAATCCGAAAATTTTCCAATACCAAAATTTACGACAATAACTGATGTCATTTTGACCATATTGGTATATTCAGTGTCAACAAAATAAATAAATAAAAGATGGTCTTGGATAAGTGTAGGTAGGCAATGGTCTCATGTTCCTTTAAGACGCTGTCCTACGTAATGTCATAGTCATTCAGGTAGGATTTAAATTTCCATTGAAATAACCAAGAAGTGATTCACTACAGAATATTCCATGGCAACAGCTGGACATTTTGCTTTTGGTGTAACAGTGTTAAATCACTAACAGTGAAATTAAATGATCCTGTACATGCTTATGTTTAGGGCTGGGCGATAGAGCAAGAATGATGTATATTAAAAATTAATTTCCCTCAATAGCGATATGACACATAATTAATATGCTTTTCGATAGTTGGCATTCTGCAATGTTTTGGTAGACTATACGAATAGCCAATGAAAAGGGGAGTTGCTCTGGGTCGCGCCGCACTGAACCTATCGTGCTGAATTAAAACCAAGTAGCAAACAACTGCGGAGTAGCAGGCTGCAGCTACACGTAACTATAGCACTTGAACATGTGAAGCTGACAGCATTGTCGGTGAGAAAAAAGAAAATGAGTGCTACCCCCGGCAGAAATGCAGATGACGGCTCAACAGATCACGACATCGTCAACAACACTGGCACAAAAACATTGGTAGTGTGGAGGTATTTTGTTTTTTTGAGGTCAGACATGAAGCAGAGTAATGTGCGTTGCAAATTATGTCCAGTACATGTTAAATTTCAATTAAGAGTAACAGGGAACATTTAAGATTGACAACTGATTTTTTGTTTTATATCATGATACATATTGATATCAACGGATTAAAAAAATATATCATGATAAACTTTTTCCCTTATTGCCCAGCCCTACCTGTGTTTCACTTTGGCCAGCTTAGTGTCAAATGTTGTGAACAGTTTCTTGTTCATTACATTTTCTTGTGCTTTCTCATAGGAAATAAATAAGGTTAAAAGTTTGTTGGACACATTGGATTAAATTATTGGTTGGACAATTATGACAAATATCCCATGATACCCTCTAACTTTCCCAGCAGTTACGAAAATATTTGCCCTGCACATAGAGGTAAACTGCAGCAAATAGTTTCCAATAGAAAAATACTTTTCCATTTTCAAATGTGCCTTCTGTCTGTTCTTAAAAGAAATAAAAGGAAACACAGACTTCTTATAACCTTGTTAATATGCCATCTTCATAAACCAATCCAGTATCACACCCTCTATCCAAGTAGTAGCAAACCAATGGCCATGGGATATTTATTTTTTCCACAATGGTGTGAAATCAGGAACTTCAAACACTTTTTGAATAGCAGCTTTTCCAAAAGACTGCCTCTACTCAGAACCCCCTCTCCTCCCTCTCCTGATTTTTTTTCTTCCCCCTCCCTTAAATCCTCAAAATAATTATGTGCATAAATAGAGAGTGAAAGAGAGGAAGAGAGGAATTGACTGGGAACTCCTGATAAGTGTGGCAGAAAGACAGAGAAAAGGAAAAGGATGGAAATGTTTCATCCATCAGTAGGCCTGTCACGATAACAAATTTTGCCGGACGATAATTGTGCTACAAATTATTGCCGATAAACGATATTATTGACACCGTTTTTTAAATTATAGATAATGATATTAAATGGCATAATAATGCGAGTACACCGTGTCAAAAGTGATAAACTTTCATTTCACCCACGACGAAGACGTAACGTTGACGAGCTAAACATAAGTCGGAGATGACTAAAATGTGACGAGACGAAAGTGCGTTTACGTTGATGGGACGAGACGAAAATGACGAACAGAGTTGCAAAACTCAGTCAGTTAAACGCTAAACATACAGGAGCAGCTTCAGTCCGCTCTGACAGCTCTCATCAGCCTGCTGTGCTCCTCCAACACACAGACACACATGCGCGCGCGCGCACACACGTGGAGTTTTGTGGTTGACGAAAACAAAACTGGTTTAAAGCCGAAATATTCCCACACTTGGGCTGTTGCGTTCGGTTTAGTCACCAAAGCTGTCGTGTTCATTCTGTTTGCTTGCTTTTCACTCACGACGCTCACTTGCAGCACTGTATCCAAAAGTCTGTGTCTGTGTGCCTGTGCGCGCCAGCCCCCTCGTGACAAAGACACTGAATGACTGACAGGAGGGTTCACTAACTCCGTTCATTCCGCTATAGAGCCAACGCCCCCAGGTGCCGAGAACAATGCGCAGAGTGAGACCTCTTCTCTCATCCAGCGTGTTTGGTAGCGAGAGAGGAGGAAAACAAACGCACGTCAATTATCGAGGCTGGCAAAATGACCGACCTCGTTTTTATTTACCGAGCGATAAGGCGATTTATTGATTATCGCGACAGGCCTATCCATCACTGTTTCTGAAATCAAACTCATATATGAAGGAGTAACGCGATGAAAATAGTCAAATCTGAAGTTTTTTTTTCCTTCTGTCGCCCCTTTCTCTCTCGCTCCCTTTTACTCCTTCTACAGTGCTTGTGTGAGAATGTGTATGTACTGATTCAGAGGCCAAGCAGGTGCACATTACACAGAGGGATAGGGCCCACTGAGCAGAGAGAGAGAAAGATGGTGGGGAAACGGAGAGGGAGGGCGGGAGGAAAGGGTGGTCTGTCTTAGAGGTCATACAAAAGAGCCAGTGTTTCCCCTCTCTCCCTCTCTTAGAGCGCAGAGTGAAGACAGTAATGGCAGTGGTGGGGGAAAGAGAGAGGCCTTTTGGTCACATTGTCCTCAACCCCCCCTGCTTGGGTTCCCCCCCCCGCGGCCTGCTCACCCCCTGTCACCCCTCACCCAGTGGCCCACTCACACAAATCTCAACATGTGGGTGCCTGCGAGAGCTTTACATTCAGCTGAATGTCACTCGAAATTAGAGGTTTTTTTGTAAAATTTCGACAAAGTTAATAGCAACAAAAAGTAGATATCAAAGTTTAGTGTCTACAATAAAATACAAGTAAAAATAAAGAACTTCAAGTGCGTGTGTGTGTGTGTGTGTGTGTGTGTGTGTGTGTGTGTGTGTGTGTGTGTGTGTGTGTGTGTTTAAAGGCTGCATTCCTGTGCTTGCTGAGCCGTAGCTGGGTGATTAATAGTAACTAGCTGATTGTTTAAGAAGTGAAATTCCTCGGCCCGTTTTTTCTTTTTTTTTTCCTTCGCATTTACACACAGACGTAAGTGCAAATACACACACGCATGCATCCACATGCACACCTTGCTTACACCTGTACACACACACATATACACACTTATGTATACACGGATGCACACACTGGTGACTGGGCACCAGTGTCACTCAGGAGGGCTGTGACATAGTGAGTGCAGGAAATGATACAGTAAATGAACAACAGTTCACCGGTGAGAGGTTGGTACGCTGGGGAGAATAGTTCATTGCGTGTGTGTGTGTGTGTGTGTGTGTGTGTGTGTGTGTGTGTGCGTGCGTGCGTGCGTGCGTGTGTGTGTGTGTGTGTGTGTGTGTGTGTTTTTGAGGCATTCAGGTAGAATAAATGAAGCTCAGTATGTGAGTTGTCTGCAGGTTTCACAGGGAATTCAGGACAGAGAAACATTATCCACCTCTCTCTCTCTCTCTCTCTCTCTCTCTCTCTCTGTCTCTCTCTCTCTCTCTCTCTCTCTCTCTCTCTCTCTCTCTCTCTCTCTCTCTGTCTATCAGCTCCTCTGTTGCGCAGTCTCTCTTTCCCTCTGAGTGTTCGTTATTCCAAATGTGATTCCTCTTCTGGTTGGTTCTTTTTTATCTCGCTGTTGCATCTTTCTATTCTTCCCACCCCCTTATTTTCTCTCTAAATGTCTGTTTTTCTTGAGCACCGTATGTATATAGAGTACATAGTGTCTTGAGAATATCTACGGACCTCAAGGTTTAATACAATACAGTTAAGCAGTATTATTATTCCAAATGCAGTACTTATGAAACCTGTAATGAACTGAACTTTGTATCCTTCGCTGAGGAGGGTTTCTTTCAGGGCAACTGTATTAGACAGCCTCCACCAAAGAGGTTTGTACTTGTACTGGTACAACAAGGAGTGTGTGTGTGACAGATAAACCGCCTTGTCTTGTGTTTATGGTCATTTTGTTTTGGAGCCAGCAGCCTGGCTTGGACCAATAAGAATTCCTGATGTGGTATCCTGGCAATGGGCGGGTTTCCATGGCAGTCACCAGCTTGGCAGAAGAGATAACGTTCTCCAAGAGCCTTGTGCTATCCTTTGGTCTAGCTCGGGCCCGCTTCAGTGTGACTTCAGAGGAATGTTGTGAGGACAAGTTGACGTCTGATTGCAGAGAGAAAAGGGGTGCAGGGAGCAGACAATGACACAGATACATATGCTTAGCTGTTCATCCTCTGAAAGGTGGCAGCAGAGGAGGCGGGTGGCTGCTTTGAGGAATGTGTTTGTGTGTGCATGTGTGTGTATGAGTGTGTGTGTGTGTGTGTGTGTGTTACCCTTGGTAAAAGGACTCACAGTGTGTGTATGTGTGCATGAGGATAGGTTTCAATTTGTAGGAGTTGGATAAACTTGTCATTTAACAAAGCTAGAAGTATGGCAATCTTTCAGAAACAGACAAATATAGATTGTGCATGTGCATGTGTGTGTGTGTGTGTGTATATATATGTGTGCATGCAGTGTGTAAAACACCCCTCTGCCCCTTGTAGTGTGAGGCTTTAATGTTTAATTAATGTTCACAGAAACAGAGATAATGATTAACAGAGTGAATTTGAGTTTCTACAACTCAGACTCCATTCATAAGACTCACTGTTATTTTAGCAAACTACAAGATTTACTTTAGTCATAAATAATTTCAGTCAGTTGTTTATTTTTAAAGGCATATTGAGGATAAATACTGTCTTAACATTTACCTGGAAAGCTTAGTGATTCTAACTTTAACACAACAAAGAATATAAAGAGGGCAAGTGAAGTTTTCCCAGAGACTGTCCCCTGAAATGTCAGTGGGATTCCATGGTTAAAGCAAACAACTCTATGAGCTAGATACACACTGTTGTGCATGTATGTGGACTTGGGTGTGTGTTTGTGAGTGCATTTCTTTTTTTTTTTTCTTTTTTTTTGTAGGTCTGTGTCACACATTACCAAAGAGTCATTCAGTTGAAAACATCACATATTAACTTTTCTTTACTGTATCTGTAGAAAGAGGGAAAAAGAAAAGAAGTGTGAAATATTTTTAGGGATACACCACAGGGCCAAAAAAGACTGAAGAAGATTGTCACAGATTTTTTTTTTATGTATTTCTGTTTAATTTCACTGTACATGCAATAATGTTTTCGTCATCTATCCAACCACTGGTCATCAAACTAAGCATACTCAGTGGACTAACATCGGAAGTTGATATGTTTGATAAAATCTGTGTCCTTGGCGTCTTTGTTAACTGCACTGTAGTACTAACTGCTTGAGGTACGGTTTCTAATTGGCCAAGGGTCACACAATGCAGACAGTGAGGGTAGGTTGAGGGTAAGTGCTTTGCCTCAGAGCACTCTCTATGTGGCCAGTGGGACCTGTGATTGAACCCCCAACCTTCCCATTGAGAGATGACTGTCTCTACTATCAACTACCTGCCTTATTTGTTGTCCAACCTTCAAACACAGCAGAACATTATGTGCTGTACAGTCGTGACTTATCACTAATTTTTTTTACTTTTGAGTTGTCTCAAAATTCAAACATATGCACACTCCTACTGCTTTGTACTTCTGAAATACATCTTTGTCATGATGACAACTTATTAGAGGACTTTTTCCCTCCTCTCTGAATAATTGTGGTACAAGTTTTGTAAAACATGACTGTTTTATCCTACAGTGAAACTGAAAAAATACAGCAATATTGATGGTTTTTGGATCAAGTGAGTCGTGGGAACCCACAGGTAGTGATTTGAAACTTAATGGATACCTGATAAAATGTTTGTCTCTTCGGCAAGTGTAGTGTTTAATTTTTTTTTACGAAGAGCAGATGGTTAAGGTATGTTCAAAATATATGAGAAATATAGGAATAATATTCTTTTATAACATAGCAATATGTCAAATCAATTTCTATGTTGGCAAATGTAAAATTCTTTCTTTAAAGGAAGAATTGAAGTCTGAATTCTGACTTTTACCTTTTTTTTTTTTTTTAAAGAGAAATGCTTAAGTAGCTACTTTTATGGCACTACTTACATTGTAACTTAATGTCATCAGAAATTCTTTGACACTTTGGGTATACAGTATACTTCCTGGGAATTAGATGAGGAAAATGCCAACAATCTCATACCTGTGCATACTTAACTAGTGCAGTGAAAAAGAATGTTTAAGTCAATGAAATAATTACTTTAGGTTTCATTGTCCATGAGGTTTTCATCTGGAGCCAAACCATCAATCTCCTCCATTCCCCAATCTAACAAGCTGCTGGCTGCACTGTTTAATCACAGAGATAATTTCAGTCTTGTCAGTGAACTCTTTCAAGAAAATACTTGAAATGGTCCAAATAAATGTTTTACAAAATTACAACTAAAGGGGTCTTCTGTTTTTAGCGAACACTCTTTATTGATAGTCCAAGTTGTACAGTCTTCTGTATCAAGACCAACAATTCGATTTTAAACCTCAACAACTTCCTCTTACTGTCTGTGAGTTCCTGAACATGGCTCTCTTAATGAACTCTCTCTTTCCCCATCTCTTCTTCAGGACTCTGCTGTCGACAGACTTCTCGGGAATACGCCTTGTCTCCATGGTAACAGGGCACCGGCAGTCCCAGAAAAGCACTGGGCCAAACCTCCTCCATGCTCATCCGACTAACCTGATCCTGGACTGTGACAGAAGATACAAACCAGAAATAAAACAGATGATGTTTCTTTAAATTTTTGTCTTATTGTTGCTACTTTCAGCCACTTAACTAATTTTCGGCTTTTGAATTGCCGAGGATGCCTTAAAAAGTGTCTGAGATCAAAAGTTAATGAGTAGTAGTGTGATGTAGAGGACTCTGAATCTTCCCTAAATGATCCGTGGAAACCAAGAGGAAAACTCTTTGTAAAAGTTGAATGGATCATCATTTGAGGAATGCATTCAATCCTGATTAAGGGATCCTAAAACTGGGCAGTACCAGTCCCAAACTGGTCCGAGAGGAGGCCTAAGTGGGAGGGAGGATGCACCAACTGTTCAGTCGTGTGCTAGGGCAGAGAGATCTGTCCAGAGCAGGGGATCTGTTTTCTTTGGAGGACTCAGAGATCAAGGACTGTCTGTCTCAGGCTCTGGACCAGATCAAGGCCATCTCTTGCTCACCGGTCAGTAAATTTATATACAATAACAGCAGAGTGTGTAATGACAGGCAGAACAATACTCGTATGCTTTTTAGAGGGCACTTTTGATTATAATCAGTTTTCCATGTCCTTATCCATTATTCATCGTTGTCTCCTCGATGTATACATAACTGTGCACTCTCTCTGCTCACTGGCTGACAGGACTATTTGACCAATGACAATGACCAAGCAGTTGTGGAGATTTGCATAACACGGATCACCACAGCCATAAGGGAGACGGGCTCCATTGAGCAGCACAGCAGGGCACTGGTGGGGCTGTGGGAGTCCTGTCTTGAACATAACCTCACCCCACAAGGTGAAAACACAGAGGACACGCCACATGCCAAGATAGCGTCCGACATCACCAGCTGTATCCTTCAGGTACGCCCATTAAACATTGTTTTGTTCCAGAAAGCCATACTTTGGTCTTCTCTTTAAGCAACAACTTCAGTGGTACTTAAGTTGTCACTCGTACAGCTGTCAGTGAGATATGCTTAACTTTAACACACTTTATTACTTTCATTAAAAGAAATATACTCTGAATTGCAAGTGTTCAGTGTTCCGACAGTCTGATCCATGAATTAAAGTAGAGTTGTCAGAGGGCAGAGTGTAAGAAATTGACAAATTTAAGTTTGTCACATCTTTTTCATTTTTTGTGTTACTGTTGCATTTTGAATTTCATGTTTAAAGTAACATTATTTCGAATTAACAATGCCATATTAACAATGACAAACCATTCTTATTGGTGTCTTGATTTTGGGATCAAATTGATGCAGTTAAATGTACTTTATGATCTTAACCTTTACATTCATTATTCAAATAAATAATGTGGTCCTACACCAGTGTGGTCTGAGAGGTAGGAGATGGCATCAAAGGGCTTATTTAGTGAAACATGGTGCTTATTTGAATGTTTTTGAAAGGATAAAACTGTTATTTATGAAGAAATATGGATACGTGCACGTAGGGCTGAGCAATAAAATGACAACGATTTATATCAAAAATTATTGTCCCTTAATATCAATATAAAACATGGTCAGTATGCTTTTTGATAGTCGGCATTCTGCCATGTTTTGGTAGACTAAATGAATAGCCACTGAAAAGGGGAGTTGCTCCGGGTCTGCTTCACGCTGAACCAATCATGTGCTGAATAAGAACCAAGTAGCAAACAACTGCGTAGTCGTAGACTGCAGCTACACGCAAACAGGCAAAGCCGACAGCACTGTTGTGAGAAAAAAAGAAAATGAGGTCTAACCCCCGGCAGAAATGCAGATGAAGGCTCAACAGATGATGACATTGTCGACAACACTAGCATGAAAACATCGGTGGTGTGGAGGTATTTTGTTTTTTTGAGGTCGGACATGAAGCAGAGTAATGTGCACTGCAAATTATGTCAAGTACATGTTCTCGCAAAGTCGGGGAATACCTCAAATCTTTTTCACCACCTGAAGCAGTGCCACGCAGCAGAGGACGCGCAATGGAAAAGGTTACAAACCCCGAGTGGAGCAAGGAGCCCACGGCGCCTGTGCAGCCGAAACAGCTGACCATTGAGTCCACTTTCTCCAGCGCAACACCTTACGACAAAACGTTAGAGAGACACAATGACCTCACAGATGCAGTAGCTTATTGTATTGCAAAAGACATGCTGCCAGTAAGCACTCTTAAATTTTATTTTTGATATAAAATATATCGATATCGACTAATATGAAAATAATGTATCGTGATAAAATTTTTCCCATACCGCCCAGCCCTACATGCATGTACGAAATGTCCAGTTAGTGTTAATATGGTGTGCAATTATTCCCAGTTGATTGTGATTGCTCACTGATGACTATTAGTCACTGTTAAATCTGACTGCAATTTTTTTGGGAGGTGGCTTTCTCTATTTCATACAGGTCAAACAGTAAGACATCAACATGCCAACCTCCCTTAGACTTGAGTTTTTCACAGTGTTAACTGACCTGCAGTCAGATGCAACTTGATAACCATTTGGCAAACCCTGCAGTGAGCTCCTTGGATTTAGTTTCATCCACAAGTCCGCGTTGATGTGAATTTACAGCTAAATAGAAAATCTTGCTTTATTTTCTTCCTAATTAAACATAATTTCTCAGATTTATCGTGTCATTCTCATGAGAGCTCCTGAGCCCAGAGTGTGGGGGAGCCAGTTTTCTTACCCCAGCTAAAATACTTGCAAGGCAATGAATTTTCTATGCATGGTTTACTTTTTTAAATAACCAATGCTGCAGAGAAAATGCTAATTGTAAGCTCAAAATTGTCTGCAATATAAAATGGCAAACATCAGGTAAAAACACAGTTGGAGTTTTTTTTTCATTCTAGGGGAAATAGGATGAGGGAAGATGAGGAGAAGTGTGTACGGATGCGAAAATCATAACATCCATCATGCAACACACTCAGAAGTGGATTTATGCTCTCAAGAGCAAGTATACAGTAGTTACATAATCAGCACTAGAGGTCTTTTAAATGTAAATTACAAACTTGCCTGTACTCTTCCCACCAGACCATAAAGGCATAAAAGCAGAGGGACCCTTTCTCCTTCACCCTGTCTGTCTGTCTGTCTGTCTGTCTGTCTGTCTGTCTGTCTGTCTGTCTGTCTGTCTCTTTTTCCCTCTCTTCCTCTCTCTTGCTCTCACTCTCACTTTCCCCTCTTGCTCTTTCAATTTCCTTTGGGAATAGGAATGTGCTTAATAGCAACGTAATGAGACTGATTCTTGATGAAAGCACTGCACACACTCATTGGGGTGAGACTTACAGTCCTGACAGCTCTGGCGGCAGCTCCGGGCATTGATGTCCTGATATCAGCTGCACTTCTCTCTCTCTTTCCATCTCTCTTTGCTCTGTCGCTGTTTCTGTCTCTGATCTGTTTCTTTTCCTGGTTTCTATTTCCCCTGTCTCAACTACCTACATCTCCTTTTTCTGATGTCTTCTACTCTCTTTGTCTTCCTCTCATCCTGAATCCATGGGCGCACACACAGACACTCGTCTTCTTAGCCTTCCACTAAAACTCCCACTGTGAAGGGAGAAGTAAGTAACAGACTGTAGGGAGAGTTATTTTCATTTGCAGAATATATGTGTATGTGCCAACAAATTCAGCTCTTTCGAGTTTAAAGACGGGGTTCTTAATCTGTACTGTGCTGACATTCAATTGTCTCTTCTTTTGAGTGAAAATAATACACGTCTCTGTGTTTAGATGAAAGGAACCTTGAGGACACCCCTGTGCAAAAATGTGCTCTAATATCAACATAAGAGCGCAAATCAAAATATTTTTAACAGATCACCTTTATCAGTGTGTAATGTAGTTTTGGTGAATAGATTGTCTGCACTGCCATCATGTGGTGAACTGGAGGAATGGCAGACAAAGAAGGATGATGACAAACATCCTGTAACATGAGCAGAAGACAACTGATTGAAAGGGTATTCCAGTGAAGACATACCCTAGGAAAGCTAAGACTTGGGTTGATGTTGATAGATGGATCATAATTTTCATTCAGTGCTGTAAAAATCCCAGATAAGTTAGCAATCATTGATTATAGTTGAAGAAAATATGTATTCATGGTCATTCGAGTATTTTAGGTGTTAATCTGAATCTTTCTGTGTTTCACAAGCAGACATCTGCAGCTAAAATAAGCTTGAAATCAAAGTGACCGACATCTCTAAAATGAAAGTACCTCAGGGATGTTAGCTCAGCAGCAGACTCTTTACAGCCTGTTATCCCCCATCTGTCTCACTCACACAAGCCGAGTACAAACCGACTTGGTCTTAGTCTGTCCTGTTGAGGGTGCTAGCGTCTTTCAAATCCACGTCTATCACAGGGACAAGTGTCTGCATCTCTCAGACTGTAAACACAACAAACATTTCCCCTTCCTCTTTCTGCACTTGAATCCTGAAGTAATGCGAACTTTTCAAGTCAGTTAAGCCCTTTTTCGATCAAGTGTAATTGCACTAGTGATCACTAAACACAGGACAATGAGAGCTTGAACTCCATTAAACATGTTACTGCTTCTCTCAGTGCCAGTCAGTCAATACAGAAATACAACAATTTTACCCTGCAGAATAACTTGCAACAAGCTTTGCTAACAGGTGGTATTCAGTGATGACCAGTATTGATTTGTGACAAATCTCTGTGAGAAATGTATTCGTAGACATGCTGATCATAAATGTCAAAAATGTGTGGAAAACATGTAATTGGATTACATGTTTGTTTACTTTTTTCATGAGGATAACTTATAAGGGTGGGAGAAAAAATCCATTCACAAAAGTATTGCAATTTTTAGTTTTTGTTTCTTTCAAATCTATGGTATCTGTTAATACAAAATGTGTTAACTAATGTTCTTGCTCTTTTCCTTTCTTGAATGTCTCATGATTGTGTATCCTCAAGCTTCCTTTTTTCTTATATCCCTTCAGAACTACAGCTGTCCATCAGTCATGGTGCTCGCCGTCCCAGTAGCAGTTCGGTTCCTGCAGAGAGGGAACAGAGAGCTGAGCAGGAACATGTCCAGTTATCTCTCTCTGGCTGCTATAGCGAAGGCTGACCTGCTGGCTGAGCACACAGAGGCCATAACACACAGTGTGCTGGGAGGTATGGAAATACACACAAAAATATCTGGCATAATGTTCACAAACATGGTTTTACCACATGATGAGTGGAGGGTGTTTCTGGGATGTTTGCTCTATAACTTTACCTTTGCAGACTCTTATTTTATAATAAATTCAGTTTCTTAGAAATGTGACCCCTTCAGAACCAAAGCAGTGCGGTGCAATTTCTCTCTTTCCCATTTATCTATGCTGTCCCACTTGCTGTAGATACAGATCTTGTAGACACCTTGGGGTATGTGCATGCGTGAGCATGTGTCCTCTGTAGAAAAAGAAACTCAAATCAACAGCTTTACAGAAGAACTCCGCTTAGGCCTATCCATCAGAATGAAAATGGTCTTCTTAGCAGGTGTTGATCAGCCCCATTGTACTTATTCAGTTGCAGATAGTTGACTGGTGGATTTGGCTGTTTGGATTAGTAATGAAACATGTATGCTCTTTCTTTGGGGACTGTTCAGACAGACCTGCATCAATGGGCTCAGCTGGTTTGCTAGAGTGAAAAAAGACTGCTGTTGCAATCAGAAGTTGTTGTTGGCAAACTACAGTTTTATCCAATCATGAGCCGTTGAAAGAAACATTCAAATACAGTAAGTCCCTGCTTGCTATGTAATGGTAGTGTACCTTCTGTTGGCACGCTAATTCTGCATGTAATTTCACACAAAAGAAGGATGTGGTTTTGTCAAAAAAAGGGCTCTCAACTGTTTCTGAAGACTTTTCTTTTTCATTTGTGTGGTACTTGTAGATTTTCAACTTTGGTTTGTTTCCCTTACTCTGATTTTTGACCTTAAACATAACATCTGAATTGTTTCAATAAATATGCTACAAGACCTTGTTCATTTTGCATTCACTTATATACATTTCTGTCCTATCTTGTCCACACGTGATATTATACTCTCAAGCTGATGCAACTTTTCTGTTTGTCTCATATAAGTTTTGCAATTCACACTGCTTACAGGATTTTAGTCTATTCAGCCCCCCTAGGAATTACATTGAAATTCTTTTCCCAAGGAGTCCAGAACATGAATCCGACTCCAGGAGTCCTTTAAGAGTCGAACTATTGCTGAATATCCTCCCCGGGGATAAATAAAGTATTCCGATTTTGATTCTGATTCTGATGAATGTGCTCTGGAAAGCCTCCTGGAGTGAAAGGTGGAATTGTTCTGCAGCATAAATCCGATCGGTACCTTTAACAACTTCCTATCTCAACTGTTAATGTCTGACGAGGGACAAAGCATCTGGCTGGTGGTTAAAGATAGCTTTCTTCTAAACATTTATCTGCCCTTTTAACCCATTTTTCAACACAGACACTTTTCAAAATCATTAGAGGGGTTAGAGTTAGTCCCAACTGTCAGATAGAGATCTGTTTATTCTCTGTCTCTGTCTCTCTCTTTCTCTCTCTCTCTTTCTCACCAGACTAGAATACCCCATTCATACTTTGATGTATTGTAAAGGGGGTTATTTTCTGTTCGAGACCATGCAAACACTTGTTTTGCAGGTTTTATACTTGCATGTGCAGATGTGTTTATCACTGTAAATCTCGCATTGCTTTTGGCATCGTGCTAAGCCAGCACCTCACAAATCAATGCTTAGAAACACGCTGACCGCTGTGCTGCTAATCACCTCTCGCAGTACTGCAGTGAGGTACTCACCATGGTTAGGCTCCTACTGGGCACATTTTCTGCTCAGCACATGAAGCAGCTTAGCTCTGTCTAGGTATTTTACAAGTGAGGTTCAGCCAAGTTTGAAGACATTTTACACCTCCGGTTTATAAGACTGAATGAAAATAGAGATACCATGTGGATCAGGGTCAGTATTCAGGTGTTTATGTGTGGACAGGATTGCTAAATACTGCTAAGACCACAAGTAGTTGTGTTTTCCTAGTAGCTATTTTATGCTAGCCTACACACCCTAATGTTTAAATCAAATGTGCAGTCAGATCAAATGTGCACTCTGTTTACTGTTAAATGTTGACTCTAAAAACAGAAACATCTCAGCTTCTTCCTCCAAAAGCAGATCCATCTGTTAATGTGCTTTTGGTGTTTTTTTTTTTTTTTTTTCTACGATGGTCTTCAATTAAGGATCAGCACAAAGTTTTGACTGCAAACAATAACACAAAGCTATGGAGCTGCTTTAGATTAAGATGACTAGGGGCCCTTTTGTCCGACTAAAGCAGAGCCTCTTTGTGTCTAACACAAGTGTCACTGTTATTTTACAGACAACACACTCCTCATTTTCACACCCAGTGCCCAAGTTTTCTTAAACAGCAAACAAACTAGCGCTCACTTTTGCATCCATGATTTAAAATGAAGTGTGATTTGTCGTCCTATTTGGTTCATCCTTTGCCCCAAACAAGCAATAGAATAATCCAGGGACTTCAACATGTGTGCACCTCGTGCTTCACTTGTGCACTGCTTATCCAGCAACATTTAGTCACTGATTTATTTTGGCCCTTACTCTTCAAGTCACACCTAATCCAAGGATATAATAGTCTACAGATGTAAAAACAGAAGTCCAACACTTGTTCATAGTATTTGAATTTTAAAAACTTTTGTATTTTGCACTGTATAATATGTTTTTGCACTACAACTCCACTGTTTACATGAATGCATAACTGTTTACATGCTCTCTCCATCAAAGAAATACTGCAGATGGCAACTACCACCTGCACTTCAGGTCATGTGTAAACATGCACATTAGAAACAGTAGGTTTGCATGTGCATGTATAGCGTGCATGTGTAAAGGAGTGTGAAAAAAGCAGGCATGAGGGTAGATGCAGACATACATATACCTAGGGCTGAGCGATAAATTGAAATTTATTGATACTATAGTAGTAGTATAGTAGTACTAGACTAGATATAATTTATGACACTATCAGACATCATTTTGCCAATGTCAATATATTCAGTGTCAAAAAAATAAATAAATAAAAGTTGGTTTTGGATGTGTGTAGGTAGGCTATGGTCTCATGTCCCTTTAAGACGCTGTCCTACGTCAGAGATGTGACTCCACCCCATCCAGTCCGTAAAAAAGAGGGAAAGACAGGTGAGGAGATGGGGGACGGTTCAAAAGTTGTAGCAACTGGAGCGGCGGCTGAAGTAGACAAAGTTAACGTGGGAGGGGGTGAGCAGCTTGTGAAGAAGTTATCATCCACTTATCGTTATCAAGGTGAACTGCTCAATGTATTGTTGTATTGATTTGAGGCCATATCGCCCAGCCCTACATATACCCATCTCCTGCAGTATTATACTCTTCTCTATTGTACTTTTTTCTATATATTTTATACGGTATTTTTGCACCGTAGGCTGGAGAGAAACATCTTTTCCGATTCCTGTGTGTACTCACATATTGCAGTAATTGACAGTAAAAAGCTTGAAACTTGAAACTTGTGTAGTTTTAATGAGTTTCAGTGTCATGGTTGGCTGAAACTGTGACACTGAAATATCTAACCAAGAGTTTAATGACACCTCCATATATGACAGATGCATAGTATGACATTTTGGTACTCTCAAGTTAACAATAAAACCCAGCGCTGTACAGCCAAGGGTGAAAGATGGGTGAAAGTGGTGGAGAAGATGGGAGGGAGAGCACATTATATGCAAATAACATGCTCATGTTTCAAGTGGCTGTGATCCAGCTTTGCAGGGGGGGTTAGGGTCTAGTGAACCTTATTATAGCTGGAAAACACACACAAACAGATGCAAACAAACATGTGATGGTGAGAGTGGATAAAAGTGAATGCAGCTTTCTTGAGGACTTCATTATAGCGACTTCAGATTTATGTTCCCGTAGGCGTTTATTAATGCAGGCTCGGCAGTTTCACATTTTTACCCCCTGCTGCAACCCACTGCTGAGGCCCGTCTTCTACTCTCTGAACATTTGAACCTCAAGCTGCTTTTTGAACAGGCTTCCACTTCTCTCATCCCCCTTTAGAAATCTCAACATAAACACAACACAACATAAACACAGGACTGCAAACACATGGGAGTATGCCAGACTGTGCACAAACACACACATATGTGGTTCGCACTAACAGATGATCTGCCTTTTTTTGCAGCAGCAGCCCTCTGTTCAGGAAGTGAGCTGATGTAATGGGGTTTGGGGGATGTTGACAATGGGGGTGTGATGTGTTACTTACATGTGCTGTTGGGATGGATGGACTGTGTGTGTTTCCACTTTTATTTTTTTGACCATGATTTAAGGTCTTCACCCATTTACAACCCATCAGAGATCTTTCGACCAGAAAGAGTCACATAGTTTTGAACATTTTTGTCGTATTTCTGTTAGTTTAAGATTTTTAGAACTCAATGAAGTTGAGTGTTTGTGTGTGAGAGTTGGCAAGATACAGGAAGCCTTGCAGCAGGATAAAGAGTGAAGGTTTTTATTGCCTGCTTAAAGTTTAAAACAACAGGGCTCAGTCATTATCAGATCTCACACACACTCACGCACACTTACACACACAATAACGCAGACACACAGTCCCTGAGCACAGAAACATATGGCACTGCTTTGGCCCCATAGGGATTTTAGAGTCAAAAGGCCCTCCTTCTTGAGGTAAAACCTGATCCTAAGTTAACACTGGATTTAAGAATGTGTCATCTGTCAGAGTTATATGTCTCTCCTGGCTCCCTTGCTATGAAACATATGCAGTAACTGTATTCTTGCTTGTAATGTAGAAGGAGGTTTTGGGCATTTGGGTCGGAGTGAGTGATGTTACATGTGATGTTTCCATTTCGTAACAGATCATGGTTCGAGACACAGTTGGAGACTGTGCAGTTGTTTTAGCTGCAGGAGAAATCTGTTTTATTTCACTAATAGGCCTGTTGCATGATGTGCCACACTAAACTGAAAGCATATGTTTGCAGCAAAACCCTCCATCATGTTTGTGAACAGTTTAAAATATATCTAAAATGTCAAACTTTCATGTTGATTCCTTAAATATAGCAGCATCCTCAGAAGACAAGGTGTTACTTTTGACTCCAGGGGCTGCACTGAACTTTCTGGCTGTCAGTCATTTTGATGAACAGAGTTACACTTATTTGATTTTTTTACTTTTGTAATGACAGTGGGATACAATCTGACTTTCTCTGTGTCAGTCTCTCAACAATAAGCTTTGGAAATAATTTATTTTGCACTAAGTAACTAATACTAATCAAATAAAACTTTAGTGTACTTTTTCTAAGTCATGTATGCTAGCATTAGCCTGAATCACCAGTGCGTCAACACAACTAACATTTGATAATTCATTACAGAGAAAAAGCCATTAAAGGGATATTCTGGTGTAAAATAAAGTTAGAGTCAAAAACACCGTAACACTGAGTTAAAGATGAATGTTGCCGACCGCTTGCTTCTCTAGTTATACCAACTTTAGTAATGACCGCACGATAGCAATACACAGCGGTCCCATGATCATTACTTAACCATTTCAGTCAAGTAATAATCACCATATTAATCATTTTGCACTGCAGACGTGGTAGTTCTTCTGCCTTAGCGTCTCGGTCTGATTGCATTTCCATGAAGTAATGATCATAAATGTTCTTCCTTGGGCTGCGGCACCCCACTGTAGTCTGTAATGGACTGCCCTGAGGTCTCGCTGCAAACAAGCAGCTGCTGGAAGAGAGTAGATAAGTTGTGTTTAGTCTCTTTGCTAAAGAAATCAAGCAAAGTTAAAAAGATGTTTGGTGGCTAGTGCTATGACTGGGACCCTATGTGTACTGTTGAGGAAGTTAGGTGCTGTTCTGAGTATTATTTGTGGCTGAAGAGGGGCTTTTTGGTTGAGGTGTACGCGTGGATCCATAGACTGCTGTGTATCGCTATCGTACGGTCGTTACTGAAGTTGGTATAACTAGAGGAGCAAGCGGTTGGCAACATTCATCTCTCGATGGGGTGTCTAGCTCGGTGTTACGGTGTGTTTGATATCCCTTTAAGGTTGTATGTGTGTTGACATTGTGTACAAGTTGTCAGACAGTTGCTTTCCTTATTTTTAACGACATGCCTCCTCAGGCACGTGTGGAGAGGAGAGGGAGCTGGAATGCAAGTGGCCCACACAAATACAGCTACCACAGTCTGTGCTGTGCACAGCAGTGGAAATGGTGGACAAGCATGGCGTAATAGTGCTGTTAGAACTGCTGAATGGTATGGTTGATTTCCTTTAGTGTGGTAATATAAAATGACATGCCACTTTATAATCCCACCTTAAATATCTCTGACGTCCCTTAAAAAATCAAAATCTGTCAGCACAACACTTTGCAAGTCAACTCAGATAAGTAACATGAAATACTTAAAATGACTTCTTGAAGAAAAAGAAACTGGATGGGGCTCACTACAGCTGTTTGCCCATTTACTGCAGGTTTAAAGTTCAATGTCTTTCTGTCTGGCTGTCCCTGAGCAAGACATTAAACCAAAACCTGCTCCAGATGTGGACGCCTGCCTTTACTGTAAGCATTCATGTGCGAGTACGACAAAAGCATTGTAAAAGCACGGTAGTGTTGCGTATAGTGGATCTGGGATAAACGGATTTAGATAGAGGATGGTCTTGATGAGAACCTCATTAGAAAAAATAACAACACTGACACTAGATATAGAGCAAAGGAATGTCCTATAACTTGAAATGTTTATTTAGACCTCACTCTCCCTTAACCCCATCACGTTAAACAAAATATATTTATATACAAAATACATTCAGTTTCATCAGTTCACAACAAACAAAAATTAAGAAATTTACAGTATAAAACAAGACAGCATAGCTCATTAAAGATAAGATTATGTAAACATTATCCTCAGTTTCATTTATCAAATAAAATAATGCAAGTCTCACACTACAAACAAACAAACAAGAAAAAAACAACTGCTCAGATCATTTTATGCAATTTCAGAAAAGACGATTCAGCATTACCCTAACCTAAGAGACCTTATGCTGAGAACTAACAATGTAGAAAAGTTGTAAACACCTTTTTGAGTACAAGTGTGGAAAGGTGTGAAAATGCTTTTAAAAGCTTTTGCGAACTCACCGTAGTAATTATAGAATTTTAGAAGAAATAGTGAGGGAGATTTTTCCGTAGATGCTTGAGAAGAAAAGTCCACAGAGGGATACGACAAATCAAATATAACTCAAATAACTGGCATATTAGTAGAGTACCTCTTCTTAAGTTGTGCCTACAAGACTGCAAAAAGAAAATCAGATTATATCCATGAGTTAATTATTGATTGACCATAGAAGGAGAAAAAAATGCATCATTACTCAAAAAGGAGAACACTAATCTTCAGTAACAAGATGATCCCTTGCATCAGTTTGTGACCTCGGGTTTTCCTCTTTTGCATGGCTGTCTGGTGATTACTGGCGCCGAATCAACTCCCTGTAACAATCAACACTTTGTCTTTCTCGCAGTCTAATGAACTCTTTGGTGAATGCCGCATGCAGCACTTTCCTGCTACGATACAAGTTTCCTCATTTTAAGGCACGCCAGTGTGTGTGTGTGTATGTGTGTGAGTCCACGTGTGTGCATGTCAAATTGCCTCAGTTCAAAAGGTCACGTTACCAAAATAAACTTCTGTCTCACGCTAGATTGGCTTTCTCTCACATGAGCATGTCCAGTAGAGTTCTTTGCAGCATTAGTGTTCATGGTTACATAGATGATGAAGAAATAACACAAGGACTAGAGTGCTTTAATCATGATGAGAAAATGATGAGAAAAACTGTTTTTCCATTTTAGCATGAAAGCTTATCACGATGTTGTTGATAGTACGGTGATGATTTTGATGATGTTGATGAGAAATGTCACCAAAAAGACGAGATTGAATCTGTTAGTTGATGAACTGTGCACCTCCGTGTGGCACCATCTCCGTGACTCCCCATGCCACCACATTTCCTCTCTGCTCACAGCCCTGGCCCTCCTGTGAGGCTAGCTTGGTAATCTCCCCCTCTGGCAGCACCCTGTCCCACATATTCACTCCTGTCATCTTTCCTGCGAACGCTAGTTTGTGGTCGAATCCTCCCTCAAACCCTGGAACGCCGGTGCTTGGAGTTACAGGACAGCAGCCATTTCTTTCCTGACCTAACTGGAGTGATCCTCCGCTAGGTATGACGTGCCCCTCAGCCACTCCAGGGGTGGATGCCACTTTTTTCCCATTCGCCCACAGGGACGCCAACCCCTGCTTGGACGACCAGGCCCCGCACAGGTGGATCCACTCTGATGCGCCCCGTTGGTTCACCACACCTCGTGCCTCAACCAGGTGAGCCTCCCCTCCAACGGTGAAGAGTGCAGAGGACTGAGCGAGAAGCAGCTGAATCTCGTATGGGTTACGCCGGTTTCCATAAGAGAAGAGCACCGTTTTGTTGGAGACGGTGGTTGGCTTCACCCACATACAGACAGTAAAGGAGGAAACAGAGAGAGGGACCTCTGGCATGACGGAGGTGTAGATCCGACGGGAGCGCATGGGGAAGAGGAGAGCCATCTCACAACCTAAACAACAAAAATATCTGGTTGGGTTCATACTTCCTTTTTTTTAACATTGTTTTGAGAAAGAATTTTTATTGTAAACAGATGTCACATGGGCAGTTGAGGTTGCAGTCAAAAAAGACATGCAATCAACCATCTTGATGGAGATATTCCAATGGTTTCAAAGACTTAAAGTAGTAAACAGTTGAGTTACTTAAACATGTTGCCTGTTTTCATGATTGTTTGTGTGAAGCTGTTCAATCTCTTCTATTAGAAGTAGTTTGATTTTCAGGACAGTGTTTGAAAATTTGAGTGTTTTATTTGACCAGAGGAATGATTGAGTTTAATGTTCCCATGCCTACTGAGCAATATACGGCTATTAGCCAATCAATTTTTTTTAGACCTAATTTCAACCGTCTAGATTCTGTATATTTTTAGATGGAATTTAGACGTTGCACTTTAACCCATTATTCAATAACTATTTATTTCAAAAAGCAACTGTGAGTTGCATAACTGATCTCCAAGTACTTAACCAAAATAATTTTGATAGCCATTGAGCAATAAACAGTGTAGTAATGATATAGCCCAGATTTAGACTTGGTCTAAACTTGGTCTAAATTTAGACGTCTAAAAATCTTTTATTTTTAGACCTGTGGTAGCCTGATTTTAGACCAGTCGTCTAGGCTACATTTAGACATCTATTTGACATCTTTTAGACCAAAAAATGCTCAGTGGGTGTTCTTGTGTGCATATTATGTATTTGTTTGTTGAGTTTAAAAAACTAATTATTTAGATTACAGTGTTGCATGTGGGGAGTTTGTAAGCACAGAAAACAAATGGTCTTAGAATTGAGCCATGTGGGACTCCGCTTGAATTTGACACTGTAAAACAAATATTACGTATTAGCTATCATGTATTTTATGTTGAAGTTAGATTCCTGGGGAAAATGCACCTGTGTCGTTATAGTGCATGTTATTTATTGAAAAAATATAGAGAATGGTTTTGGATTGGACACCCTTTTAAGTCATGTAGTGGCCTCTCTAGACTATGAGCACCGCAGATAAGACACATGTAAGTGGCAGCATTGGTAGTGGAGGTCTAGTTGAAATAAAAACAGTCATAGTTCAGTTTACGGTCAGGTGATGAGATCATGAAGCTGAGGAAGTTTTTTCCTGCCCCGCCAACTCACAACCACACCACCACCCTATCTAGGTCAAATGGTTCATTGGTTTGTTCTGCTTCATTTCTTTATTTTTCCCCTTTTTAATCCTTCAAATACACTGAGTCACTCTTAAGCCCTTCCTTTTGAACACGCAGTGCAATCATCAAACATGTTTTGTCGGTAAATCTTTCCCTATTCTTCTAAGAAAGAAAACCTCTGTTAAATGATGCATTGGTGTCCAACACTGAGCTCTGTTGGAGGTTGAGTTGACCTGGGCGCTTGTATAAATGTTATGTTTAAACTGCTTTAATTGTCACTCAGCCAAATTAAGAAGAGCGCTCACTTGTCGTCCAGATCTGCGTTTTTTTAGATCTCTCTTGGACTAAGGGGCACACACCCCTCACTCCATCCTTGCCTCATCTAAAATCCTAAATATTGTTGCTACGTTTGTCTCAGGTTTCTGCCACTCAAAAATAATTGTGGAAAAAAAAGGCATTTTGGACATGCTGAGCGTGTGTGTCCCAGTGTGTGTATGCGTGTGTGTTTGTTCATGATGGTTTCCATCTGGTTCTGCTTTCCCAGGGTGCTTTGGTGTGTTTTTTGCGGTGACCTGCTAATGATTAAACCTCCCTCTGCTCTGTATGTAGGCCATTTTATATTTCTGGACGGTAAAGGTGTAGCGTCGTAGTTATTGCAACCTCTCCTGTTTGTTTACCGTTTTTACGCAAGTAATTCCAGGAAGTTAATTTGTTTTTTTATTACTCACTCTTAGTCATTTAATCTCTGAAGGAACCTTGTTATTAGTGACAGTATAGCTCAAGGATAAAGGGTAAACCACACTGACAGGTCTGTTAACCTACACCATATGCTGTTGTCTTATAAATTTGAAGATCTCCTTTTGTGTCTCAACATCTAATAGTCACTTGAAACAATATCTACATAAAAAGCTCAGGGAAAGTCCCATGATGACTAATCTAAAATTTTAATCTGAAGGGTTTTTTTGTTGTTGTTTTTTGACTTTACAGAATTTGTTCGTGATAAATGAAATTAAGACAGGATTCAGAGGGAAAGGACGAATGTTACAGTGCTGACCTAATATATGCTCACTTGCCTGCCCTCATCTTTGATGTGACTGTCTGGACTGAAACTAATTTGAGTAAGTGAAGGAAAGAGGATAAGTTGCTACATGAAGAGGATTACACGCCTGGAGACGGACAGAATACGTGAAAAAGATATCTAGAACGAATACAAGCTGCATGATTAGTCATCCAGAAGCAAGGCCTGACAGAGGGGGTCTCATTCTTTAGCCTGAAGCTTGACCTGAATGTGTCAACGCAAAAACAAATTGAAGGTGGAGGTTGTTTGGATTGTAAGTACAGAGAGACGGAAACTATCAGGTAAAGACAGACACGAAAATTGCTGTTGGTGAGATAGATATCGTACCTGCGGGTAGGTATCTTTGCCTCGATGACCTCAGTGCCTCCTCCTTCTCCGCTCTTGTCTGTTGCAGCGCAGCCATCACTGTGTCTAAAGTCACATCTTGTGATGTTACGTCTTGCTCCTGAGGCCCAGTTCCTCTGCCATCATGAAACAGGGATGCTGTCTTTGAAGTCATCCCTATCCCAGCGCCCGGGCTGAAGCAGCTGGTCTCCAACTTGGCGAGTCGGTTAGCTTGGCTACTTGATGCCGCGAGGAGCAGCTGTAGCGTTCCTTCAAGGTTGTTTGAATTCCCAACGGAATGCCCTGTAGCAGCGGCAGCAGAAGAAGTCTGGTCTTTGATTTTGAAGCGCTCCAAGATGTCTCTGAGGCGGCCCTCCAGCTGCAAGGCAATCCTTCTACCGGCTGTCTCCATAGCAACCCCGCAAGAGCCACCATACTGGGCTACAAACCTGAAAGAAAGGACTGATGTGAAAGGAACCTATTGATCTGTAATCGGTGATTGAGAATCACCAGAATCAGTCCTGGATTCAAAACTGGTCATCCATTCACTAATGACCAGTGACAAAATACACTGGATTCAGTACGCTTACATTACAAAGAGTTAAAGGGATATTCCGGCGTAAAATTAAATTAGGGTCAAACATACTGTAGCACCGCGTTAGAAACCCTGTCGAGACATGAATGTTGCTGACCGCCTGCTTCTCTAGTTATACCAACTTCAGTAACGACTGCAGATAGCAATACAGAGAGCCACGCGCTCAACCAAAACACCACTCTATAGCCACAAATAATCCTCAGAACAGCACCTAACTTTATCAACATTACATAGAGGGTCCCAGCCACAGCACCAGCTATCAAACATCTTCTTAGTTTTGCCTAATTTCCTTAGCAAAGAGGCTAAACACAATTCATCCTCTCTCCTCCAGCAGCTGCTTGTTTGTATGGAGACCTTCGGGCCAGTCCATCGACTGCAGCGGGGTGACACAGCTCAAGGAAGAACATTTATGATCATTTCTTTATCATTTCCTTGTAGTAATAATCATCATATTAGTCACTTTGCACTGCAGACGCGGTAGTTCTTCTGCCTAAGCGTCTTAGCGTCTAAGCGTCTGATTGCATTTCCATGAAGAAATGATCATAAATGTTCTTTCTTGAGCTGCATCACCCCGCTGCAGTCGATGGACTTGCCTGGAGATCTCCGTACAAACAAGCGGCTGCTGGAAGAGAGAGGGTAAGTTGTTTGAAACAAGAAATTAGGCAAAGTTAAAAAGATGTTTGATGGCTAGTTCTATGGCTGGGACCCTATATGTACTGTTGATGAAGTTAGGTGCTGTTCTGAGCATTATTTGTGGCTATGGACTGGCTTTTTGGTTGAGTGCGTGGCTCTGTGTATTGCTATCTGCGATCGTTACCAAAGTTGGTATAACTAGAGAAGCAAGCAGACGGCAGCATTCATCTCTTGATGGGGTGTCTAACTCTGTGTTATGGTGTGTTTGACCCTAACTTAATTTTACGCAGGAATATCCCTTTAAAACTATTGTTAGAAGGAATGTGGCCTGGTCTTGAGGGAGGGTGGAGCACCTGGCTGCTTCCAAACAAACAAGAAAATAGCTTAACTGGGCAATTCCGCATTGTTGAATTGTGCCCACTACAAGTGCTTAACATCACTCACAGGCTGTGTGTGTTTTGAAAAAAATGCCACCTCACATGATAACAGAATTTCTTGGATCTCTTTGTCCAACCAACCTGAGCATTTCCCCGCGCAGAGATCCCATCTCCACCTTGACGATGTCGTCTGCATACTGGAGCAGCATGTTCTCCCTCATCTGACTGTTCTCCAGCATGGAGAAGACTTTGTCCCATTTGGTCAGCTCTGAAGCACTGCAGGGAGCTGATGTTGGTGTGGCTTGAGAAAAAGATAATAATAGAAAGAAAGGTTAGGATGTCTATCAGAATATTAACTAAAACATCTCTATTGAAGGTAGAAGAAAGGTCTTCATGTCCTGTGATCCCTGCTTCAGATGAAATTAAGACAAGTCAAGTGAATTGAGACATGTTTTGTGCATGTGACCTCTATAATGTAATACGAAAATGGTAAATTTGAAGAATGTTGGGTTTTGTTGGCCTTTATCTTGAGTAAAATTGGGAAGAGGTCTAAATCTCTGGTGCTTTAGGGGTCAAAAGGGAGACTGGTTCTAAGTCAAGCTCATCGTAAGTCTTGGCTACACATAGGTGAACCAAAAGACCACTGGACTTGGTTGAAATTCTTGGAGATGCTAGTTTGGTATCAGTTAAGTGTAGGAGTTGCAAACAGCTATAACTGGCTAACAACTTTTTGGTGGAAAAACTAAATTATGTTACATAAACTATAAGTTTTACCTATTTGCACTGAGGACTAGGACTTCATTGCTTTGATTTCTGTGCAAGTTTAGATCTTTTCCTTCAAGAATCATTGACTTCCTGCACATCACATGTTCAGTTTTTATTTCTCTTTATTTTTACTTCTCTGTTGTTATTGGCAACCATTTGGTCCAAATGGGTTTTAAGTGAAAATCATCCACTTCCATCGATTAGCTTTGTAGTTTCTCTAGCATTGAAATGTCCAGTCCTTCATTTATGCACTGTCATCATGTTATAAGAACAAAGGGAATAAAAACATAAATTACTCCTTCAGTCTAGTTATTCGCCAGATGCTGGGGCAGACATGGCTTCAGAGAGGACAAGCAGGAAATAGCGCATAGTTTTTCATGTTATGAATGAAACTTTAAGACAGTTGTTATAAATAGAAAAAACAGATCATACAGAGTGAGTTAAAGTCAGCTGGAGAGAGATGTTGCGGGAAGAGGAAACAAAGTTGTTGGGGGAGAGATAAGAGTGAGAAAGAAGCACGGCAACTTATTTGTAAACCACTTTGCTTTTCCTGCGGGATAATCTGAGTGTGTGCCTGACTGAGGAGATAGAAACAAGGAACAGGAAGTTTTCTTTTAGACTGAAAGAAAAGAAAGGAAGGACCAGCAGTGAGAAGGAGAGAGAGAACAATGGTAGAAAGAAACATAGAGGTATGAGGTAAAACAGGCTGGGAGTGAGGATATGTGTTGGACACACTGTTCTGATTAAGGTGTAAGCCTCTTGAGCTCTGTTTGTACCTGCTTATTTCTTCTAGAGGAGCATTATCTCAGGACTGCAGGATTTGTTTTGGCCTCCTCCTCCCCCCCAAGTTTGTGAAGCAGAGGGTTCGTGCACTCTGCTCCCTCTGATTTCCACAACTAAAGCACATGTCTGCCAGAAGGATTTTGATGGATGTGGCTGTAAAGAGGGTGTAAAATGACCCCTGACAACTGAAGGCTTGGATTCTTGACCCTTTGTGAAAGTTACTATGAAGGTTGAGGACTTGTTACAGCAATTCTGTGACTTCACTTACCTAATGGGTGGGTTGGTACTTTTTAATAAAAGAGAGGTACCCCAGTAAAAACTACATCTGAAACATGATTTTAAACGCCAGGTACGTTTTTACAGGTAAATGCATACTGTTGCAAACATTAGAGCAAGCATAGTCTGGGTTTACTTAAGTTTCTTTCTCTGTTGTTATTTTTTAAATGAGCAGTGGCCTGACTGCCCTCATGTTAAGCCTCATACAAATTCCACCTTCAGATTCAGTGTCTTTCACAGTTTTGTAGTTGTGCTGGCTGTCTCTCCTTCCTTACACACCTGCATGCAAACAGGAGTGAGTTTGTAACTTTTCTCTTCATTGTCCACCAAGCTACCTTTCCTTTCATTGGACAACTTTTTCTCTTTAACTGCTTTTATTCAAGAGCTGGCATTTTACAATTCTTAATTATGAGTTCAGGCTTCTTTTGATTCTGCCTTCAGTCAGCTTTAATCGCATCGCAGCCTGTGCCAAGAGCAAACCTGTTAGCGCTGCAATTATACCTCCTGCCAGCTTTGAAACAACAAACACATGCAAAATGCAACCACATGTGCTCACACTCTCTCTTTCATGTTCATATTTACACAGTTTGGCTCGTCAAAACAGCTGACAAAGACTTTAATGATGCGCTGAAGTGAATGGTGGCCAGTCATTCATGCTGTAATATGTGTTTGTTCAGGTCGTCAAATGAAAAGGCCCTCTAATTTTCCTGCTCAGCATTTTCTTTGATTGTACTTGTACAAACTCTGACTGCCAACAGTCTGTATACTGTATACACTCCTCTCCCACTGTGTTTCTGCACTTTGGATGGAAATGTACACCCATAAGAGAAACTGTGTCTTACAAACGAAACAAAACTTAACATATTTTACATATTTTTTGAGTAATAATTGCTTTGTTTTAGGATATTAAATCAAATGTCCTGAGCTCACCTCATTTAACCCCCCCGAAAAACAACTTTACGCTCAACAATCTAATTAAAAATGAGAATAATTTGTCCCAACACACATACACAAACACACACAGTTAAATACTTACGATCTGGCGTGTCCCCCTCTGTGATTTCATTGTAGTAGGGTTCATCATAGATGACCTGGATATCATCCTCATAGGCAAGAAGCAGACACACACATGCTGACAGCATGCCTACTACCTGAGGGAGCCTCCATCGAAACATGCTGCTGCTGCTGAGTGTGTGAGAGAGTGTGTGAGGACAGATGAGTGTGTCTGGTAAGCTTCAGGTCTTCAGGTCTTCTACCTACCTGGTTGTCTGTGTGAGTTTGTGTAAATGTGTGTGTGTGCTGTATAAGAGAAGGTCTCACTGTATTTGGTCTCTACTGCTTCCTTCTGTCTGTCTTTATACAGGGCTGAAGGTCCACCACTCTCTTTTTCAAGCCCTCACTCTCTCATACAGTATTGTCCCTCCTCCCTAATGACTACCCACCCCTCTCTCTCTCTCTTGTTCTCCCTCTCTCTCACTCACTCTCTCTCTCTCTCTTTTCCTTCTCGTTAAATGCTGAGCAATCCTTTGGCAGGAAGCCCAGCAGTGTAGAGTACTCCAGCCACAGAGAGGGGCTGCTTTGGACTCTCTCTTACATGCACACACACACACTCACACACACCACACAATTGAATCACCATACAGAAATTTACATTGATTTACTGTAATCATCTGTAAACGTGTCGATCTTTGACATACTTGGAGACCTACTTGGATAAATCTGGTTTATTACAACTTAAACTTAATTTCAATAGTTTTGGACATGAATTTATTTCGTGTTGTAACACAACCCAGTAAAAGCTAAGCTGTGGGGAACAGCAAACCTGATCAGACTTTTTGTTCACAAGCCACTGAAAGAAGAGAAACTAAAGTTAGTACACCCCAAAATATTAAGTAACACCATGACAATAAGTCAAGTTGAAGCAGGAAATATGTGTACGCTTTATCTCGTAATTGTATAACATTACTTTGTCCCCCTCCCAGATATGTCTGATCATGCAACAGTCTTGTGACTCTCAATCTGATGTATTTCACAGCTGCTTACTTAATCTAGTTTTCAGGATAAAGGGTGTGATAAATGAGTAAATCATCGAGTGTTAATTTGGTTTCATTTATCAAACTTACTTCCAAAACTGCTGCAGTAGTATGTGAGAAACTGCTTTTCTTAAGAGTGGCTGGAGATCTCAGCTTTGTGCAATGTTATCCCCAAAAGACATCAGCCGACTCTACATGAAACCGTTTAATAAACCAGGATAATGTTATGCTAATCCTTACACAAACGCTAACCTTCAACATTAGCTCTTTCTGAACCCTAAACTTTAACCCCTCATTACAACAAAATTACAGAACAAACCGCATGGGAAATATCATGTGAGAAGAGGTAAGGAGGTGTTCAAAAAAAATCTTCAAAAATTTCTATCCATGTGAAAACATTCAGCTTTCACAAGAATAGAAATATAAAAGCGACGTCTGTGTGAGTGAGATGGTGAGTAATGCGTCGTTGGAGGTAGCCTGCATGTCGTAATCAGATATAACTGCAGCTCCTGCGACTCAGAGAGGAGAGGAGGGGGGTGGAGGTAATGGGAGGAGGAGGAGGAGGAAGCAGGGAACATAAACTTTTCTGATTTTTTACCCCATACAGAGTCAGTGTGTATGTGTTTAGTTGTGTGCGCAGGATTGTGTTTGTGTGTTGGGGGAGGTTTTTCGAATAGAACCCAGACATCAGAGGTCTCTGAATGGTTTATTGTTCTCCTGCTCGGCTCGGTTTATTTATTTATTTATTTGTCAGCCTCACCATGTGTCTTTCTGCATATTTGCGTGCGTATACTTTACAGCTTTTTATGGCATCAGTATTTGTGCTTGCGTATATCCTCGTGTGTAGGTACGTGTGCTTCGTGTGTGTACGTTCAAGTGGAAAACAATAATTGCTTCCTCATGAGATTTAAGGATTTCCCCCCCCTCTCCCACTCTCACTTCATTCCCCTCCCTTCAACCTTCTGTCTGCCAGTGTCTCTCTTTAATTGTCTGCATTTTTCTCTCTCAAATACCCACTGAGACAAACACTTGTTCAATTGTTATCCAGGAGAAAACTCTTTTCATTCAGACAGCCGCACACTGAGAGAGAGCGAGTCGTGAGAAAACATGTGAGAGGTAGAGAAAAACGGCTCCAGTGTTGCTTTAACTTTTTAGATTGATTGATTTGTCAAGATTTACTTTTTCAGAAGAGACTAACATCCCTCACCAGATTTACTTCTCTGGAGTTCAAGTTTAATAGGTATAAATCAGACAACACTTTTGGTGTCCTCTGAAAGTCTTGAGGAATAAAATATTTAGTAAAAACACCACCTGATTGATATGATTCAAAAAGCCCAAATTAATACAGTTAAAGACGATTACCAGAATATATTGGAAAACGAGACTCAAATTTGACAATTAAAAAAGGAATCCAGACTTAAACATAACACCTCGTATTAGGTACAAGTGTAATTCTTTGAAATTTCGGTAAACTGTACTTGACGCCTATCTCTGTAACGCACTATAAATATATGTATAATGCGTTATAATCACATTATAGCACCGTATAACTATAGTTATAAACACTCATAAATGATCATAATACTTTATAGCAATAATTATAACACATTATAGAGCATTTTATCATGACTTACAAGGTCAGGTATAATATTGTGTTATAACTGTGTATAACTCACTGACAATGCCCACATAGATAATGTATTATACATATATTTACATATGTGAACTTGTATAACTATCATTATAAACTCTCATTAATTATCATAAGGCTTTATAACAATAAGCATATCTCATTATAATATCTGACTTTGTAAGTCATGATAAAATGCTTTATAATGTGTTATGATTATTGCTATAAAGCATTATGATCATTTATGAGTGTTTAAAACTATAGTTATACAGTGCTTTAACATGATTATAACTCATTACAAATATAATTATAATGTGTTATAGAGATAGGTGTCAAGTAAAGTGTTTACAAAATTTCTCACGGTTGACACAGTGGAACACAAAGACATGAAGGAGAATATATGAAAAGAAATACTCTGTTAAAGGATAGGCATGTTTCCTGCACTGGAGAGAGCCAAAGGAGGAAAACTATGTGTGAACAGATATAACAAATGAAACAAAAACAAAAACGTTCTGGTTCACATTCAGTCATTAGCGTGTTATAGTGACATTGAGTTGATCTTTGATAGACAGGAAAAACACTGAGTAATGCAATTGTTGGTAATTTTATGGTCAAAATCTGTTCAATTATTGTCACACTAGTTTAATGTGATGACGGTATTTTTGAAAACAGCATGACAACATTACTCAGCAATGAACTTTTAAGGACACGACTTATAAGTATAGAAAACAGTGAACGGAGGCCATCGAAGGACGACCATATGTCTGCTAACTCCAAACAGTAACAAGCACTGAAAACCTGATAGAGGCAACAACCATGACGTTCTATCAATACCACATTTAAGAACAAAAGAAACTGAACTAATGTTCCTGGACTTTTGGCAAAAACTGTCAATAAATTTGTCATGCTCAGAGAAAAAACAACTTCTCCTAAAGAAGTCAAATGATTAACACTAAACGACAAGTCAAACACATGACTAAAAACTTTAAATTTCAACACAGTTACATTTTTGACGTGTTTCGGCAGTCACTTCCTCAGAAGTGTCTGCGTGGACACTTACGCAGACACTTCTGAGGAAGGTTGAAGTTTCCACCGAAACATGTCAAGGTACGTTGAAAAGGATTACATATCTGAGATAAAGGAAAAAAGAAAACGATTTTTAAGAAACTGAAGACATAATGAACATCATTCAACATGTACTCTGATGTTTTAGACCCTTATGTTGTTTTTAAAAAAGCTGATTAACGTTTAGTTCTGGGGAAAAAGGATTGAAGTTTGAGAGGCCAAAGTAGGACACAGTTTGGAGCACTTATGGATGTTAGTAAACCTGGAATAAGTTACTTGGCCTCAAATATTCTTCTTTGGTTTGGATTTGTCAGGGTAATGCTCTTTTATTAAGTATTTAATGATGATATGATACAAACATTCGGATGTACAGCTGCTGCTGCTCTTACTGCAATACCTCAGCAGTCAGATTTAGTATCGGGAAGTGTTTTAAACTCATCATAATAAAAATAGATATGATGCAAGACAAAGAGGAGGTGACAGTGTGGCTGGAGGGATCATAATGTTTTTCATGTGCAGCGGACAGTGTGCGTGGATGAAGTTATCTGGGTGGAAGGGCATGCTGTTATTTAAGTTTTAACTCTGCAGGAGAGACTGTACATGTGTAAATAGAGTTAGAGCTATAAATTTCACTGGTGCACATCTGGCCTGGTGTCATGGTGTTCACTTTATGATTTAGGTATTGCAAATTTTTCGATGCATGAAACTGTTTGAGCTCTGTGCGCAGGTGATGAAAATAGTTACATTCTGTCTTTGCGGTCTGATAACAGGATCACTTCCAAAGAGTTAAGCAGTCAGACCGCACATGGACACAAATACTGGAAATTATTTGTACTGCGCTGCGGTGACGGCTGATGGAACAAATGCACAGGATGCCAAATGTATAGGCTATCTGGGAGATGTTTAACTTCTGCTTCTTACATTTGGTTTTGACAGTTTCTCACCGCCTTGCCCACCTGAGGTTATTTTTGCAACTTAATATACAGCTTCCCAGACACACTACACATATACAAATTGATAGCTATAAGCTGCAGAAGAACACATTTAAATCGTTAAGCTGTGCAGCATCCCTCTGGATACCAGTTGTGCTGATCTTTGCATTTTTGTCCCGTACAACAACCCCCCTTGCATAAGAGTTTCGTGTTCAAGAGTTTATTTTGGCATGTCATGTACATCATATATGAGTGGAATGTTCTTGTCTTCGTCCAAGAAAGAGCTGCAACATTCGTTTATTGATTGATATGTCCATGCATATAAAACAGTGAATATAAATTATATTTTCTTCTAGATTTTTGTAAAGAAAAAAAGAAAACTATCGAGTCTTTAACCATGATATCATTGTAAGATGTCAATCAGTCTGCAAGTCCTTTACTTTAGTCCAGATAAGTCCTTCAACAGCAGCACACAGTGCACATATTGTACAGCTATCTGCAGATCTCTCATACTAAATCCTCATGTAATTGTTGATCCTCTGTTTTTCATCCAGAGCCAATATTTAGTTAAACATTTGTACTTGTCCTTTATTTTGTGATTGACTGAACATCTTTAAGGCTACGTTCATACCGCAGGTTATGATTCACAATTCGGATTTTTTATTAAATCCGATCTTTTTATGCGGTCGTTCAACGAATGCGGCATCTAATGTGAACAGAATACATCCGTGAAGTGACCCGCATGCACACAAAGCACAAATTGCTTTCCGCGCTTGTTTGTGTTGTCGAACAATGGTGACGTTTGTCGCATAATGACGACGTATAGGTCGGATAAACGGGACCTGAGCGTCCGTACTGCAGTCGCATCGGATACATATCTGTTTTATATCCAAGTACAAAAGAGGCCTGGGTCGGGTTTAAAAAAATCAGAACTGCACTGTTCACACTTGCATGAAAAAATCAGATATGTGTCACATATGGTTAAAAATTCGGAATTGACCTGCAGTGTGAACATAGCCTAATATTTAAGTGAGCTGCACTGGTCTGAGCACAATAAGTGATACTTCAGATTTGCAGTTATATCATTTTAAAGGCTTTTTTTTATCAAAGCAAAACCTACAATCAGAACTGAAAACAATTTTCTTAATGTGCCTTTGAATTTTGGAGAAAGAATTTCATTGTCAGCTGTGTTTGTTTTATTCCAACTGTCCTTCCAGGATTCATTATCCCGTCCCCTGGATATGACATTTGGAAAACAGAGCTGAAAAGAAAGGCATCATGTTCTCTCCTCTCTGCCCCCTCAGAAAAGTAACAATAGGTTTAACAGATCAGTTTTTTTCACAGATTCAGAAGACAAAAATGTCACCTTTGTGCATGAAAAAATGTTAATAGAGGATATTGTTCTGGTATTTGTAAGTCAGGCTGAGTTGGGTGTCTGTTTGGCTGAAGGTCAGATATCACAAACACAAAACACATACTTGCACACACTTTAGGTGGTTTCACAGATATAGATAGCTATAGAAAAACATTCAGTCTGCAAGGCTGTGCATGCTCTGCCTGTGTGTTAAGATGCATGAGTCTACATTAACAAGTCTATAGATCCTCGTCTGTGTTTTCTGTGACAACTTGTCCTGTCTCAGATTGTCGACAGAGGTAAAACCTCAACTCTACAGGTATTACTTGCTCTTTTCTCGGCTTCTTTTTTGCATGTACACCACCTGTCTCTTTGTATGTTGATTTGTACCATTTAGTGTAGGGATGGGTGTGTTAGTGTGATGTTACGCAGTGAAAGCTATGATTAAAGAGAAGAGAGGGGACATAACAGCCGATGACAACTCTTTCTCTCCTCCTCTGCCTTTACACAGAGTTTGCAGAACAGTCAGTTCTTTCTGCTGATAAGTTCAGGTCATCTGCTGCAGGGATTCGACTGTGATTAAGGTGATTTGTAGATGCTGATCACTTTCAGTTTGGAAATTCCTTTTTTTATGTTTCTGCTGAAAGGTTTGATAAAATGGTCGAGGTTCACATGACCTTATAGCTGTTTCAAATAAGGAACAGCTGTTCTAAAACTCCACTTACTGTTAAGATCAGAAATACTCATCTCTTATTAAAGATGTAGATGTAAAGAATTCATGTTGGTAACTGTAATTTTGAAACTTCCTTTTCTCAGAGAAAGAATTTGTATTGACAATTTCCCCCGGATTTTGGTTATTTTTGCAAAAAAATATAAATGATACTGTCGCGGGTTCAGTTTCTTTAAGTTCTTTTTCGGTTGTGGAGGGAAAGATGATGGCACAGTCGAGAACCGAGTACGGTGATTTCCTTTTATTTACACCATCTCCAAAAAAATACCCACAGGTGAAAACTCTTATGTACAAAAAATATTTACAAAAATTATTTACAAAAAAGACAGAGGAAAAACTATTTACAAACCGCAATTCAAATACCAGGACCAACATACGTCTGCTCAACCAGGAGGCACCCCAACAAGTGAGCTGAGCTCCTTTAAATACCCCTTGGCCCCTCCTCCGGACAAACCAATCAAAACAATCTAGGGGTTTTTCAAGATATCAGCTATTATATCATAACTAATATTTCTACATACACAAAATAATACAAAGCAATTACTGTTGCTCACACCCTCCACATGGCTGAGCCAATATTAAACCCAAACACAATATTTTTCCTATAAATCAATTTGTTCCCGGACTTTGGTTTCTCCCTGGGTCACCTGACCCGCGGAGGCACGTCACCTAGTGCTACTTAACAGGTGACCCGGAACTGCCTCTGTTCAGTCCATGAAGCGGAGACAGAAGGTGAGTGTGTATGTGTGTGCGTGTACGTGTAAGCGAGACCCGTGTAGGTGTTTGAGTGTGCACCCTCTAACACCAACCACGGGGACGCAAGAGTCCAATTATTGTTTTTAAATGTTCATTTTGACTCCCGTCCGTCTGTCACTCCAGCCGCGAGTGACCACGCTATTCCCCCACGTCGGCGCCGAGCGACGAGGGAGAGCGAGAGGGAGAGAAGGCGTCCAGCCGCGAGAGAGAGCGTGCGTCCAGCCGCGAGAGAGAGAGCGGCCAGCCGCGAGGGAGAGAGCGGCCAGCCGCGATGAGGACGGCGTTAGTGGCGCCCCGCCACATTACCCCTCTCCTCCCCGAGGTTGGCGATGTGCGGCAACCTTGACAGATAGTCTGCCACAACATTGCTCTTGCCCGGCCGATGGTGGATCCGGAATCTGAATGGTTGGAGGGAGAGGTACCAGCGGGTGAGACGACTGTTGTGATCCTTCATCGAATGAATCCACGTCAGCGCCCGATGGTCAGTCTCCAAGTCGAACTCCCTCCCCAGCAGGTAGTATCTCATACTCTCCAGGGCCCATTTGATCGCCAGGCCTTCCTTCTCCACCGTGGAGTACCTGGTCTCCCGTGGCAGCAGCTTGCGGCTCAGGTACAGCACTGGTCGCTCCTCCCCAGGTTCACCTTGGGCCAGGACTGCCCCCAGTCCCACAGCTGAAGCGTCCGTCTGGACCAGGAACCGCTGTCTGAAGTCAGGGCTTCTCAAAACTGGCGAAGAGCACAAGCAGGCTTTGAGAGCGTGGAAGGCCGTCTCGCAGTCATTGTTCCAGATGACAGGGTTTCTCTGGTCCTTCGCTGTCAGAGCTGTCAGAGGCGCTGCGATGGTGGCAAACTGTGGGACGAACCTTCTGTACCAGCCGGCCAAACCCAAGAAGGACCTCACCTCCTTCTTGGTTCGAGGGCGTGGGCAGCTGCGGATGGCCTCCACCTTGTCCACCTGCGGCCGGACCTCCCCTCGTCCCAGCCGGTACCCCAGGTACTCTGTCTCCTCCTTAGCCCACTGGCATTTGGCTGGATTCAGTGTCAGGCCTGCCTGCTGGATCTGGCCCAGGACTCGCTCCAGGTGATGCAGGTGCTGCTCCCAGGTGTCACTGAAGATGACCACATCATCCAGGTAGGCAGCACTGCAGTCCTCACACCCCCGTAGAACCTGGTCCATCAGTCTCTGGAAGGTGGCGGGTGCCCCATGCAGGCCAAAGGGCATCACCGTGAACTGGAAGAGGCCGGAAGGTGTCTGGAACGCTGTGTAGGGACGACTGGATGCTTCCAAGGGTACCTGCCAGTAGCCCTTACAGAGGTCCAGGGTGGTGATGAACCTGGCCCGGCCAATCCTCTCCAGCAGCTCGTCGATCCGTGGCATCGGGTAGGCGTCAAACTCCGACATTGCGTTCAGCTTCCTGAAGTCGATGCAGATGCGGAGGGAACCGTCCTTCTTCACCACAATGACCACTGGGCTGCACCACTCGGACTGCGACGGTTCGATCACCCCCAGGCGCTGCATCTCTTCCACCTCCTTCAGGAGCTTGGCCACCAGATGTTGTGGCACCCGGTAACTCCTCTGGCGAACTGGCCCCTTGTCTTTCAGGTGGACCACGTGCTCGATGAGGCCGGTCCTCCCCGGGCTGGCAGCGAAGAGCTTGGAGACCCTCTCGAACACCTGGCACAGCTGGCTGGACTGGACAGCAGAGAGATGGCCCAGAGCAGGTTCAGCATACTGGTGGCGGTCGGCGAGGATACACTCCTCCTCCCCTTCACTGTCCCCCTCCATCACCAATAGGGCCGCCACAGGGCCCTGAGCTGGAGCCTCCTTCCACTCCTTCAGCAGGTTGATGTGGTAGACCTGCTTTGCCCTTTTCTTGTCCGGGTGGTGGATCTCATAGGTCACAGGGCCCATCTTCCGGAGGACGGTGTACGGGCCCTGCCACTTGGCAAGCAGCTTGCTGTTGGAGGATGGGAGGAGGAGTAGGACCTTCTGGCCGGGCTGGAACTCTCTGCGTCTGGCATGTTGGTCGTACCACGCCTTCTGGGCCTGCTGGGCTTCGCGCAGGTTGACCTCGGCCTCCTCCCGGTACTTTGCCAGCCGGTCCCTCATCTCCAACACGAATTGGACCACACTGCGGTCACTGGTGCCTGTTGCAGGAGCCTCCCACGTCTTTAGAAGCAGATCCAATGGCCCCTGTACCTCCCAGCCATACAGTAGTTCAAACGGGGAGAACCCCGTGGAGGCTTGGGGAACCTCTCGGTAGGCGAAAAGCAGGAAGGGTAACCACTGGTCCCAGTCTTGCCCGGTGTCAGACACAAATTTCTGCAGCATCTTCTTGAGGGTTTGGTTGAAACGCTCAACCAAGCCATCTGTCTGAGGGTGGTATGGGGTGGTCTTGATTGTGGAGACCCCCAACTGTCGGTGGAAGAGCTGCAGGAGTCTGGAGGTGAAATTAGTCCCCTGGTCTGTGATGATCTCGTCTGGAATACCCACCCTGGAGAACAGCTGGACCAGGCAACGCAACACAGCCGGAGCAGTGACCGTGCGCAGGGGAAAAGCCTCAGGGAAACGAGTGGCATAATCACAGACCACCAGGATGTACTGGTGCCCTCCGCTGCTCCTCACCAATGGGCCAACAATGTCCATGGCTATCCGCCTAAATGGAGTGGAGATCACGGGTAGTGGTTGGAGGTAGGCACGGTCTGATTGGCGGACAAAGCAAGTCTTCTGACAGGTGGGACAGGTTTTACAAAATGTTTGTACATCCGCATACATGGAAGGCCAGAAGAACCTTGCAGATATCCGCAGGTAGGTTTTGTTGCGACCAAGATGACCAGCCCAAGGCAAGGTGTGTGCCAGGTGCATGATCATCTGCCGACATGACACAGGAACCACCAGGCGTCTGACCTCATCTGTCATCGCATAGAGCACATTATTGTCCACAACAAACCAGTCTTTGTCCTTCTTTGCTAGGTCCTGTCCCCAAACCACCTTGGCGAACAGGGGCGTCAGAGTTGTGTCCTCCCTTTGTAAGGCCCCAATGTCCTCTGGCACATTCCATCTGTCCTTTGCCAGCCCCTTTTTTCGGTCTGGCTCCTGGGATTTCAGCCCCTTCTCAAACCGCCGCTGACGGCGGGACTTTCTGGGGCCCTTTGTGCCCCCCTCAAACAAACCACTGTCCAGGGTTGAAAAAAGTTCTGGCTCAGGGCCCTTTTCCTGCCCTGGGCCGGTTGCAATCCCCGCTCTGGCCTGGGCACGGGTGATCACCAGCCCAGACAACCCTTTCCCCAGGTCACTGGCTGTGGGTCCTGCCTCCAGCAGCACGTCCAGTAGCACTGGGAAGTCCCAACCCAGGATCGCAGCCACAGGCAACCTATCCACCACCCCCACAGTCAGCAGATAAGGCTGCTCGTCCACTACCACTGTCACCTCAGCTGTGGGGTAGGAATGGCTGTCCCCGTGTGCGCACAGAATGTCTTCCTGTCTGCTATAATCCACACTGCCCGTTGGCACCAGCTCCCTTCGCACCAGCGTCAGGAAGCTCCCAGAGTCAACCAAAGCAGTCACACATTCCCCATTTATGGTTATTTCCTTGAATCTTGGTTGCCGTCCCCCAGCACTTGCAACCTCCGCTCGGGGAGTGTAGCAGGCACTGCTAAGCTTGGCTTTTCTGATGGGGCACAGAGCAGCCTTGTGTCCTGCTTGCTGGCAGTAAAAACAAATAAGCTCCTTACCAGGGCTGCGCTGGCGAGGTGCGGACCGAGGTTCTCCTGTTGGATGCTGGCTGGCTCTGGCCGCTGGTCTGGGCTGTGATGAAACCTGCCGACTGGGTCCACCCTGGTTGACTGTCGGGCCTCCCCTCCGTGCGTTAAGGTACTGCAGTGCCAGCTTCCCTGCAGTTAGCCCATCCGTCGGCTCATGCTCCTTCACCCAGGTGCGGATGTCAGCCGGGAAGACCCTCAGCAGCTGCTCCAATATGACCTGCTCCCCGATCTGCTCCTTTGTATGCTGCTCTGGCCGGACCCATCGACGGTAGAGACCCTTTAAGCGGTGGTAAGTCTCTGTGGGGTTCTCTCCTGGTGGGACAGCCATGGACCGGAACTGCTGGCGATAAGTCTCCGGGGAGATGTCAAATTTCATCAGGAGCGCTGCCTTCAGGTCCGGGTAGGAGTGAGCCAGGTCCTCATCCATCGCTGTGTAAGCCTCCAGCGCCTTTCCAGTTAGCAGAGGCACCAGGCGACAGGCCCACTCACTGTCTGGCCAACCCCACGTTCTGGCAATGCGCTCGAAGCGGAGCAGGTAATTTTCAATGTCCTCTCCCGCCAGATACTGAGGGATCTTGGGGTCACCCCAGGGTCGGCTCTCAGACCTAGGAGGTTCTGCCAGGCTACTTGCCCTAATCCTTGGTGCCTCCACGGGAGAACTGCGTCGTGGCCGAGGAGCTGGAGTTGGTAACTCAAGACGGAGGCTCATAGTTGATCCAGCAGATGGCGGAGTGGTTCTTGGTGCTGGACTTGGTGTTACCGGCCTCCGTTCTGCCTCAGGCTGCTGCAGTGGGACTGGTAAGGCAGCTCGAAGCCCTCTGAGCTCTGCAAGCAAGCCCTCCTCTCTCCTCTGCTGCCCCTCCAGGAAAGTTCTCATCACTGTAAGCAGCTCCGCCCCAGCACCTGAAGTTCCCGGGTCTGCCTGCCAGGAAGGCCCAGCAGCACCCTCTTCATCCTCATCCTCTGTGGCCCAGGCTGCTTCCTCCACAGCTTCTTCCACTTTTTGTGACCGCAGTCCGGTCCGTCTTCCTGTGAACCGGATGCGTCCCCTTCGACTGGCCATCCCACTTCTGACACCAAATGTCGCGGGTTCAGTTTCTTTAAGTTCTTTTTCGGTTGTGGAGGGAAAGATGATGGCACAGTCGAGAACCGAGTACGGTGATTTCCTTTTATTTACACCATCTCCAAAAAAATACCCACAGGTGAAAACTCTTATGTACAAAAAATATTTACAAAAATTATTTACAAAAAAGACAGAGGAAAAACTATTTACAAACCGCAATTCAAATACCAGGACCAACATACGTCTGCTCAACCAGGAGGCACCCCAACAAGTGAGCTGAGCTCCTTTAAATACCCCTTGGCCCCTCCTCCGGACAAACCAATCAAAACAATCTAGGGGTTTTTCAAGATATCAGCTATTATATCATAACTAATATTTCTACATACACAAAATAATACAAAGCAATTACTGTTGCTCACACCCTCCACATGGCTGAGCCAATATTAAACCCAAACACAATATTTTTCCTATAAATCAATTTGTTCCCGGACTTTGGTTTCTCCCTGGGTCACCTGACCCGCGGAGGCACGTCACCTAGTGCTACTTAACAGGTGACCCGGAACTGCCTCTGTTCAGTCCATGAAGCGGAGACAGAAGGTGAGTGTGTATGTGTGTGCGTGTACGTGTAAGCGAGACCCGTGTAGGTGTTTGAGTGTGCACCCTCTAACACCAACCACGGGGACGCAAGAGTCCAATTATTGTTTTTAAATGTTCATTTTGACTCCCGTCCGTCTGTCACTCCAGCCGCGAGTGACCACGCTATTCCCCCACGTCGGCGCCGAGCGACGAGGGAGAGCGAGAGGGAGAGAAGGCGTCCAGCCGCGAGAGAGAGCGTGCGTCCAGCCGCGAGAGAGAGAGCGGCCAGCCGCGAGGGAGAGAGCGGCCAGCCGCGATGAGGACGGCGTTAGTGGCGCCCCGCCACAGATACCTAAACAACAAATCCCATAACTTTGATGATTTATTACTGTTTTTTGTTTTTGTACTGCTTCGTAAGTAGCTGCGTTTACATGGGCACAAATAATCTGAATAAATGCCTGATCGCAATAAAAATGTGTCATGTAAACATGTCGTTCAGAAGATTCCGATCCAATTTGGCTCAATCGAAAAGTGATTGTATTCCGATTTAGAGGGGTGGGTTTATGTCAATTGTTATTCCGAAACGCCTAAACACTAATTCCGATCGAGACTCTCTTACCTGACTCGGTCTTCACTCTTTAGCCTTTGTCTTATTTATTGAGGTCAGAACAGGAGGTTTCATTATTAACACTCTGGCATAAAACACAACAGCAGGCACCGCGTCTGCTCCACCGGAAACATTACAAGAAAATAAAGTGCAATGATGTCACATCAGCACAGGCGTCAATACAGCTCTTCTTCTGTGGTTGTTTTAGCAAAATCAGACAACTCCATGATCGGATTATTTAATTTTGCATCCATATAAATAGTGGATTCAGATTATCTGATCCCTCAAATTTTTAATCAGATCAGGAAATTTTGCCTGTGTAGACTTGGCTAATGACTTTGATTGCCTAGTTTTGGAAAAAAGATATATACATATATTGTCAAGTATTTTGAGTTGTGAATAAGTATCTGAAAAACTCTTTTTTTTCAAAAAATAGTTGAAAAACCATGTGTTACCGTCTTTATTTAATATCAATCTACTCCTCCATGTGCTCTCAATGTTTGTGAGGGTTCATAAAAAAACATGAAGAATTCATGTCACTGTCATACTCCACATCCCCATGTGTCATTAAATCTTTTGATATAAACCATTGTGATATACATTCAATTAAAAAATGTTAGTTTTTCTATAAATCAAAGGTACAAAATCTTCTCTGGGGCGTGTTTTTAATCAAAGGACACAACGGTCATTATTTGAGATCTTGAAATGCCCGTTGTTGTAAACCTTTGAGAAAAAGAGTCTTTGTTCAGATCTTGTGAATCACTTGAAGATGTTTCATATGTGAGTCAAAGGCTGTTGAGTAATTCTGTGGGATTTGTTGGGCTTCAGGCTGATTTCCAAATGCCATTTTGTGTAATCATGCATCAGCTATGACTTTCTTTTTACGTGAATCAACATTAATGCAGGAATGTCGACAACAAAGGGCAAATTTGTATTCAGCACAGATGTTGTATCATTGTGGGTAACTTCTGAGGAAACGTGGATGGTACTAATGCGTGGTTACACAAATCACTTCCAGTTTCAAACTACTAAGCACTTATTTTCTATTTCTGGAATCATCAAGACTCTTTGTCGAAATACTGCTACTCTGTCCATGATAAGGGTGTAGCTTTTGTGACTGTTATAAAGACATATGTAGGTTTTCTTGGTTTTCCCATGTATCAGCAGGGAAAAGCAGGTTAAAGTTTCTGCTTGTGAAACTGGGTTTCTGTTGCCACTAAAAACAACAGAAAACCCCTGGAACTCAACAGTGTGATTTAATATTGTGTATGTGTTCAAATTACATAGGTTTCCTTCAGCCCATCAAAAAGCTATTCGGGTTGTCTAAACAGTTCAGAAACAAGTCCTTCTTTTGGTATGTATGAAAGTTGGTGGTCGTTATGGTGTTACAGTACACAGAGAGGAGATAGCTTTTCAAACTCTGCACTCGTGTTTTTTATTACTTGGATGGACAGCATAATAAAAACACGTCAAGTCCACTAAAAGTAGATTGTTATAGTAGACTGTATTTAGAAGGCCGTCTGCCTCCTCGCTGGGTGAAGCCACTCTGAAAACAGCACCCTCTGCTGACGGGCTGCAGTATAGGTCATAAATCCAGCCTCCTCCAGCAATTCCTATGGAGCTGTGGACAACTTTGGAAATTAATTCCACAGGATATAAATTTTACTCCCCCCTGCTTGCGATGTTGACATGTAGTTAGTGTAAGACTGGTTTGTGCTCAAGTCCTCTTTTTCCGTACAGCTTCATTTTTAAAAGTTATTAGGGGGTTCATGTTTTCTATGATTGACACTTGATACAACCTATGGGCGTACGCAGATTGCAAACTCCACTCAGGGGATACGCTGTTTGAGCCGAGCGTCATCACATCCATTCTCGGCGGCTTTCCCGCCGAATGCGTACAACGCTACTGCGCAAGTCATGGAGTGCGTACAACGCTACTGCGCAATGATGGTTTCAGGAAGTGAAGAAAAATTGCGAAAATATCGAGAGCTTTTCGGCTTCTAATACGTATACTGGTGGAAGGCGTAACCAAGTTGTCCATCGTATATACAGTCTATAATTATTACAAGTGCATCTGGTGATCTTGCTCTTTACTCAGAACTAAACAATACAACATTCATTGCAGTTGAAATTTTTTAGGGCTGTCGTATTTTACTGTATTAGTTTTCGATGCACACTTTATTAACGGGCAAGTTCTCCCAATTTAGCACATTGTTTGAGAGATTTGTGTACCTTTTTTACTTTGTCAAACTGCTAATGGTATTCTTAGATATAACATCATGATTGGTAACTATAAAAATAAATCCTTTTCTTTCTTCAGTGATGAGTTTAGATAAAGGGCTAACCAAAGACCACTCTGTCTCCCTCTCTCTGTCTGGCAGGTAACCACATGCTGTTGCGGGTGTTACCCTCGGTCTACCCCAGACAGCCGGACACTATCCACAACCATCTAGGTAACCTCACCCAGATGATGTCGCAGTTGGAGTCCTCAGAGCAACAACACCTGATCAGACTCATTCAGATGGTTGCTGAGCAACATCCACTTGTGAGTTTTGTTTTTGTTCCTGTGTTCGTTTATTCTTCTGCAGCATTTCCTGAGGATCCTGAGAGGTTCCAAGAACAGGTAGAATATGAAATCCCTCTAGCAAGCTCCGAGTCTACCCTTGGGCTTCCTCCGAGTTAGACAAGTCTGTAACATCTCTCAAGGTTGGAATCCAAGAGGCAGTCGTATGAAAAGTCCAAACCACCTTGACTGGCTCTAGATTTGATGTAAAGAAGCAGCAGCTCTACTCCAATTCCAGGGTTGAATGTAGATTGACTGAAATTTAAATCTTTACCTTCCAGCTCGGCTGTTACTTCACCACAACAGTCTGCTGATGCAGTACTAACCCACCTGTGAACCTTATGAGTCTTACCCTTACTCATGAACAAGACTCCCACGAAACTTGAACTCCATCAGTTAGGGTAAAGACTCACTCAGAGTCCAACTTGCGTTGAGAACATGTCTTATTGTGTCCAGTATGTGGAAACAGCTCTCATTTTGGTCATACAAGGATCGAATTGCTTGTAATGAAAGCCCACAAAACCCGTATTCCAGCAGTACCCCCCACAAGACCCCCTAAGGGACAGGATCATAGGCTTTCTCCAAGATGAAGGATGTGTTTGCTTTTTTGTGTAACATTTCTTCCCATGAGTCAAGCTTAATTAGACCTTTTATCATTCAAGTGGGCCATATCCTGCGCAGAGCTCATTTGGAGATGTTGAAAAAAGCCACTGGAACGTAGTAAGAAGTGAAGAAATGGAGCAGTGAATGTGGAGTAAACATTTCTCAGTAGGAATTCCCTTAATCCTTCATATTTGGAGCCGAGCTCCTGATGTTTAACATGAGGGGAAAGTACCACATACCAGCAAACAGAGCACATGCTGCTGAAACATGGACAGTCTCACTCATATGGGAGGCACTGAGGAGACTAAACCAGCCATCTGGAGTCATTCTAATCCCCACCCCCCGCACAGATGCATTAAATATTTCCATTGTGAATGTGGCTGCACTCATCACAGTAGTTACCAAAGCACCGGCATTAAAAAAACAAACTCTTACTGGATGTGACTTAGCATTAAAAAAAGATCAATTACATAACTTTAATTGATTATAATTATTCAGACTCATTAAGTTTAGCAGCAGGAGGGATGAAAATGTTTGGCATTGTTAGTCAGATCCAGTCTCGTGCAGTCCGGATAATGAGGAGGAACTTTTCATTCACTCAGTTTGTCAACACAGTCCTACTGTTAAGCTTTTGTGTATTATTAGTCACAAGTCCCTTCATCCTCGTCCAAGGTCACTTCTCTCACCTCCAGCCTTCATTAAAATAACATCAAGCCTTTCTCTGCTGGTGATTGTTTCTGAGTGCTGAAAGGATTTCTGCTTTAATCCAAAATAATGAACACTAGTTTGATCTCCTTCTCTCTGTTTCTTCTTATTCTTACAGATGTTGAGTCCTCAAGTGCCTGTGTTAATAAGTCACCTGGGAGACCAATCCCTGACTGAGGCTCTGCTGGGTTCACTCGTGGACGTGTCGCAGGCCAGTCCCTCATCACTGGTCAGCTTTTTGCCAACACTGAGGGTTGTGGGACAGCAGTGTCCTGCTCTCCTGGGTCACGTGGCTAAAATCCATGGTGCTGTGGGTATCATAAGTGAGGTACAAAGGCACACACAAACACTAACACACACAGAAGTACTATGGTTGGGACCCTATATGTACTGTTGATGAAGTTAGGTGCTGTTTTAAGCAGTATTTGTGGTTATAGAGTGGTGTTTTGGTTGAGGTTTGTGTGTGGTTCTTTAGACCGCTGTGTATTGCTATTGTGCGGCCGTTACTGAAGTTGGTATAACTAGAGAAGCCATCAGTCGGCAACATTCATCTCTCAAGGGGGTGTCTAACTCTGTGTTATGGTTTGTTTGACCATAAGTTAAATTTACGCTGGAATATCCCTTTAATGTCAGTACGATCTTATCCATGTTTGCTGATATGTATTCAGTTTAAAAATGCCCTTTCTTATTTTAGATAATATTTAGCATCAACAAACAATCAAAATGTAGAAACTGCTATTTTCTTGATGCATCATCAGCTCCATTCAGCAAATATCTCTAGTACTGATACAGCACCAAAACTAAAGTCATTGATATGTGCCAATATACTGTATATGATGGTATGGACATTCACCTGTTGCCTTGTTGGTAGTGCGTACTTTCTCTCATGGGTTTACAAAAGGCACACACTAGAAAAAATGGATATTGACAGAAAAAGTCTGCTTCTCTGCCACATAACTTCTCTGTTTTCCTGCCGAGTTTAAAACACACATTTAGGCACTAAACAGGACAAGCTGATCTGGGCTATTTATTGCTGTCAAACACTAACCACCCACATTCACTGAGAACATTTGTCCTAAACAAACATTAAAAGAGAGTTTTGAATTTCCATGATAAGAGAAAAGGACCCAACACAAATTTCTGTCTTGCTGGGTTGAGGGAAATCTTGGACAGGGAGACTGTCGAATTGTATTTGCTTGCGTCAACACAACAGTGCAAGCAAAGCACAATTCATGGGAACACAAAACTCAGAAAAAGTCGTTTTTACACCCCTTAGTGTAACTTAGTAGAGAAATGTGTTCTAGCGTTAATGTGATCAAAACTTGAAAGAGCTAAACGCCTGGATTTGAACATTTTCATCCATGTTATGTAAAACCAAACTCAGTTATATTTAGATTGAAATCTTTTGTCAGCAAGTGTTGATATGCTGGCGGGCTGAGTTAAGATGGTAATAATGAAACATACAACTTTCTCTGGAGTCCATCTGCATATACTAGCATTATCATTGTGAACGTGTTAGCATGCTGACATGAGCGTTTACCTCACGCTGTTTCAAAGTATCACACTCATGATTGTTATTTTAATTTAATCTTATCTGAAAGTGGTTCAAAGGTGATCATGATATCATCAGGAAAGGTGTGTGAATAATCATTGTCTCGGGGGACAGAGGAGATGAGGGTACAGGAACTGAAAAGACAAGAGATATCATACTTTTAAAAACAAAATGCAAAGATTAGCAACATTCATCAAAACATAATTCTACCTTTGTTAAAAATGAGCATTTTGATTTTTACATTACGCAGAAAACAGAGTACATTGACATGTCATTTATAGACAATGTTATTTGATGAAACTATGCGTAATGGGGCATATATTGGATCAAACCATTTTTGTTATTTTTAAAGAAGATGTTCTCATCAGAGTCAGACAGTAAAAATCTTTGGGTCTTGTAAGATACCTGAAAAACTGGTGCCAGTGTTTGGATAAACAAGTGGATAAACACATAAACAGACACCTGGATGATGGTCCTGGAAATGATTGCAAAGAATTTTATCCCACCATTCGTCTGAAAGATTCAGAGATTCACAACCCCCTCATCCAAACGATTCAATCTTTTTGTTAAATAACCTGCCAACCCAGCTTTAGAGAAGACACAAACACACACAAACACACGCACAACGTCACGGGTTGTTCAGACCTCAGTGTCCTGTCTTTCTTCACATTGGAACCATTTGGAAAATAACCCATGTTTTTCTGGGAAATGCCTCCTCAGAGGCCTCCTGGTGATGGCAGTGGAGAGTACCTCCTGTGGGTTCATGTTTGTGCCCTAAACACACACATACACACACTCACACACTCACACATATACACACATTTTTCTCTTGGAAGCATTTGCAATGGATTCTAGCCGGATTGCACAATTCTCACCTCAGCTCCTTTACCTCCTGATGGGAATTATTCTATACTGTGTTTCTGGACTTATTGCCCATAATACATCAAGACAAACAACCCCCAGTGCAGTGTGCTGACATGCTGGCCAATCCAACCATCCAGTTCAGTAAATCTGAGTTTGAGTAAGGGCATTTTCCATTTGGCGTGACTGCTGTTTCAGAAATATGTCGATGGAGCTCCTCTGCTATTTGTGCATTTGTGGTGGTCTTGCTCTGTTATTTTTTTAGTCTACTTTTGCTATTTGTTCCTCTTTCTGTGATAATTATAGCATGATATATCATTAAGCCAAAACAACATTAACTTTATTGTACATTCCTCAATGGTACATTAAAACTATCTCTTAAATAATGTCAGTAAATATCTTAACTGTATGTATTCATCATACTTTCAAAACAGTTTTGTTAAATGAAGCACTTCATGTCGAATTGTTAAACCTGCAATAACATGCTACAGTCCGTGCTCCATATTCAAAGTACTGCTTTTCAAATCAGGGTAGGTGCTCCCTTCAGGGGTAATAAGATAGGACTATTTCAAAATTTTTGAGAGTTTTTGCCTCATCAGGTTTGTTGAATGGAAAAAAATAATAATCTGAGAATACCTCAAAGCTCATAAAACTTTTGAAACTTTGAAAAGGGGTCCAAAGTTAACTTTACTCTGTTATAAAGTGTAACTAAGCAGGGAACAGCTGGCATAGAAGATAGCATCCTAAAAATAAAAAACGAACCCCTCTGGTGAGCATGATCTCAACTCCAGGAAAAACATATTTCCAGCTCGAATGAGGAAATAAATTCTGCTTAAAAAATTTAGTTCTTGGTACAATAGGGACACTATTGTATAACTACTGGGTAAAAGTACAACCATATGCAGTCTTGGTTGATAGGCAAACTGAAATATTTTTGATGAGTATTTTTGATCAGCCAAATAACTGTTGACATCAACTTTTGACAAGAGAGCTAGAGGCACTCAGGGGATGTGACACATACGACTTCTTTCACTCAACTCCCTCACCTTGTTACCTTGTTCAGATACGATTTGAAAGTTGGACTGATCCCTCCTTTGCAGTGTATGTATGTATATACATATCACGAATAATTAATGCTGGGCAAGAACCCTCATATGTTAATGGACACAGAGGTTTCTCCATGAGTGTCGTTGGGGAGAGAGTTGAGCATGTGCCAGATTACAGCTCCAAGGTAAGCAGACACATCAGAGATCTAATCTGTAATCAGTGGAGAACCAAGCAACTGAGCAAACATGGAAAAAAAAGACGTTTTTTTCTTCTCCTAGCTGTTACATCAGATTGAAGTTTTTCAACAGAAATCTCTTGCACACAAATATGTGTGCTACTGCCAGAGGAGATTGGCTCCCAGAGTTTGTGTTATAAAGAGAACCGAGCGATGGGAGTGAATGAGCCAAGTGGTGTGTTTTTGTTTTTGTTAATTTGAACACAGCAGGCAGAAATAATAATTCATATCCTCCAGATCTGTACCTCTCCTGTCAAATCTACTCTTTGGAGCTATGTACTCTTACATTATATTTTGAGATTATGAAATTATAGTTCAATAGGAAGTCTATTTCTGTTTTTGATCAGTGTTTTTTTCTTCATCTTTTGGCTATTATTCCACTTTTGAGGGGTTTTGCGTAAGATTTCTTACAGTCTGTTTGTCGGGATTTTGTATACTAATTACAAATTTTATATAGATTCAACATAACCCAGAACAGATATCCACCCCCCACCCCCTCGGCACTCAGCTCTAGCAGATAGACATATACTGTATATAAACTAGAAAAGCACTCGGAGAGCGCAGACCTCCACCAAGCAGCTCATGTCCCCCCTTATATTGTGATTCACACCAAATCTTTTACTGTTACGTGTCTTTTATTAACTTTTATTTGTGTTTAAACTGGTATGTTCACTGTTCATAATGTTCCTAAAACAAGAAATGCCCTGACCTGGATTTGAACCCAGGACCTTCTGGTTGTGAGGTGACAGTGCTAACCACTACACCACTGTGCCGCCCATTCTTTATCTTTCAGAACTGACAATTCTAATGACACCTTTATTTTTGTGTGTTCTGGATCACAGTATCCAGAATTTTGTCCGGATCACAACAGACAAACAAACAAACAAACCAATGCTACCGGAAACATAACCTCCTTTGCAGAGGTAATAAAAGAGGCTCAGCATTGTAGTCCTCAGTTCACAGTGATTGGATATCTTGTGCTATTAACATAAGACAGAAAGGGGTTCCCAGTCTTCTCAAATGAGACATCCTTACCAATCAGAGTCAGTCTAATGTTTTCTAATTTAAGAAAACAAAGCACCTCCTTAATCCAGTTTGTATGGGTAGGTGGGACTGGGGATTTCCATTTTAACAGTATCAACCTCCTGGGTTACAGAGTTGTGAATGCGTAAGATTTCTAAATCAGTGGTGTATCCAGGACCCCAATTCAAAGTCAAGTTGTTTTTTTCCCTGTACAACTTGATACCAGCAGGCCCTTTGTTACCTACTGGGCATTCATTGGAAAACCATAAAAACTGTGGCATTTTTCACTCTTAAACTGTCCATGTTGCAGGTTCTGGACATGCTAAAGTGTTTGAAATTATTGCTGTGAAATCGTCTTGACAATATATTGTCTGACAATAAAAACACCAGCTTTGGAGCAGAAGTTGTGCATTGGACCCTACATACTTGTAAATAACTCCCTGACATGTGCTTTAGTGCTCAGTGGGGCCCTTCCTTTTTTGGTACTTTCCAGCAATCACATATAATTTAGGGTATTCACAAGCTAGTTAACCTGTGAAACATGTCCAAACTGTGCCGTAACTGCATTCTTCTGTCCTTGTTACAAGGTGTGTTTAAGCTCTGGAAGCACAGGTTGGCCCTGTCTGACTTTTCTGTCCTCCCATCCATCAACCGTTCTCTCTCTGAGTCAGTTCTGAGTCAGTGGAGGTCATATGTTCTTCTTTCGTTCAAAGCAGTGTACGGTTTTACAAGTGAAGAGTTTTTTTTTAAAGAAAGTTCTGTTTTTACTTCTGTTCTCAGATGGGGTTTAGAGGGCTTTGGTTTTGCCTTTTAACCACTAGGAGCTACATTAAATCACTTTTTGCATCATAGTGATTTCAGAGTTAAGCATTTAATGACAAATAACTGTTTCATGCTTTGTTAAAATAAGATGTTAGAATCCCAAATGATTAAGGACACATTTGAAAAACTTGAAATACATTTGATGACTGTAGAGGACAAGAATGGCCATGGATTTTATCTTTTTTATGCCGTTATCTTGTGTTGAAATAACAAAAAAAATCATTTTCATGAGAAAACAAACTTTGTTGTATTGAGATAACGAGATATTAAGTCATTATCACAAGATAACTGTGCATTAAAAAAACAAAACAGAAAAATCTATGGCTGTCGTCAACATCCTTCGATGACTCTAAAATACTTTTTTTTCATAGCCTTTAAGTCAGTATTGGGGAAGCCTAGACAAAAATATAAGCTTTTGAAATGAACATTTACTGCACTGCTACAAGCTGTCCCACAAAAGTAACTTACTATAAGCTTACAAAATGAACTCACTTCATGGCCCTATGACAGTGTTAATCTCATTAAATCAGATAAACGACTAATGTATTTGATCTTTTTCAATTTAATCTTAAGTCGTTGAACATGATTACATTTTTTGATCACAACCAATACAATGTTTGTGTGCACATTGTGTGTACATCATTTGTATCACAGATGGATCGTGGGAAAGTCAACCCATTTCAGATGACTCAATGTTTATATTTGTTTTTGTCTTTTTGAAACAATGGGAGTTGGAACAATACGCCCAAACTGCTTTAAAGTGTAAAACTAATGTGCGTTGAGTTACATAAAGGTCACTCTTTATTTACCAAAACACATGTGGGGAGTGAAGCAACATGTTCATGGTGTTCTTCTACACAACAGTGGCTCCATATTCAGTGACTAGTAGTTCAATCTTAAACAACCACAACATCAGAAATAACATTTGAATTAACTCAATGTTTTTGTACTACAAAAAAAAAAAAAAATGTTACTGCCTGAACTTCCTTTTTTTTAAACACCATTTGTTCAGTTTTACCACAAAGTCTCCCTGATATAAACAGATTTTACTCTTACACCACTCTCACTCTGTGGTTTCCTTTGTCCAGCCTCATGCTCACAGCTCGCTGGTCTACCTGGTCTCCCTTCTGGGCAGCATGGAGCACAGCTTTCACCACACTCTCCTGCTGGAAATCCGAGCTCTTACTGACCGCTACCCATCTGTCCTGGGAGGCTGCGGCAAAGACCTTTACAGGATGAGCAACTCCTTCACTGCTATAGCAAGACTGCTGGGAAGGAGACTGGAGGAGAGCACGGACACACACTGCAGGTTTGAAGAGATAAATATAACATCTAATATTTCACTTTACACAATTACACAATTGGGGTAGCAGGAGGTAGAGCGGTGGTCCAACAGCTGGAAGGTTGACAGCTCGATTCCTCCTTATCCCTAATCTGTCTGTTGTGTCCCTGGGCAAGACACTTAACCCACCTTGCTCCCAGTGTGCATCCTCTAGTAGTGTATGTTTGTGAGTCAGAGGTAGTTTTCCACCACCAGAGTGTGACTGTGTGAGCGAATGGTGTATCCAGTGTAAAGCGCTTTGAGGGTCTCTGATAAAGCACTATATAAAAATCTGATGCATTATTTTTTATTAACCCTTGAACACTATCGCTAAAATTAGTAACACCATTACTATCGCTGGGTGATTTTAACACGATTTGATATACCCAAGAAAAAGTACTTGTCATCAAAATATATTAAAATAGGGCAAAAAATGACAAATTAAAGTAGTTTTCTTTTATTTTTAACTGTGCAATGTCCAGAGGGAGGCAAAAAAGGACCATGTAAAAATGCAACAAAATAGGCATTCAAATTAAATTAGGCATTCATGAACAAAAAATTCCTATATATACGTATGTATATTTGTGATAGTTATTTATAACCACTGCGCTAAATAAAGATAGCATGCAAATTCCAGGACCACTCTTACTGAACTTATTCCCTGCATGCAGCTATAAAATCCACCCAAACCTACTTACCCTCTATCAATATTGCCGGGTGAAAATCTCCTGAACACATGCCTGTAGGAAAAAGCAGCTTTTGAATCAGGGAAACAAATATGCCTTCAAAGATGTCAAAGGCAATGACCCATGATACCCAGAAAAACGTTGCATAATGAAAATCACATTTTCATGTTTGTCAGGTGAAAATCACCCAGCAATAGTGTTCTAGGGTTAATATTACAATCAATAGGCCTATTCTTTTTTCGAGCTTTTGTCAAAAGGGCCAGCATAAGCATGTTGTACAATTATGAGGCTTATGAGATGGATGAAGGAGGCAGCAGGTTGGTGTAGCAGGTCCCACAGCAGCCTAAACCCATAGTAATATAACTAGAGGCTAATCCACAGCAAGCCTAGGCCATCTCTTACAATAATCCTTCATCAAAATCCTGTTAGGCCTCTTCCAATCAGATATGATTAAACCACACACAGTTGTGATAAAGTGATTTCCTAAATGTCACGCTCTGAAAACTGCAAATGAAGTATCAGTTTCAGTTTAAATACAAATTTCCAAACATTGGCTCTAAGCCTTGGAAATTGGCCGATCTCTGTGTGCGTCACAAAGAGTAGTCAAGAGTTTTGAAACTGGTGCTTCTTGCACAAAACCAAAACCATCGAGCTCACACATTTATTCAATTTGAGGCACAAAAAACTAAATAGATTTGGTAACATCCGCCACAAAAATGTTTCTTCTTTGTAATTGTCTAACATTAAGGATCCTCTGATGACTTCTTTACTAGTTTAACAGTGAATGAAAGTCACGAAAAGTGCATTTTTATGTATGGGTTTGGTAGTTTTGTGTTATTGTACTTAAGTTAACATCTGGCTGTAGTGTGGGAATGACTCGCAGTGCGCTCTCTGAAATGAGAACATTGTGTGCAGAATCGGAGGTTTCCAAATGCTTTGCTTGGGGTCTTCTGGAGGAAAGATTGAGGGAATGATTGATTGAGAGAGGCAGGGTGGTTTATTATCCAGAGAGCAAAAGGACGAGGATAGAGGAAGAACTACAAAAGTCCCCTTTCAGTAAACAAAAGGACTGTTAGATGAAGTTATCAAGACTAGAGCACGAGAGGAAACAATTAGTTTTAGTTAGACAACAAAAGAGAGGAGACAGGCACCAAAGTGACAGACAGAAAACAAAGAGAGACAAAGAGAGAGGAGATGAAATGTGGCCAACAAAACAGGGTTAGAAGAAGGCTGAGGAGACAGAGGAATATCTAGTTATTGTGAGAAGTGAGAATTACAGGACAGTGACCGAGAGAGTGAAGATTGGTGGATTTTTGTAAGGCCCAACTGGTCCTTTTGAGATTTATCAATGAACTTCATACTCGTCTACCATCTGTGATCCTCTGCCCTGTGTCTGTGGGTTTTACAGGGTAGCTGAGCAGTGCTCGCAGTCGCTCTGTACACCTCTGCTAGTGAGAGGAGGAGTGGGGAGGTCAGAGCAACGTCTACAGGTTAAGATCCAGGCCTTGGAAGAGAAAATGGGAGAGGAGAATGGGGGAGAGGAGGAGGAGGAGGAGGAAGAGGGAGACTCTCTGCCACTCCAGCGTCGCTACAGCCTGAGCCAGGCTGTCAGGGAAGAGAGACGAGAGATGAGATTCAACAGGTGACTTGAAATCAAACTGTACACGAGTACCTGAACTTTGACTGCATGAGGAAAAACTCTTTTATAAACTATAGAAAGTGTTTTTACTGAACATGACATCAGATTTTCTTGTTTTGTCCTTCATTGTCTGCTTTGTTACAATGTTAATGTCATTTAGCAGATGCTTTAATCCAAAGTGACAAATTCAAAAGCATGAACAATACAAGTAAAGATCTAGACAAAAGAAACTAGATCAGTAAGACCCACAAAGTGCTTCAAGTCCATTTGGATGCAGGTACTGTCATGCAGTGTGAAAGGCAATGCACAAAGTGTATATAAGATTTTTTTTGTTTATTAATTTTTTTAATGAACATGAACAATGAAGCAACCAGTTATCGATATAAGACCTTTGACTGACTTCACCGCAGTTGTGACCAAAGTACCAAATGCTGGGTCACTCACAAAGAGTTGGGCACAAAATCCCAGAGGAAGAGTTTTGTTCCACATTAGTCTTAAAATAAAGGTATCATAGGAGTTGCTTATTAATGGGATGTACTTTCTGGGACATCTATACCGTACCCTATAAATCCTCAGGTATTGTTTTCGTTTTCATACTCAAAGTTTGATTTTAAATTCATGTTGCTGGATGGAGAACAGAGACAAAAATAACATGTCACTTCATTGATTCTGTTTGACTGGGCTGTTTATTGAAGAGTGACATTTTTAAATCTAACGGCATGTGTTTCTGCTGCAGAACAGTGTAATATAATCTTTGCAAATGTGGAATAGCCATAACTTACATAACCATTGTTATAACGTTAACATTAAACTTTAAGCTGCTTGGCTGTAGTTGCTATATTGGATATAATCCGTTTCTCTATATCATCATTATTGTCATTGCTCATAGAGAAATATTCCTTTTGACTTCAAGTATTAAATTTTGCACCGCTTATACTGTTTTCATGATGTAATCCTCCTCAGGTCAAAGAGTCTGGCCCTCCACACTGTGCGCTCACGCTCTATCAACTCAGACACGGGGGATGATGGAGAAGGCTTGGATCATAACCCGGAGAGCATCTTCTCCAACACGTTGCCAAATTGTCTCTCTGAAAACCAGGAAGCTCCGTCCTCTGAGAGGAAACATTTGGGCGACGCCTCCATGTCTGTCACAGCTGCTCTGGACCAGGGGGTCAGAGAGACTGAGAGAAGTCAGAGCAACGACAAGGACAGAGAGAAGGAGGAGGAGGAGGAGGAAGCCGACAGACTCTTCATCCATTTAAGAGACAATATGGAGACGATCAGGGAGTTCTCTAAAGACATGGTGCAGCAGATCCCCATACCAGAGCACTGTATAATCGAAGGTAATGTGAACATGACTAACAACTTAACCCTCCTATTATCCTTAAATATTATTGACACGTTTTCCCCTTGGGGTCAATCTGACTCCAGGTATATTTGCCTCCAGAAAATGATTTACATGCAATTTTTGACCAAGATTTTTTGTCAGGTGCTTTGTTTATTTGTTGAGTACATAAATAACCCCTCAATAATGGAAACTATCGGTGGGTTGACCTGTTCTCTAGCGCCACCAATAGGCCAAACTTTTAAAGTAGAATGAATGTTGAAAAGTTTTCATACAGATCTTCTCAAATTTACTGACAACCTTAATGACCATAAAAGGATGGACCCTACTGGTTTTGGTGATGATAGGACCTTTCCTGTAGCGCCACCATCAGGTCAAACTTTCAGTTTTACAGTTAGAGTATCTTGAAAATCTGTCATCCAACATTTTTCTAATCTGGGGTTCACATTTATGACTCTCACAGAATGAACCATATTGATTATTTTGCATGAACTACCCATGTTCTAGTGAGAATACCCCAGCCTCCACAGCACAGGAAACACAGTATCAGTCCTACTTCGACACGTGTGAGTACAGCAGGTCACTCATACACATACACACACACACACACACACCTTCATACCCATGGTGCAGGAAAGTTTCATATTGTTTCCCCTTCTCCCATGTCATGATAGCACCAAAAATGGAAAATTATGGTCCCTGTACTGACTTCAACAACAAGGTATACGTACTGTGGACTGTGTGTCTTTCCGCCATGTTGAACATGTTCATTATTCGAGCTCTTCATATAACCATCAATTGAAAATATTGTATTTGAGATGATCATTTTAGATGTATTGGTAGTTGGAAAGACTTGGGTGTGATCAACTTGCAAGCCTTCAGTGGCTTCCTCATTTTTGCAGGCGCTTACAAGTCAAGTTCCCACATGTGCATACCACCACCTCTCTTTTTTCTAACTCAAAAGTATCAACTCTGCACCTGTAGGTATGGGGATGTTAGGTCACACACGCAGACAGGCAAGTTTTACACAGTCAAAACAGCTTGGGGTCAAATTGACCCCAGAGGAACACCGATGTGTACAGCACATTAAAAGAATATATCATCATGATAATTTTATGCTTAATCAGTTTCCCCATTAAATTAGGAAAAGTCATAAAAAAGCAAAAAAAGTAAAGTCAAGTATAATTTTTTAAATAATAAACATTTAATGGGGTCAAATTGACCCCAAAGATAGTAGGAGGATTAATCAGTGAATGTTTACTGTCTGGTGTGGTTTAATGTGTGGCATCAGTACACCTCTCTTTTTTATTTTCACCTTCTATCTAATGTACACACACATGCACACAGATGCTGCTTTGCACAACTGTCTGTGTGTTGATAAGTGTTTCTTCGACCTCGATCAGACAAGGATAAATGACTCTTGAAGAAATAGTTTCGTTTCATTACTTGAAGAGCCGATAAAGGATTTCATTACCGTCTAGAGGACATATGGGTGTGATTTTGTCCTTCTTCTCAGGGATAAATAAAAGCCCTCAATATTTGTCACTGACCTCCTTCAATTTATATCCAATCTGGCTTGATTGTCCCATATATCTTATCTCTGACTTTTACTGCAACAAGACCCACTGTATGACACCAGTTATTTAGTTCTTTCTTCTCATCTGGTAAATAGTATTACATGATTTTGAACATATCTTTTGATCTTAAAAAACAGAGGTAATGATTGCTGCAAGATTACAGTCTTTGTGGAGTTCTGAATAATCTCATTCATCACTTTTTATTATTTAAATACATTTTTCATGACGTCTGATGTTTGCAGATGTAAACTATTGCCATCTCCAAGGGTTCAAGACAGATGAGTTATCAACTTGTTCCAGCCCGCTGGAAAAAGCTCATTCCAGTTCTGTCTAACGTTAGCCAATCAGCCTTAAAGGATGTTCTTCATATTTTCAATAGATCTGCTTCTTTGGCTACTCAAGATGTACATTTAGTATGATCAATAGCTGGATTTGGGAACTTTATGGGATTCTGAGTATAACCAGATCTGTTATCTTATGCAGCTACTGCAGTGCATGCTGTAATCCAGGGTGAAAGTATATACTCTGTGGGGCTGATGTCATCGAGCTAATTGTTTTAATTAATCAAGGTATAGAGGTAGAGGATTGTTTTAAGGTGGCCAGGGTCATTTTATCAAGTAACATCAATACAACATGGTCATGCTTAAGTGAAACCAGATGAATGTTATGCAGACATATTTAAGTAAGCATGACGTAAAAATATATAATATACATGAATGTTGTAGAGTTGTGTGAGAGTGCACATGTGCATTTATACCTAATTTCTATCAGTCTGTGTCAGAAACAAATTTTAAGGTTGAGCAGTTCATGTAAAAAACAATGAAATGAGAAACCTCTTACTTTTCTAAACAAGGCTATTCTGTTTGCTTAAACTTTTAAAATCAATTTTAACTTTTCAAGTTTCATAAATGTTCTGGGATTTGATGTTTTAGTCTTATTAATCTCTTTTAATTTGTTCTCATTTTTCACTTATCAATTCGATTCGCTCTACTCGAGTCAAGACTTTACGCTGCCTTTTAGCAGATGCCGTCATAACCTCCTCTGCAGAGAACCGGATTCGATCAGTTTTTAGCTGCCCTGTGAGGTCCAGAGATGGAAATAAGTAGTAATGCCTCTGTGTGATATGATCTACAAAAGCATGGGGGGTAGTGTCAAATGAGACAATTTACAGCATACTGAAGGATCAGAATTTTTTCCAAACTTTTTATAACATTAAGTTATAAAAAGTCACTGTTCAAAGAAAGCACAAAGAGATTCTAAGTCAGAAAGCACTTAAAAATAATAAAAACAAAAGTTCCTCTTAACCAATAATTAGGGCTGGGCGATATGCTAAAAAGTTTATGACGATATATGTCTTTCATATCAGTCGATATTGATATATTTTATAATATAAAAATGAAATTTAACAGTTCTTCGATGTTTTGTCGTAAAGTGTGGCGCTAGAGAAAACGGACTGAATGGTCACCTGTTTAGGCTGCACAGGCACCATGGGCTCCTTGCTGCGCTCAGAGTTTAACCTTTTGCATTGCGCATGCTCTGCCACATGGCACCGCTTCAGGTAGTGAAAAAGATTTGAGGTATTCCCCGACTTTACAAGAACATGTACTTGACATAATTTGCAGCGCACATTACTCTGCCTCATGTCTGACCTCAAAAAAACCACAATACCTCCACACCACTGACGTTTTTGTGCCAGTGTTGTCGACCATGTTGTCATCTGTTGAGCCTTCATCTGACAGTGCTGTCAGCTTCACATGTTAAAGTGCTATGGTTGCGTGTAGCTGCAGCCTGCTACTACACAGTTGTTTGCTACTTGGTTCTAATTCAGCACATGATTGGTTCAGCATGAAGTGGACCCGGAGCAACTCCCCTTTTCATTGGCTATTCGTATAGTCTACTAAGACATGGCAGAATGCAGACTATCGAAAAACATATTGACCATGTTTTATATTGAAATTGAGGGAAATTAATCTTCGATATATATCGTCATTCTTTTATCACCCAGCCATACTAACAATGTAAAATTTGCTGTATACATTCAGAGGCATAAAGTTCCTGTCAACGAGAACACCAAGACCTGGTGCAGACGTTCACTCGCACAGATCTAACCAACAATTTCTCACTCATCATACCTTGTACATCAGTATGCAGTAAGACGGCCATAAATTTTCTTCATGCCTGTCATTGAGCTATCTGTGACCATGAACTGCACCTTTGGGGACACAGCTTCATTATTTGAACTTATTAAACTACACACACACAGACACACAAAATTAGCACCAAGCTAACACACAAGAGGTGATGATATTTTGATGGACAGGGGAGGATGTTATTGCTCCTCCTTTGGTCATAATGTCATTTTAACCTAGAGCCAGCCAGGAGTCATTGGGTACACACACATACACACATACACCCAGGCATGCACACACTTACAACAGGAAACAAGACAAAAAATAACAAACTCCTCCTTCGGCCTCTGGTAAGTTGATTAAATCTGAAAAAGAATGTAAATATACACATGTTAGACATACACTCATTCCTCGTGCCATAATTGGTGCTTTGCATTTTCTCTCATAGTATTAAGTCTCTTAATGAGAATCAACCCCAGGGCCCTTAGGATATGATGTCACAGGTTGTCTCAGCTGAATGATGTCTTAATGGCTTGGCTGGCCTACACATTTGCTGCTGACGCTCTATCTCAGGGGATGATAAGGATTACACAGTGCAGAGCATAAGCAAATGTACGGCTATGGCTCAGTGGAAGAAGAGTGGGTTGTTGACCAACTCATAGATTCGATCCCTGTCTGCCTGAGGTCTACATGTGGAATTGTCCATCGGCAAGAAACTGGCATTGTCCTGCGTCTATAAACTAATAACTGGCCTTGCATGGCAGTAGTGTGTCAATGTGTGAAATGTGAGATACTTTCACTTTGATTTAATAATTTTCTGTGATGAGGAGAACTTTAAAGTTGGAAAAAAAGGAGTCTGATCTCTATTTACATTTTGGATATTCATTTTCTGAAACTGATCTGAACTGGATTTGGTGTCTCACAGTTTCTTGGCATAAAACAGTAGAAGGTAATCAGAACATAACTATTTCACTTTATATGCATTAAAATGACGACTCACATGTGGTTTTGATGATACGAAACAGAAGCTGCTGGTTTCCTCTCAGTGACTGTGGCTCGGGGTGGGGGGTTGTTGTGGGAGGTGTTGGTGGGAGAAGCCATGCTCTTCTGATCAGAGACCCTATGCCCTTGCGTGCTGTGAATCATTCTGTAAATATGTTCCCAAGGTTGCACAAGTCCATCTGTGCCAGAACAAAGATAAAATCATACAGAGGAAATGTTTGAACCGACTCCGATTATGAGTATTTATTTTATTATGTGCACATTTTTAGCATCTGCTAGGTCAGTGGTTCTCAAGTCCAGTCTTGGAGGCCCACTGTCCTGCATGTTTTGGATGTTTCCCTGCTCCAACACACCTGATTCAAATGATCAGCTCGTTATCAAGCTCTGTACTGGCTTAATAACGAGCTGATCATTTGAATCAGGTGTGTTGGAGCAGGAAACATTCAAAACATGCAGGACAGTGGGCCTCGAAGACTGGACTTGAGAACCACTGTTCTAGACCATTGGTTCCCAATCTTAGGACTAGAGTAAATTCTATCTTCACCTGTAGATAAAACTGCTGAAAAGATTCTTTTGATGAAAACATTAAAATTCATTATTATTTTAGACAGTATCAGCATCCATTTTGTGAGGGTTGTGAAGTATTGTTGGCTCCAAGGGGGAAAAGACTGTGTTAGATATTAATGGTGAAGTCATTCTTATATGTTTATGTATCCATGTTTGTGTGACAGACTCAAATCGGGGATGTGTGGCAAAGCTGTCATTTTCCTGTCCTCTAAAGGGCCACTACTGCCTGTACACCAAATCCTGTTTCAACCTGACCAGCCGACAGCCTCATCTTTGGATACAAATCATGCTGCTGCATCTACAGGTGATGTCCCATCATGTTGAACATTCATCTCAGTTTTTAAGATTTTACAACAACAAGGGCAATAGTTTATAGCCGTGTGCACTCAATCACAGCCATAGACTGTATGTACAATGGACGCCGTCTGCCTCCTCGCTGGGTGAAGCCACTTCGAGAACAGCACCCTCTGGTGACGGGCTGCAGTATAGGTTATAAATCCCGCCTCCTCCAGCAATACTTATGGAGCTGTAGACAAACTTTAGAAATTTATCACACAGAGTATAAATTTTTCTCCCCCCTGCTTGCGATGTTGACATGTAGTTACTGTAAGACTGGTTTGTGCTCAAGTCCTCTTTTTTTCTGTGCAGCTCCATTTTTAAAAGTTATTAGGGGGTTCGTGTTTTCTATGATACATTCTATGGGCATAAAAATTGCGTAGCTCTCCCGGGGGATACGCTGTTTAAGCCGAGTGTCATCACAGCAGCTATCGCCGCTTCTCCTGCCGAATGCGTACAATGCTACCGCACAAGTGGTGGAGTGCGTACAACGCTACTACGCAAACTGAGGCTAACTTTGAAATTTGACTTTTTGTTTATTTATTTCTTTATTGCCTCAGACAAAGCTTTATCTATAACTTAACAGCTGGAACAAATTGCATGCCTTTTTCAAAAACGTGTCTTTTTTTATTTGGAATTACAACCAATAAAGTAAGCTAATCCCCTTGTCATATTTGGAGATATATGAGGTATATCCTGGAAATGTAAAGTTTTAAGTGACCCTTTTGTCTATCTTTACTGCCATAAAACATGACCTCCTAAAACTATCTTTGCCTTTTTATTTCTATGTTTCACACTGTTTTATTTCCCCTCTCTTTTGACCAGAGTAAGTCCAGTGTCCCTCTTTGCTCCAGAGACGATTGTGTCCAGAGACTTGTTTCTCTTTGGGAGAAGACGCAGCTGAAAGGAGCTCACAGCTTCCCAATGGCCATGACTCAGCAAACAACCCCACACAGAAAGGTATCACAATGTGCACGTGTGTGTGTGTGTCCTCACGTGTGTTATGTCAGTATGTGTGTATGTGTTTCCTGCTGAAAGCTATCTGTATGCAGCAAAGAGGATGATGTCATGGGTAGAAGGAAACACTCAGGATAGGAAAGTGTCAGAGTTCAACATAAACTTTGTTTAAATTAGGTACTCACTAAATGGACACTTCTGTAAACAGTCCTTCTGCCCACCCTGACTCCTCATCTTTACTGTGTCTGTTTATGTGTGTTTGTGTGATGGATAGTGTGACTGTCTCTGTGTTTTGGATGTGGTTGATGTTCCCCATGTATGCAACTCCCATATACTGTGACAAGCTAAGTGGTTGCTAGGAAACAATTAGATCCATAAAGAAAAGACGAATGATATTTTTCTTTTTCTGAACATGTGTTATCATGTTATTGGGATGACCCAGCAATGGTTTCCTTATGGAGCCTGGACAAATCCAAGGACTCGTGGACACAGAAACACATGGGCACCACACAGTTAGTCAGGGGAGAAATACCCATGCTGTGTGACTTAGCCTTCATGAAGAGATTGTAAACCTCTGCTTTTACTGTCTGCGCTACATCAGTCGACAGTAAAATCTTTGATTTACTTTTTCAATCACCAGTAGAAAAGTTTCCTGTATTTCACTGCAGTGCCACTACTGTAAAGAAGAAGTTCAACATTTCAGAATCAGCCAGCAGCAATGTAGCGGAGAGGTGTAATGCATTTCAATATTCAAGCTTTCAATATGTACTCCCAAAAAGTCATGTTTTTTTTTTAAATTAGTAAAACCATAGTATGTTTTATATGTGTACCAACATTACTGTTAATCTCTGTTCTTCATACATACTTTTCTGTTTAGTCATTGTGATTATTGTGATGAAAGCGTATAATGCATGCAAAGGATATGCATTCTTGCCTACATGAACATATGGTGCACCCCAGAGTTTGGGGATCTGACATGTTGTCGTCCTTGCTTAGCTTAAATTTGGACAATGGTAAAAAAAAAATAAAAAAAAAACCTTGGCTGTGTTGAAAATTAACACAATCCAACTTCAAAAGCTCAGAGCAAAAGAGGTGGGTGCACACCAAAAACCAAAAATCTGAGCTTTTAACAGGAAGGAAAAGGAGAGTAAAAAAGGTCACAACCTTTCTCCATCCATGTGCTCTCCATTTCCTTTTCGCTTTGCTTCTCCCCTTATTAGACCTGCAGCTTCACTCTTGTCTCTGCCAGCCAATCAGAAACACATGTAGCTGAAAGCAAGGAGACAAGAGATGCCAACTGGAGGAAAGCGTAGGCATGTGATAAAGATTATTGATCATTTACCGACAGGGACATTTAGAGGAAATCTGTTTGCTTTTATGAGGTTTAAGAGTTGTAATGAGGATTTATGGTTGGCTCCTGACAGTTTATCTTAGTTTAATAGCCAAGAAATAATGCAAAGCTGGTGTAAGAGAGAAGAAGAGGAACAGGTAAGGAAGAGGGAGGATAAAAAACTGCAGTAACACTTAACAGGAAAAGAGTTGAAAGAGATACAGGGAGAAATTATAGGTCAATGAGTTTAAAGCATGACAAAAGTAACAAAAAAGAGGAGAAAATATCTTATACTGTAAAAATAAAAAAGCTGGAAAACTCAAAATCTCAAGATAACTTCCTTCACTAGATTTTGGGGTTTTGATACCAACTCAATTTTTTAAGTTTTGAAGAAAAGTTGAGCCAAAAAAAACCCTTAATTGAAGTAACTTACAAGTCCTGATTGATAAAACTTGGAATTTGAAGTCTTATCCCAACTTCGGGTGACCATATGTCTTCTTTTACCCAGACATGTCTTCTTTCTTGGGGGCTGTCCGGCCTTGTTCGGCTTTGTCCGGGGAAGTTTATAAAATCTTTCAAATGTCCGTGGTTTTGTACGGAAGTTTCGAGTTTGTGTTATGTGGACTTACTGAGTTAGAAGCACGTAAAAGACACTCGATCTGACCTGAAAAACTCTCCAAATTAACTTTGTGTGACTCTGTGACTCCGCCCCCACTTAGTCGTATCCTCTTTTGGGGGATTCAGAATATGGTCACCCTATCCCAACCTATAATTGTTTTGTTAGATAATTTATCTTCCATAACTTTAAAAGCTTAGGTTTTTTAGTTCCACTCATGCATGACCAATAAAGAGGAGCAGGAGAGAGCTGAAAGAAAGGATAATGAGTTTTAATTTAAGTGCATTTGTCAAAAAGAGAGTGAGGAAAATAAAAGGAGCTACAGACTGGATTGGGAGATTTGTTGTAGACGTGGAGACGGTAATGTTTTCAGATAAAAAAGGGAAGAAGACAAGAGGATAGACTTGGAAGAACCCGAGGCCCTAGTGGGGAGATACTCAACAAATGTTGTTTCATCTATTGTCCTTTTTCAACATAGTGAGATCATTTGTTGATACAACTCTGGTGGGGTTACGTTTGTTGGAGGAAGAGTATGAAGTAGAGAGGCTGAATATCAAGAGATACATTAACACTGCAGACAAGAGTAGCCAAAGAAGGAAATAACAGAAACTGGACAGGATGGGAAGATGAAAGCAATCAAAGGAAGAGATGTTGTATTGAGGAGACACTTAGGCACCCATCTGACCTCCCCTCCTCTGTCAAATATTCCCACTTGGTGTCCATTTACCTCTACTCCTCTGACTGTCTCCAACAAACCACTGTCTCCCAATTTCTCTCTTTTAATTTCTGGCAAAATCTACTCAGGGAACTTCCAAAGAGGTTTAATCTGTTATTGTCTCCACTCCTCATCCCGTTTGATCAGCTGTTCCTTTTCACTCCCAAGAGTTTTTACAAGATGGAGGCATTGTTTTTAAGATGTCCGTGTGTGTGAATGTAAATTTTTACTTTTTTTTTTTTTTTAAGTAAAAGGCTGTAACAGAATGAACCATCATGTTGATTTCAGTGGTTGGTATTCAGATAATTAAAGGTTATGCCAATATTTTGAAAAAGGTAGAGGATAGTCTAGCTGTAGCTGATTAAAAAATTCCCAATTAATTAGGCTTTAGCTTAAACTTACCATGCAGTATAATGTCCATGCAGGCTGAATCTGATGTGGCGTAGTCGCGAAAGTCTCCTCTTTCTAAGATCACAGTTTTATTCATATACAGTTATTGATTCATGTCCAACCAGAGTAAGCATTTAAACACAGGTTTAACTAAATTTAGAGGTTTTTTTAAGTATTTTTTTTAACAAGACAAGAATTTATAGCATTTTAATGTGTGATTATTATTATTATTTTTTATTGATAGGACAGGGTGAAATGTGGGGAGATAAAGAGAGGTGGGGGAGGACATGCAGCACATGGTCGGGGCCGGGTTCAAGCCCACAGCCACTGCGGAGACCATGGTCCCCCTACATGGGGCGCGCTAACCCGCTCAGCCATTTGTGTGCCCCCAGTTTGTGATTATTTCAAGGAGTGAGACTCTGTCTTTGCATTTATCATTTTTGCAGAGCAAAGTTACCGAGCGTTATTGTATTTTATAATTGAATAATATTCAGTTTAATAGGTTTGAACGTCCCCATATTGTGTAATAATCTGAATTTTAATTTATAAACTTAACAAAACCAAATCATCAAACTCTCTCCTCCTGTACCTTGTGAAAATTGTATTTAAACTGTTTTATATTTACACACCCCCTGAGTTCCTCATCGAAGTGTTGCGAGCTTGACTGCACAAACACAAACCAAGAGATTTCACCCTGACAATTTTAAAATTAAATTATCCTTCCGGTTAAAACCAGACACTGTATGGGTGAACATTTTTGTATAATTTATATATATTTGGGAATAGCCACTGTTTATTTTTTTTGCTTTAAACATGATTAATACTGTTCTAATGTTTATCAAATCTGCATATTTTTAATGTATTTTCTCATTTGCCTGTAATCAGCCGTCATGTGTAGTTACTTTTTCACAAATTGATCAAATTACACCAAAGACCTACAGACAGAAAGGATATGGAAGGTTTGGATACAGCAGGCAAAAAAAAGGGTCATAATGAAATGGTAAAGGAGGTTAAACAAGGACAGCTGGATCACAGTTTACATAGCTCAGTTATTGTCTTCATCCTGAAGCCACCTCTTGTCCTGATAGATCAAATATGGGGGTCATGTTTTTCCACATCAGTTTGTCGTCCGGCTGCCAAATTGTCATTGTCGAGTCCAGCAACATTATCCAAAAACTTACTGAAACCATACAGGAATCTTGGCTTGACAGCTGTGTTTTGGGGAGCCTGTCACAAAATCCCTCTAGTTTGAGGTTTTCTGGGAAAGGACTGGACAGTGGTGGCTTACATAATGTTGATGATTCATTTTTCACTGTGTTATCCTGAAAAAACATCTTTGTTTCCTTATTTGTTGTCACTCCTGCATTGTTGCCCAGATTGTGACTCACATTCAGACTCGCAGTCTTCACCCTGTTCGTCACAAGAAAGGTTTTGGGTATGCCCTTAGAAAGTGACTAAGTAAGTAAGTAAGTGGGTCAGTAAATCAGTCTGTTAGTATAGCTGTCCTTTACATTTTTTTAGGAATTGATTGGATTTTTTATTACATGTCATCTCTAGGAGGCAAAGTTTGCAAAAACAAAGTTAAAAATGTTGGCAGTTGTTCCAGCCACATTTTGACTCCAAAAACTTTGATCAATTTTGCATTATTTTCGTTAGTGATTACCCTGGATTGAACTTTCTGTTATATGTGATTATTCAGTGTTGAAATGATCCACATCCTTTGTTTCTTGCAGCTATGATCAGTTTTAAAGTTTGTAAGAGGTCAGTGAATGTAGTAAAATACAACTTACAACAGCCAGAAATATTTTGCAAGAGTTGGGAAAGACCGAGCTGAGAGCGAATAGATTAGTATTCCATATACACCAGTGGTGTAGGCAGAAATTGTAGAGATGGTGGGCACAGAAAATTTCAAAACAAAACAAAAATGGGGACAAAACTCTCAATGTAAGATTGAATTTATAAACTTGTAAAAACATAAATTTCTGGTGTCTGTTATGTTACTGACTTTTCTCTCTGGCCTACCCTGCATAGCTGAATTTGCAGAGCACAGTATTATGTGTTTTGAGTATTAATCAAACTTTAAATCATGAATGTGTCACCATTCATTTAATTTCTTTTCTTTTTCCTTTTGTCAGCTATTATGGGGCGTTCACACAAAGCACATGTAAAATAATCAACTTGTTTAATTCAAATGAAGAGTATTTACTCACTTCATTTCCACGTCAACGGTAATTAACGGTGATCCCTGCCAATTCAACCAGTACGATCAAGTGGTAGACAAAGGTTTTTTACAATTTACCGGGTAATCCGTTCTCCTCACTCACGTGGCTCCAGGCAAGATCCTTTTTATTCCACTTTTGGTATTTGAAAGAAAAGATTTCACATAATTCGGGGCACCCACAACACGATCAGTTTGTTCTCTAATTTAAACACCAGTGAACAACCGTCCATTTTTATACGTCACCTAGCAACCTTTGTGCTGGTTAGTAATCGTGACGTGAATATCCGCCAAAGTTGAGACATTTTTTGCTCACGCCCAATCTGTGTCATTCACACCGCCAAAGTCGTAGGAGCGTCTAATCGCGTCTTTGCATTTATTTAACATGTAATCCATTCGCGCGAATGATTTTACTTGCGCTTGATGTGTGGAAACAGAGTTTTTCAAAGTTCGAAAGCTGAGCTTGGTTGACGATCAATATGACAATACTATGAGATGGTTAGATTAATACTAGCACAATATCTACCTTCAGTCTGAGACAACGGCCCGTACAAGCAGTATAATAGCAAAAATAGATTTCCAGTGCTTGTAATCAGAATTTCTCAACATTGCAGTCTGTGTTTCAAAGACAGATCACCCCCTGAATTGTATCAGAATGTTAATGTTCATGCAAACCCACAGATGGTCTCTCTCAGCCACACATGGTCCTAGTTTACCCGTATCCGCAGTCAAAACCCTTTGACCTCAATTATTTAAGTTGTAACAACACAAGCAGAACTCTGATGTACGGATCAGTCTAAATGCCACTACTTGGATCACACATGTGCATCAGTGTGTGTTGGCTAAAATGTCAATTGTAGTCAAGGTTTTAGGGGTCCCAGTTTGAACTCACAGATAACAAACAGCTCAATGACTCATCTTCTCAGGTATGAACTAAAAGGAAACAGGTCTAAATGTCAAACACACTAAGAGCTCAGCCATGGCAGCTACCTGTTTTCCTTTCACTTGATCACTTCATCCACTCCCCCTTGGGTGTTTCATGTGAGTGTACATTTGTGAGTTAAATGTCCCTCCCTTAAGTGGATCATCAGAAAATGTGAAAGGAGTGCAGCGGGGTCAGATGTCAGAGACATGATGAAGAGCAGTATTCTGCTCAGTTGGTGGTCAGGATATTCAAACTGAGAATTCATTATAGAGAGATTTGGTTAAACTGTGCAAATATGGTATGAAAACACACACACACAGGACACACACAGAAACACCCACACTCAGGAGAAAACTCTTTCTTTATGATGAAGACTGATGGCAGTAATCAATCATCTCCTTAACTGTGCCTGCAATTTCCTCTATACCAGATAAATATATGTAATCTCGAGCTCTGAAGACCTTTTTAAAGCTGAAGCCCTCATTATTTGTGTGTTAGGTTTCATGATTGTCTATATAGTTATATGTGTGATTGATTGTACTGCAGCGTTAACAAGGATTTTTGCAGAGGGCTCTTTGAACTGTCCATTATTGTTCACTTTTACTTCTGTTTGCCTCTTAATATTTCATGTTTTGCGCTGTAAAAATTTTCAAAAAAAGGAACAACAAGATTGAAGTCTGAGCTGTACGACAGAGTATTAGGGCCATATTACGATAAAAAAAATTAGACTTCGAGATTAAAGTCGTTAATTTACAAGAATAAAGTCATTACTTACGAGAATAAAGTCGTAATAAAACCATTATGATATTCATGATAATGTGGTGCTGATGTGCTAAAAGTATCTCCTTGTTTGAGAAACCGATATTGAAGTACATTTTCACGAAATGCTCCATGGCTCTCATTTCAACCACTGTCATCTTAAACAAACAGGTTACAATATAAGGACTTTATTCTGACTTTATTCTCATAAGTAATTACTTTATTACGACTTTATTGTCGTAAATAATTATAGTGCTACGACTTTATTCTCATCAGTAATGACTTAATTCTTGTTAGTGACTTTATTCTCAAGTTTTTTTTTCTTAATATGGCCCTAATACTTCGTCATAGAGCAGATACATTTCCATATTAGCAGTTTAGACTCAAGAAAATTCCTTTCTCAACTATCTCTGTCCAAGTAAATATTCCGATGAGACATGATGGTGCGATAGTGAACCAGTATGCAGTTAAAAAAACACAAACAGAGGTAGCCACTTGGAAAGTCGCCACTGAAAATACTACCTAAACCTGTGCTTTTCTCCAATGAGAGGAATCAAAATGCTGTCTGCTGAAAAGCCGTACTGATTATGAAAAGTGAACACATCTGAAACTACAGTTTTAGCCAGCACATGCATGTGTTGGTAAAACTATCTACTTATTCACAAGTCCAAATGAAACTAGACTGTTAAAATGCACGTTAACACATTTCACTGAATCCAATTTCTTGCAGTTGGACCTTCACACCTAAGGCAGTTTCATTTTAAATTGATTTTGTCCTGCATGTAAACACTTCAGCCTGACTCAAAGTGGCTCCAAAATTCTGCTCATGCTTCATAGTTCAGGCTTTTATGCAGTGAAAGTGCAGAAATGCACTGTTGAAAGCCAGGTAGTAAACAAAACCTCAAAAGGCCATAAAAGAAGACGAAGCTGTTATACTGTATGAAAGGTGCTGAGTTGTTAAGTTGTATGTGTTTTTATCATTTGATATACAACCTGCAAGTCATTTGCTGACATGTTTGTTGATTGTTTTGGTAATTGACGTAATTCTTCAACTTCAACTTTCAACTTTATCTTTATTGTCCCATTAGGGAAATTTTGGAAGCTGGTTTCAAAAACAACATTGATGCATCTCCATAATACATCAGGGGGCAACTGAGATCAAGAACCGTCATTAAATACAATCAGACATCAGTTATGAAACTCAAATGCTTTCTCCTGGATCATTTTAAAGATTTAGTTAAACGATAATCTCTGCTCTGAACGGTCTTTTAGCCTCTCTGTTCTCTCCAACACTCCTTTTTATTAAAAGATTATCTTTCTTTGTTTTCAGTCCTTCAAAGACTCTCCACAGAACTTTATGTAGCTAAACACAGCAGAGGTCAGGTCATCAAGGTCTGCTGTGCACAAAGATGGACTGTGAGGTCTATCTGGCTGAGTGAACACAGACAAACCAGTACACTCAAAGCTACCTTGCTGGCACTGGATAGCGTTCTCTGACCACACTTACCTAGCTTTAGCATGGACGACCTTTCTTTTTGAAACAGTCTTGTGGACAGTTTCCAGGAGGATGGTGTTATGGTCTGAGGGTCCTGTAGTTGATCAGTTTGATCCTTTAATGGATCCATAGCAGAGGTCAAGGATCTTAGTAAAACAAGTGGGGAAGCAAAGTGAAAGATCAGTTTGCAATGATTAAAATCACCAAGAATAAAAACGGGTAAACTCTCCAAAAAGGGGGCCACTGACACTTAAAGCGATTCTTCCAGTTAACCAAGAAAGACTGCACAACAGTTACCAGCTGAAAGGAGGAATATCACCAACTATCAACACGGAGGAAGACATGATTTGTCATTAAACTGATTCCTGCTTGGTTCTCATACACTGGGACGTGGACAGTAGTAAGTTAATACATGTACTGTTTTCCTGTAGGACATAGACAGTCTCCAGATTCAGCTGGAAGAGGTTCGTTTCTTTGACCTGTTTGGCTACAGTGAGGAGGAAGGAGGTTGGCTGTGCTTCATGTGTAACAACCCTGAGAAGGCCACAGGTACACACACACACACACACACACACACACATACACCCACACTTATCCCTCTCTTTCTAATTTTGATAAAGTTAAAGTGCACATAATAGTGATTACAACATAGTTGAGTTTGTATGCATGGAAAAGTTTGTGAAATCCATTCAACACGTTGTTATTCTTGACAACAATCAAACATGATCCAATCCCAAAGGCTATCCTTGTTCTGTTAGCGTGTGTAAAAAAATCACAACTGAACATTCTCTGCTGAATCAACCTCAGAGGGGATCCTCAGAAAGGCGACATGAAGCTAAAATTAACTTAACTGCCTCATGAAAAAAGGTGAAACATGGAGGAAAACAAAATATGAACCACATCGACAAGAATCATAAGAAACACTTTCCCCTTAAGACTCTCTAAACAGAGTCTTTAAAAAATAAGAGCGGCTTTTTAAAGATGTTTTTCTCGTTCTCCATTGTTTCAACAGCTTGTCTTTAGCACAGTTGTGGTTCCCTGGGGTCTGATGGTACAACCAACGCAAAGCTCCATGGCATGTTTTCACTCAAAATGCCTTGAAGGGGAATAATCTTTCCCAGAACAGCGAAGTAGAACGGAGCGAAGAGTAGCTCTGATTTAAAAGCTGCCAGGCTGACTTTAGTGTGGTTATGAAGGGTCACTGAAACCAGTCAGTCACTGCCATTATGACTCAGGTCTGATTAGTTTATGTTGGAGCAGCCACCCCTGTCAATGAGCACTTTGTCTTGGTGAAGTCAGACCTGGAGTTTTGACCAAATCCTTTAGATTACATTTAGATCACTGTGTGGTTGCACACGTGTGTGTCCGTCATGTTTCTCTTCATCTCCTCTACACACAGGGGACATAAAACTCCATGAAACATGACTTAGATGTACAAAGTACTTAACAAAGCATGAAAGTTATATTTATACACCTGTCCTGCACAAAGAATCCTCACTGTTCTGACTGGTATATATTGTGAATCTCAAATTCTCTTTGTGTTTCTAAAAAATAAAGAAAACAGGAAGACAGTGTGAGTAAGTGAGTGATGATGGTAAAAATTTTAAAGGTCTATAAATCAATGACAGACAGTTTAGCCTCAGGAGAGCACGCAGGAGAGCAAATGTGACAGAGGTGGTGGAAACAACACTCTAAATCAGCGTTTATCTTTCTGTCACTCTCACATGGAAGCGGTTATCAGTTATATAAGCGGAGGGCAGATGCGTCTTAAAGAAGAAATACGGAGGGCGTAAAGGTAAAAACGTGAGGGACAGTGTACTTTGAAACACGAGGAGTGTTGTGTCACTAATAAGCAGCTGTAAACCTTTGTTGCGTACTGAGCGGCGTTTTTAGGCTCTGCTGTTTGATGGCGGGTAATAAGGAGACAGCAGGTATTTCCCAAAATATATAAGGCCAGTGGCAGGAAGTTGTTTGCTGGGTGAAGGAAACAGGCAGAGGCGAGGCAGTTAAAGTTTAGTGCAGGGCATACGCAAGTGTGTTTATTTATGTTTATGTGTTCTAGAGGGAGAAAAGTTCAGAGCAGGAACAGTTACCTCATGATTATCCTTCAGGTTGTGCCAAGTACAAATAAAAAAAAAGACTTTAGGACAAAAAATTAGGTTGTTTGTGATCCCTAAAAGTCAACAATTAAAGCATGTTATCTTTCTGTTGTGTTGGGATAGCAACTTCCAGATGAAACGGCATGTAAATCTGTAATGTAATGATCGAGCGTACTGATTTATAATTCAAATAAACCCAGAGTAAGTAGAATGAGAGTTTCAAAATGCAGTATGTGGAGTTTGTGGTGTCTAACAAACAGATTGAAAACATTTTCCTCCTGCAAAAAAATTTTTTAAAACCCTTCATCTGTTTCTTTTTATCGGCATTTTTATACATTCTTCTTTTTCTTCCTTGTGCAGAAGTAGCGTCATGATCAAATAAACTGTATTTAAGTAAAAACCAACTCTGGCATTCAAAAAAGCTCTACTATAATTAAGATTCATTAGAATAAGACTTTGCCGAACTTTACCACCTTTCCCCATTGTATTTGATCCTATCGTGCAGATTTTTGATAAGCTTGCATATGTTAAACACAGGCTTAAAGGGATATTCTGATTTGGAGTCAAACACACCGTAACACCGAGTTAGACACCCCCTCGAGAGATGAATGTTGACGACCGCTTGCTTCTCTAGTTATACCAACTTTAGTAACAACCGTACCATAGCAAGACACAGCGGTCTATGTCTCCACGCGCAAACCTCAACCAAAACACCACTCTATAGCCATAAATAATGCTCAGAACAGCATCTAACTTCATCAACAGTACATATAGGGTCCCAGCCATTACTTCGTGGAAATGCAGTCAGACCGAGACGCTAAGGCAGAAGAACTACTGATTCTGCAGTGCAAAATGATTAATATGGTGATTATTACTTCAAGGAAATGATAAAGTAATGATCAGAAATGTTCTTCCTTGAGCTGCGTCACCCCACAGCAGTTTGTAATGCACTGGCCCGAGGTCTCGCTACAAACAAGCAGCTGCTGGAAGAGAGTGGGTGAGTTGTGTTTAGTCTCTTTGCTAAAGAAATTAGGCAAAGCTAAAAAGATGTTTGATGGCTAGTGCTGTGGCTGGGACCCTAAATGTACTGTTGATGAAGTTAGGTGCTGTTCTGAGCATTATTTGTGGCTATAGAGTGGCGTTTTGGTTGAGGTTTGTTTATGGCTCCTCAGACTGCTGCGTATTGCTATCGTGCGGTCGTTTCTAAAGTTGGTATAACTTGAGAATCAAGTGGTCTGCAACATTTATCTCTCGAGGGGGTGTCTAACTCTGTGTTATGGTGTGTTTGACCCTAAAATAATTTTACGCCGGAATATCCCTTTAAATCAGTGTCCAGAAAAAAAAAGAACATTAAGAGAAAACTAATTCATTTAACCAGTTATTTGAATTGACATGATACTGAATGCCTTTATCTTACACTGCACTTTCACTTTGAGATCTCTGTGATATTTTTTATGATCCTCATCCATTCAAGTAAAATCAATATTCATTTTGCTCATCCGCATTGATGCTGTCATTAAGTTGAGTTCACAGCCCTTTTTTCCCAATTCTTCCATGTCACTGTCTTGTCATCACCCATTTCATCAAATAAACAAACAACATGCACAGAAGTAAACACACACACTCACACACAAATACAAGTCCGCTGTCTGATCCAAACAGTACAAAAACCAAATGAAGCCATTCTTCCAGATCTGCTGCTCTGAACAAACCAGTCATCGCCGGCTGAATGAGTGCTGGGAACGGATGAATACAAATTTTAGATTCATGACAGCACAGGAGACTTCAAACAAGATGAGCAGAACTGCTCTGTCGTGTTTGTGTCTGTAGATACACGTGTTTTCTAAAACACGGATCTGATGAAGGCCTTGGGTGGCCTTATTGCTCTGCATCTCTTTCAAATCAGCTTTTCTGTCTTTTACTTGTACTCTATACTGTTAGTTAGACTGGCTGTCTTTGTGTTGTGGTTGTCAATGATAAATCACAGCTGGAGAGTGAAGCAGCCACATCTCTTTCCCACAGCCCACTCTTGTACGCATCTTATATTGGCACTATTTTCAAATAACAAAAAGGCCTTGTCAATCTCAGGCCAGCTCAGGTGTTCAGACTATCTACTCATAGAAAGCACCTCAACATTGTGATTGAACAAGTATTACCTCAGACATCAGGCTAAAATACACAGATTCCCTTTGTCCAGAGTCATACATAAAGTCACACAACAGATATAATATCACCACTTATAGCCAAACCCAGTTCAGAATGAATTAGAGCTGCAGTCTGTAATAAGAGCTCTTGATGCAGAAGTAAGTGCTTTATTCTGGGGGTGGCTGGTAAAGATGGTTGTCTTTCATTCAGGGAACTGGGGATTTGAATTTGGGTTCTGCTGTCCTTGGACGAGACATTCAACCCCCAAACTGCCCTGGTGGAGCGCCAACAGTGTGTAAATGGGATTAGCAAATACCAGTGGGCTGCTTTACACATTAATAGTGACATATAATGTATCAGTTCTTTGAGTAGTCAGAATCACACAGAGTCACTTAGCGTTCTTTACTTTACAGTCAGAGTTTTAAATTGTTTTCCTGGTATTAGCGTGTGTGTGTGTGCAACTTCGTGTTTGCGTATAGCGTGAGTGTACACTATTTCAAAAGTCTCCCAACATGGCTATATATCTCCTCTGCTTTATATTCAAACTGCCAAAAGTGTCAAAGAAGTGACCCCCATTTGATCTTTCCTGCCATGTTTGAGTCAACCTCGTGAACTTGGTGGCCTTAGCGAACTCTATCTGCAGGTGATCATTACTCAACTGTCAACCATTGGCTGTGAAGGAAGGGGGCTTTACAACAGGTTATGCATACCTTTATACAGAACATTCAAAGTCCAAGAAGTTAATAATGTGATGTGCATTTTGTTTCATACAATAAAAAGAGGAAACTGTAAATGACTTGATCACGAGGACTACTCTTTGCATCTACCATAAACACACTGAACTGCTTCATTGCAAAAATTAAGGCAAGTTTATTTGTGTACACAAGGCACTTCAAAGTGCTTTACAGATGCAAGGAGATACATTAAAAAAAAAAAATTAGTCTATCTCAGACAGTGTTAATTTTCTCTTTCTCTATCTCAGACGGTGTTAGTTTTCTCTTCTTCTATCTTGGGCGGTTTAGTTTTGTCATCATCTATCTCAGACGGTGTCAGTTTTCTCTTCTTCTATCTTGGGTGGTTTAGTTTTCTCTTCGTCTATCTCAGACAGTGTCAGTTTTCTCTTTGTTTATCTCAAACGGTGTTAGTTTTCTCTTCGTCTATCTTGGACGGTATTAGTTGTACTAGTTTTCAATCAATAAAAGTTGTCGCACAAATATAGCTGAACAAAAGAAAGAAGAAAGTCTTATGCAACCTAACGAGATTTAACGAGACAGTTGTTCTCAGTTTAGAGAAAAAGTTTAGAAAAAAGCCACAGTAACCATCTGTTCTGTTTAATATGGGCCACAAACCCTTACAAATTGATAGAGATGTGAAACATTTAAAGGTATTTTACCCAACTGTAAATATCTAGAAACAAGACAACAACAAAGTCAAGGCCAAAAAACAAACCAAGTTTTTCTCCTGGAAACGGTTGAAGAGTCCAGCTGAAAGCCCTCCAGTAAATTTAGTCAGATTATAGTAAGTGATGTTGATGATTCACCTCATCTCACTGAAACTTATGAAACTGGACTGAAGACCCAGTGCCATTTGGAACTTTTTCCCGTTTCGATGACCCACTTTTATTTTCATCATGAATGCAGCACATGAATGTTCACATATCTTTGCAGTGTTCACATTCACATTACCAGCTCCAACCAGCCAACCTTGGTTTTTTTTCCTTTTTAATGCGTTATATAATAAAAACTTGCTGACTTGGCCTGAGTTTTGCACTGTGATTACCTCAGAGGGTACACACACACACAAACACACACACACACACACACACACACACACACACACACACACAAGAAGGGGGCTGGTCTCATATTTTTTATGATAAAAGTGAAAACAGAGCAAGGTGAATGGTTTTCCATTGTGAAGGCCAAAGTGGAGCTAGTGGTTACTGCAACTGTGTGACGCTTTATGATCCGCTCTTCACTTTTACTACTACTGGAACTGGAATGCCTTTGAACTGAGCAATAATGAGCAAGGCGTGTGTGTGTGTGTGTGTGTGTGTGTGTGTGTGATGGGGCTGCTAGAATAAGGTACACGGGTTCACCTCTCATTTTTGCATTTGGATGTCTCTGGCTTCATTAAACCTTTTTACTTTAACATCTTCAAAACGCCATGACCCTGTTGCCCCCCCATCCTCCCATCCCTCCAACCCACCCTCCTTACAAAAGAGAAGAGATTTGTTATTGCTTTACTTGACACTCTAAAATAGTCATACAAAGTCTTCTTGCCATGGATTTGTACACACATTCACTAATATCTGGAAGACAGATCCCCTGTTTTCACAAAAATGGAAAACCCCAAGCCAGACTCTCCACCATTTAACCGTCAGTCAATGAAGACTCGTTTGACAGAGATTTTCACTTCCAGGAAACATGTTGCACATTTAGGAGATTCCCCGCTAAGAAGTCTCGTGACCACAGCAAGAATTTGGAGAGTTTGAAAGGGAGAAATTTCCAGAATGATAAGAAATCATCATGTAACAGAGTGCTGTTACATATTTCAGATATTTTACCAAACATGTTAGCTATTTCTCTGACATTAGCAAGTAGAGATAAACTTTTTTTAAACTTGTTACCCCCTACTCTCAGTTTTTACATCTTTGATCAATTCTTTTACTTAAGACAACCAATGAAAAAGAAACTGGACTTTGACCAAGTCACATAACAGCCCGTACTTCATAGAGACGTACAGAAGATGCTCCAACATCTGCATTTGGGTCATCATCTGTTTCCTCTTTCTTTGGTGTCAATCTTTTCTGTTAAATGATTATACAAGCTAGACATGAAACAAGGGGCTACTGAATTTTTTTTACCATGAAAAGACAGTTGAGATTTTTCATAGAAGGATTGCGCAACTTGTTTATGAACACATTTTTCCAATCGTTGCTAACAAAGGGTAAGTATTTTCAGCATTGGTTTAAAGCCCAGTTTTTACTGTTCCCCACAGCAGGCAAAGAATTCAAATACCAAAAACTCATGAAAGTTCAGTCAAACTTTTGTTTGACAAAAGTCAAACAGAAGGACAAATAGAGAGATATGAGTTTTCTCGTATGTGAACTGAAAGGTGTAAATAAAGGTTACTTGGAGTGACAGCTGTTTGGACAAAATACTTCAGTTGCATGCAGAAAAACCTGATTCAGTTTAATTAAGGAGGAAAAAATAAGATAAGTAAGAAAAGCATCAATTTTTATATTTTCATTAGAACAGACGTCTGTAATATTAGTAATATCTGTGTGTATCTGTGAGTCAAGTAATAGAAGGAGAACACGAGTGAGTTTGGTAATACCAAAGTTAAGTATATTCTGTAACAAGCTGAAGCTTTGCATTTACATGAAATGCTCAAAAAGTGCAAAATTATGTGCAGTAAAATAGAAAAATGTACCAAAATCAAAAGTGCTTGTCATGTAACAGGAAATACTCTATTTTTTAAAAAGGCCTAAAGGCTTTCCCTACAGAAAATTATACAATCTTGTCTTGTCTATTGATAAAAAAAACAAAAAACATTTTGCTCTATCCTGTAAATGGATAGATATATTAACCACAAAAATATATAATCTGGTGATAAACCAGTATCCTTAAAGTACTCTGTGAATAAGTACTCTTCAGCTTTTTTTCATGTCTTGCTCGTGTTTGTGTGTCTCAGACAGAGCGTCATGAACAACAGCCTGAGGCTGACAGTGAACTCAAGTATCACTTTCCAGGTGCTCCCATGTCCATCACAGCAAAGAGACAACCACAGAAGAAATGATTTACGCCTCAGTTTATTTCTGCACCCAAAACATATAATTATGTGAATATGAATACAAATATTTGTTGGTTAGCGTCAGACTGAACCATGTAGTGGACTACAGACTGAAAGACAAACCAATGCTCGCTGTGTAACTTTGAGACTTTACTTTGTAATATGGAGAATCACACAATCAGTGTAAATAATAGAAACATAATATTGAGCTTTACTCTTACTCTGAATTTTTGTTTCTTTATATTGGAATTTTTTTTTTTTTTTTTTTTGCTACAGTTCAGAAGAAAAAAATACAACTTGACTGTAGATAGCTGTGTTGGTTTCATAAATGTAAATATATAATAACATGTAATCTGCAAATATCTTTTTCTACTTTCATCCCATTGGGGTTAGATATGGATATCTTCAAGTATGGATAAAATCAATGATAAATACTGTTTGGTTGGATACAGGGTCAATGGAAAACAATATTTTTTATTACGCAGCATAGCAAGATGTTCTCTATTATATTTGGGCTGCGTGTCTTGAAGCCACATCTCTGTCAGCTCTCCTCTTATGTGAGACTCTGATGGCTTTTAAAAGTTTGTCCTATTTGGCACTGAGCGCTTCTGTGAATCATCCTTGCAACATGCCCACACATTCGCAAACTCCGATCAGATTGTAGTAATCTCTGTGCTGCTTTACTCATCGTCATAGTAACAAAGGGTGGCTCTGTTTTATGGTCAAGCTTCTGAGGTTCTGGTAACTGGCACTCACCCTGAAACAGCAGTCTGGAAACACTGTCTCCAGTGTACACAGTCACACTTATTGCACAATCGGTGATTGAGAAGTCATATGTGATCACTTTGCTTTTTTGGTGTGTTGATCAAAATAAAACAGGAAAAATAAAAACATCCAAGGACATTACACAACAAAAAACACTTGTTACTCATTCACCAAAGACACCCACACATACTCTCGTATCAATACTTTATTGTTCTCAGTCCAAGACTTTAATGTGGATACATGCTTTTTCACGCACATGAATGAGAAGAAAAACTTATTTTAACTATGCAAACCAAACTACAATTGGAAGTGGAAGTGATAAAAATGTTTTTTGTTTATCACACATTTTTGTGAGATGAAATCTGAAAATAAAGAATATATTATAAAAAAATGGGATTGTGGAACTGGAAATACAATGTGGACATCTCAGATGGAGGCTGACCTGAGGCTCAGTATATCAAAATCAAATTATCTTGCTAAAGTAGCCTCTACATACAACTTACATCTGTCTTCCATATGTTGTCCTTTTCCAATTATCACTCTAATCCCCTCCATGTCACTCTGTGATTGTGTGTCTGTCCAGTTGTGAACCAGGAAGGGCAGCCTCTGATCGAGGGGAAGCTGAAAGAGAAGCAAGTCCGCTGGAAGTTCATCAAGCGCTGGAAAACCCGTTACTTCACCCTGGCAGGAAACCAACTACTCTTCCGGAGAGGCAAATCAGTACGTGGCCAAAGAAGACAAAGCCTCCTCACACATAAGGACTCACAAACTCACTTTCCCCCTAGCCTCTCCTTAAGAAAATCCTCATTAATACTCCTTGTTAGGTATTATGTAAATCATGATGCAACTGAATGAAACAGTGGAAATCTCATCTTGTGATAAGCGCAACTGTCCCCCAAGAGGATACCGCTGATTTATCTGTAACAAACATCGGCCCCAGTTAGGACACTTGCGGGACTCCCCCAAGGCTAAAAGATGATGCTGCAACCACATGAGTCATTGTCACCCACGATAACGCAAAGCAGATAGTGTTACGCACAAGTAGCAAACACACAAAAGGAGGCACTGTCTCTGCCGTCCTCACAGTGTATTTATTTGCAAAGACAGGACAGAGAACAGAAGTGAAGAGAGTTCCAGAGTAGTTACAATAACACTTTTTGATCCTTCAGCTCTCCCGAGTCAAGTGAAACAGACAAGATCAGAAAACAATCACGGGCGGCAAAACATAATGAGCACTTGTCTGAGTCAGGATCAGTGTTATGTCATCCAGCCAATGATTAAAATAAATTTTAAAAAATGTTGAAAATGAAAATCAGATGTGCTTATACTTTGATTCAAGGCAGTGATTCAAGAGAATGAAAGAATGAACTATAATTGAAATCATGTTCACAGCCAGCAGTACATTTGGTTTGCTGTGGAACTCTGGACTGTGTGAAGTTTACACAGACAGCTTCCTAAAAACCAGAATGAGGCACAACATCACACAGGATATCTGGAAACAGAGTAGAAATAGAGCTGATTTTTTTTTTTCTACAAACAATAGTCTTTGTGTTCCGATCCAGATGGTAAAAGATTTCTTTCTTTCGCAGCAGCCACAAAACTGGAAATATTGAGCGTCTTTGTTTTCAAAGTAGAGTTTGCCTCTGCCAACATGTTCTGGGGGTAGTCGGTATGTTGTGAAAGAACTTTTCCCAAATGGGGAGAGAGATTAAGAAGACATTCAGATGTGTGGTTTCCTGCAAGAATAATAGGACAGCTTTGACACTCTGAGAGGTTGGAAACATTCCTCAATCCCACACAAAGCTAAGCCTTGGACCTCACCATGAGCACTCAGGTTGTATCATGTAGCACATACAATCTGAATGAAATATGCTAAGAAGAATAAGGGAACCTAATTATATTACTGGTTATTGTTGACACACTGGGATGTCCTCCACTTTATACCATGATTTCTCCCTTGTTAGAATCAGATAAAAACAGGTGCCGAACAACAGACTTTTAATTTGGCAGAGAGAGATGGAAAGTCAATTAGATCTGATAAATCTGCACTCACTTACAGCAGCTGTAAAAATAAGAATGTCTGCTATTGTTCGCGCCTTCTCATCTTGTTTGCTTTTTGCTGCTGTTGGCTCTTATTTTGAAATATCCTGTTTTGTATTACATTACGTAAAAGCAGTTCAGTTGTTTTGCCTTACAAATGTTCTGAATGTTGTTTTCCTACCTCCAAGGCAGCTATTAGTTTCCATTATTTCATTTTTATTTGCTGGAAATTTTTAGGAAATGTTTCGTAAAGAGTTAGCCTGGTTTTATTTTTGTAGATTTAAGTTTATTAGCCAACAGCTCAGTACAAAGGATCTTTAAAGGGATATTCCAGTGTAAAATTAGGTTGGGGTCAAAAACACTGTAACACCAAGTAAGACATCCCGTTGAGAGATGAAGGTTGCCGATTGTTGCTTCTCTAGTTGTACCAACTTTAGTAACAACCACAGAGAGCAATACACGGAGCCACGAGCTCAACCAAAACGGTCCTAGCCATAGCACTAGCCATCAAACATCTTTTTAACTTTCCTTAATTTCTTTAGCAAAAAGACTAAACACGGCTCGTACAGAGACTTTCGGGCGAGTCCATCGACTGCTGCGGGGTGACACAGCTCAAGGAAGAACATTTATGATCATTTCCTCATAAAAATGCAATCAGACCGAGACGCTAAGGCAGAAGAACTACCACATTTGCAGTGCAAAATTATTAATATGGTGATTATTACGTCAAGGAAATGATAAAGTAATGATCATAAATGTTCTTCCTTGGGCTGCGTCACCCTGCAGCAGCTGATGGACTCGCCCAAGGTCTCTGTACAAACAAGCGGCTGTTGGAAGATGAGTGAGTCTCTTTACTGAAGAAATTAGGCAAAGGTAAAAAGATGTTTGATGGCTAGTGCTGCGGCTGGGACCCTATATGTACTGTTGATGAAGTCAAGTGTTAAGTGTTTTGGTTTAGCGCCAGAACCGTTTTTTCGAACATGTTGCCTGTTCAGAGTAGTCAAGGGTTTGTGATTGATACACTAAAAGAAGAAAATATTAGAAAATAGTCGTTAATAAAAGCTGGTGAGCAGCATTTCCTTTCAATGTTTAGAGATAATGGTTTATTTGACTTTCTGGATGGGATATATTTCCAATCATGGCTTAAACCGAAGAAATATCCAATTGTACCAAAACACTAAGCTGCTGACCTGTATTTACTGTGGGAAAACAGCAAGCTGGTCTACAGCAAAGCCAGCAGCGAGGAACAACTGTGAAACATCCATGGTGGTTGAATCCTTTTCAATAAATATACTCTCACACACAATATACCACAGACAGGATGTGGGCAGTCTTGCAGAAAGCTTTGGGTTTGACCACATTACTAACCAGGGGCTATGAAGACATGGTTGTGTCGAAATACATCCACATAATCCAGCCATCACCCACAGAATCACACACAGTAGGATGAAACATGGGCCTAATGAGGAGGACTTCAGTCTGAACTGCTGTTCAGGCAGAGAGACTTATTGTACCTGAACGGTTGTATGATGAATATAACAGAGTTTCATAATAAAACTCGGTTGTACACGATGTAAAGGGTAAAATGTTCCATCAATAGGAACACAGCTGTTTTCTACATTTCTTTCCACGATCTTTTACCGAAGCGTACTTTAACTCATTCAGCACATATTGTACGGCTGAAAGTGATGTGTAACGAAAGCTTACTCTGCAAAAGTTTACACTTTCTTTTTTTGGCTTGACTGGATTCTTTCTTTCTTTTTCTGTGCAGAAAGATGAGCTGGATGACATCCCTATCGAGCTTAGCAAGGTGCAAAGTGTCAGGGTGAGGAATGAAGCTTTCATTGTCAATTACTCGACATAGTGGTCAATATTTGAGCTGGCTTTCTCTCCAGTTGTAAGTCAGTGAAGTAATATCTGTTTAAAGCCAAATCCTGTAAATCTAAAAATGGACAGCAGCATATCTCCCTAGCGGAGTAACGTTTAACTGACTTGTTTATGTTCTCGTTCCCCCTTTAATAATCTTTTTTATTCCATAGGTGGTAGCCAAGAAGCGTCGAGATAGAGGCCTACCACGGGCCTTTGAGATCTTCACGGACAGTAAGACATATGTCCTGAAAGCTCAGGATGAAAAACATGCTGAGGAGTGGCTGCAGTGCATCAATGTTGCTGTGGCTCAGGCCAGGGAGAGGGAGAACAGAGAGGCTACCACCTACCTGTGAAAGAAACCAATGAGGACACAGCTGCACAGCTATTAGCAGTATAATGTGTGTTTTAGGCACAAATGCAAATGTACACACTGGCAAACATACAGAGGAATTTCTTGTGTAGCTGCACACAAAAATACACAGTATTCACTGCCAGTGACATATTATTATTTCTGCCATTAGTGAAATTCAACATCAAACCAATTAAAACAAGATAAAAAAAATAAAAATAAAAACAACAATATATGCAGTATTTTATTAAAAAGACCTCCAATAAACCAGCAATAACAAACTGACTTAATCATGTTTATCAAGAATAATGGATGGTTACTCTCCTCGATGGTGACTGCTTGCTTCCACCATTATACTTACTGGTGCGTCTACTCTAATAGAGAGGAGTGTTGCAGTACATAAGTGTTACAGATCATACTGCTCCATGACTGGGCTATGCAGCATGAGAGGTTTTATTTCCTCCTCTAGAATCCAGTCAGAGGTGTAAACTTCGACAACCAACCAAAACCAGCATCTTATTATTTTCTAAGTTTAACGATTGAAACAATATTAAAGGGATAGTTCGGCATTAAATTAATTTAGGGTCAAACTCGCCATAACACCGACTAGACACCCCCTCGAGAGATGAATGTTGCTGACCGCTTGATTCTCTAGTTGTACCAACTTTAGGTAAGGATAGCAATACACAGTGGTCTATGGATCCATGCGCAAACCTCAACCAAAATGCCACTCTGTAGCCATAAATAATACTCAGAACAGCACCTAACTTCATCAACAGTACATACAGGGTCCCAGCCACAGCACTAGCCACCAAATATCTTTTTAGCTTTGCCTAATTTCTTTAGCAAAGAGACTAAACACAACTCACCTACTCTCTTCCAGCAGCCGCTTGTTTGTAGCGAAACCACTGACCAGTCCATCATCTACTGCTGCGGGGTGACGCAGCTCAAGGAAGAACATTTATAATCATTACTTTATCATTTCCTTGAAGTAATAATCACCATATTAATCATTTTGCACTGCAGACGCAGTAGTTCTTCTGTCTTAGCTTCTCGGTCTGATTGCATTTCCATGAAGAAATGATCGTAAATTGCTATCGTGCGGTTAGTATAACTGGACAAGCAAGCAGTTTGCAACATTCATCTCCAAGGGGGTGTCTAACTCGGTGTTACAGTGTGTTTGACCATAACTTAATTTTACACCGGAATATCCCTTTAAGTTGGGATAATTATTTAGCAATAACAACTTGATAGAAACAGAGACTTAATGCAGGCTTGCAGCAATAATGAGACTGAACAGATTCTACTGAAAGCAGGAAGGATAATGATGAGGATTCAAATGAGCGGCGCATGGAAGGGCATTCAGGACAAGAATAGTGTGTGTGTATGTGAGACAGAGAGAGACTAAAAAGCAATAGTTAGATTTGCAGAAATCCTCTGATTTGCTCTCCCTCCAAGACTCCAATGGCGAACTCTTTCCCTCTCATGTTTGTTTGATGCCAGAGGATGACTATCTAACCTCAACATAAAGACTTGAAATCGGTGAAACAGTAAGCCGAGTTCTGGTCACGGTATCCACCAAACAGCATTTCTTACGCCCACGTATCATCAGTTTATGTTTTGTTTATTGAATGTGTACCAAAGTGACAAGATGTGGTTCAACTAGGGTCTATGTAGGATTACATCTGTCCCTGGAGAAGTGACTCCCTGGGGTCTTCATTGGTTGCCAGGTATTCTCATTTAGAGACTTCAAAAAGGTACTGCTCTTGACCAGGAAACAACGTTGCACATCACCAGCTAAAAAAAACCTCTCCCTTTCTGCAGAGAGTCAGGCTAGCTGATGTTACCTGTTTCCAGTATTTATGCTGGGCTAAGCTTACCAGCTGCTAGTTCTATCTTGAAATCAATAGTACTGACATGATACAGCTCAGATTGTCTCACCACTGCTTTGAGTTACAGATTATTTATTTTGAAATTGGGATGTACATACTCAGTTCAGTGTTTTTCAAATCTTGTATGTTATGTTTTTTTTTTAGTTACTCTACTTTTTTTTGACATTCCTGACAAATTAGTGTGAAACTGTTTGAGTCAAAAAGTGAAGCGTCAGTCAACCAAGATTTACAAGTATAATGTTTGAAGTTGAACTTTTGACCCAGTGTTCAGGTTTTGGTCTTGCACTAAAGTGGCCTTTAAAAGAAGTCCCCTTGAAAGTGAGAGTAGGTCAGATTTTTGGTCTTTGAAATATCATTTTAGTACAGACTGAGCAAATTTTGGTTTTCCCAATCTAGAAAATGATGAAAAATTTACCTCATGTTACACAAGAAACAGAACTGGAACTGAAGTATTGCTCAATAGTGAAAGTGAGCATCTGGCATACACTGAAGTAAATTAGGAGATTCTAGCCTCTTGAAAGGTTCAGTTTTTTTTTTTTTTTTTCACATCAAGTGACAAAGTTGATATATCCAAGCTGTAACGCTTGTGTGTTTTGGGCTTTGCTGGTTAAGCTGTGATTGAATCAAGAGGAAGTGAGCAGTAGACTGCTGACTGTTGTGTTTTTCTTTTCATTTCAACCGACTGAGACAGTTTTCTTCTTTTTCATTAACTGTGCGCTGAAAATTGACAGCCTGTGGTCGTACAAAGTGAATGCGGTGCACATTAACTGTCTTTTGTTATTCACTTAACACAGAGAAAGATGACAGGCATGATCTTGATCTAGTTAAGCTCTGAACTGCCAACCTCAGACAATTTCACAGTCCGCTGTGGCAAATCAATTATTCTGCACGTCTGATTCTGATCTTTATCTGGATCCACATCTGAGGTGTGTGTGTGTCTGCCTTCAGGTGAACACACTTCTCTGTTAATGCTTTTGGTTACAGAAGATGGTATGAATATCTAAGAGCCTTGGTAGTTTTAATTTTAACTTGTGTGACAGACAATCCCATTTTCTCTGGTCTTAAATTGTCCCAAAGCCCAAATCCTGTTAGCTTTGTAGATGCAGTCATAACACTGCCTTTCCCACCAGCTCGGGTTACCAGACTGTGCTTTCTGCTGTCTCGGCACATTGCCCCCCACACAGCATAACTAACCTGCGTTTGCCCACAGACAATTTTATTTGTACCATACTTTTCCTTCATGTTTGGATTCCCTCCTTCCCTCGGCATGCCCATCAGGCTTGGGGGATTTACCAAGTCTTTTTGTATTGGGACATAATTCTACAAAAGTGTAATTCTTAACAGAGACATAACTCTGGCATTGGTAATGTCGTTTTGACTCATGGTTGGTCCACCAATAGCAAGCTCAACAAGTTTGGATAGTATGCTGAATATTGCATGTCTAGAGCAGACCTACCTATGCAGCGAAGCAGTCTGATAAGCCGCGTTTACACGGGCACAGATAATTGGAATAAACGCCCGATCGGAATAAAAATGTGTTATGTAAACACGTCGTTCAGAAGATTCAGATCCAATTCGGTTCAATCTGAAAGAAATTGCATTTGGATCGAGAGGGGTGGTTTATGCCGATTGTTATTCCGAAACACATCCATGTAAACACTTACTCCGATCATGACTCTCTTACCTGACTCGATCTTCACTCTTTTGCCGTTGGTTTATTTATTGAGGTCAGTACAGGAGGATTTTATTATTAACACTCTGGCATAAAACACATCCGCAGGTGCCGTGTCTGCTCCTCCGAAACATAACATGTTGACAGCACAGGCGTAAATACAACTCTTCTTTAGCGAAATCTGTTTTAGCGAAATCAGACAACTCTGCGCATGTCCAAATGCTTCTAATCTGAATAAAGCTTGGTGCATGTATACGCACGTCACGATCGGATTATTTAATTTTGCAACCATGTACACAGTGGGTTCAGATTATTGGATCCCTCAAATTTTTAATCGGATCAAGAAATTTTGCCCATGTAAACGTGGCCAGAGACAGAAATAAAAACAGGCAAAAACAGCACACGTTACTTGATAGTTGTCAGAGGCTTTGAGGAAATCTTACTACAGTCCTCACATGAAGATCAAAATCTCCTGCTCCCTTCTGCTCTAAAGGAAACAGTCAGCAGACTCAAATCTTTCAGTATCACGGTGTTGATTTCTTGGTGTTTGAGGTGAATGTCTGATTATATGAATGTCAAAATAGTCCACAAGTTACAATGTGAACACTATCTGTTGTCACGCAGTCATGTTGGCCTCGTATGAGCCAGTTTGTTAGAGCCAAAATAAAGAAAAGTCTTGAAGTACATCTGTAGGCAGCTGCATAAATAGACTAGAAGATGGAGTATCTATCTATCTATCTATCTATCTATCTATCTATCTATCTATCTATCTATCTATCTATCTATCTATCTATCTATCTATCTATCTATCTATCTATCTATCTATCTATCTATCTATCTATCTGTCTATCTATCTATCTCACACTGGAGAACACTGAGCTCTTATTTTGATGATTTTGAAGCACAATGAGATTACATATTCAGTTAGAAATGCAGATATCAGAGTGGGAAGATCTCAACAATAGCACACTTTGGAGATGAAAATGATTGAACAGTAAGTTTTTTGAATGTATAAAATCATTTTTGAACATAATTATGAGCTTAGTTTAAGAGCGTAGTTCAATTGTTACTTTAGTCTGCTTGTAAATTGAATTTAAAATTTCTCTGTATTTTTTTTTTTTTTTACATTTAAGGTCAGTATTTATTTTATAACAAACTCATTTATAACACTTAAATTCTGTCTGGAAAAAGTACTAGAAGATAAATCGTGAATTTTAACTTGTCGCCTTGTTGTTTCTCTTGTTTGTTTTTTTTCTCCATTGTTCATCATCACAAAGAATGCTGTATTTTATTGAAATTTAAACTGGTATTATGAAAGATTGTATGCGTACCTGTTACACCTTTTGCATGTCTGATATTGCCTTTCTTTTTTCCTGACAGAACTGTTAAATAAATCTTTGACATCAGTCAGTAAATCTCTTTCTCTCTGTGTCCTCACCTTGGTTTGCTTGTGGTGACTTGAAGTAAACCAAAGTAAATAAATAAGAGGGGAAAAAAAGAGAAAATGATTCGAACAAAGTCAGGTTGTTTTTCTTTCAGGCTAAATTCACTCACTAAGTCTGCAGTGGTGGAAATTCTCCAAAAAGCTCCTGACTGTTGATTCAGTGATACAAGATTAACTCCTGGTACAGTGCACAGATACAAACTCTCACTGGCAGTAATCCACATTTCTGAACTCCATGAGATTATTTCACTTAAATAAAGAAGAGGACAATATGCTTATGAATGTTTGGTGCGGTGTTATTGATGAAAACTTCCACAAAGACAAAGAAAGAATCAAGAACATTAACATTCCCTCATTCATGCATGTGTCTTATAGAGCTTGCTTTCAGTGTTCAAACACCAAGAGGACAGGGACTGTAGTTGTGCTCACTGTCCTAGTCTCTTCAGATTGGGCCTGGAAGAACTTCAGGCTTTATTTGACCTCCAGAAACCTCTATCCCTCTGTTTTAGTTCATCAAAAGAGGTCAAATATTACCTTAAATTACACTTTCAGGTAAAAACAAAAAGTTAGATACAGGTTTAAAAGTTCCAGTGTTGGACAATGCTAATTCTTGCTTAAATTAACTTAACATAGTCCATAATTACTTGTATCCTAATCCTGTAAACTGAATTCATTTTGTTTCATCATTGCATGAGCTGTTGTTGTTGTTGTTGCTGTTGTTTGAATGTTGCTGCTGTCCCCTGTCTCTCTCTCCCTCCCTCACCCTTACCTATTCTCTCTCTCCTTCCCTCTATCTTGTTCTCTCTCTCTCTCTCTCTCCCCCTATCTCTCTATATTCCTCCCCAACCCAGCAGCTTGGTGGCTGTCTAGCATGAGTCTGGTCCTACCCAAGGTTTCTGCCTGTTAAAAGCAAATGTTTCCTCGCCACAGTCACTCATGTTAGATGAGATGGGCCAAATCCCATCTTCGGTTAGGTCTTGATAATTCATCAAACAATGAGCGTGGTCTAGACCTGCTCATCTTCTTTGGAAGGCATCTCGGGATGACGACTGTTGTGAATTGGCGCTATATAAATAAACTTGATTGATAATTCAGCTGTTGGAGCAGAACAGAGGAGAGCAATACAACTGCTGATCTGTTCAGCAGAGTACAAGATTATTTTTATGTTTCAAAAGAAAAAAAAAATCTATTTTGAGATGAAATACTACAGACAGGTATGCAGTTGCTTTAGTTTAAACTATAGATAAATTCTGCTTGGTGTCTGCAATGCCTCGCCTTGACCAAGTTCCTGAAATGAATATGGGGACAGAGTTTGTGATGTTGATGCCTTTCCAGGGTCTATGTCATTAAATTATACTAATGAACTGCACAATTACTGTGACTGTTACAACATCTACATCAGTCTTATAATTTTAAGAGGAAATCTCCAAAATATGTTCTCCACAACTTTTCAACTTGTTTAACAGGAACACTTCTGCTGAAATGCACTTCAAGAGGGACCCCTCACAGTCCCTGGAGTTGTTGGTGGCTTCCAACAGTTTATTAGATGACACCACATAGGAAGTTCACTGAAGGATCACCCCTTATCTCCTTTATTAAGTTCTCATTATTTAGGATTTGGATGAAGCTTTTGTGTGCAAGAGTTTTACATAACAGTTGGCAAAGAAACCAAACGACCCCAACTATAAGAAGCATTCAGAAAGAATGTCATTTTACAGTCTCAGAGGGATTTTGAGGATGGAAGTCAATTTGGAACAAACGTGTGTGTCAGCCAAATACGACTGAGAAAAATACTTTCCTTGAAAAATCATTCCTTTTTTTTAAATGTTATAATATGGATGTGTGACACCTCACCCCGCTGGATAGTGTCAAAACTGATTCTCATTTAAACTTTGGAAACATTGTTGGTTTAACAATTCAACTGAGGACATGAACATAACTTAGCAAGGCAAATAGCGCCCCCTGGCTGCTCTAACAAACAAAGAAGACTGATATTCCTAACCAAAATACAACACACCATCACTTCCACATTAAGGAAAATTTGGATGTTACCTAATTATTAGCTATTCTTAACTGGTTATGACAATTCTTCTCTCTCTATACTGCACAGTAATAACGCAGTTCATTAGTATCTGTAGACACCAATCCAAAAAGGTCACATGTCAGTGGCATAACTCATTTATTGTTGAATAAAAATTGGACATGAACATGTGCAGACTAAAACCAGTGACACAACTTGAAGACCATAAAATATTTGAGATCAAGTCTGCACCCCTGCGGTAAAAAAAAAAAATGAAAAAAGAGAGAAAAACATAGATCCAAGAGCAGTTTTTTTCACTGTACAAAATACAGCTGAAGCAACACATGTTCAAAAAGGAAAAGATAACAAAAAAAAAAATGCACCTGTCAGTCCTTTAATGTGCAAACATGTTGATCTCCCCTGAATGATTTTTTTTTTCCAACTTTACATTTATTCAATCCTTCTACTGAGCAGTTTGCTTTTATAAATCAAAGCAATTAACATGTGTCAGCAGACATCAACCATTTTACACTGTAAATAAATTCCTTTTTCCCCCAAAGTCCACAACTTGACATGTAAAAACCAAGAACAGGAGGGTCGACTAGAAGGATGGTAGCAGTGTGGAGTGACAGTGGGAATCACGGGAAAGAAAGAAAAATGTTGATGTGGAGAGAATGAGGACAGGCCTGGGACTGATGTCACACTGGAGCGGCACCTTCTCTGAAAAGTCAGCTGGATCAAACGGCATGTCTGAGTTCCTTAAATGCAAAACCATCAATCTACATAAATATAACAACCACTTCAGGAGAAATGCCTGCTTTCAATGTGGTGTTGTTTAGATGAAAAACACAAGTCTTAGATCACCTAAACAAATGTGCATGCGTGTGCTGTATTTTGAATTTCAGCTGTGTTTCAATGTCAGGGCTAAACCGTCGTCCATTAGGAGGACAAGTTCTTTGAGAAAAAGTCAGTTTTCTTATCTGGTTTTGGGCAACAAAGAAATTTCAAGACAAGATTTCTGTAAATTATCATTAAGTGGTTCGTTTCAGGGTGCATTTAAGAAACCCAGCTGTGACTTTTAAAAGGCTTGCTGCTCTACCAACTGCATCAAAATCTGTGCTCTTTCAACTGTGGCTGAAGGAAAGCAGCAACGCGTGCTCAGTATGTTGACATTTTCTTGTCAACCTCAAAAGACATGTCAGCTATGTAACCCGACGAGTTCTTTGTTTACTTACAATACCAGTTTGGGCAAAACTATTTACTCAACCATTTCAAGTACATGAAGATGTGTTTGATGACATGACCTCAGTTGGCGACAGAAAAAAAGGCTGAACTGTATTTGACATGACAGCAGAACACGCAAGGTTGGGTTTATTTTGAGCGCACAGATTGTACAAAGATGATCATCAGTCCTTGAGCCTGTCTGAGTATGTATGTGTATGTGTGTGTGTGTGTATGTGTGTGTGTGTGTGTTTGTGTGTCTCAGCGTCGGTGGCGGCTATGTCCTGAGTGTCCACTACTGCTGTGGTGTTTGCTCTTGTGGCCGCGCTCCCTCTCTCTGTCCCTGTCGTAGGACCGGGATCTCTCCCTCTCCCTCCTGTCCCCTCTATGCCCGGCTCCTCGCTCATGCTTGTGTTTCTTTGAAGTGAGGTCGTAGGCGCTGCGGTCTCTGTCCCTCTCGCGTTCTCGCTCTCGGTCGCGGTCCCTGTCTGCTTTGACTGGGGTGCGGGACCGTGATCTAGAGCGCGTGCGCTTCCTTTTGTGTCCGGATCCTCCTCCGCCGCTGTTGCTGTGGCGTCCGCTGGGCTTGGAATCGCTGTTGCCGTGGTGGCTCGTCTTGGACTTGAGGTGGGGGAGGAGGGGTGATGGTTGGTGTCGCCGCGGGGATGGACTGCGACTGTGAGAGCGTGAACGAGAGCGAGAGCTGTAGGTCCCTGAGCGACTGCGTCTGCTGTTATAGCTGGAAACAAAATCGGGACAATGATGAGACACAATTTCAGCCAGTAAGACTGTTGTGATTATTGGACAGTCTCATTTCTAAAACAGCTCACTGAGAATGTTCAAAATAGTGTTCAGTAATCTTACTGTCTGCGTGGAGATCGAGATCTAGACCGGGATCGTGTTCTTGATCGAGATCGACTTCCACTTCTGCTATTTCTTCCAATCTTCACCTCTTTCCTCAAGCTGGTAAAAACAATTTCAAATTCAGACAAACATTGACATAAGAAAAAAAGAGAGCTACCTCAAAGTGTGAAGAAAATAACTGTAAACGGCAAAGGCCAGTGAGCCTCTAAAAGTAACCAAAACTTCATCATCTGTAAGCGTCTCTCTTACCCGTTATGTGGACTCTTGTTGACCTGGGTCCGGTTGTCTGGCTCCTTCTTCACCAGTTTGAGGGTCTGGGGGTTTGGAGATTTCTCCTCTACTTTCACCACATTCGGGGACGAGGGTTTGGAGGCAGGGGAGAAACCGCCCAGTGTGGACAGGGCAGGGGTACCATCGGGGTTCAGACCTTTGGCTTTCAGCTTAGCCTCTGCCAAGAACACCTTCCTCCGCTCCACCTCCTTCTCCAGATGATCGTAGTTTGGCTGCAGGAGAAATTGTGATGAGTTCATACATTTAAAAAACACTTAATACTGATGAGATCATGCACGGCTATCACACGTCTATTCAGACTGGGTGTAAAAGAGTCTTACTTAGTCTTCATATATATCGAGACAGCTTTCACACTTATCCAAAAAGGTTAAAAAATTACCTTCTTCCTGGTGTACAGTCTCAGGGTGGTGATGCAGATCTCTTTAATCTCCTCTTCAGTTGCTCCAAACAGCAGAAACCAATGAGGTCTTGATGGCAGCGGTATCTGGGAATAATTCAAAAAGTAAACAATCAGATATCTTGTTTACATGTCGAAAAATAATGAGTACTCATAAGTGTTGTTTGTTTAGTGTTGTACAAGAGGTCAATGTTTCCTGCTGTAAATACTTCAGCATGGTGTCTGTTTCTGTGTGTATTACATGAATGCTCATGAATCAGTGAAAATGATGGGGAACTTTAGTCAATCTCAGGGCTTGAAAAATGCAGAGTTCACATGCAGGGTTTAAGTATAACAGATATGTGAGAAGACAGGGGTGAGGGTGTCCTCATCTATTGGCATCCCAAGATTGCCCCAACACTGACGTGTGGAAGAAGAAAAGCTTCCATTTCCATGTATCAAGGGAAGTTTCAACGGACCTTTTTTGAACAATTGCTACCAACAGTGTGAGCGCACTAATCAGAAGATTCAACGGAAACAAATTCAACAAAACCATGAACCACATTCAACCGCACCTTTCGTGAAACCGTACAGCGTATGCCGGGCCTTACCTGAAGAGCTCTGGCAGCCAGGAATATGCAGGCACATGCGATGGTTTCTGCTTGGAATCTCACAAACACATTCGTCCTCAGGCAGTCGTTCATGTAGTTCCTATGAAAGGAAAAACAAACAGAAACAAAAACATAGCATTTTCTCCACACAGAACCATCCCCCACCCAACACACACACACACAAAAATCATGGCACTAATCAGTGTTTCACTGCACCAGGACTATTCTTTCACTCCATTACTGGATCTCACTTAATCCTTTTAGAGCAGAAATCTTTTAAGTTTGCTGAATTCAACTTCGATAGAAAATAAATGATTTCTACAGACTCAAAAAAACTATTGACTGTGTATTTGAGTTGAACATGTAAAGCAAAAAAGTCTATGAATGTTTCAGTGACACATCACTACAGTGGGATGTGCAATTTCATCTAACACGTTTAACTTTGTCCATTTCTCTTTGGGGCATCCATGGTGGTGTTGTATGTCACAGATTGAGAATGAAGACACAAGACAGGGACAGTCTATTGCAGACCTGCCGAGCTACATGATCACACAATGGAGAGCAACTTATTCTCGGAAAAGTACGACAGAGGAGATGACACGCGTCTTAAAAGACTGGTGTGGGGACCAAACATGCCAAATGTTTGATGCAGCAGAGGTTCAGATTAAAAAATCTGTGGGAACAGGGAGTCTGTGGATGTTTGGTGGCAGGCTGATGAAGCTTCCAATCAAACACTGGGGAAGTATTTTAGAAACACTGAAGTTTTCATTGATGGGTCCATGCAGATTTTGACCTTGACATTGTTGCGGGGGGGTCTAAAACAACCACTGGTTCTTATTCCTCTCAAACAAATCCTTTTATATGCTGATAAAGATTTGATGCGGCCATCTCTGTTTCACTACTTAAGCCAAATGCAGTCAAAACAGATAGACATGCCTCATTAAAGAAAGAGCATTAGGAGGTGCAAAATGGCAGGAATGTCAATCAGGTAAGTACAGGGTGGTATGAGCATCTATGTCCTCAGGAGACATAGAAGTCAATGGGAACGTAACACATATGATGACAGAAACATGATGGTTAAAAACCCCATAAATCATCTCAACAGTTCCTCAGTTATGAAAAGACAGAACAACCAACCAAAAATGCAGAAAAAGAAATACTGTGGGTGGTGACAACTTCCCATACACCTGTGTCAATGTTCACCCACTTCATAATTGTGCGCTCCGCTCTAAAGGAGGTTTCTTGCAAAAAAAAGAAAAGTGAGGCCTGGCGGAAACAGATATTTCCAGTCTAACTGCCATCAACAAACGACCTGACCTGCACTCTATCAGGTCAGAGTGAAAGTGCTATGCTAGCGCGACTATCGATAATACAGGGCCGTTGGATTCTGACTGCTGCGTGGGCGAGACAGGTCCGTGGAGGCAAAACCTCAGAGCTGGATCAGCCTGCAAGACAGACACATGTCTGGACACCACGTCAATTGGGGACAGGACACAGTAGACTACTGTAAGTCATTTTCATAAAAAGGCAGGTTATTTCCGGTTAAAGTTATTCTTTTCTGGCTTAAGTTTACTTGGTACTAGTAAACTAGAAAAATATTCAAACATAAGTATCCATAGCTACTTGGAAAAAAAATTGGCATTACAGTTAAAACCAAAAAATACAAATCCTTTGGGACACCCAAGAGAAAACAAGACGTTGTTGGCTGTGGGAAAGGCCCGCCCTCCCCCTTCAGAGAATCTCGGCATTGGGATTGGCTGTCTGTAGAGTGGCAGCCAGCCAATGGGGAGAGCTTCTTGTGGTCATGTAGTTGGAGGAGGCAGAGTTCAGAGGTTCTTTATGTGACTTACCAGCATGGACTACCCTTTAATCAAAGAGTAGAGAGAAAGGACAAAGTTAAACCAAGTTCCCTGAGCAGCGCAATTCAAATAGACTTTACAGCAAAGCCATGTAAGGGCAGACAAGAGAGTGAAACACCAAACTTGTTTGGGAATAAAATAAATTGCTCCATTAGAAAAAAAGGAGGTGGAAGGGTTAAAATGGAGTGAGGGGATGTTGCAGACCTGGGCAAAAAAGTTGCTGAATGAGTTTCAAATCCAGACCTGTGACACCAAGGGCACTAAATTATCCTATTAGGTCCAAGCAGATAAAACAAGTGCCTTTTGAGTACTTCAACCATTTGAAACTCGCTCATCTCAGGGTTTAGCCCAGGTCTAGTGATACTTCTTGCAGACATGACACAAGTTGCTGCTGTGGGATATGGGCAGTGAAGACCTAGGAATGAACTTACCAGGCCGTCTGGACCAGCGTCTGGTTCTTTTCACATTCCAGGACTTGGAGGTACATGACGATGATCTGAAAACATGAAATGACTGCTAGTCACAAACAGCTCTATGTGTGGTCATTGTTAAAGTTCAAATCTGTTATCAAAACTTACTGGTTATTTTTTAAGACACTGACACTAAGTATAGAGCACATGCCAAGATGTTGAGTGTGGCGTTTACTCACCTTGTGTGGATGCTTGACATGCACACAGAAGCCCAGCTCCTTCAGTACCCGCCGCTCTGCTTTGATGACTTGGTTTTTGGTATTTATGTAGTTCTGATCAAGTATCAATGAGCTTGGTGTCCTAGTTTGTGAAGGAATCAAAATGAAAATAATGTTCCCCTCTTTTGAAATAGACTTAAAAACAAAAAAGAAAGTGCCCTTCTGTTTATTTGGGGTTTTTTGTACTTTTCTCCTCTTTTCACGTTCCAACCAACTAAAAGCAACAGGTTTAAGTGAATGCCTGACAGTTTGATGGGGTTTGGAGACTCCTGTGGTTCAAGTTCAAGCTTTTGGGATCCTTTGACAGACGTCAACCGCAATCACCTCATGTCACAGCTTTAACAGAAATATCAACTCATAGCATTGCCTAAATGACTACTTCAGAGGCCAGAAACTGGGCGTCATTCTTTTGTCAACTATACACTCGATTCTACTTTACTGATGTTGATAGCAGGCAACTCCAATGTTTTGTGATGTATTCATATGCCACCAAAAACAGGTCTAACAAATGAAATCTTTTACTTTCTACTGTTTTCATTCAATGAGGAAACCTCATGCCCTGACTATTTACATTCACTAAAGTTAAGCACCAATTTGCAAACATTAACTTAATCAAATCAGATTATCTAAAAGCTACCATGTGCAACAGCAGCAGATTGTAGCAAATGCTTAATTAAAACAAAGGACTTGCAGTAAACACCTTGATCTCCTTTAACTAAGTACCAGGCTCCTAAATAGGGTTTGTATTCTGACAAATCACTCATGCTCAATAAGTGAGGCTTAACATTAATCCTCCTGAGAGCAAACTATCAAAATAAAAGTCCAAAACATGTATTCTGACATCTCAGAAAACTACTCAATGTCATGCTACAAACAACATGCATTTAAACAGCTCTCATTTAAGATCAGTTTCTCAACATGAAACTATTCAGTCCAACTTTAACTCCATGACGCCTGATTTGTTTCAAACATACTACATAGGACAAACTATTGAATCTACAGTGCATGCACTGAACATGTTCCAAAACCTAGACTGAAGCACAGCCTTCATGAGCTACATGTACTGAGATTTGATAGTCGCCTCTATTGACAAGGTGATATTTCTATAAAAGCCATGAGTAACAGTTGGTGAATGGGGTTTTGCTCTTTAAGCACAAACAAAATGCATGGTGAGGAGCGATCAGACGAAAATTACATTACCCACTGCTCCGCAGACTGACGGACAGTTACCCAATGCTTAAGACTGAACCACAGGAGTCCTCAAGGAGCCCCGGGGGCCAAGGACCTTCGGCCAACCTGTCATCCCCGATCCCAGTGCCCCGCGGTGGCTCAGACCACGGGCGTCTCCCACAGGAGGGGGGTGGGGTGGCCCTGGGGGGAGGATAGAGACCCCCTTGCATCATGGTTGTCATGCCGACTGCTTCATCTTACGTACCATTCCACATCACCCAGGGTTTGGTAAATGTAGCTGGTCGCTGTTAGTTGGTTGCAAGGGAAAAAAGAAGCCAAGTTAATGCCAAGGCCTTTAGTAATTACATGTACAGATTTCTATGAAGACAAAGGCACTCCTAATGCAGTGCCTTGTCTTGCAAAGATCAGTCTGAATTCCACTGGTCAAATTGTTCAAATGAATTTGCCGAGAAATTATTTTCAGAGCGATATCAAACTCAGACGTTAAATGTAGACAATTATACTTCTGAAACTACCAGTGAAGAGGAAACTGAAAAGTTTTAAAGTGGTTTAGAGTACACGGATAAACAGAAAAGCACTTTCATGGCACAACAGATCAACAACATACAGTATAAAACTGGTGTCAAACAAAAATAAACCCAACACAACAATACTTAGAGTTATAAACATTTTCATTTCTCCATTGGATGAAGACTGGATTCAATGCTAATGCTTACTTTTTGCCTCTCATCTGCCTCAGGTGGTGGAAAACATTGATGACGTCTCGTATTCGTCGTGGTGCTTCCTCAATCTTGGAGGCCAAGTTGATACACGCCATGGCAACAATCTGGAGAGGGGACAATTAAAGCAATAGTTGAATTGTTTACAAGTACTGAATGAAAAAATAACAAGAGAGAAAGGCGAAGTCGAGAAAGGTGACATTTCACATTTAAACGGATGAGAATTTGCACTTTTATCACTGTGTGCAGCCTATTCTATAAGTACCATGTAATGACTCCACTGTGATTTGCATTGTTTTATGACACTGATATATTTGACTTTATAACACACTAAGAGAGGATTCTGAGGGTGCTGGTCCCCTAGGAAAAGAAGTCAATGCTTTCTCTGGGTCACAGGAAGCTTAGATACGTTAAGCTACAAGCATATCTTCATCAAAACACTTCTTTAAGAGGAAATGTATTAGTTTTTTTTTAACACACCAAGAACAAAAGTGTACGTTGTTACTCAGTGAGAAGTTGAATTGTATTTCTTAACGTATTATCCGTGGTTTTATGCGGATAAAGTCTACCTGTTATTTGCCTCGCGCTACTTCACGAACTCCAAGCATTACGTTTAGACAATATGGCTGCCACGAACGTGAATCAAACGTTTTGCTTCACAGACACAAGACCGTTGGAGTGACAGTGAGCCACGACGTTGAGCAGACTTACCTCAAAGCTGTGCTTGACGAAGGACTTCGAGTAAAAGAAACGGTGAAACAGCACTTGCCCCGTTGCCATTGCCACCTGCCGAGAAAGTCAGGGTTTGGCGTAAGTACTTTGTCTTAACCGAACAGGCCTCACCTTGCACAATGGAGCGCCGCCATTTTAACTCAACCACGCCAACGGGGGCTAACATTAGCAAGATGCTAACAACCAAACGGCGGGCTGTTATGAACAACACATCTGATGTATTTCAAACCCCGCGTCAACGTTGTAAAATAACACACAGTTGATTTTCACTGAGTTTTTACCTGGGGTAACCGGAGAAGAATCCCCGCCGACTGAATCAGTTCACATCCAAGGATACGAAGGTCGGTCTCCGTGTTCAGGTCGAGGCCGTCGAGCATTGACGGCGTCGGGGAAAGCCGTTCCTCCGGTATGAGGGAATTGTCGATCGTGAGATAGACCTCAGAGTAAACTTTGTCACCAATAAGAATACCATCGTTGTTTGTTGACGCAGTAGAAGATACAGACAGAGGACCAGCGGCCATCTTCAACTGAAAATAGGCGATTACGGGCTTTAGTGTGACCTGCCACAACGAACAACGACGGCGGAACAGGGTGACTGACAAAGTATGTGACGTCACTGTCACTACGACAGCCAAATGCACATCCGCGTCGTAAAGTAGTTCCCAAAACTCAATAACGGATCAAAACCTAAATTCACTTAAGGGTAATATACTCTTCAACTTTACGTGAATCTTACACGTTTAGTTGCTACTTAAATTGCCTGCTGTCCGTTTCTTTCCCGTAGTTTGATTGTAACTTGTCTAAGATGTCTGAAAATGTCAACCTTTAACTTGAAATCATAGAAAACGAATTTATTTATGTTCTTAACTAACAGTGAATGAACATACAAACTTTAAGTTAATACAATAGTGTTTCGGTTGATTGTAAATAAAATTTAGATATTCTAATGCTGCCTTTAAGGCTCAAAGTAAAATCAGACATCTCTGTTTCTAAAACGAAAAAGCATCACAAAAGCCAGCAATGATTGATTACTGTTATTACCTTATTAATTTACTGTTGATACATTTTATGAAAAGACAAAATCAACATTAGGCTGTTAAAAAATATGGCTGGCTTTACGTAGCCTGTAACAACCGATGAGAAATCCAAGAAAATACATGCATGGTATGCATTCATTAGTAATAATTACTTGCTGTCACCACATAGCTCGAGTTTTGCCATTCATGACAGCACCACTGCCGTTCAGTTGGCCTCACAAATTATGGATGTTGAAGACAAACATGTATTTAAAGCGGTTTCACTGTCATACTTCAGGTCATATGCAATGTATTTTCGACGTTACCCAAACGCAACAAGGAAGCGACTCACCATCAACGTTTTCTGTGACGTATTTTACGGGAAAGTCCAGGCTTCTCACCATTGAGCCTGGAACATATTCATCCGCCATTAAAAAGGCCTGAGCAATTACAGTTTGTAGTTGAATATATTTACAAAGAATTTAGCCTATTCACGGTAGATTACACTTATGGAGTACGAGATGTAAGGACAACTGAAAAAAACGTAGTTTTAATTATTTTCTTTTGGGGGACTTTATACATTCAAAGAGCTGTATTTTGTTGCTGCCCTTTCTAAAAAAAAAACAAAGTTTAATAGTCTAATAAATAAAATGCGTTCTGAGTAAGTTTTAACTAAATTTAAAAACTCTGGGACTATATTTTGTCAGATCCCGTCTAGGTCTTCACAGACTTACACAAGGAACAATGTGTTCACTCACTGTCCAGCCTCCAGGAGTGTATAACCAGAAGGCTTGTAGTGACTTAAATCCAACAGCAGAGAGAACTCTAGACACACCGGTTGGGATGTATGAAACTTTAGCGCACCGAGTGATGCAGTGGCTTCTATAAACTTGTACAGACCTTATTCTTAGAGGATACGAGCACTTGCAGAAACCCTGTAAATAATCTGATGCAGCAGAACTGATGACTGCAATGCTTTAAAGGGTTAAATTTCTGCTTTATGTCTCACCTGCAAACACTAACAATACACATGTTTTACTGAATGCCTGTGGAGTCAAATGCCTTTTTTTTTTTTGCCGCTATAGCGTACTTTTAGCAGGGGTCCAACTCTAGACTATGGCATGTTTTTCGAGTCCGTTTCAAATGAAGCAAGCCTACTGAAAAGCTCTAATCACATAACACATTACTCAGCCAAAGAGTTATAATTCACAGCTCCATTTTTGTCAACCTGCACTGTTGTCACTGAACTATGTTCTATTGGAAAAGAAAGATACTGGAAAATTGAGTATGAATCAAATATGACTAGATAATACTAATTCTTACATACTATTCTTAATGGTGATCTTGTGACTTCTTAATCTTGTGACCAACCAAACCTTTTAGGCACAATCACATTGAGGCCAATAATTGCTGTTGATGGAATTTCCACAAACCAACTCACACGTTGTAACCCGAGTCAAATGTTACATTCACAGGTTTGCATAAAAAAGGGGCCTGTAGCAAAAATGTACATTTACAGTGTGCACTGCAGTGGTCAGGGGGCCACAGAGTAAATCATTGCCCAGAGCTGCACTTACACTTTCAAACCTTGTAGCTGGTCATTTTCAGATTTTTTTAATTATGTGTCTGCATGCCTCTGTAGGCTACTATAAGCAAACAGCCATAATAATGCCAGTGAAGCAGGAGGGTCCACTTTCACATGTGTTGGATAATAAATCTCGTGTAACACATAAATCCACACACCCTCGCATCTACGTCCTTAATTTTGCCAAAATGCCACATGTGATGGAAGCACTGAGGTCTCATTGTCCCTGTCATTAAACCAACACCTACAACCAGAACCACCGGCCCTCACACTTACGCAGTTACCACGACAACAAGAATACTGAGCATTCTTTCCATGGTTGCCCAAGTGACACTAATTATAGGGTGTGGGAGGGTTCACGGGACAGCAGAATTCCGGAACAACCATAAAGCCACACAGGAGAAAGGCGTTCAGGGACGCCCAGTGACGAACAAGGGCTTAGCTATACACACACGCCACTCCCTAAAGTATGTGTGTGTTTATGAGCAACTTGCACAGATTCCCTGGGGACATGTGTGCATGCCTGCCCTGTTATGACAATTACAACAAGGTGATAACAATTGTGTCTGCATAGGCTGTGTGAGTTTAAATGTGTGTGTGTGTGTGTATATATATATATATATATATATATACATATATATATATACACACACACATATATATAGTCAAATGATATTGAGTTAATAGGGGGTATTATGTTTTTCATATTTACAACAAAAATGCAGTTACATTAAGTTAAAATGTTTTATTTTGATACTAGATGTATTGCAAAATTTCAAATTAAGATGTAAAATAGATTTAAACTTCTCAGAAGGGTTCGTTGGGAAATCACACTATATCCCACCGAGACTCTATGAAACGCACTAAACTAATGAGGTCATTGCAATAGGCCCTCCTAATTGGTTCAACTGCGCATCCAGCACAGCGGGATGGCCTGCCCCCAGCAACTTGTGCAGTAACACCCACAGCAGAGTGGGGTACAGCTGCTGGTCTACTGCATTACTTGATTGCCATGGACACAATAGAGGGGGCGGGCCCAAAACATGAGCTCTGTCCTTGACTGGCCTCCGGAAAGCCTCTGTCGAGGTGGCCAATCAGAAGAGAGTAGGATCATGAGTGGGTAGGGAGGGGGGACCTTAAAGAGACAACAGCTAAAATGAAGCAATTGAGACAGAGGCTGGATTTATGGCATTTCGATAAACCCGTGTCAGTAACTCAAGACTTTTTTTTAAATCTGAGAACCATGTAAAGTTATTAAAGAAAGTGTAGAGTCTGAAAAAAATCATGATACCCCCCATTTAACCATTAAATAAAAAGTTTTACATTTAAGCTGAGTGCCAGGGCAGCAAATCATTTCTTGTTTTTAGTAATGAACTATTTTTGTCTATGACGTATGGAGGCCATGTACTCAATAATGCAACAGCTTCGCTGTTACTTTGCCAGAATTACGGCAGTGCAAGTAGATGACCTCTATAAAAGAGGATGTGCTTTTACGTAAATATAAAAATATATATTCAACATCAATGAAGTGATTTTTTCAGGTGATTGTAACCCAGTTTAATTTTTTTCGTATTTTCGTATGGTGTATTTTACACAATGCAAACGGGCAGGGACGAACAAGTGAAAATCATTTCACCCCGATGATACTATGGATGAGGAGATGCTGATTGTAGAAGTCGAGAGCTGTATTTCCTCCTCTGGAAGAACACAATCTACTGCTAATTTGGCTATGTGGCTACAGAGACAATTTATTATTATTGCACATGAATCCATGGGTTCTTGTAAATTCTTGCGATTCCCGCTGTCTATAATCCACCACGAAATTCGCCTCATAAACGGAACTAGTAGGAATTGGCGGACGGTGAAATTGGCGCTGTTCCGGATTGGAGCCGTTCTGGATGTGGTGGAAATTCAGGGTTAGCGTCTTGGTCTGATTGCATTTCCATGAAGTAACAATCATAAATTTTCTGCTGTGTAGTGTTGTGTGTAAATAGTGTTTCACAATTTTTCTGCTCAACCCAGATCTTTCTCAAATACATGGCTAGTGGCTTCTGACACACACAGGCAACCACACACGAAACAGGAAGGACACTTGGTCAAGGACTCTAGAGCAAGGGCACAGGCAAAGGAAAAAGGCCCAACAGAAAGGCAGAGGGGAGTAGACAAAAGGTAGTTGAGTGGATCAAAAATAAAGTGGATGGATGGATAGCTGAAGAGGAGAGACTGAGTAGGACTTGCTTTTCAGCAACAGAGTCAGAGGAGTTGAATATTAACTGATGGCCAAAGAGATCCAGAGAATATTGACACCACAGAGACAGATATTTACATCTGTACATGTGTAAGAAAGGAGAAGAGTTGAAAGTGTTCAGGGTTGATACAAAGACAGATAAAAACAAAGCAGATTTAATGAGTGTTTCAAATACAGGGGATATTGTAAGAGTATACCTTTAACGTAAGGGTCTAGGTGCAAGGAGGTTTAACGGCGATGTCCTAAACAATAGCACAATAGCAAGTGGCTAACAGGATGCATGACAAATAATGAAACACCATTGCTTGTACAGCTCTGTATTTTTTTAATGTACAATATGATAGCTACATCCTTTCTCAATGTCCTTAACTACCTTGCTTCCTGGCAATGCATTCATGCTATCCAACTCACAGGCTGAAATTGATTTTTTTAAACAGCATGTAAACGTACTGCATGTTGTAAAGTCGAAAGCACTGGAGCAAGTGGATATGTAAACCTTTACGTGGAAGTCTTTGTTCATCTGGCGGTGATAGTCAAGGATATACAATCATAGTGTATTTTTTTTATTTTTTTCCTTAAATAAAATGAGGGGTTTGGTAGAGTAAAGCTTAAAGAAATCAATAGAATAAAGAACATGAAGTTAGGTTAAACATAGGCTCTAGGATTGATGTACACTAAATACCTACAAACGTATGTCTTACATATAAGGACAAACAGTCTGATGACTAAACAATCAAACTCCCCCAGTGACATTATGTAA